AACCAAATACTAATGTCACATTATAGCCATTGTGGTATGTCTCACCCTGCTGTTGCTGTCCTCCTTGATCAAGAAAAAGCATATGACCGAGTACATCCTACCTACCTTCTGATGGTTATGAAGCATTTCGGCTTTCCTGCTTCCCTCGTATCTTGTTTATCTAGCCTATTTTTTGACACAGAAATATCCCTTAACATCAATGGATGGTTAAGTGCTCCCGTTCGCCAACAACGTGGCCTTCGGCAGGGAGACCCCTTATCACCACTGTTGTTCAATTTAGCTTTCGAACCCTTACTACGTACCATTTTGTCGAGTCCTGACTGATATATCCAGTTACTTTAAAAGACTTATAAAATAAAATAAGACAGTAAAATGACCAGACACAACAAAGATACTCTTTATTCAAGTTTGTTGAGAATGATACTTTTATATGAAAAACGGGGTTATTAACGGGTATTCAACTATTAATACAACTGAACTAAAACTATCATGAGAATGATGATAAGATCTTAGCCGCAAGCGGGCGTCAAAGTAGATGTGTATCAGATTGTCAAGCAGGTACTGAAGTCGTTCTGTAGTTTAAGACGTACTGTATAGTTGTATCTTGGATACAACACTGACATCAAAGGCGTTTCGCTGCTCTCAACCTCCGCCTCTTCTAGTCGATATGGACAACTTCTAGCTCGCAGTCTGAGTGTCCGTTTTGAACCACAGCCTTTGTTTGACTGGCAAAACCCCCTCGTTTCAAATTATTGAGCTATGCGGATGATTTAGAGGTTTTCTTGACCACACCTACGGAATGGCATGTCTTGAAAGACCTCCTTACAGTTTATGGTAACGCTAGTAATGCCCGTGTCAATTTGACAAAAACAGAAATTGTTTTCCTCTCTGGTCATCCGCATACGGCATGGCTCCATATGGCTAATCAGGAATCTGTAACCTTTCATACAGCTGAAAGTCCATCTGCTGCCAAATATCTTGGCTATCCTCTCTTCTCAACCAATGCTCAACTAAAACACTATCTAGCTTCCCTTGAACTGAAAATAGTCCGTCACTGTAACCTCCTGAAACAACGGGGATTGTCTGTCCGAGGTGCCTCACTAGTTGCTAATTCCTTGACGCTTAGTAAGTTATGGCATCTCCTGCGTGTTGTAGTTGTTCCGGTGGACTGGCTTGATAAGCTTCGTAGCATTGTCCGGTCTTTTGTGGTTCCTTTCTGGCCTGCTCCATCGTGGGAGCGCTTGTGCTCACCTAAACGTTTTGGTGGTTTAGGCTTAGTGGATCTGCACCGACAACAATTAGCTCTTCATCTTGTGTATGTTCAGCGCCTTCTACAGCCCCCTTCATCAACCGATTTTGTCTCCCCATTACTGGCACATTGTATCCAAGTGTACACCGGTCAGTTGTCCTTACTACCATGGATTTTATCGACTGCCACTTATCGTTCATCATTTCGCTTCCTTCCGAATATGATCCACTTATGTTCGCTGCTGATGAAACTTCCTTCATCATCTCTTTCCTCCTCATGGCATGGCCGCTGGATTGCTGATTCGCCCCTTCGTAGTGCCTTACAGCGTTCCCCCTCGTTTGTAGGCCCCTTACCCGTGGATCGCAATAGCCTCCCACGGCATTTAATCGTCTCTACTGTTCTCCTTTGGTCTTCGATAACTAACTGCTTCTACACGCTAGGGTATACGTACAGTATTTTCAGGACTGTCCGAAACTGAAAAGGATACCTAGTTTGCTTTCCCAAGGTGTAGTACAATGGCTTCCTTTCATTCAGAACCGATTGATTGACGTCCGGGCCCCTCCTCCGGCTGCTGCTCCTACGCCCACTTCACGATGGCCTAATGTATCTTACAGCACCTTATGGTTGCCTGATATGTCCCAGTGGCGTGTACCTTCTGGTTCTCAGAACAATACCACCATATTAAAACTTTCGCTTGGTATGCTACGGCTATACTGGCATCCTGATTATTCCGTTTTTAGGACCCTCCTCGGATTCCTCAAGTGTTTCCTTTATGGTATCGGCCTCCGGCTCAATGGAAACGGTTCTGGTCACTCTCAATCCCTCATGCAGTGCTAACTCCATGGTGGCGTTTATGGCATAATTGCATTGGGTACAGAGCTTGGCTGTTTTCCATCAATCCTGTCATAGTTGACACCCCTCTTTGCCGCCATTGCAAAGACTCCCCTGAGGATGGTTTTCATTTTTTCGTTGGTTGTCCACCTAAATGGCAATTTGGGATCACGGCACTGGAGGAAAATAGAATTATCTCTTTTCTTACCACACCTACTGGCATTTGGCATATATTGTTAACACTTTGTTCTCCGTTAGATAATTCTCCTCTGCCTGACCATACAATCGTTCAGGTTAGTTTGATACTTTTAAGTATCTGGAAATATCATTGGCGCTGCCATTTTGATCGCATCTCTTGGTCCCTAGCAGGAGTTCGTACCGTCTACCAAGACGAGGTTCGATTCAGAACACTCAATACGAGCTCGTAGTATATTTAATGGTTTCTTTGTAGTAGTTTTTATAGTGTATGCCTTTTCTTCACTTCTTTTATTGCCACTTATCAAAATATAATTTATTGTCCGTTGTTAGTCACTTTTAATAAAGTACGTGAATTAAATACAAAAAATAAAATAAAATTAATCATTCGTATCATTGATATCAGTTGATACAGTATGACTATGTGGAAGAATACAATTGGATATTCGTAGGCGGATATAGATATGCTAAGAGAATATGGAAATTGCTGGAATAGACAAGATCTTTTGTTGTATATATGAGCCAGAGTTATTACATAATGATCGGAGTTATGACATTAGGAGTAACCATATAGCCATAATATGAGATTATACTTCTTCTAGAATCTTGCACAGTTGAAATACAGCGACTGATATTAATTATGATCTACAAATGCTACATATGAGGTTAACAGATCCATAGTACATAGTACTTCAATAATTATTCACTCTTTCACAATGATCTGTCAGAAAGCGGACATTGGTTAGTGGTCTTATCATTCTATTTATATATTCGTCGCCAATTGCTTACAGTCCGATCCACTAACCTCTCAATGAGTAAGTACCCGCGCTCAACCATGGTGAAGGTACCCGTGTCTTTGATGAAACAACAGTCTATATGACACCGGCTAAACCCGCTCTATTCAGCCCAACACATCATCCTATAAAAGATAGAAAATTTTTCATAATCTAGATATGTTTTTCTTTTGTACGATTTTCACTGAATAAAGAGTATAACAAGTTCTCACAGAATTCTAACTCTTTTTAATTAACCTTATTCTTTGAAGATCAACATCTTTCTGGATAATGTCTGGGTCTAACTGATACAAGTGGTGTTGCTGAGCCAGCGATCTTTTATCCGACCTTCAGGTCTCTGCTGCGCCATTCATATCATGAATACCTCAGTCTATTATGTCCATTGGATCTATCTTAATATTATCTGGCTTAGGATAAGAATATGTGTGGAACATGCTATAGTATTGGACTCTATTATTATAATAATATTATCTCATAATGCACAGACAATAAAGATTATATAATTTATCCATATGTAATCTCAGCAGTGAATGATTAAGTACCAGAAGAGACTAATGTCATATTATGGGATAGTCACATAGCAAGTATTGCATGATTTATTTATCTCTGTCAGTATCTATATACGGACTTATGCCTCAATATACAACAATCTTTCCTTTTATCATCAGGTCATAATGTACCGAAGAGTCCTGATAGAAAGAGTTTTTTACAATATCCACAAATATAAATAGAAGTACTTTTTTCCTACATGGTTTTTGTCTTCATTCTTTATCTTGAATATTCAATCAATACAAGAAGATAAATTGGTCTTTGTTGTATATGTTATAGTAAGAACAGAGAGAGAAAAGAAAACAAAAGGAAATCTGTGAAAATCAAGTAGTCTTCTTGTATTGATTGAATATTCAAGATAAAGAATGAAGACAAAAACCATGTAGGAAAAAAGTACTTCTATTTATATTTGTGGATATTGTAAAAAACTCTTTCTATCAGGACTCTTCGGTACATTATGACCTGATGATAAAAGAAAAGACATACCCAATTGTTATTGTACGGCTAATCGTGACAGAGCGGTGCCTTGACCGATTGGATCGGTAAATGGAGGTAAGTGAGTTGATCTGATGAAGGATTCCTTTGACCTGTATCTCGGCAGATTCATTATAGTTAACGAGACGGACAGGATAAACTATTCCTTAATTCTGCCGACGTCTACGTTTCAGTCTTATTGAATTCTCTCAGAATGTAAAGGGTAAAAGTAAGGATCAACAAGTTAGAAGATAATAGCTTAAGTAGATTAGATTTATGTATTGTGGTTTGATATACTAAATAAAATTATCTGATTTAATCAAATTCAAATACTATAATATCTTTATTTCTAAATGAAGTCAATTACTAATACAATGTTCTCTCGGATATACAGATGAAATATTCTTTCGTAAAAGAAAAGAATTGTTCTGCCAAATCTGTCACTCGCGGCGGTTATTCTAACCTTCATAAGGATCCGTAGTCTCTTATTTCAGTATGATGTAATAATCCAAGAGTAATATGCTGTTGGATACAACAAGTATAAAAGAGACCCAAATATTAACGCGAAATAAAGACAATCAATATCTTTTTATAGTCTCGCTACTTTTCTTAGTCTACTACAGTTTAATCCTAATTTTAATAAGATTTACATGTGTAATGTTTACCGAAAGAATATCACTTGCAAATATATTCTACAGGGAATCCATGACAAAAGGAGTGGGAGCCTCAACCTCCACACTACACCTCCAATTCTATATGTGTGTATGCTCCCCTCACTAAAGGATAATATCGACCAATCAGAACCGATTAGAGTACTTATTGTTGCTGGAAAGACAGATAAAGATAATGATATTTATTTATAGAAAGATCATATTGCTTATACATCATTCTATATTTCTCTATATCCGTACCATTTATGTATTTTTCACCGATTCATTAAAGATACCCCATCTTATTTTAAGAAGCAAAAGAATAATTAAATTTGAAAAGAAAAGACTTAGTACTATCTTCATAAAACCAGTCCGTTTTTATCAGACGACCACGTAACAGTTTCATAGAATTCTTTATTATCCTACAAAAAAGAGGTAGTTTCTCAACCACGTCAACTGGCGAAAGACCAACCGATATTTATCATTCGGCAGCAGATAGATGGGTTTGTTATATAAGCGTCGAATAATGTACAAGTACTATAAGAATTTACAGCTAGATTACGGTAACGTCCATTGTAGAAAAAAATAATCGTATTATATATTCTATTCCATTCTTTCCTAATCATCTATTCCTAATGCTTTCTGGGCCCATGATTTTCATTCATTGATCATAACCATATTATGAACCTTTTTACCCAAAAATCGGACGTCAAGTTCACCAGGTAGAGGCGGTAAGGGTTTTATAGACACAGTACTTGTGCCACTATTTGCTTTTAGAACTGCCAAAAGTTCCTTGCTATCGAATCTATCTAACAAAATACATGGTATCTTGTCATTCACCGAAGAGACATAAGGTCTGAAAGGCGGATCATCGTCGTCCCTTAAAATCACTACTGCTTGGGCTCCTGCATTGTGAGCGTTTTGTACTTTGATGTCGAAATTGCATTCACCTCGATAAAAAACGACCGTTAAGCCCGAAAACGATTTGCTTTTATTGAAGGGTTGACAGCCGAATTGTTGATCGATGGGTGGAACCGTGATCGATCCCGCAATAAACTTTTTGCCAAAGAAATGAGAAGATATGCCTTTATAATCATAACATTGTAGCCTTGAGGTCAACTTAATACTGGTTTCATAAGGGGCCAAATGATAGTGACGAAGATAAGGTGGTTGGTTGGCTACCAAATCAAATAGATAAAAATGGTCATATTCCATGAATGTTTTGACGGGTATCGCTAACAAATCAGGTTCTATAATCTCATTACTACAAAAGATGAAACAGTCGTTGAGCCGCAACATTAACATCAGCCATCATCATTTTATGCTATTTACCTGTTGGTTGTTGTTGACACTATTCACATTATTGTTCATGTTTATGTACATGATGACCAGATATGGCAGAAACAAAATCATAGTATACAATATAAAAAATGAGTCATCTAAAGTAAAATTTTTGAAAAAAAAAAACCATGATATGCATGTAGAAGAGGAGAAAGAGTTCTGAAAATAGTACAAAAAGTATCTGGATAAATGCAAATGTGCGTAAATGGAGGAAGTACTAACCTCTTTTAACAATATATTCTGTCTTATCACGTGCGACAAAGTCCATCTTTAGTCCTGATAATGATTTGATTAAATAGGTATTTAACATGCTCAGAACATTTTGAGATCTATGCTGCTGATGAACCATTTGTTCAAAACCATAGTTTATCACTGCCTCTCGTATTGTTTGAGCTTCTGAGTCAGGTGAGGAGCTAAATTTTACTTCGTAAGAGCCACCTATGGGCGATTGACATATTCCGTATTTAGACAGAACCTGATCCATTACGGGCATGCCTACAATTTCTGCTGCGAAATCAATGTGTGGTTGGTAGGGTATACTTGACATATCTAATATGTTGGGTGACACAGTGTAATGTGTTTTATGTGGGTTATATCTCTGGCAGGTATTTAAAGGCCCCAATGCGACAAATTTTCTTTTTCTTTGTTGGCTATTTTGATGTTCTTGTTTGTAATCCCTTTCCAAATGTAACACATTCTTAGAGTTTTGCTGATACTTCATAGGTAATGCCAAAATATGCCCTTCTGTTGTGAACACTATGTTTGCATCCATCCTATTCACTTCATGCTCTGTATCAAACAGTAAATACAAATACTTTAGCGTTTCGCTTAACATGAAACTCTCCATACGATCCTCTAGGCGTCCAGTCCTTACATCGCCTATGGATGCGAATCCGCAAGGTACACGTGTCCGGTTGTTTATATCCTCTAATACCATCTCGCCAACCTCAAGGTAGAAGGGGTCTTTTGTTGCCGTATACAAATGATAGGTTGACTCGACAAACTCAGGGCGAAGTGGATAAAATGCCAAGTCTACTGTTTTGTCATGGAAATTGAATCGCTCTGGTAAAGCATGGTACTTGCGCCAAATATGATAGTAAACTAAGTGATTCTTAATGGCAGTGTCTAAATCACCGTGGAGCACCTGTAAGCCAGGAAAAAATGCACTTAGACTATCGATCCAGTAGCTCATGAGAGATCCTGTGCCCATGTGAACATTGCGATATAGATAACCAGAAGAATCACGGACAAACAGTAGGAGAGCGCGGTAGGCTTCGTTAAACATATCATGATATACTTGATCGTCAAATAAAATGGCGGCCTTCAGCATATACTCAAAGACAGAATCAATACCAGCACCTGTTGAGGAGGCTGTGTGAATCCAGTGGCCGGTTTGAATATTAATTACATTACCCAACAAATTTAACGAAGAGCGCCTTTCCCATAAGGCATGAAGGGCTATTTTCGCTGCTCGCTCGTATTTAGGATCCCCAGTGAGCCGACTAAGCACACCAAATTCCAAAATAAGACTGCCAGCTCCTGCAGTGCATGTTTCTACCGTTTCAGTAGGAGGCACTTGTGCTAATCCCAAATTGACTCGAGGAAAAGGAATGCCCGTGGGTGTATTATTGAATGCTGGTAAGAGACGATCAGCCAAATCAACGGCCAGATGTAACAGTGAATCATCCGTATACCAGGGAATATTATTTTTCTTGAAAGTGGGATCCGTAGCAAGAATGTGAGCGGATAGAAGGCCACCAAGTGCCCGTATGTTGGCTTCGAAAACTTGGACTTTATTATATTGTTCAAAGGAAACGGTGTCTATAACACGGCGTACAGCTTCTTCGAATTGCTCTTGAGTGCCTAAAATCTTTTTTTTTTTTTTTTTTTTCCGAACTGGTCAATTAGAGCTGATGCAACAAAAAAAAAAAAAAAAAACCCAAAAAAAAAAGAGAAATGACTAACTTACAGCCAAAGTATCTAATGTATCTACAAGTGTCAATGAAAAATCACCTAATACATCGTTAATTTGAATATTCGATCTGATGTAATGTTTAGTTGGAATAGTATTTCATGAAAGATGTGTGTGTGCTAGTTACTATAAACGAAGGATATCTTACGGATTAGCCTTGTCACTTCCTCGTCCGGTGCATAAGAGTGGGTTTAACTTTAAAAGTTATGCAAGGTTCAGTTAAGCTTTTAATTTCCATGGCAGAGTTATTGCGCAAAATGTTTGTATACCAGAAACTTACTTCATCTTCTGGATAAGCATGCTGCATGTAATTATTCCATCCGTGATTAAACATTTCCTATAGACATCATGTAATTTTAGAGGTTACAGAAAGGTTCAGAAAAGTAGCTGATAAAATTCAAAACTATATGTACTTTTGTCCTTTCCCTAAAATGACGCATTATAAACTGAAAGCTTAGATGACATATGCGATGACATTGTTTTCCCTTTCGTTATCGAGATGACGGATGATGTATACCGATTCTTTATTTCTCATCTCTTACTTTAGTTCAATCCGTCTTTTTTCTGTCATTGCAGCAACGGCAGTAAAGCCGAAGGACAGCAGCAATAATAATGTTATAAGATGCAGACATTCATTTTGCAATAAAAGCATAATTACGTTGAAGAGAGGAAGAAAATAAGGAGAACAAGAGCTTCTTCACTTGCTTTATTTAAATAGTCTGATGTTTAAACCAATAGATACCAAAGATGGAAATAGAATCGGCACGATAATAGACCACTTATTTGCCAATGTAGACGAAGAGGAAGTTGACGCTGTAACCGTTGCAGGAGACGTTGACACGGATTGGGAACCCGTTGGACCAGTGGGAGAAGGATTGCTACTGCTGGTTAGATGACTAGTGTTCGTTTCTGGGGATGGTGTTGCTGTCGGATTGGCTGTAATTGTAGGAGTCGTCGTTTCTGCAACAGTTGAAGACGCATCATTATTCTCTTTACAAACAGCTTTTTGCACACCTGGACAGCATACGTTATTGACGATCTCGCAATTGGAAGGGCACTCAGAGGGGCATTCAAGAGAGTCTCTCTTCAAAACGGCCGTTGTCGTTGGACAAATAGTCATGGCACAAGCAACGTTACTAGGTGTTGTTACAGCACTTACTTCAGCTGTTGGTTTGATAACTGTTGTTGAATCTACAAGCCTATGTTGCAGAGACCAAAAAAACAGCAAACTAACTAAGAATTGCAAACTCTTCATCTCTCCAGAATTGATAATATTCAAAGTATGGAAAAAAGACAAAGAAAAAGAAACCGAAGATTCACATTTATCTTACATTGTTCGACTTGCTGTAATCTCATAGGCCATGAGTTACACAGGCAATTACTAAATGGTGAAATATAGACATATACAGCAGGTTACATGTCTTACTACAATTCATCCTGCTTCCTCCGATCGACCAGTGAAGAATCACCTTGTACATATTATTCTTCTTTACTGAACGTTTAGTCAATAGATTTTTTGAAGATTCATCAGCTGTCTAGCTATTCGAGGCTTGCTAGTTGCAATACAAAAAGTTCATTTTTTTTTTAAATTTCTCACCCTAAAGGAGCAGCAACCATTCTACTTTTGGCAGATAAAGGAACAATAGCATTTGCATTCATACTGTACACAATAACTGGAAACTGAATGCCAACAATCCTTCTACCAATAGCTTAAATGATGGATTCTACATTCTGTTTGTCAACTTTCCCATCGTAAAAAACAAACTTTTATTATTGCTGAAAGCGCACCTGAAAATGGTTACTGTACACTAACCTAGTATTCAGCAATTCCATAGTTCATAATCGGGAAGTATAGCTAAAATCAAGAAGAAGGTTTTATTTATATCTTTACTAATATGTTTTGATTTATTCTGTATTTGATGATAATTGATTCAAACCATCGAGTTCGATAAGAAAGATGATGTATTCAAAATGAATATTGTATAGGGGCCATTCTGTAATGCTATTTGAATGGTACTCTTTCGCGTAAATTCATCTCCTGAGAGGTGTATTGTTCGTCTCATTATGTACAATGAGACGCTCCAACTTATACTTCGATTTGAGAATACAGGGGTTTGAAATGCGTTAGAAAGGTAGTAGGCGAATGTTCTTAATTATCGATGATATGATTTCTACACTACAATTACTATGTAACTTTTACTTTTGACCACTTTTAAGCGGCTAGAAAACAGTCTACAGGTCCTTCGATGAACAGTCTTATTCAATATTTATTATATCAATACTATACCGTCTCGCTCTACATCGTACTTATCCGCCCTATATGTCATATTAACATAGAATGTGTGCACCTTGACTTGTTCTGATTTTTATATTTGTTATGCGGGCTTAGTTATACTAGTACAGCTTCTAACAATTATAGTTTTTTTTTTTTGTTAAGGTGAATCTATCACTTTATTAACACTTGGTAATGTTATAAGCGTCAAGCTTAACAAGAGCTTCGTAAGTCCTACTTCAATTAATACCGCGTGTAGAGCGAAATATAACAAATACTTTTGATTTGCAACAAAGTATTATTGCTCAATATTTGCAACTCAAGTTGTTCTCTTATAACGAATGTTGAAAAAGAACAAACATGCGCTTTCGTGAACAGCTCATACGGCGTTCTCATTTTTTCGTTGGTCGTTGCCTGAGTTTAAACTTGGTAGAAAACGCCTAAAAATTTACAGGTACATTTGGATAAAGCAGAAAAAAAAAAGAACACCAAAAAAATCACGACAGCAACAGTTTTTCCAAAACAACAAGAATTCACAGTTGGTATTGATCACGATTGACCTACAACTTGACTATTACACGAAATTTGACGAGAAAAAAAAAGAGAGGAAAAAACAAGCATCATGTCGGAAACGATGAGGTACTCAGAAAAACACGATCTGAAAAAAGAGACACTAAGTTGATTCAGGTTGCTCAAAACTCATATCTTCATAGCAACTACGAGCTAAAGCGAAAGCTGAATATGGAAAATAACGAAAAGCTCTTGAAAGAGCTAGGTCTGACAGGCTCCATTTTATCCAAAGGAAGCATAGCTGCTGTAAGTTATTCAGCTTCTAAATGTTACTGGTCAGCTAATTAAAGATTCAATATGTTCAATTATAGGATATACCCAACTTAAAGGAGATACCGAACGATGGTACTATCAGAAAGAAGAAAAGGAGAGCGCCTGTGACACCAAAGAGGGCAGCTATTCAGCAAGCACCTTCACGATTATCTAGAAGACTGAGAGGAGAGACACCAGAGACTTTTGTAAGAGAACAAATTTAATTTGTTAACGAATATGATTACTAAATGTAAGTGTAGACAGATATAGAGGATATTTTGGACGATAATGATAGGGTTAGACAGTTAGATATCATGCAAAAGGATGCGTTACAATCAACAACGCAAACAACAATGGTGTTGGACACATTGCCAGCGGATATTTATACACCTTTCACGCTGAGAAGTATAGGAACAACTGTCTGGGAGCTAGGAAAACTTTGTACAGGCAAAGGCAGATCAAAAGCTTGGAGTAGTCGGGGAGTAATGACTGTCTTGATTTCTATATAAATGTTAACCTGAACTTGGTTGAACTAATCATCGTATGTACAATATAGTGCAAATTCAAGCATCCTTATCCTATTGGATATCGTGCAACCAAATCACACTTTGACAATGACTATACAATGGGAATTTTACCACCCGAAAAAGAAGGAGAAGGACCCATTTTCCAAGTACAACACAAGTCAAAAATTTGGAGAGGAGCAACACCTACTGCACCATGGACAGAGGCATGCATACAGAGCAAATCGAGCAGTACACGCGTTAGTGGCCCACTGGTAAGGTTTAAACTTTATTTTAAATAGCAAGCAATCTTTTTTTTTAATCTTTTTTTTATTTGCCCCGACCGGAATTAGTTTTTTGGATTCTCTGATCCGTTGACAATGAAAGTCATAGAAAGCATGGAGGGATATCAAGAAGCATGTTTACCCGAAGTAGAAGAGAAGGGAGCAACGTCAAATTCAGAGTCGGAGATAACAGATGTGGACGAAGTGCAGAAACTGGTGGTAGGAGAAGGCGATAGGAGAAAAGAGGGTGGAGGTGATGCTGGAGTATCAGAAGCAAGATGATCTTCCAGTCTGTCGAAATGGTTCCTCGCAGCTGAAATATTGACGCGTGTTGCAGCCGACGCTATGATGAATATGCCAAAAAATTTAATTTGTAAAGTTCTACCATTAGGCTTCTGCAGTAACTTACTTATCCCAGGATCTGATATAATCAATAAAATGGACGTGTTTTCAGTTAGATGGTCAAAAAATGCAGTAAAATTCGTTCCTCTGATTTCCATTTGTTCAGAATAACCTTCTTTTCTGTTAACCAAGGCGAGGCAGGACAGTCAGCTAAAGTGCACACACGATGCAAAGGGATGTATTATTCTTTTACCTGGTAGAGAGATTGAATTGTTTGATAATGCTGCTTATTTTTTCGAAGCGATGTATATCTGGATGGTGTATAGTCGCTGATGTACCGACGACAAGAAATGTGCGCTTTTCGAACAGTACAACTTCGGCTGCTCCACATATTTTGCAAAATGTTTCCAAGCTTAACTGTAATTGGTCATTATGTGGAATCAGGCCATGAATAATTTGTGACCAAGCCTACACATGCAGTATTTGAAAATTTTGAGACAGCTGCTTTTCAAAACTCCCCGTGATTCTGAAAAATCTTATTTCTTTGGCAATACCTACAGCATAGAGCGACTCATCCCATATAGACGTTGAGAAAACCTTGATATGAATAGGTTCTGATCTCATATGCAACTCGACCTTTTTCTTTTGAAATACCTGCTCGAAAAACCGAAAACTTCATAAACACTACGTAGCAATATTATTTGTCGCTTTAGTTGAACAGACCTCCCTTCTTTCCCCTTTGGGAAGAAAATCCATCTTATGCAGTAAGCAATATACAATAGCTCTTGGAGAGTGGATTAGTATAGACTCTAAACACGATTGGTAATAATGAATATCCTTTTCTGATTCTACACTAACGGCATCAAATACGTAAATCAATACATGGACATCCTTAAATACTTGGTTTTGATAGGTAGTGAAGTACTCCTGGAACGCAGCATCTTGTCCACTGCAGTCCCATACATTCAAACGTAAGTTTTTCAAAAATTGTATATCGGTTGAGTTATCCCATAAAACTACAGTGATCAGTGTTAACATAGCTCGTTAAGCATATCACTAGCATGAAACCGAAGTATTCATCTCACCCGTAGGTTGTAGTGTTCTGGTCTTGACAGGTATATTATTATGGAAAATGATAGATCGCATAGAAGTCTTTCCAGAGTGAGCTTTTCCCATTAATAAAATCTGTTTTATCCAGTCAGTTTCATTGACTCCAATTTTCGTACAGCGCTTTGTACAATCATACCTTCTTTTTTAATGTTTGTTTGAGCAATGCCATATTATTTTCTGCAAGCAAAAGTGAGCAATGAAATATAATAAAGCAAGAAAGGATATAAGAATAAAAGCATCATGATATGGATTCGGATGGTGACGAAAGAATAAACAACAATAATAGATTTGACAAAGTTGAAGCCGATTATGCCTCGTGATTTGCTTCGGGTGAGCGGAGTATCAATCACTATTGTGGGAACGAGTACTGTGGGTTCCACTGCCAAAACTGCAATCAAGATTAACAAGGCTTTTGTTCCGTAGCTCAGGCACATCGCCAACGCACCCAAGAAAAATCGGTTTAAAGTTCAACGAATCTACCAGTTTTAATTTGTTGTCCCTTGAATGGAAGAAATCGTTTGTCAGCAAAACTGCCATTCTCAAGCAACAAATCAAGAACTTGAAAACCAACGATTGCATTTTATCCATCAGCCTTTGATACTTTGTTTTCATACTGCGTGTCAGAAGAATATGTCAGATTATAAGTATTTAGAAGCAACTGCCAAATAGAATTGACAAGTTATGACAGACTCTGGCAAACAAGAACACTCATTTCTGCGCAGCAACAAGAGTTTACTATTGTACACAGGTCGCGGTCGTATCTTGATTTGACAGATGACTCAGTATCGCTTGATTTTGCCGGTTTCGCCTTTAATGATATTATGAGTCTTATAGCAATGGATGTACTAAAAATAGCGATCTGTTATAATGAATGTCTAATTTGCAGGTAACAGTATTCACAAACGCTTGGATGCACATTGACTCACAAATGATACTTAGCACAAGGGTAACCCTTACGGTTTTCAGCTTGTCATAACTGTGCCGAAAATATTGATGCTAATGCTGGTTCCTACACTTGGAGCATTCCTGCTAACATCACACCCATTATAAGTTTTGCTTTACAATTGGTACCTCACTTTGAACGTCCTGATACTGTATCTGTCTCTTAACTGTCCAAGTTGGTAACGGTTCGTCCAACGCTTCTTCTGCTTCTGTTTTTGCTGTTGCTTTTTCTCCTTCCATTGTCTAGCGTGATGTTGCTGCTTTCAGTCCTACCTCTTAGAAGCTGCTTCCGATGCTTTCTCTGTTGCTCGTGCCACCGCTATTGTTCTGATATATACATTTTTAAATCATTTTTCTTTATTAACTTACTTTCTTTCATTCTCCAATATTATAGTAATCAATATCTTTCTTTTCTAATCATACATAAATTGGGACTCCGCAGTAAAAGAGCCAAGCTTGTATAAGGTATCTGGGGCATTACATATCACCTGTTATCTTACCGAATGAATGATTAATCGCATGGTTATAAGCGAATGAAAAAAGTACACAATGATTCCACAGCCATTGGACACCTGCTTTAGAATAGCTCTCTAACCGGGCATTAGGTAGTGGAAAAAATAGTTCCTTTATGGCAAAACTATATGCCCTATACTTAGTTGAACGTTCTGCACTTATTTTCATAGAAGTTCCCATTTCCATTTGGTTAGACCCCCAATTTTTCCACTAGAAAAAAGGCTGCGATTCAAATTAGGAAATTTATAAACTTTTCGTTTTTTCACCTTTTCGTTTTTTCTCTGCCTTTCTTTCCGTTTCAACCCCACACTTTTTCGTTCACAATTTTTCAATACTGCCATGCTCGTAAAATCTGTAATAAGGCAAGCTGCTAGTCTTGCGTCAACAACGACAGCAACAGCGACAAAACCAGCTTCTCGACTACGACTGAGAAAAGCTGCATTAACGTTGGTAAAGTAAATACAGGCTCCCCTTCGACCGTTTATAAACCGCCGAAACTAAACAATAACCCTGGTTTATGTTCATTTCTAGACGCCTGCTGCTGTTTCCAGATTGAAGACACTATCGGATGGTCCCACACCCAAATATTTAAGGGTTGGTGTTAAGCATAAAGGCTGTTCTGGTAATGCCTACGATTTACAATTCACAGATCATAAAGGGAAATTTGATGAAGTCGTAGACCAAGATGGTAAGTACGGGATACTTGAAACTATTAATGAAAGCATATACTTATCGTACACGTGTCTATTTTTAAAAGGTGTAACTGTATTAGTCGATTCAAAAGCTCTTATTACAGTATTAGGAAGTGAAATGGACTATGTTCAAGATAAACTGTCAGAACGATTCGTTTTTAACAACCCGAATGCAAAAGGAACATGCGGCTGCGGAGAATCATTTGCGCTTTAAAAGAATCACGTCTGCACCTTTTTACAGTACATCCAGCAACAGTTACATTGTAAGACTCAGTACTCACAAACACATGTACAACAGTCCTTTCCGATACCAATATTATAATACACTTATTTAAATCAATTGATCGAGTATTACATTGCTTGACGTCTTTTTATACATTATTGTAAATATACACACATTAACTTTATCTTTTTGATTTCCACTTTTAAATTTCCATCTGATATATCTCTTCAACTGTGAAAACGTAAATCGTTATAACATTGTTTATAATACATACATATTCAAACACATTTTTATTGAGGGCCTTCAATCATTGTTTGTTATTGATGAAGCTTTGCTTTGAAAGGGACTTTTTTATATAGATTTACAGCTTTTTATGCAATTTTAAGCTTCCTTGCCTCGATGCAGACGGTTTTCGTTGTACCTTGAGCACAAGTTCTGCTCCATGGCTATCAATAAATTTTTCAATTTTCGATTTAACGTTGCTATTCATAGTCATAATCTTTCGCGATGACTGAGTCTCGCGGTCTACAATATGATGAGTGATCTTCCTCGCTAATTCCTTGAATAAGAACTTGTCACCCTTCCACAATGATTGCTGTTTGGATGACAGATATTTTGTCACCACTTTGCCCACCTCTTTCTTCAGTTCTGTCTCATCCATACCACCGCTGCCTCCGTTGTGTTTGCTGCTGGAATCAATCGTATTCTCTCTGCTTAGAGGGGAGCCTACTAATGGAGTGCTACTATTGCTTTGCTGCTGTTCTTCTTGTTGTTGTTGTTGAATGAGCATACCTACTGCAGCAGCAGCAGCAGCTTCCTTCCTTTTCTTTTCTGAGGCCTGAATGGTTTTCTCTACAAGATCTTCAAGAACGGATTGATTGACACCTTCGATGGAACTTTTCACAACCGCATGACTACTACGCTGCCGTTCGCGGTCATCCACTTCAATATCTTGATCTTCCCGCGGAAACTCCCATTGTGTTTTACCGGTAAGACGATGATAATAATAAATAGCACCGTCTTCTGCATAAGCTGACTTCCATAGGGGAGGGAGTGCTTTTGAATTTGCAGAGGACATGGTTGACTGTTTTTGATTTTGAGACGAAGAATAAAAATGACGATTGTTTTGTGGACTGGAAGGCCGCGAGGAAGATCTACTATTATCAACAAGATTATTACTAGTAGTGGTATTATTATTAGAACTACTGGGTATACTGGCAATAGAAGAGGTTATAGTACTGGTAGGTGAGACCGAACGTTGTCTCAGCTGCATACGTCGCTTTTTGTAAGGCGGTGGTTCAGCAGCCGTAGAGGGTGATGACGTGTGCCTTGAATGATAATGATGACTGTACGAATAGTGGGATGATCTATTCACGTAGCCGTAGTAACCATTTCTCAAACATGCATCAATCATGGCACGTGGAGCTGTAGGAATGACTGATTTCGGCGGAAACTCTGTTTTCCATTGTAATTCATGGACATCCACGTAGAAGGATAGGTGTTCAAAGATGTCATCGTCCGGATCAAAGAAAGCACGGCTGGAATCATAACGTTCACTCGCTGGTACAAAGTGAAGTCTGGGCTGATGGCCGGCACTACTACTGTCTGTATCAATGATGTCCTCCATACCATCCCCCTCCATCTCTAGTTGTGGATCTTTAGCGTTTAAACTACCGTCTTTGCTATCTAAGGTCGAAATACGTTTGGGAATACGATAGACACTCTTCAGCTGGCTCCAACTTTTCAGCAACTCTTCGGCTACTTGTCGAATTTGCTCATTGGGTTGAAGTTCCGGCTGAGTTATTTTTTCCACTAATTCAAACATATTAGCATCTTCCAACCCATTACGATTCGCTAGAGGTAGTTTCGCTAGTACTTGAAGGACCTTCATCAAAATGTCATCGTTTTTTTTCCATTCACCCAACCAGAATTTGAGCATCTTTAGGCCGTGCAGTCTAACAAATGTCTTTAAAACATCTTTCTTTTCCGTCAATTCTAGACGTAATAAGAGTTTCAGGACGAGATGTGATTTTCCGACAGAATCAAGCATACGTTTAACAAATGACTGAACCTTGTCCACATCTTGTAATGGTTTTTCTGATGATCTTCGTTTTCGCATACTTCGCAGCATCTTTTTTTGCGTCAGAGTGACGGCCCTGTTATTATTACTGATCAGGTCTTCATTGCTGTCGCTGGCGTCGGCGTCGTCGTCGTCTTCATCCATGGAGGACCCAGAAGAAGTACTGCTCGACAGGTCACCATCTTCATCATCATCATAGGAAGAGGAAGATTGATAGAGATCATCCTGCTCTAGAAATTGGTCGTTGGTCTCAGAGGTACCATTCTCGTCTCCTCCTTGAAGTAAAGAAGCTCGTCTTCTCAAGCGTCGTTTTCGTTTCGACTTACTACTCAACGTTCCCACTTTCTCTGCAGTACATGCTGCTGCTGAGGGTACTGTAAGGGTATTGAGATCCAATGACTTTAGCGAACCGCCAATGTATCCTTTACAATTAGGCTCTTCACAGTAACATTTTTGAGCTACGGCGCCGTATCTTTCGAATTTATAGTCGAACGTTAATTCCGAGCCCGCTTTAATTGGTCGACGAGTGAAGATACCAATACGCATATTTTTTCCAACGACCCACTTTTGTGTTACACAGTTAGGATTGCAAGAGTGATTGATGAATCTTGCTAGGCAGCCTTTCTTTGTAGCATCGATAATCTAACGCGAACAAATAAATGTCAATTGAGTCCCCTCCCTCGTCAATTTATTTCTTTTGCTGTCATTCTTACTTCATCTGTTTTCAGTGTCATGAAATAATAGTGTTTTAGTCCGTCTGCTTCGTACTCTTTTGTCCTCTTGATAAATTCAGAATTGGTAATGACTTCGCCAATATACTCCATAATGAAAGCGTTACTAAAATCGCAGATGCGCGCATGTTAGTAAAATATTTTTTTGTTATAACCATCCCTAGTATAGTAAAAAATGAGAAACTTACGCAGGCAAATCTGTCAGGGCTCTTAAACCAAACCCTTTCTTTTCTGTTCTGATAACATCAACACGCGCATATTGTTTGAGTTGGAATCTTCTGTTTCGGCAATATCTATCACAAGGACAGTCATCCACCATACATTCCATGAACATCATACGATTGATACAGTGATTGTCATCACCACATGCTGCGTCTGGATTATTTTTGTCAATATCCGGTCTGTATTTACATTCGCAGGGCATGCTTTCTTCTGCGATGGATTTACCCGTAGCTGAACCTACGTAAATATTTTCCGTAATGTTGACATACGTTTCCATAGCATCCGCTGTGGCAGAAGGAAGCAGCTGCGTTTCCAATAATTCTTCTTCTTCTTCTTCGTCTTCTTCAACTACAACTACTTCTTCAGCTTCTTGCTCTTCGTTACGTCCTTCATATTCGTGGCCATGTGTGTCTTCTTTCACTTCGTGCTGCTGCTGTTTCAACGCTGTCTCACTAAAATACCTCAAATCTCTTTCAACAGCATCCTCCTCCTCGTCTTGTACATTTTCACCTTCTTGCCGACTATAGTTACTACTCGTGCTATGACGATCATCGTTGTCAAGTGATGGGCGTTCTACGGCTGGGTCAGGTAGATCGTCGGAATAGAGAGGAGCTCTATTTTGTTGTTCCTCTACTTCTGACTCGCTGACCGCTACATTGATCAGATCATCTTTATTGGACGTTGTTGTTGTTGTTGCTGTAGACAATGCCATTTCCTTTAACGTAGAATTCAAAATGGCTTCCGCATCAAAATCGAGTATGTCTATTTTTTCCAGATCAAAGAAATAAATAAAAAAACAAAGTTGTTTGGTTTAACACCACTGACCATTTCCTTTCAATTTCAAACTTTTTTTTTTTCTCTTTTCCTATAGCGGGTTAATTACCATGATCTTTGTCCAGATGACGATGGTGATTATGGTGAGGGCGATGGGAACGATGACGAAGTTGATCATATTTTAACTTGGTATCATCGTACATTAAAGGTATCGAATTGGCAGGCCTGCGGTTTAAAAAAAGAAAAAAAGAAAAGAATAACGTCTTAGTCGATAATTGAACGTAAAAAAAAGCAGGACTGGGTTTGTTCAAGTAAGTTACATAAAGATGTCAGCACTATGCATGCTATGATTTGGTAAGAATGTGACAATTGCTATTTACAAGTGCGGTTTATAATGGATATCGTGCGATCCCCTCTTCAATAGTTTCTGTTGAGCCAACGGTTATGTTTCTATCACTCAACGTGTTTAATATTCAGCCAAATATATCCTTTCTAAGCGTTGCTGGTTAGGTCGTAAACGTAGGAAATAAATATATAAAAAAACAAACTGTAATGACACTAAAAAAAAAAAAAAAGGAAAAATAAAGGAAAAAGGGCGTTCAAATAAATAAGATCGGCTTTTCCTAGTTTCTTTGTTTTTAAAAAGAGAAAGGATCTTGGATGGCAAAAGGAAAAAGTAATTTAAGCTTCGTTTGAGGCATTTCCGCAACCTCTTTTTATTTTAGCGTCAAAATATTTTTTGAGAAAAATAGCGATGTATTTTTGAAAACTAACTACGCAGATAATTTATTTGAATTGACACAGAACGATGATTTTCCTCCTTGCTTGACACGAATCTCTGTCCTTTCATTTGGTTTTGCAAGAAAAATACAACAGGACTGTGAAAGGACCGAAGAGCAGAGCATTTGCATTCCTCTGTAATCGCAGGCTATCTATTGTTTGTACCATTATCTAAGCTCTTTAACAAAATGACATTCAACAATTGCAAAAAGTCCGATGCTATCCAACGCTTGCACCTTAGAAGATGACCAGAGATACGACTATTCGTTACAGTGGCCGTCCGTCTTCAATGTGAAGAAAGCCTAACTGATGTCACAGAATACCTTAAAACAAAAATTGTTGACCTAGCCTACTAAACACTATGGTCTTCCTATTGTACAAATCAGAACCAAAACTTTGATTCTGAAGTTGTATCTTATAATAAGAATGCTGCAATTGGGGGAAAAAAAGATCCTTGAGCGATCGAAGGCCTTCAATTTGATGGAATTCATACACTAAAGAACTGTGATTTCGTCGATTCTCAAAGAAGCATCAGTAGGGGCCATGACGTTAAATACTAAAGGTTGAGCGACTTACAGAAAACATAGAACAGTAAAAACCAAAAATAGAGTAGTAAAAACCGTTTCCAATAGCTCAAAACGAAATATGACTATGGGCATTGAAACTTTGGTTTTTCTTAATTTCTTTATCCCATCTAACACAATAAGATCCGTCTCAAATTCAAATCTTTTTGATAATCACCACGAACTTTTACTCACTCCTTAAATTATTGTCTCAAATATGCTGCTCTCTTGTCTCGATCGTTGGTTTAATAAACAGTTATAAAAAATCATTTCAAGGCGGGATTGGTCTTTTGGATCTCATCGAGTTTTTATTTAAAATTCCGAGATGAATCGATGGACAAGTTAACATGAATGCATGCTTCTGCAATGTACTGTATAGGGTAGGAAAACAGAGAGCATCAATGAAGTAATATTTCCAAAATATTTACTGCAGGAAAAGTGCGAAGATATTTCAGCAGCCTCCTTTAGATGTCCTAGTTGCTTATATTAAAAATAACGTTACATGAAATTAATATGGCTCGAGAACAGTAATTGCTAAAAAACGGGCATTTGCGTTTGCCCAAAAAGATGATTATTATGTCATCTTCGTTGCTTGCTGACGTGCTGGTTCTTTTTTATCTTAATAACTATTTAAGCAGACATGGGATTTCTTTGAAAAAAATTACAGCCTTTTTCATGAATTTCAGGTATTTAAATTGCATAATAAGAACACCCGATACCCCGCCAGATTGACCATTTCCAAAAAAATAGAAATGAAATGAAAGTGGGCGGGAGAGACATACTTTTTTTTTTTTTTTTTTTTTTTTTTTTCTTTTGTTTGGTAGAGTGAATAGTTCGGCCAATCGCCATAGCAAAGGGAGCAGATGCGTTGTTCTGTTTCCTTTGCCAGATTGCAATCTAGTTGTTTAAAAGTGGTCAATGGCTCACCTGTTGCGCTACTTGGCCTTCTATTCGGTTGGAGTTACCTAGCTTATAATTTTAGTTTATGCTTTGACTTGTTTAAAGAAGGACACTCCTTGCAAGGTATTTATAAAGTCGATCAAGAATTCAATCATCGACTATACTAATACCTGATCTGATTTACTTGCTCCAGGATTTTTGTACACAACTTTATACCAACCTATATTCATATTATGCATATGGAGTTATTATGTTGTCTGTAGTACCTCACCAGGCTTTACTTCAGAAGTAAGCTCCTATATTTCACAGATATATCCGGTATGAAAGATATAGTTACTAAATTAGCCTTTCAGTTAAAAAACACAAACACAACAGAAAACAGGCAGGATGAAGAAGATACAATAGGATTGCTATCATCAGCTGCATTGACTGATAATGATCATGAAAGTGAGTCTTCAGTTGGATTAGAGCTTCATCATATGCTCCCGAAAGCTATTACTGTCAAGCGTAATGGGAGAAGGAGATTTTGCCAGAAATGCAAACTAGATAAATATGACCGTACGCATCATTGCCGACAATGTAAACGTTGTGTATTGAAAATGGATCAGTAAGTTCTCAATGATATGTCGACCTTATAGAGTAAGTAAGGATATAAGCTGATTGATCCATTCTCGATCAACTTCTCTTAGTCATTGCCCGTGGATTAATAACTGTGTTGGATTTCAGAATTATAAAGCATTCTATTTATTTCTGTGCTATGCCAGTCTTTATTGCCTATTTGTATTCTCGACCACTTTACCGCCAACCATTCATCAAGTCAACACCAACCCGCTGAGTATATTAGGTTTACGTATTCAATGGGCACTATTGATCTTCTTTTCTGGTCTATTTGCTTTATTTTTGATACCCTTCACTTTATTCCACACAAGGCAGTTGTGTAAAAACCGTACCACCATCGAATATTATGAAAAATCCAACTACCGGTTAGGGAGACATGGCATCGACATCATGAGAACCAAATACTTCAACCCTTGGGACATAGGTACAAGAAAAAATATAGAACAAGTCATGGGCAAAGGACCCCTATGGAGGAAACTGATACCCATCGAAAAGAGGTACGTAGCACCAGCCCGTTGAAATGATGTTGAATGTATACCAATCTAATATCTCTCTACTGTTCAGTTTGGGTGATGGGACTACGTTTCCTGTGAACAAGTATGCTTATGAAACGCTGGGTTCATTGACAGAAGATGATGAAGAAGTGGAAGCATCCAATAGCAATCATTTTGGACAAGATATAGATAGAAATCATAGCGGTGTCTATTGATACGATGCTCCCGCACAGAAAAGGTGGATATTCAACTGAGGGAAAAGCAGTTTCTTTCAACGAAATTCGATGCACAATCATTCCATGGTAACCATTCCAGCATTGTTTGTCTTTGTGAATAATGGCACCTCTACCAAGGACTCATAACAAATAGAGTACAGTCATTCAATTCCTTACGAAAGGTATTTTAAAGCTTTATTCTGTAAATAGAAATCAGTTTGAGCGCTACTAGACATCCAACAAATATTGAGTCATCTTTCATTATACATGCAATCTCATTCTTCCTCTTCTGAAGACGACTCTGTGTCTGACATAACAGGTCGGTTATTATTTACAAATAAATCATCATCATCGTCACTATTACTGCTGTATTTGCTGTCTTCTGTGGTTGTTTCGGACGCTCCGGCCCTTAGCGATGTGTTATCAGTGAATTCCTTTGGCCTACAAGTGTGTTAAATCATAGATGAGTAACTTGTGGTTGTGGGGTGGTATCATTTCAACTGTTTACCATTTGTTTTTGTTCTTTAATTCTTTGATATGATGAGGAAACAGTACATGTACAATCTCGCCTCCTACTTTCTCTGATACGCCTACTGTAGGATCTACAATGACATAATGGCCACGCTTCAACCAAATGGAGCTTCGAAACTTTGGCGGCAGTGTCACTAATTTTTTTGATCCATCCACAAATTCCACCTCATGCTGATGATTGCCTCTGGGTCCTAACGATCGAGCAAATTGTTGACCTGGTTGTATATCAATTTCTTCCTGAAATTGGTTTTTAGCTAACTGTTTCTTTCCCATTTGATCAGTGCTGAACAGAGTTTGTCAAGAAATAAATATGTAACAAAGCAAAATAAAAAAAAAGTTCAAGCTGACTTTCAAAAGGAAAGAGTTGAGGAGGATAGTGAAGCTTTTCAAAAAAAAACCAACTGTTCTTTCAATACCACCGGATCAAGATGTGGAATCAACAACCTATATCACAGCAACAACAGCCTTTGCAGCATCCTCAATCTATACCGACACAGCCTTATCCAATGAATGGGATCTTAAACATGCAGCCTGCATTCCAACAACAATATACGCAAGCCAGCGTCATCGATGCTCTGAATGCCAATGCAGTACCATCACCACAACAGACAGCTTCCACGTCTCGTCCTCGTGCCTCACAGCCACATAACACATCCATACAGCAGCAAAAACAGAAAGAAGAAAAATTAGGTAAACAGTGTAGATGATTGACGAGAAATTCTTAATGGCTTACACAGCAAAAATAATGGCTGTATATCATTTGCATCGTTTAGACACAACATTCAAACGTCAAACAGACGGGCCTATTTTGTGGTTCGCAGGACCTGCACTGAATATCAATAAACTCTCAGACAGTAACACACCGGTACACTCTGTGGAATACTTGAAATGGAAACGTGAGCAGAAACAAATGAAGCAGTAGAAGGGAAATCTAGAACTCAATTTTATCGCGGCATGATACCTGCCTTCCCTGATGCCTTTCCAGTAGAGTTAGATGCGGAACGAATATAAGCCATTGCTTTACTGATAATCAGAAAAAGCCTCATATAAAAATCTGGCATTTATGCTAATTCATTCTTTTCTCATTTCTTCTATTTTATTCACCTGAAATAAAAAAAATATTCTCTTTGCATTAAAAATGTCGTCTATCTTCAAAAGAATGGCTACTCATCGTACGCTGGCACTTACTGCCTATAATCGTTCGCTACTGAAAGCGCGTTCGTTATCGTTCATTCCATCTGCTGCCAAAGTTACAAATAAACCTGCCATTTCTACCCCTCTCCATCATGATACTGCCAGTACCTTAAATACAGAAGAACAGACCCAAATTCGCTCATTATGTAATGATGAAAATCAATCCATAAATCGAGAAATTTTGCTCAATCAGCAACAGAGACATCCATCATCGAGCGAAGCTACTTTCCAGCCGGTTTATAACTATGTCTTTGATGAATAAGGCGGTGTGTTTATTATCGGATCATTCGCTTGTATTGTTTGTTTGTATGTGTGCACCCATAAATAAAATCTTAGATGGGAGTAAATTTCTATGACTTTGTCGTTGTTTTTAGTGGCACAATCTCACAATGCAAATAAAAAAATAAAAAAAAAAATGTCATACGACTGTTCTATTCAAGCACAGTAAACTCATATTGTAGGTTTCCACATAGAATTTTTTTTTGTAAAGGGCAAACCAAGCATAAAACAGTTCACACGGATTCAGGTTTTCTGTGATTCTATTACACACACACACACACCTTCCATGAGCTCTACAATGCAAACGGAACTATAGGTGACTTTGCCTTCAGTGAGAATACATTCCTCTTCAGTCATTGGCTCCCTATAGCCTATAGAGATCGAATTTATGGCTGAAGAGCAGAGAACAGATCCACAGCGAAAGGTTTACGTTTAATATACATTAAATTCTCATGCTAAGCATACTTTTGCTAGAAATGTAGAACTTGCAATCCTTATGAATGTACCATGCTAAATATCAGTTATAACAACTCTTTAAAGTGTAAAAAAAATATGGTGTTTATGCTACAAGTATGTAATTAAAGGTAAATGATAAAATCAGTTGGCATTCCATTGGGCGAAACTACGAACATTTCAGTTTGGAGTAGTTCATTCTTAGCCATGATAATGCGAGTAATAGTAATAGCAAGATTAATAGTAATAGTAATGATAAGAGGTAATAGTGGTAAAGGTAGTAATGTTAATAGTTATACAATGTTGACTATCTATGTATAAACCGGCTAATTAGAAATTGAATGGCATGATTATCATGAAAGCGGATGCTGTGTAAACTTGTCCTTCATCAACATCTCGTAAATATCTTGTCTAACCTCATCTTCGTCATATGTCGAATATCCACCTTCTTCATCTGTTAAATTCAATATTGAGTCACTTTCTGCGGCTTGACCTGGCATATGTAACGCCTTCGCTGTCCGTAAAGAGCGCGCTGTTTGAGTGCCACTATTTCCCGCATGATTGACTACCGTGTGTTTTTGTTCTCTGCTACTGTTGGCATTGCTCACTCGTCCTGCGTTGCTCCGCATACTGTTTATACTGTCCATACCACTTGTATTACTCATACTACTATTACTACTTCCAAACGACATAGGTCGTTGCCTATCCTTCTTCTGCGAAGGTATGGACTTTTTACGATAAGCAGAACGGATATTCTTTCCAGATGATGAGTGACTCGTATAAGTATGGTAGGTGGAACGTGACATCCATGACTGAGCATCATCTGCTACAAACTTGCTATTCCTCCTTTTGCCATAATAATGTGATATGTGAGTGCCACTACTAGCAGTGCTGTTCCGATGTTGTGGCACATTGGAGATCATCGCTGTCGCTGTAGAGGGATGCTCTAGCTTCTGCTTTTCTATTGCACGGCCTTTACCTCTATTTTTCTTCTGCATCTTTGGCAACATGGAAGTCTCACGATCAGGAGCGATACTACTGCCTACAGCATCATCATCATCATCGTCATCGTCATCATCATCAGTCTTAAAGGACAATCCTGAGAAGGACGACAAGATTGATGAAGCGGCTGTGTTCAATCTGTTTACAGTAGGCCTGTTTAAATCGGGGTTCATACTTTGGTTGTTATTGCTGTTTGATGTTGGTGATGCTGAAGTTGATAGCTCATTACTGACTCCATTGTCATCTTTGTCTATACTTTGACCCAATTGCTTTATAATGACGACTAAAGCCTTCATGATCTCCATGTATTCTTCTGGTGTTAACGGTTGATCGCTGAATCTCGATTTTTCATAACCTTTTATATAGGTCGCTGCTATTTGCCCGTCTATCAATCGTTGCCTAACAAGATCTTCCATAAATTGAGAAACGGTGACAGAAGGAGGTCGGCTTATATCTAGGAAAAAGCTCTCTAATACATAAGGTGTTCGTGATATAATCTGTCGAAAATCCAACCCTTCATATCCAGGAGGAATAACAATACCGTTATTGATATGGCTGTTACTGCTCTGTCTCGCTCGTCCTACAGCTTGTATATCTTCGGATCTTGGCTGAGTTAATCTCCTTGTTTCTTTAGCCTGTTCAAATTCCTGTTGAATCTTGGAAAATACTTTCTGTACATTATAAAATTCATACATTAAACTTTATACTCACTGGATAGCTTAAGACATTTCTTTATACTTTTATTTTTTTTTTCATTACCTTTGGCAAGTCTTCTTTTTTTATAGGAATGTATAGCTTGGGTATATCTTGCAGTGAACTTCGAACTGTTATCATCCTACTACAAGAGAACAATAACGAAGCTAATGCCTACATATTTTACGTTGATATTTAGCATATATTTGTTCTTACGACTACAACTTATTTACTAACATACCAATAAAACATAACTACTACTGACGACTAATAAATTGCGTGGAACGAAATGACCACTACTGCTTCGGTCAGTTAATGCTTGAATGATGACATCGGCACCCGAGAGAGCAATGCAAACGGCAGTTAAAAATATGAGAAAAAAAAGTGAAGCTGTGTAAAGATAATGAGATACTTTTACAGACTTCATACGACTACAGCTATTTGATAAAAAGGTACATAGAGGCAAAGAGCAAGACGAAGCATCACAAAAATTCCATCTTCGGTGTCGAATCAGGAAAAAAATGCAAAAATTTGGCCTCCACTCCCAAAAAAGGAATATGAAAACAGATAATTCAGGTGAGTATAGCCTACTTCCATTGTTTGTTCGCCTCCAAAACTACTCCGATTGTTTAGGACGATCCCCAAAGATAGTTGAAGGCTACAAAAGAAGTAATTGATGAAGCGGCTATCTATTGTTCGCTACAGAAATATTGAATTTAATTCTGTACGTCCTTCTTTTTCCATCACAAACAGTGCAAAATATACTTCACCATGATGAATAGATAAGCGTCCCTTTGAGAAGAACGATTCATCATTATCCACTTTTTTTGTCAATACAGCATTGTGTAAAAGGAAGCGTTATCTCCTGCAGAGTTGGAAAGTAACGTGTAATATAACTCATCTAAATCTACTGTATTAAAATTTTTTTGTAGGTTACTTTGGAAACTCATAGAAACGGTAACTATCAAGTGTCATCTGCAATCCCATTGAAAAGCAAAAAATCCTAAAGTTAAGCTTGTGGCTTTTGCGCATTTGCAAGGCAGCTGCCGCAGTTTTCATTTTTGTTGGTTCCCTGTATTAACACTGGCTTGCATTTACTCGAATTAGAAATTGATACAGTAAGTAACATCCACAAATCAAATATCTGAAATCGAAGGATCGTGGGTCTCACGCCGTTTCTCTGATATATCTCTAGTTACGATGGCCTTGTGATTGCGTTGCTTACGAACCTAGACAAAATCTTTACATTGGAGAATTTACCCCCTTTCTGCTGAAAGTACCTTAGGCTTCAGCTAAATTATCTTATCAACTGAGTCTTAAGACAACTTTAACAAAATACACTAAGCTCAAAAATGTGAAACCTTCCCCAGACGAGAGGTTTGAAGGACTTCACATCTCGAAATTGTGTCGACTGACTTTTTTCTTCGCTGTAGTAGCTTCTCATCCATAATGTAATCCTATTTTTAAATGAAGTTTGTTCGATTCCCGCTTACATAATTCGACCATTTCATTGAAGAATGTAGAATGAAATCCAACTATGTCATATCTGTAGTCAATGTACTCACTAAATGTCAGCAAGAAAAAGCCTCGAATGTATCAAAACCTCGGAACAGTAAACGAAGCTACAACTGTGTACACCTATCAACAGCAACTGACCATGTCAATGAATCGCGTGTTGAACTTTACAGAGATATAAAGCCACAGAGAACTGAAGGTACGCCACATATCGACGCTGCAAAAAGAATATATCATTCGATTGCTTTAACAGTCAATGCAACGCTGCAGCTACTGCAGCCGTTTGCCTACCACTGCTCTCCTAGCTCAACTACGAGCGACGTATATCCATCTTGCTTCTATTCTTGAATCTGTATCACACTGCTGTAAAAGAAACCTGAATAAGCAATGCCGTCGGAGGTTATTTACTTGGTGTGGTTTGGACTGCATTTAGTGCTGCTGCTTACAATAGCAGAAGCGCTCGGTTCGAGTGGATGACTGCATGCAGCATACACGTTCTGCTTGCAGACTGTCCACAGTTACAATTGACACGTTTGCAAAATCAAAGGCTTTATGATAACATCCATTAAGAAAGTACCAATACGAAAAAATAAAAAGCTTTCAACCTATCATTCCTCTTAAAATTTTCATTTTTGCATAAACTCCTTTGAAGAATTAAAAAGTATTTTTCTTTTCCTCGAGTAATACGCATATACCACAATTACTGAATTACATAAGAATAATATATGTCAGCGCCGCAGAAAAGAAATGTCAACACCAAAACCGGCAGTACGGGCAGTAAGGCTGTAAGCAGCATTGTTGATGATCTCATCCGTGCATCTGCTGGTGCTGGTGCAAAAAATATTGCGGATGAAGATTTGGACAAGTATGTCGCTGATCTCATTCTAAAAGAAGCGCAAGAAAAACGAAAAAAGTATGAAAAAGTTGGAATTCAAGCATATGAGCCTTCATCGTAAAGTAGTTTAACTTTCTGCGCTGCTCTTATCTGCAAGTTTTAATTCGTGAATACCATATTCACTATGCTTTCTTGAATTCTCCTTTAGTTCCCGTGCTAATCGTCCCAAATTTTCAGCTGGATTTCTACTCAATGTTGTGAAACAAACGGATTCATCGAATAGAGCAGCTATTCGGTCTAATCAAGAAACAATAACTAAACTACGTCGAGAGCGATATAAAAACGAGGCAAAAGGACGGCGATCAAAGGAATACAGCAGTAACACTGGTATAAACAGTGAGAGACAACGAACGAGCCGACATTCTTCGTCACGATCCCGTTCCCGATCACCTCTATCATCTCCACATACTCGATCGGATGCCTTACCGACAAATACCATCAGTAGTAATAGCAATAACAGAGAACCATATAATGATAGTAATTAGATCGAGGCAGAAGTCAGTAATAGAAGAAATGAGGATGATGAAGTGAAGGATAAAACGGTTACAAACCGAAGACGAAACAAGATCAAAGTGGCTTCTTCAGCAATCAAAATTTTTGAGGAAAATGCCTTTCATGTGAAGGATCGAGATAAATAAACAAGGAGCAACGAATGAGTCATATTTATTCTGGTATCTGAGTGTTTAGTTACTGTGACGATATCGAGGGGACAATACTTGGTTATACACAGTTTAGTTCATGGGTATAAGGATATGAATAGGAAACTATAGAGATAAACATAGTTGAAATCGTGGTAGAGCAAGATTTGATAAGCCCGTTAACCCTGAAAGCTATGCAAAGTATCCTATACAATAGACAGACATTTACAACGTTTATCAGCGTTTAACTCATCTCTCTTTACGTGTGCCATTTATTAAAAGTTTTCATTCACCTCTAAAACCTCCTCTATTTTATCAAACTTGATGGTAGCTGCTTGGCCAGCATTTTCTTCTGCTGCTTTCGCTAAAGTCTCTAAAAAGAGAAGGTAATTTAGATATAGCTATAAAATGAAGAGTTGGTCAGTGAGGTTCTGTCCGTGTAAAAAGCCTTTCGTTCAGTGCCTGATGTCATTTACCAATAAATCAGCATTCCCTACTAATTGCTTGCCACCCAGCCTTCTTTCGATACCATTTCGAAAAGATTTCCTGATCATTAATCTACTATTTTTTTTGGTCATCTTGAAAAGCGTTGTAGGAATCTAAACCTGCAATATTGAAAAGAACGGGAAATTTGTATTCGATAAATTCTCGGTGCAGCCAATCAAATTTTTGGGCGGTATTCAATAAGAATAGGTCACTTCTGCAGAAGGGCCGTTAGATATCCTTACTTGCGAATGCATGCTTCTATTTATTCAGCATTTTATGCTGCCACCCAGCCAAAGATTTCGTTCGGAACATGGAAATAACGTAATCAAAAGTCACCAAAGCTTACATGAGCTTGAAATTCACCAAAGCTTAAACATGCTACTTAAATAACAATCTTATTGATCTATCGCTGACGCGCATAATTCGTGACACTTTACGTTAATGATATTTTAAAATTCACTCGTTAGTAATATAATCGAATACTAAGCGTTGCCTGGCCCTGCCTGTACGAACCTTCATGATTTTGCTGAAATTGTGTGGCGGGAGCATTTCATTTCGCAAAATGAAAATGAACGACTGCCATGAGTATCTTATCGTTGACGAAAATTCGTAATAAACATGTAATTGTACTCAATATCACAGCAGCCCTCAACGTTGACTATTATATACTTCTTCCACAATTATTCTTTCAGTCATTGACTTGTTTTTCCCTGCTAGTAATCGCTTTCTACTTTCCCATTCATTGTCATTATATCTTCTACCTTGCTCTTCCTTTTTTCTCCCTCTATTTAGGCTTTATTCACATTCTGCAATAAAAGTTACATTCTCGCTTTTACAAAGCGGATGATATATGATTTTGTATTGAGCGTATTATCGGTGATGCATAAGTATAGTTAATTTATTGCACATGTCATCCATCGGTTCATTATCTATAGAGGAGTGGATGCTATAGAATTTTTCTACGCCTTGAGGTAGAGCTCGAGCTTCTCTTTTTATATTGCATTTTTTTGATAGTAGAGTTCTGTAACGCCTGTCATCTCTTTAGAGCCGGAACCGAACATGAAATCATTAAGACCGCTGAAAATTTTATTTATAATTTGATTCGTCCCTAATGCAGATAAAAAAGTTGGACTTTCTACTTCAAAAATTTTTCGTCTAACGCGCACAAAATGATCGACGTTCTGTGCTTGCCTTTTCTGGGGAACAAAAGACTGCTACGAGAAAGTGTTTTAAACCAATATATCATTCCTAGTCTAATAACCCTTTTGACATTAAAATGAATTGAAATACAAGCACACTCTAATAATCTATAAAAAGTACACAATGAAAACGATAATTTTTTTATTAGTTACCCTTACTATTGAATGTTGAACTATTCACTATACGTGAACGAAACTTTGAATCAAGTGAATGAAGCTACACGCTCGCTAGTTGAACAGTGATGCTAACTGCTTTGGAACGAAATGGCCAAAAGAAAAAGAGCCAATTGATCTTTAATCAAAACGATCAAACAGCATTGAAAATACGAGTCTCTACGATCTGTACGGCTGCTTTCATCAAATATAAACAATGAAAGCAGACAATTTGCAATATGAGAACAAGGAGATTCTGTATGCATACTTTATTAACACCTTACCTCGTAGTCACCTTATATAAACGTACTACATCCCTATTCCCAACTTATATATCCCTCCTTCCTTTACGCTATTCTTCTACAACTTCGCCAGCCAGACGAATCAATCCACTGCGAAAAAATACAAGATGGATAAAGAAACTATTGCTGTCCTAAGCTTGACTAGCAGCCCACCCATAATAGGAATCGAGCAAATTCGGAATGAAATTTTATCAAGCAAGACGCAAGCCTACTTTAGATATACAGCCACAGTTCTTGTCTATATGTCTATTTGCTTGGGGTGCTGTATATGGCAGATCATGACAGCTATAGAACTAGTATACACGAGACAGAAATGGCTTCACTTTGCAGCTTTTTTTGAAACTCTTCTATGCTTTATATTGATCCTATGCAGTATTTTAAACCCACTGAATGCAGTAGGATGTGAAGACGTAAGTATCACATTCACCAGCACAACCATGGAAATGCAGCCACATGGATTGTTGACCAGTCATTCTAATATCAATAGAGATTTGTAATATCTATAATTACTGTAAATTTGGGCAGTTGCTGTATCCAAAGTATCATGGTTTATAAAGCTTACGTATGTTATGGTCGTAACAAATGGTTAATGGTTCTTGGCTGTCTCATTAATGCTGGATACATTGCTTTGATTTCCATCTATGCTTCTGTTGGAAAAGTACCTACATCTAAAGATATCTTTGGAAATTGTGTGGTAAGCCTTGAAATTTCCAGATCATGGTATGAAATCACTTCCCTTACATGTATGATTGTTTCGGCTTTATATTCCAGATGAATTACCGTAAGACTTTTGAACGATAATAGTAGACTAAAAAAGCACCCTAAGCTTGATACATTATCAACTATAAATTTTCAGTAGACTGGCCGGCTTTGGTCAAACTAGGCTTAGATATTGCTAGCAACACATTCTTAAGTGTAGTCTTTCTTATTGTGATCTACCGATATTATAAAGTGTTTAGCAATAGTTTGTATAAATCGCTCTTGGCGAATGGTGTAATTTTTTCGTAAGGTTTTTTATTTTTATTTTTCACTAATGGATGATGTGCGTATGCGTACAACAACAAAACTGTTGCTAATATCCTCTTCTTCACCTAGGGTTGGTGTGATTGTTTCCAATATTGTTACGGCTATACTTATTTCCTGTCGTATTATGGGTGGATTATCGGCTGACTTGTATTGTTTTGATTGTAAGTGTCAGGTGTCTAGGTTAACCCATCAGATGAGAGAAATCATTGACCCTACACATACTAAAACCATCTCTATAATCCTTCATCTAGGGGTAATTACCAGTTATCTTCTTATAAAGCAGTTTAAGGTCAGCAATCAACAGAAGGAAACGGATATCTTTGACATGGTTCCGCCTATCAGAACAGGTGATGAAGAAAGCGAATCTAGCAGCAATCGTGAAAAAGAATTTGATGTTGTACAAGATGAAAACCTTGCAAAAAGCTCATCAAAGTCAAATATCTTAGTGATGGCTGAGGCTAATATTGATGATAAGACGCAAAATAGTGTGGGTTACGAAACGCCATTTCAATCGACATTAACTTCCACTGTGACCGGCACAACGATCGCCACTCATATGAATACTACGCAGCTCCATAAATAAGGAGCAACTACAGTTTCAATTGGATGCTTCTTGTTGAGGTTGACATCACTCAAGATGTACAGATAACATTATTGTCGTATAGGGCAAAAGCAAGTTCTCTTCTTATTATTGATGCTTATTACACTATACAACGACAGCCCAAATTGTGTAATATAGATTTCTCGTTTTCAAAATAATTTCACTAAGATTTATTGGTTAGATTTACATAAATCAAAAGCAAATACAAAAGGTGGTACATTTTTTGATTTGATGCTACATAAAAAGACAATGCAAAATATTGCGATTATATAATAAAAATGGATAAAATACTATACAAAATGGTACATTTCCGAAAGCTAAATTGTTTTTTTTAAAGAGTTTTTTCGTTGTTGTTGTTGCTGCTTCTTTTTTTGTCTCTTCATTGTTTTGAGGCCGTCTTGGCATTTAGCTTCAGTACGAAAATGACGCATTCGAGCATCAGAACGCGCAAAACGCTTGGAACAACATGGACAAACGTAAGGTTTGGCGCCTGTATGGATACGTTTATGTCGGATCACGTCATATTTACGCGAAAAAGTACGGCTGCAGAAATTACAAACGTAAGCAGAGAACGAAGAGCGTCTTCTCAGTACTAATAGTTTGCTGGCGGTCATAGAGAAAATGGCTGAGCTTTTTCTACGCTTTGATTTTAAGAGGAAAGAGCGCTTGCGGCTTGTAGTAGGATTAGCCTCAAAGACAGATGTAAAGCATACACTGCTGGACGAAACTGATGATGCCGTGGTAGCTTTGGGAGGATGTGTTACAGTGGAAGTAGGAATTGTATTTGTATCGTGAGGGCTTGAAGAAGCAGCATCAGAAGGGTGCACTATTTGTTCTTCGTTTGAATTAATGGTTGTTGAAGTGCTAGAGGTAGCAATTTGTGCTAAATCGTCATACAAAGACGTCATTTCTGTTGTAGAAGCGTTGTTATGCAAAAAGGAAAGAGACGTAAACATATCATTGAAGGTGCTGCAATAAGCAAACAAGTCCTCTTCAGGAGACCCTAAAGGATCTAGCAATGGCAATGCTGTACCATCAATTGATAAAAAGTTGGGTTCTATCGCACTGAATATCATTTTTCCATCATACATTTGGAATAGTTGTTGGGGATTGTCCATAATATTAGAGTAAGAGTCAGCCAAAAGAGGTGCTTGGTGTTGCAGAGAATCAGCATAAACATTGTCTAATTGCTGTTGAGCATATGAGCATGAATAAGAAGGGTAAAGAGAAGCTGCATCAAGAATAGAATTACTGTCTTCTTCTGCAGTTGAAAATATAGATTTGAATGAAGAATTTACTGCTGTAGGTTCTCCTATTACTTCCGGAGAAAGTGTTGGAGGATCAAACGATAAAAGGGATGCTTCAATCAAATGATTATTGAGTTCCTGCTGCTGCGGCAATAAATTTAAACTTTTAATATCAATGCAAAAACTATCGGGTATAAGAGTCTGATCATTAAAATTTTCGCCAAATTCGAAAGTGGATGCCTTCAACATAGTTTCATTTAAGTTGAGAGAAACAGTTGGCAGAGTTGATGTAGGAGGAGTAATAATAGTGTTAAAGTACATCAAATGATAACGAAATATTGTTATAAATCAAAAAATTGGAAGTGGGAAAAATAATCACAGAAAAGTAAGAACTGTTATCTAATAGAATGGCCAAAAACTTTGCTTCATTTATATGTAAATTCCATAGTTGACATGAAAGGAGAGCAATTAAGTGAGAGTAGATGATTCTATTTTTAAACTGTCTGTTACAAGCATTGGCATAGTGGCTAAAATGGAGAGATTAGTGCTTTTAAAAGACACAACAAATTACCTAGTAAGGCAATAGCAGAGAAATTAACATTGATAAGATATATGCACATAAAGTTAAAAGGTTGGCTCTTTACTGAATGTATAGGGCGTCATAAATGGGAGAAAGGGGATGAGACCAGAAAGATGCATACTCATGATTACAGTGTTACTGCTATTCGTATTGAGGAATCCGGTAGAAAGAGTGTTTGTCAAGGGCGCCACATATACTATTTGAACAAAAAAACAATATTCCGCGACATTGTGCATTTGAGCCCAAGGGTAAGAGCCTAAATAGAAGTTCTCCTATATATCATTGCATAACAGACAATAGCATTTGTAAGGTTACAGTGACTTCACGTTTCCGGAGAGATAGCTGGTCAGCCTCAAATTTCCATTTTTTAAGGGTAGAGCCTAATATAAGAGTACTACTCCCCATATCAAAATTATCAAAATTTGGAACCAATCATTTCTTCAAGTACAATGTGCCTTGATTGTATAGTGCCCCTTGATTGTTACTTTTGCAAACAATGATACACAAACCAATGAATTATCAATAAGCAAGAGGATCTTCGCAGCGCTTTCAAAAGCACAAGGATAAATCACTCCAGAAGGCGGTCGTTATCTTGATCATACAGTCTCGCTAAACCGTTTAATAATACGACAATCCATCTTTCTGCAATCTTCCTATTCTTCTTCATCAGATAAATGTCTTTCTATAGTGGAAATGACAAAAGGGTTTGTTTTCTATTGCCCTGTACAAGATGCAAGTCAATTAAATCTATCAAGGGATTACTTTGATGAAGTTGTTCAGCGCATGTAGTCTATAGCCAAAATAAGAAAATAATGCCTGTTTCTGATTTGGAGAATACTCTATCCATGTTGTTAAGACTACGCATATGCTTTCAGCACATAAACTCAAATCAAGGGAAAGGGACAATTCACCGTAAGAAATAAGCACGTTATGCTTGATGTCTCTATTATGCATAGCTTTTGTAGAGTCGCATGATTACTGAAGTCATTGCAGCAGACTATCACATCTGACGTAGAAGTATTGATGGTAAAGGTTTAAATTACGAGCTATGGCAATCCAAAACTCGTACTGTTTCTGTTCAAATTTACTGTGCCATATTCTTTGAGTACACAGTCGTACATAGTTTAACGCTATCACATAATCGCCACTTGCTGCCCTCATTCAACTCAAGCTCTGTTAGAGTACAATAGAACAGTAGAGGATCTCAACAAAGGACTTATAGCAGATGAGTAGAATGTTTGATAGCATTTTCTGCTTCGATTTAAGGTTAGCGAGGGCTTATTTTATTGAAGATATTCTACCTTTCTATTCAGATACTCTTTAACTATTGCGAACAAATTATACAAAATCTAGACATATATCTTTATCTATCCTCTACCCACCGAGAATAGTACACATTTTACAAAGCTTTCAATTTTCACACTTTGGAAATGTGCATATAATTCGTTAAAGAATGTATCTCTCCATCGATATGATTGTTGTCTAAAGACTACTTTGTTTCTCTCTATACTTCTTCATATACACGCATAAATCTCAAACAAAAAGATAGCAGTGCCACGATAAATTGTAATAGATGGACATACTTTTTAGACTGCTGTAATGAAGCTGATCACTTTCAGTAAGAAAAATAAAACGGTACATCTGCACTAGTCAATTTATATTGTCGATCAACAGGTTTCTAGTGCTCTGACGTCAAAAGACAGAAACTCTTAATAATATGTCTTTGGTAAGAATGTGGACAAAATCAAATACTCTTTTAATCTCTGATATATTAAGCTATGGCTTCTACGGAAGAAGTCTAGAATATAAACTCTGTCGAAAAATTATCTGATGTAATAGGAGAGACAGCATGCTCAATAACAGATGGCCAATGTACTTACTTAGTGGCGGAAGAGGTGCAATAAAGCATGAAGAAATCCGAAAGCAGTCATTCAATAGAACAGAAGCTCTACCAATAAACAAAGAAAAGTAAAATATTCCCATTGGGAGTTAAGGAGAACAGAGTATAGATGGATTCGCATGCAACCTTTAAAGGTACCGGCGAAAGATCATAAAGTATGTCACATGAACATAAACGAACGCAGACATGTGAATAGGCGTATGCTGCCGAATGTTATTTACGGCAGGCAAACGTTAGTGTACATTAACCATTGTTATGATCTGAATTTATACATCTTTATCTTTAATGCCGCAACTGTCTTCGCAAAAACCACATCAAAGCATTCATTTGAAATACAATAACTTAACTTGTACTAACATGTCAGTACTGAAAAGTGCTTCCTTTAATATGTTTAAACAAGGATTTTTATTACTGACATTTTTTAAGCCCTTAATATCTCGTGTCCATTGGGCTTTAAAAAATGTCAGTAATAAAAAAATCCTTTGTTTAAACGTATTAATGGTTCGTGGGGGCCTAGCCCCCGGTGGAGGTAGTAGTTAGCACCTTGGCTTTCCAAACCAACGATTGTTGGTTCGAATCCTGTACGCCGCTGATAATATTCAGCTTTGATCCCTTTCTCTCTGCTTCCTAGGGTTTTTTTAATGCCACTATCAAGGTGGTTCTCGGTCGGTGTTGGTGTTTAAGCAAGTTATGAATAATTGCGGTGCCCGCCCAGGCTTAATTAAGCAAGATCCCGAACCACGCCCAAAGTCTTAGCCTACCAATTATAATGATTAGTTTAGCCCCCTTCCCCTCCCCCCCCATTTAGATAGTATGCTTTTTCGCCCACCACGGCACCCTCACCGACACTATGCATCGCCCTATTCTCAAAAAATCGAGCTGCCCCGGGCAATTTAGATAAGCTTTAATATCTCGTGTCCATTGGGCTTGTTTAAACGTATTAATGATTCACCTGTACCTGCCCTGAATGTCTGAGGCTCAAAACGGAAGTTAAATTAATGAAACGTTTATACGTAGGGAATGGTAGTCAGTGCGGTGCCTCTGCCCAACAAACAAATGCAAAGCTTTTTGTTATATGGATTTTTTTTTTTCTAACTCTTTCACCAACTAAGCAATTATGTACAATAGATATAACCAACTATTACGGTTGTACTATCCTTTGATGATAAGGCGCTCTAAACTTACAAACTGATTTAAATGAAATAACATTTGAGCACTTTTGATGGCCGTTGAGCATTCATAATCGGGAAGATTGTTGAGCGGTGATAAACTCATTTTTGAAATACGCTCTTTTTTTTTCTATGCCCAAAAAATTAAATAAATGTTTTAGCTTTGAAACTTGTCTTTTGTATATGGTTGTTTGTGATTCTTTGTTCACTTTTTCTTCTTCTCTTTATATCTACTCTTCAATTCAAGGCCTCTCTATAAAGCTGAACTACCAACTATGGGTGGAGCCAATAGTAAACTAGCCTTTAGACAGAGTGTCTTCCGTTTATTTGAAGACAAGGTATGGAAAACAATTTGGACTGGCAAAATTATGTATTTATGTTGTATGGAGCAAACTAGCATATTCACTCAATTCTAACTAAACTTGAAAAAAAAAAAGCATATTGCACCCACAGAGGAAGACTTTTGGGAACAAGTAAATATTAGTAATTAGCCAAGTGTCAAATCATGAGTGTGCATTGTCGCTTTGTCACCATGCTAATGAATACCGTTATATTCAATCATGTAGTTTTGGACTCTACCCACCTCAACTGACGATGTATTTTTATTGATCGGTGCCAATGATATTCGAAGAACAAGGGACGAATCTAGAGCAAATATTGAAACATTAATTGATAAGGTAAATCTTATATTGGGCTTATCATGCGATACAACAAGCTTAGCTTCTTTCCCTTGTGTCAAATAACAGATCTTGTTGAAAATGGAAGAGACTATCAACGCATCCAACTTCCCGTGTGCAAAACATTCGATCAATCACTTACTGAATTGCTGTCGAATTTTGACCCGTCTAATGCCTTTTATCTATGAAAGTGAGGCTTGCTCTGAATGGGAGAACACCTTCTTCTGGAACGAAAGGCGAGTAGAGAGGAAGAGATCAACCACAAAATCTAATGACACGTTGAATGATAGCGTAGCTAAGGATGAAGAAGTCGATGGAATTATGTCGGAATATACTGAAAGTAGTAAAAACGACGATGCTAAGAAAGATACTGGCTCGGAAGAAGCTACTATCAAAAGGAATAGGATGGCAGAAGAAGAAGAGGGAGATTTATCGATGCGAGTAGAAACATCAACAGAAGAAAGCAAGGATAAAACTGAGAAATTTAAAGAGATAAAAGTAACAACAGAGGAGGAGGAGGGTCAATTCGCTGGCCAAGAAGCCAGCAATGATGAAATAGAAATAGACATTTTGCCACCAAGAGGCGCCAGATTGATAGATTGTATGTGAAAAGGGATAGCTATGCAATATCTGACAAAAGTCCTTCTCTTGCTGATTCTTCATAATTTACCGTATAGTGACCATCCAGGCATTATTTTTAGGGGGCTTCACCATCCCGCTTGCTCTAGTAAATAAGGAGCTCAAGAATAAAGTCAACTTAGTGGTTTGGGAAGCAGGTGTTGGGTTAAAGCCAGAAGAAGATATGGGGCAATTCAAAGACAATGAGGCTAATCGAACCGAAGTTCTACGTTTACTCGTTGTCTTGCTTTCAAAATCCATGTATAGTACACCATCACAACTTCTTAGAGAAGAGGATCTCTGGCTCCAGTATGCAGCCTGTCAATTGGACCGTAAGACTGTGATGGTGCTATTATGCAGTTTGCTCAATACTGTATGTAACTACGATCCGACAGGTTGGGTGCCATACAATCATATTCTCACGGCTTCGGCAACTAAAGAACAACTTATTACTTTCTGCTTGTCATCATTGTTGATTTTATTGGATTACAGATCACCACAAGAAGCCAAAAAAGTGTTGCGACAGATACCCAATGAAGAAGATATTACAACGAGTCGCAGTCCAAGTCGCAGCGTCAGCCGCAGAAATAGTTTCAATGCTAGCCCTAGAATGAGTATAAGCAGCAATAAGAGAGAAAACAGCAGTACTACAGACAATATTAAGGAGACAACCAAGCTTTTAGAAACTATCACAATAACAACGCCACCGTTAGAAACAGCATCCGCTTCGGAGCCGAAAATGGACTTGGAAGACTATGTCTCCTTGAAGAATGAATCACCAATTGATCAGCAGGCAGCTGAAAACGATTTTAGATATTTTCTGTCAAAATTGTATAGAAAGAAAGATTTTGAATATCTGATGAACGGCTTTTACAGATTATTAAGTAACCCTATGACAGCCGTCAATACCTACCTGCCAGGATCTACACGGCGTACCAGCTGCTATACAGATGTAATGATGCTCTGCTGGCGTTGTATTGAAGTCAGTAAGAGATTCACTTACTATCTAACAGATTCTGATCGTGCACTCGATTTAACTGTCTTACTAATTTTTCATGCTAATGAAAGTAAAGACAAATTATGTAAGTGTTGCATCACATCTTGAACTGCTTAGAAGCCTATCAATAACCAACCTTTGCTCTTGCTTTGAATTTTTTTTAGCTTCTACTGGCCTGATTCGTATGTGCGCATTTATGTTACAAACTCTTTCTTCCAACAAAGAGTATAGCATTAAACTCAACAAACCTTTCACTACTCATTCATATCTTCCTGCCTCTGTTCGCATTTACGCCTTTAATGGCTCTTACGCCGATTACCTCATCATTTCTATATTTTCGCTTATTGCTTCTACGCAAGGTAGACTACATTCGCTGTATCCAGCCTTCATCTTAACTATTACAAATATCTCACCCTACTTGACAAATTTGGGTGTCACGACCTGTTCCAAACTTATGACCTTGTTTCATTCTTGGTCTTCCCCTCATTTCCTGCTTGCCGACGAACACAACCATCAACTCTTAGGCTACCTTTTAGAGACTTTCAATCATATCGTTCATCACCAGTACGGAAATAACCCAAAATTCATATATGCATTGGTATTAAGATCGAAAGATATTGAAAGTTTAAGGACACTCACATTTGATAAAGTGACTAAAGAAGTTGCGGCAGCAGCAGCGGCAGCAGCAAGGAAGACCAACAGAGATGCTGATAATCACAATAATAATGTCCGAAACTCCACGCAATTTACGCCTACAGAAAAATGGTTCAATCATTGGAAAGCAGCTTTGCCCATTGTCACACTTACAAAATTGATGGAAACACTACTACCGCCGCTTGAAGAAAAGTGTAAAACGACGAATGACTCTGAATTGTTAACAGAGTTCGTCAAGACCATTGACTTACCCTCTTTCGAGGGCTATCTGGAAGCAGGTGTTTATTTGCGTCAGTTTCAATGGGGTGAAGCATTAGTTGTTTGGTTCCGTAGCGTGATGTGGGGGCAAAACTATGTAAATACAATGAGAGAGTTTGGGCCGTGGAATGGTACTCATGTGAAATTATTTCAAATTAAAGAACAAGAAGAATAAAAAAGTTTATGCTACCAGTAGCAGACCGGATTTTTCTCCATCACCATATCATCATATAGAACTAATATAGTATGGCGAGTTAGTAATTTTTGGCCAAGTTATAAAAAATATTTTTGCTGTTTTGATGACAGATGAGACAATTGTTATATCTCTGTTGCATTACAAACAAGTCTTAAGATTGAAGGACAAAAAGCAAACAGGTTATAGCAGAACTTAAAGCTCACAGTGATGTATTTAGTATATTGTATTATTTGAGCAAATCAAATTCAAACCATTCGGCTTTACAGACAAAAGAATGCCATACTATTAATCAAATAGGGAAGTAGGCATACTAGCAAGTATTTAGAACTGTAACTGTCGAGAGTATGAATATATAGAATGGCATACATCACTGAGCGTGACCGTAAAAGAAAATCAAAAATCAACATAAACCTGTAAAGTCTTGAAAGCAACATGCTTCATCATTATACGAGCGTGCGAACTCTTGGCATGTCGTAACAGTTTGTTTCTGCCGAGGAAGACAACCTGTTTTCAACATCGTTTGAGAGCTTTGATTTCTTATGCCTTATCGTTTTTTCATGTCATAATTTTAGCAGGTAAAGAAAATCGTATATAAGACGATTGATTTGCGCATCAGAATTCAATTTTTTTCCCCAAATACAACATCCTCTGTTATCTTAATCATGTCACAACAACAGCATCAACACCAACACCAGCAACAATTCACTTCTGGCAGCAAGAACGCCTGCGTTATTACTAACGTTGACTCCCTTATTGGCTTTTGTTTGGCTTATCGTTTCCTTGAAGCTATGCGAAATGGCGAATATCGTTCACACAGTGGTAATTTTGAATTACGTGTCCTTTGTCGCCAACGCCAAGGTTACCAATTGGAACAGCTTGAAAAGATGGGTGCTAAGATTTGGGAAGTAAACTACACTGACGAGCATAAAATGCGTGAAGTCATGCGAAATGTCTGCCATGTTTTGATGGTTCCCGAGAGCTCTCGTGATACCTTAAAGGAAGCTGAAACCTTGATGTGTGCTGCTAAGCATGAAAGTGTTGACCATTTCTCTATGGTTTCTGTGTAAGCTATAATGACTGATTGTGAATTATTTTTAGTATTTCAATTTAATGTAAACTTATTCCATTTCGTTCATCTAGGCTTGCTGTTGACCGTGTTCAATCTGGTGATATCAATGACCAACACTCCAACGAATTCCGTACTATCCTTCACTTCCACAAGATTGAAGAGAAGCTTAAGAAAGAATTCCACGGTGAAAAGCATTGTATCATGCGTATCCCCATGCTCAATCAGTTCTTCTATTTCTTAGCTCCCAAGATTGAAGGCGAAAACATTGTTCCTCTTCCTGTCAAGAAAGATAAGAAATGGAGTTCTATCGATTTGAATGATATTGTCGAAGCTATTTACTGTTTGGCTAAGAAGCGCTCCGAACGTAGCCAGCAACAACAAAGCGGTGATGCTTTCCATCATAAGCAAGTTTACAACTTCACATGTTCCAAAGTACACAACACTGAGGAGATTGTCAAGCAAATGGGTGAAGGTTTGGATCAACGCGACTTGCACTTCAAAGAAATCTCCGAAAATGATCTAAAGCAATGGCTTCATAAATTGAAGGACGATAAGAAGTTCAGCCAACGTCCCGATGACCGTAATGATTTCCGTAAAGGTCGTGATGGTTTTGCTTCTTTCCCCTTGGGTAAGTTCTTGCATGAGGATATGATCGAAATTCTCATGGAGTATTGGCGTTTGGTCAATAAGGGTAAGCTTGATATGCAAACCGATGACCTTGAAAAGGTATTGGAACGTAAGCCTCATACCATAAAGGAATACTTCGAAGTCAACCGTCAACAATTCAAGCGTTTGAAGTAACTTTTTTGAATCCTATAAATTGACGAGACTTTTCGTCTTCTTTTTAGCAAACCTTAAGGGTTTAGTTTCTTTCTATATTTTGTAAATCAATAAAAATCCTTGTATTTTTGTTCCCAATTCAAGAAATGTACCATTTGTATTGAATTTTTGAAATTATAATCTTGTATAGCACTGCAAAGATTTCTTTAAGTCTGTTGTTAGAAGGCTTTCAGATATATTTATATCTACAGAGAATCAATAGTGACCAAAATTGAATAATGAAAACGATGTCGTAAACATACGTTTTTATTTCGATAACAGCTATTTCCTGATTTTTTCAAACAGAGTCTTTGTCTGATTCCTACAGAATCATAGTTAATCATCCTCTCAAGAAGGTTCTAGTTGTCTCCGTTTTCAACTCTCTTCAACAACTCAAGTATGCTAAAAAAAAAACCCCCCAATGGAAACAATCATTGAAAAGCATGCTCCTTACAAAGAACTGCTGTTACTTGTTAGAAATAAAGCATCTCTACTCGCTTCTTTACCAGCAAACATAAACCGGTGGGATAACTAGAAATTAGCAGAGGTGCTGCATATCAACACTATCTTGAAGCCATTTATCACGATCCTTGTGTGCAGTCTTTCTGCTACTGGAATCGAAACTTGCTATTTTCCATCAGATTAACTTACAAGCAGAACAGTAATGAACAGCTACTATTTCATAATGATTCTTCAAGCTGGTTAGAACCATATTACACATTGGTTGAGTATGCTTGTTTTCTGCAAGATATTGTATAACCTTTAATTTTTTTCTGAAAAAAATACACTCTAATGCATGTGTTTAAACAATAGAGCATTAATATTAGTAGCTTCAAAAGTCAATACGAGCACCATTTTTGTGTACTATTAGGAAAAAGGAGTAGATACCAGTAAATGGAATGTGGCAGGCAACTTGGATACTTATCACAGAAGTAAACTGGTTGTTCTAAGAAATTTTGTACTTACCGGTTGCTAGCTTTCCTAAAGCAGCATAAAGTGGATGAACTGATTTATTAAATCGTACACAAAAACTGTTTATTAGTTTCCATCTCGAAGAAAAGCCATGAAGTTTGTTGTCGTTTACAATAAATCAATTATCACCTCATATGAAAAGGTCGTCATCTTCTTTCCGCTTTGATACTAGCTGTTCTTCATTCGCAATCTCCATCAGATATAACCAAGCCTTTGTTTGCAACCAAGACGGGTGGGGAAAAGAGGCAGGCTGACTTCCCTAAGGGTTTGAAGGGAAATCTTCAATCAACAATGCTACCTGCTGCCGCGACACGAATATCAATTGTCGCGGCAATCAATATCCATGAAAGGTCTTCTTTTTCAAACAAGAGCACTGCTGTTTGTAGAACACAAAATAAACATCGTTTTTGAACCGTTATTGTCAAATGACGGTAGTCGGGACTTGTTAGTTGCTAATGTTAAATCCCCTCGCTTCTCCCCATGTTCTGAGAAGACGCTTTCCCAAAGATCCTCCCTCCCATTGTTACCATTCCTGTTAATTTTCCAGGAGAGCTGCCCTTTTATTGCACCAGCAGCAACAACCTACTTTGATGATGAAGTTGCTGTGCTGGTAGCGAAGCCTTCGAAGAAAGGATGCTCCAATGCTTGCTTAGCTGTGATTCTTTTAGCAGGGTCGTAAGTGAGCAAGCACTACATAATAATGTCATGCTAAAATTAATGCATTTTTCGATATAGAAAGACCATAATCACACAGTTTACTTACTTGGAGCAAACCGGCTGCTGATTCAGGCAGCTCTCCGAAGATTGAGTTAGGATAACTCAACAGGTAAGCTTCCAAATTGTTCGAATTGGTGGCTATGTAGATGGACAAAAAACTATTTAGAAAAGAATGGGACTTTCGCATTCCCTGTAAGCTCTGTGCAGACTTACGAGGGAGATCTTTATCGAATTATTTGAAAGAGGACACACCAGGCCAGTCGGCTTCCGATGGTGTGCCCTTCAAGCTGTACACCTGGGAAAGCGTCTCATCTTCTGTTTTTCCTATAATTATTATGGATATTTAATGTTTAAAAAAGGACACTCAAATTATCATCGTTGCTGTATTCGATAACAGATGGTTCATAATAATCATGAATGCCATGATGCATCTGGCACTCCATATATCAACTGCAGTCGTGTGCTATGGAGTGCCGAGGAGAAGCTCGGGTGCCCGATTTCAGAGGGTGCCAACCTGAAATTCTAAAAAAAAGTAGAAAACCAGTTACTAAAAAATATTACGCATTTTTAATCTACGAATGCGTTTACTTTACTTGGTATGATTCTTTGACACCCTCAAACTCCTCGACGGTGGCGGCTATCCCGAAGTCGGTAATTTTTAGGTTGCCGCTATCATCAAGGAGCAGGTTTTCGGGCTTCAAGTCCCTGTGAAGGATGCCGTTGTCATGGCAATATTGGAGGCCAGACAACAGCTGCCACATAAAGGACTAAAAAAAAAAAGACAATTTCAGTATGCTTCATAATTTGATGAAGAATACTTGAAATCAACCAAACGCACCTGTATGTGAACAGCAGACAGTCCTTTACGGTCATACTGCATGAGATAAGAGAGCAAATCAAATCTCATGCAGTCCATGACAATGTTGGCAGCATTTTTGTCAAGCACTCTATCAGAATAATAAAGAAAGAATGAGCAAAAATTTTCGTGCCTCAACCGTTTTCTTCTTTCGAAAGGAATACTTACTTCACCCAATTGCCACTGACGCCAACTGTCGTCGTCGGACAGTTGCATTTCCTTGATGGCAACTTTTGCCGAGGTGGGTATGTGCTCGACTTCATACACCACCCCAAAGCTGCCTTCACCGACCTTGGTAATCTTTCGGTAGCGAGACGAATTACCATCGTCCTTCTCGCCATCGCTTCCGGCAGCAACAGAAGAACTATGTTCAAACCGAAAAGAGTATGATGAGAAGCACGTACAGAGATATACTTGGTTTCATTCAATCAAAATGTCAGTAACTTACAATTCTCCTGCTGAAGCGTATGCAGAACGAAGTCGCTTCACAACGCGGCCTTCCTTTTCAGCAAAGTATGACTATAAAATAAAAAAAACGACATCAATAACATAATCATCTTTCCTTGTGCGTTTTTCTATGCCTGATGGTTATTATTACCTGATAGGAAAGAGTAGCTGGGTACTTTCTTTTCAAAGTAACAGCAGAAGAAGAGGTAGAAGAAGTGATACTAGCCGAACCAACAGAAGAGGAAACAGAAGCAATGGAACTAGCCGAACCAGCAGAGCATAAGTCATTAACTAAAAAAAAAGAAAAAAAAAAAAAAAGGAAAATAAAGTTAGCTATTTTTGAACAACTTATAGAATGATGTAAACTTTTTATTCGCGTTAAATATTGTGCTATTTATCTGGTTGACACAAAGAAGAAGAAATAGCTACATCCGAAGATGAGCGAGCCACATCAGTAGAGCCTAAGCCATTAACTATAAAATGAAAACAGTGCTCATTATGTTTAGAGAAATATACATATGTTTATCGGAGAGCAGCAAGTTTTTACCTGAAGGGCGAGAAGAAACAGCAATATCCGGAGATGAGCAAGCCACACCAACAGAGCATAAGTCATTAACTAAACACGAACAACGCAGAATAACGCGTCAAGTACATATTATCATTGCACTCATGCACGATGGTAATTGTATTCATTCGTACCTGGAGGGTTGAAAGTCATGCGATCGACAACAGCAGAGCTTACATCATGAACTACAAAAGAGAAAATGTAGATTTCGAAAGCAGTTATTACGCGTTGAAGTGTTCTTGCCTGTTGCACCTGCACATTCATATATGGTTTTACCTGAAGGGATGCAGAGAGCGCGAGAAGAGGCAGAAGAAGAGCTTTGATTTGCTCGAGAAGACATGCTAAAAAATGCATAACGATAAAGAGCAGAGATGTTTGGTTTTGTGATTGTTTTCAATTGAAGAAAAGTCTAAATCAGTCACAAGTATCTGAAATAGCAGATTGAGTAAATTAATATACTATAAGGAAGAAAGAAAGAGAAAGGAAAAGCAGATAAACAAAAATTCATACCTTTATACAACTCTGGGGACGTAGGATTAATGGTCTATAAGTTTGTTTATTTTGCTTTTAAATTAGCATGGGGGTTCTAATTGACTATAGTGCGCTTATTATGTATCACCTAAAAGAAAGCCTCTTCATTCTGCTGTTCACTCTTCAACAAAAGGCGTTTTTGGCTCATCTCATGTGAAAAATAGGGGGTTTGTTGACTTACTCTAATAAAAGCAAAATCTAGGCCACGTACATAAGCAGCAGCGTAACCTCGTAATTTGTGAAAGAGATAACATCAGAATAATATTGGGTAAATGGACGGTTTTTGGTAAGCAAAAAATTTCAGCTCTTGGGTCAATTTTAAGATGCTGCTTTGTTTGCTGTTCATTGTCGTTGTTGATGTCTTATTATCCTCTTGCTTGATAAATTGATCCCACAGCGCACGTTAAATGCTAAGTAACAAATAGCACTTTGACCTGACTGTACTTGTTGTAGTAGGAGAAATAGAGTCTGCTGCACATCATTTCATTTGCTATCGTGATTTCAGATACAATGAAGCAAAAGAGAAATGAACTGGGATTACGATGGCTATTAAGCCTCTTCACGCTGACGTGGTTTTTGTCAAGAATAAAGCAATTTTATAGTAATAGAAGGCTTCAATATGTTCGTTCTCCTGCTATTTGCATCCCTCATGTGTATTATCGAAAAGGGAGTCTCTTTTTATTTTGTTCAATAAAAAATCAAAGACAAGTTGCTTCTTCCGTTTTCCGAAGCGCAGCTTTTTCAAAGGAACCATTCGAGCTTGTCGATAAGCACCGATAGAATGGTTATGTTTTCAGCCCACCTTTTTTTACGGCGCTATCATTGTTTACATTTTCAAGCGTTCTTAGGTCAATTGTATATAATTGTACGGTTAATTGAACACAGAATTCTAAAAAAGAATTGAAGATAGCCTACAAATCTGAAGAAGGACGCATTAGCCGTGGTTCTTCCTTTGTGAAAAACAAGAATATTTGTTTTGTTGCAAGCAAGTCCATGCTTTAAGAATATGAAAGAGCTTTATACATATTATTATTGTGGGATCGTTCATAAGGAGCTCATAAACCTCATCGCGTCCAAATGCTAAAGGGTTTTGCTTACCAGACTACAACAAAAGGTAAAGATATATTAGAAGTAGTAGGAATAGGATTATATTGCTAGAACTGCTGAAATTCATCACGATATCAATTACGGTTATTGATTGATTTATGGCTTTCCAGTTCGCTCTTCAGCTATATATTTAGGTGCTAATATACTGTATAAGTTATAAGCTAGCATCAAGATATAAATATAATTCGGAATATTGCAGCGTAAAGAGCATTAAAGGGCAATCAATGCATTATGAAATTTTCCTTCAATGTGTATAATAAGTATTTCGGAAAACACGTGTAGAGTAGCGAAGTCATCGAGACTATTCCGAAGAACACACTTTTGATAGTCATGTCCATGACACTCACGCTGATTGCTTTCGGGCCATGTAAAACGTTACAATCTTTAACGGATGCAACGCGGCAGTGATTGAATACACAGGGTGCCCTAAAAGGGTGATCACTAGGCATTCCCTTCCCCCTCCTCTTCAACCCCTCATATAATTTAAGAAAGTAACAAAAAGAAATTTCCTAAATCATCAAGAAGCAGGTCCGTTTTTGTATGTGTGATTTATCAAAAAAAAAATCCTATTCTTTTGCTTTTACAGTCTGTCCTACACTTTAACACTTTTAACACTTGGACAAATCCTGCAATCGCAGCTGGGTGGTGCTATTCAATAAATCGCTGGAAATTACTTTTGTTCTTTATAAGCTTCTTTCATCTTTGATTGCTTCTTCATTCCTCTTCTTTTTAATTATATACAAGTATCTTGAAGCAGTCAATTTAATAACTTGCTTCCTCTGCTCAATTCCAGAATCCATTGCACGTATACACTTCTAGTTTCCTATTACTCATTTTCTACTCTGTCGCCGCTCCCCGAAATCATTCTTAATATGAAAAATACCAACACTAATATTGCGAGACGTGCATTTGCACCATCACCAAGTAAATCGTTATCCACAAAACCGTATCACTCATCAAACCAACGGAGATTAGTTCAAAGGAAAAAGGTACTTTAAAATATCAAAACACCCTAATATTTCCTTATTGCAAAGACACTTTTGCAAAATAATTTGTTTCAGTTGTCCTGTCATATTGTCACTACTGACAAGTTTCCCTTAACTCTCTTACTCACTCCTGTGTTTTTTGTTTTTTTTTAACTTTTTTCGACTTGTAACAAAGAGTACTTATTTTAACCGTGACTTACAGCAACATCACTTACAAGAAGAACATAAAGCAGATAAGCTCACAATTATAACTACTCAAGAAGTTACTAATGCAAGAGAATGCAGCAATAAGAAAAAGCAAAAGTCGGGCTGTAGAAACAAAATGAATATGGAAGAGTATGAAAGTGATATGGACGAAATCCGGACTCCTGTTGATTTACTATATTTGAGCCAATTAAGAGATGAAGCATACCGAGATTTAGAGTTAGACTATACAACTTATAATCATGAATTAGTGTACAGGATGCGTTCGGAGGAAAATAATGGTAGCAGTAGCAGCAGCAGCAGCAGCAACAGCAGTGTTGCATCCTTTTCTGCAGCAAGCCATAGTAAAAGCATCCATAACGATCAACAAGATGATATAGATGACAATTCCATAGATGGCCTTATAGACATATTTGTCTCCACTTCATCTATTAAAGATTATAGTCAACTGCTGAAATGGGAAGCTACCCAGGTAACTAAAATATTAAAGTTCAAACGTAATAAAAAGGGGAGATATGGAGAATGCAGTCATAACAGATTTAGACCAGTCAATGATTAGCGTTTAATAACATTATCATCATTATCTTTTGCTTAGAATCCACCGACATATTTCGAGAATGAAGAAGACTACGGAAATCTTTTTTGATCTACTTGTGCCTGAACACGTCTTTCCCCCCCCCCCAACATGTACAATCAATAAGATACCCTTAAAAATGCAACATTACAACCATTATGTGTGTGTATGTAGGTGTGTATAACACGGATAAACTATTCGAAATAAAGAAACAAAAAAAGCAATATTTTGCAATAATGTGAATTACATTGTTTATTCAGATAGAAAAATTCCGTCTCTTGCTTACAAATGATTTCTCTTGCTGCCTCGTACGCCTAAAAGCCAAAGAAATAAAAAGATAGAGCTTTATGGTTTTCATGCTTGATAACGCGACCATTGGCTGGCATTGCACTTTGGATTCGCATGAGAAACAGCGTTGGGAAAGAAAAAGAACTCACATATAAAAACCATCTAGTAAAAAGGCAACTTGTCTGGCACTGGAATATTGGCTTTTTTCTTGCGTTCACATAAAATTACCTGCTGTGTCATTCTTCATCCACATGCATGCATAAGCATAAATAATTGTAACAGTTGCATTTTTCAATCGTGTGTAACACGGGTCTTCTATGAACGAATGGTTTCCATTCTGGCAAGCAGAAAAAAATTCTTTCTCAGTATATTGACTATCAGAACGTATGAGCTACAAGATTACAACTTGTTAAAACTTGAAATATCATTTGGTTCGTAAAAGTCTTGATAATTTATTAAGTTTGGGCTGAATCAAAGCAGATGTGGAAATGTCTGACAAACCCTCATCAACTTGCGTCCAACTAGTTAATCCTAAGTTGATAAGTCTGCTTCTTCTACGACAACAAGGCACATTTCCAAATTAAATGAATGTACATAGTGTCAGGTGTATTTTAATAAGTCAGCGGTATGTTACAAATTTAACAAAATATATACACTGGCTCCATTGTCATAGTTAAGGATTTTTTTATCGAGATAGATATTGAGACCAAACGATTGTTTAAAATCCAAGCCGTGCATTCCATAAAAGATCAAAAAAAAGTTAGTATTAAGACGCAATGGATATTGTCAGTTGGCCTTCATATTTAGCTAGGAAAAAAGAGCCAACTTTTCATTAATAAGAAATACATTAAATGAAGCGAAGAGAAGATAGGAACAAGTTCAATAGCCAGCAAAACAATTAATCGAGTATATGACATATGGCGACTAGCACAAAAAAAAAAATTTTTTTTTTGGAAAACCTAATGTCAGTTAGAACTGCGCCTTTAAGCATGTATTAAACAGAGTACAGTTCGTACATAATACAATAACTGAATTAGTAGCTCCATAAAGAGCATAAACAATGTTAAATTGAGTCTCACGATAAGGATCTAAATTAACTATATTCAGACGCTGTTGAGATGCTCAATAGTAGTAAGTTCGCTAGTATTGGGTAACTAACTTGTCAAATGAAAGTGTAAGTTTAGGCACTATTTTATAGCGGTATATTTGGATCACTGTATGGAGTAATTTACATAAAAAATTTTTCTTGGCAATGGGTCGCTTATAATGAAAGTGACTTTCACGTTAGATCTGTGAGAAAGATCATGGACTCGGATAACAAATAGCAGTGGCCACCACTCATAGGACAAGGTGGTGATAGCCACCATTGATGATAGCATATCATCCAAGTGTAGTAACTCGCGTATAGCATTAAAGCAGCAGTTAGTGACAAAGAAAGTTTACGACAGCAAAAAGACAGAATCATGAAGCAGCATTTAGATGAGATAGGTCACAAAGCCACCAGGTTTTATTCAAAATTCTACAAGAATCCTTAAATAGCATGGACAACGCAATAGGTAGAAGAGTATCTTTCAAAGAAGTCGGGAAAATAGGTAGGTGTATAGTCCTGTTATTCGGCAAATCTCATCTCAAACATTGAATAGTTTTGGACATGGGTCAAAAAAGTCTGCACATTTCGAAAATACGGGAACACTTTCAGCAATGTTACTGATGCTGCGAATGGACCCCTCTAAGTATTTCACCGTTCCCCTCAGCTGAAGTGATTCTAAACTTACAGCCGATACTCATAATTTACTGCTGCAAAGATAGCGAGGTAGTATATCAGCGAAGAACCATTCCAAATTTGCCAGTTTACTAAACCACGTCCTCCCGCTTTATTCACTATGTGTTCCATGGTGGACTTCCTGCTCAGCTGCATCTATTCGTACTGATGAGCATAAGTTTTTCCTAAAGGTTCGCTCCCCGATATGCAGTTACAATTTACCTCGAGTCTTATAGTTCATTTACTCTATCAGTTTGTACAAAGCTTCATTTTTAAAAAATAAACGAAGCTCTAAAGTCCAGTCTTTATGTTTATTTACTAGTTAAATTGGACGTGGCAGCACTATATTTTGCCAATAAATAAGGACTAAATAAGTACTTGATCAGAAAAGAGCTGATTTTTCAAGCTTTGGTTATTAAACTTATCATTGGATAATACTAAAAGTTACGCCATTTTGTTGACATGCATGTCTATCCACTCGTTTTCAAAATAAGTAAGACATGCTTTGCAAATCTATTAAAAGCCCTTTTGACAGCTGCGAAACATGACGGTGCCAGTGTCTTGGATGTACTAGTAATCGATTACCTAGTATTATGGTTCAGCTTGAATGACACATTATAGACGCGTGAGGTTTACCTCAATTCTTAGACACAAAAAGACTAAATCTATTTATGCATATTCTATAATGAGAGAACTTATAGATAATAAAGTATAAAAACGCGTAACTAAACAGTCCGAATCGCATGTCTCAAGATTGATCGCTGATTCGCTACATAATGATCTGCATACGTTAAACTAATTGGATGTAATATTATCCCAAGCGATTTAATAATGCCTTATACGGATTATTTTACCCTAATCTGTTTGACAGGGAATAATTTACCGTGTGATTTTATTTACCTCAAGTTGTTAAATCTCGTGTAATGTCTCCTTTTTGATTACGTACAAACACAAAATAGCAATAGAATGCGTCCAGTTTCCCGCTGATTTTTCTGCTTGAAAAAACTTGAGCACTTTAACTGTCTTGATGGTTCAGACATAGCTTACATTTTCACTGTAGCATGACACTACATCAAACAATGGTATGGTTTAGGTAAAGAATTAAGAATATCTTATCTAATCTTTTTATACTGGATATACCTAGCGATAAAAAAATTGCTAACTAAGCTACAAATGAGACTATATTGTTGAACATTTTGACGCTTTTCGACCTTTAAACAAAACAGTTTATCCTATTTTTTCCGTTTATCATAAATATTTTTGCATAGTCATTGCTCACTAAGGAGCAAAAATGTCTTAATGAACGAATAATCTGGTATTTGCAGGTGAATCCTTTCGATAGACTTGCTTCCTACACATTACCGGGAATATAGCCATCCGTTTTTGCTAGAAAAATCTTATGCGGAGTTTTCAAGGAACGTGCAATGATGCCTTTCCTGAAAACAGATGTTCGAGAAGTTTTTACTAATTTTAGCAATGCTAGAGCAATATGGAGTCGATCGCTGGGAGCCTCATTATGGAAGCGTTTGTGTTTACAAAACAACTAATTATACATCTATTCAGACGTTTGAGTGCACCTTAAGAATATATAGTGCATTTTTTATAAGGTAGTTGTATGGAAAATGTGTGCTTCTCTTTCAGAAATGCTGCGCTCGAGCATTCAATTATGAGTGGGAGGATGATACCAGAATTTCCTAATTGATGCTTCATTCAGTTATCCATAAGCATTATGAAGTAAAACCTTGGTTTCTTTTGAATATTTCCTCACCAGTTCTACCTCCTGCCTCACATGCTATGATTATATTTCTCATTCTATGTTTCCACATACGTGAAGTACGTCCGCCCTATAAGAGTTCCTTTGAACCGTGTCTTACCTGAACAAAAGTTAAGATTTACCGCCAAGCAATTCATATAAATATCAAACAATATAGAAGAGGGGTATGCCATTCCTCCAACAGGCATTTCTCTTCCTACCTCTACCACGAACTATTAAAATAGGTCATCAATATGCGTGGTACACTTCTGCTGTCCGCCGTTGCTGGTGCCGCTCTTGTTGCACTCTCCTCTGCTGCTCCTATAACTCCTGCTGCCTCTACGTCAACCGATATTGATGTAGTTGCTACTCCTACTACTGTCTCTACTTCTACTGATGTGGTTGCCACCCCTACTACTGTTGTTCCCATTCCACATCCTACTGAAACTTCAGAAAAGAAGGATGACGAAAAGAATGATGATAAGGATGATAAGGATGATGACTCCAAGGATAAAGATCTGAAGAATCCTGCTGATAAGGATGGTGATTCCAAGGATCAGGATGTCAAGAATCCTACCGATAATGGTGATGACTCCAAGGATAAGGATGACAAGGACTCCAAGGATAAGGATGACAAGGACTCCAAGGATAAGGATGACAAGGACTCCAAGGATAAGGACGATAAGGACTCCAAGGATAAGGATGACAAGGACTCCAAGGATAAGGATGACAAGGACTCCAAGGATAAGGATGACAAGGACTCCAAGGATAAGGACGATAAGGACTCCAAGGATAAGGATGGTGATTCTAAGGATAAGGATGTCAAGAATCCTACCGATAATGGTGATGACTCCAAGGATAAGGATGATAAGGACTCCAAGGATGACAAGAATAAGGATGTGAAGAACCCTACCGATAAGGATGGTGATTCCAAGGATAAGGATGTCAAGAATCCTACCGATAATGGTGATGACAACAAGGATAAGGATGACAAAGACTCCAAGGATAAGGATGATAAGGACTCCAAGGATGACAAGGATAAGGATGTCAAGAACCCTACCGATAAGGATGGTGATTCCAAGGATAAGGATGTCAAGAATCCTACCGATAATGGTGATGACAACAAGGATAAGGATGACAAAGACTCCAAGGATAAGGATGATAAGGACTCCAAGGATAAGGATGATAAGGACTCCAAGGATAAGGATGATAAGGACTCCAAGGATAAGGATGATAAGGACTCCAAGGATAAGGATGATAAGGACTCCAAGAATAAGGACGATAAGGACTCCAAGGATAAGGATGACAAAGACTCCAAGGATAAGGATGATAAGGACTCCAAGGATGACAAGGATAAGGATGTCAAGAACCCTACCGATAAGGATGGTGATTCCAAGGATAAGGATGTCAAGAATCCTACCGATAATGGTGATGACAACAAGGATAAGGATGACAAAGACTCCAAGGATAAGGATGATAAGGACTCCAAGGATAAGGATGACAAGGACTCCAAGGATAAGGATGACAAGGACTCCAAGGATAAGGACGATAAGGACTCCAAGGATAAGGATGACAAAGACTCCAAGGATAAGGATGACAAAGACTCCAAGGATAAGGATGATAAGGACTCCAAGGATAAGGATGACAAGGATGACAAGGACTCCAAGGATAAGGATGACAAGGACTCCAAAGATAAGGATGACAAAGACTCCAAGAATAAGGATGATAAGGACTCCAAGGATAAGGATGATAAGGACTCCAAGAATAAGGATGACAAGGATGACAAGGACTCCAAGGATAAGGATGACAAGGACTCCAAGGATAAGGATGACAAAGACTCCAAGAATAAGGATGATAAGGACTCCAAGGATAAGGATGATAAGGGCTCCAAGGATAAGGATAACAAAGACTCCAAGGATAAGGATAATAAGGACTCCAAGGATAAGGATGATAAGGACTCCAAGGATAAGGATGACAAGGATGTCAAGGGTAAGGGTGATAAGGACTCTAAGGATAAGGATGGCAAGGACTCCAAGGATAAGGATGACAAGGATGACAAGGACTCCAAGGGTAAGGGTGATAAGGACTCCAAGGATAAGGATGGCAAGGACTCCAAGGATAAGAATGACAAGGATGTCAAGGGTAAGGGTGATAAGGACTCCAAGAATAAAGATGACAAGCACCACAAACTTAAGAAGCACCACAAGCATGACGATGATGACGAGAAGGATAAGCACCATAAGAAACATCACAAGCATGACGATGATGACAAGGATGATAAGCATTCTAAGAAGCACCACAAACATGACGATGATGACAAGGTCGATAAGCACCATAAGAAACATCACAAGCATGACGATGATGACAAGGATGATAAGCATTCTAAGAAGCATCACAAGCATGATGATGACGACGAGAAGGATAAGCACCATAAGAAACATCACAAGCATGACGATGATGACAAGGATGATAAGCATTCTAAGAAGCACCACAAACATGACGATGATGACAAGGAAGATAAGCATTCTAAGAAGCATCACAAGCATGACGATGATGACAAGGATGATAAGCACCATAAAAAACACCACAAGCATGACGATGACGAGGATGATAAACATCATAAGAAACACAACAAGAAACAACACAAGAAACACCACAAGCACTAAATGGCAATTCTCTAATCAAATGTCAATTGCCACCCTCTATCTATGTATTTAATCTAATTTTCGTTTAGTGCTTTATTAATGAGTCTGTATTACTACTTCTTCATACTTCTACATTATTAATTCAATCAATAAATATCCTTCCTATTTCAGTCGTTTTTGGTTTTTTTTTTTTTTTTTTTTGCAGGATTAATTGTTAACATTTATCATAGATTCCTTAACTTACAGTCAAAAGCACTACATGTAGTTGTTCAACGTTCCTTTGAGTATGCGTTTACCAAAAATAAATGCCAATTCCATTATATAAAGGGTCTAGACATGCCAATGTGCATGGCCCGCCGATTAGGGTGGCATCGAAAAATATTAGGTCCTTGCGGGATACTAACGCACAGAGACTTTACATAACGGAAGTGGTCAGGTCAATCTCTCTAATAATCTTACATATTTATCTTTTTTTTTGTTTTTTTTTTTTTTTTTTTTTTTTTTTAACACGCGCTTAAAATACATGAAGAGCTCATTAGTATTCTGAAATATGCCCTTCATCAATTTGATTGAACTTACTTTGGAAAGTATGTTCTTAGCTTACTTCCCTTAATAATAAACATAGCTCATATATAGAACAAAGCGGGATCTACATCATGTTACAATAACAACATGCCAACTTTACTTTATTTTTGAATGAGGCGTCTTAATTTAGTACATTTATTCAAATTTGAAGGGGTCTACGTGTTCATACTCTAAAGATTTTTTGATGTAAAAGCACATATATCTAGCAGACAAATGTTTGAAATTAATATTTACGCGTAAACGTATACTTAACACTAAAATAGACTTACGCTTTACTGTCTAAAACTTCTTTTTGATACGCCGTGGTGACATTATGGTCATCGAAGCGAAACCACTACAGATTTGATCATTAACAAGCATCAGACATGCACTGGAGTTTTCTTTCCTGAAATTTAGTATGTCTTTTCATCGATCTTACTTCATTTCTATGTTTAGCATACATTGTATAGTGCCCTGTATCCATTTTACCCTGGTGGTTTACCACTGCAAATAGAGTGTAAATGTTGTCTCTGATATCGGTTCAGTAAACACTAGATTAGTATGCTTACTATTACTATTCACCTTGCTAAAAACTTACTCTTCTTTATCTTTCGAAGTTGTATATGGTGTCAAATTTAGTTCAACTGGGAATCTTATTTTGGTTTCAATTTTACTTGAAGTCAAACCATGTTCGAACCGTTTCAATTGAATACTTAACACTGGCGGTAAACGCTTGAACGACAGTTGCTTCGTAGCCTCCTATTGATCAAACGTAAATCAGCCAAAACGTCACATCTTGCTTATCTATTTCAGATCAAAGCCAGTTCATACTTACCTGAAAAGTATTTCCACACTTACTACAACTGTACTCATTCAAGCCCAATTTCTCCGGTTGTGTATATCTATTGAATGAATAAAAAAAAATAGTTTGAACAGATGTTTTTGACCACTACTCAATTTTTGCCTATGTAAAATAATGGCCTTGCGTTACCTATCTAAACAATCTAGTAAGGTATTACCATGCTTATGATGCTGCTCGTCGCGACTTTTTCTCCGTTCAAATTCATTATATTTTGATGAGCCAATACTAGCATTACCCTTCTTACTATCACTGTGACTATGATGGTGATTCTTCCTTTTCTCAGTAGCAAGGGATTTGGGAGTTTTTAGCATGCCTAAACTGATATCCAACATGGGGTCATACGTCGTTGTCACATTTTTGCATTTTAGACAAGTAACATTGGACTGTAATAACCCAGCAAATGTCTTATGAATGATGCACTCGCAGTTGGTACCTAGTTTATGTTCTTCACAGCCAGCATGAATGTTATTTAGAGCACTAATGAAAAATTCATGGGCATCTTGCTGGGCATAACCTGCCAACTCTTTCATACTCATCCACATGGACTGTAAAAATCGGCAAGGTCCGTAGGGCTTCTTGTCGTTTGCATAAAACTACAAAACAGTTTTAGTACATCATGTGAAAGGAAACAGCGATGAAACGGTGTCGAATAAGCAATAAAAATGGCAATACCTCTGCAAATAGATCGTTCATCTCACAGCACATGCAGTGCTGCTTCTGGCAGGTTTTAGAGTTATGTCGGTCACTTAGAAAGTAGGCTTTGAGCAATGGATTATGGATCAAACTTTGCAAAATGACGTTCATGAAACAGGTGTTGCCCATATTACATAGTCCTCGAATACCTTGACAGGAAGACAAGGTCGAATAATGTGTGATTGAGTTAATGTCCTTCCTGGTTGGCTCCCAAGGCTGGACGCGTTGTCTTTTCCTTCCTAATTCTGTAAGTGGAGGTTAGACCCGATTTGTGTAACAGAAGACCCGTAGATCCTTTGTTATAAGCAATAGTACTCTACTTGTGTATCTCTCAAAATTTATGATTGTTTCCTCTAATTCCACATCATATATATAGTCATCGCATTCAGAGCAGAACAAGGTATATCTATTAAAGTCCATAGCTGAGCCAGTAGACCAAAAAATGACGAATGGTAAGTAAAAAAAACCACACAGGCGGAATAAGGCTAGGAAGCATGGTTACCAAATGTATGCTTCTTTTCTTTTTGATGCTGCTTTATATGGCCCTTTTTCCAACATCCAAAATAAACGCAGTGTAAGCAAGCATGTAAATGGGATAAAGGGTACAGACATGTACTACATTCGGGAATAGGCAGCTATATTTTTTTTTTTTTTTTTGAAAAAGAAAGGCTCAATGCCTTGTTGCATTAAATCTGATCTTTCGCTTTTTCATTGTACCTCGTTATGTTTCCTTGTCTTTGAGTGGATAGTGTTATTACCGTTGCTACTATGACTCCTGTTGTCACCGTCGACTGAAGACGCTGCTTTCGACTTTTTAGATTGATGCCATAACATGGAATATTGAATCAGTATTCGATAATTGTCAAAAATGTTGTTCATCGTTCCTCCTCCTCCTCCATTTTTCTGGTCTATATATTCTTGCTTGAGTTTTGTGAGGTGTACGCAGCCACCGGACTGGATGGTTGGCTTCTGCTGTGTCACTTGCGATGGCTGCTGTTCCAAACTAGCTCCATAAAAGTCGGTCGAATTTTTTATGGGCGAGTAGATGATGTCAAAAATAGTTTTTTGATCGGATCGAGCAGAAGATGCTGAATGCGTCGAAACTAATGAGGAAGGTTTGTACAGTTTCGGAGACGCAAGTAATGATGAGCTTGGACTTTCAGCCATATTTGCGGGAGAAGAGGTGTATGTTGCTTATGCCTGTTTTTACGTTTTATGGGTTGGTTGACTTGTTTGTTATGCTGTAATTTTTGCACCCGCTTTAATCTGCTTACGTCTGTGCTTTTATTTAGGGAAAGAGAGGGAATAGGTTGGGTGAGTAAGAAGAAAAAAGACAGAGACCCGTGACCGGCGGGCCTACAAAGACACACACACACACACACACACACACACACACACACATTAAAATTTTATGCGAGCATGATGACATCCAGGTACAAAAGTTCATATGGATTTTGTCATTCTTTTTTTTTTTTTTGCTTTATTGCATACACTGTCTATCCTATTTTTTGCTTGAACATCATTTGAGTGCAAAGAGAGCCTATCATCACTTGATGGACCCAATGAAATAAGCAAGTCCATGCTATTTGATAAAGATACTTGGGAGAGAAAACGGTCCAAATAAATAAATGCTCTCTTAGAATAGTGACAGCTATAGACAGGAAAGCTAACGCAACACTAAACAAAATACATTGCACTAAAATATAATCCATCCAGCCACCGCTCTTTGTTGGTTCCAGTCGCTTGACGTCAGTAGGATGGTTCAAAGTCATCGCTGTAGACGATGTCGTGCTCACGCACAGGGCCCAGCCTGCGATAGACCACCAAAGGCTTGCTGACCAGTTTGAGCAGAAAGTAAGAATGCCAATAAAGAGGGTATCATATTGCTCCACACCAATATAGGCATTACTAAGATCTACAGACGCTATTGAATTAGAATGGCCCGTCGCGAAAAATGCTGTATGACATAAACAGGTGACCAACACACTTGTAAACCAAACCGGTACTTTTAGCTTGGCATGCCAAGTCAGCAGACATTGAAACTGTAGTGTAAAAAGGAAAAACAGAAATGCGTTGTGATTATCACTGAGAAGAATGAACACAGGTGTCAACATGTAAAGTAGTAACTGTAGTATCAAGCCTAGAATAAGGGGTGAATGAGTTCCAATCGATTACGTTCAGGCAACCCCCTGCCCCGCTCCCTCAGGGAAATCTCATCTATTGTTATTTTACCTGAGACTGAGGTGACTTGATCCGCCTTCTTCCTCCATGCACTGATGTTTTCGTTTTTGTTGTCCTCCATCCGTTCAACCACCTCTTTGTTTTCAACCCTCCTTTCGCCTTCGTTGTCCTCTTGCTCCGTGAAATCCATCTTTTTGGATCGCTGCAGTACATAGAATAATCCATACAAACCCAAAAGGCCTGCTCCACAATAATTATAGATCAATCTGCCTAGTTGTATTTGCGTCAATTGTTGTAAAAGTTCCCAATCAAGCAAGGCGTTATAAATGGAGGGTAGGTTGGTAATAGCCGGATGACTACGTATTTTGTACGCAAACACAAACACGGATTGAAACAGGAGGATGAGGAACAAAATAAGCTTGACGATACATTGTATGATTTTTGATGTTTGGTGTACATCCACCCATCGATTGTCATGATGAAGCCTTTGTAAACTACGGGCGCTGTAGACGACAGAGGCTAACAGACTAAAAGCCAAAAGGTGAAATGTCGTCGCGTCTGAAAAGGAGAGTGAGTTCCAAGCGATGGTGAGACGCACCAGAAATAATTCTACGGCAATGTAGGGAACAGAGGAGGGTGATAATCGAGCGCTTTTACAAAAAAGAAAATGAAAAGAGTATGAGCAAAAAAAAAAAAGATTTTTTCCATTGAAGCACAAGCCTAGAAGAAGGGGTCTTACCTGTGATAGATAGCAAGCATCGTACTTGTTTGTGTAAAGAAATACCAAGTAGCATGTTCTTCTTCCACAAAACTACTAGCAAACATGCTTACAGCATAGAGCATTAAGCCAATGATGGCGAATCGTTGGGTCATGCCTCCCCAATGGTGCTTGTTGTCCGTGACAGAGTGAGTGTCCTCTGCTGATAAAGAAAGCGTCTTTGGACGCAACATGGCTAATCGAATGAACCCAACGGCGGTGAGACAGATACAAACAACACCTATCAGCATTTGACTTAAACTGTAATCACAGGCAGTGTTGGCGAGTTGCGCTTGTGCTGCTTCTATAAACTTGAATGTGTGTGTGTGTGTGTGTGTGGGGATGGTTAAAATAGATGAGTTTGCGTTTTGTCATCCATCGCTTTGGTAGCCGATAACAACGATGATTATCTATACCTCATAATAAGCTGCAGCAGCATGTTTTCCTCTCTTTTCCTCGTTTGTCTGTATATATTGATGATGGAGTTGTTTTGCTTTCACATACAACTGTCCAAAGGAGTCAGTGAGTGCATCGACCCCGTGGGCCGGCTGATCGAATGTTTTTGCAAATGCAGGGACACTCTTTGCCAGTAGCCGCCCTAACTGTTGCGCATTTCGTTCAAGATGTCGCAGAATACTGGGTATATCTAGAGTCCATACAAAAGCATTCAGTTGCTATGCTTTCATCTCGATGCTGCAACCAAGTCAACTTACCCTCTTTGTAAAGGTCCAGAATCAGCTTTCCAATACTGTTTTTGGGTATAGGAAATGCGAATAACGTGGCCAGAGTAGGCACAAGATCAATTTGATCCATCACTGGATATCCAAACGCCATCGGTCGTTTCACATCGATGAGCGCTTTGGCAGGTTGGTCTTCAAATGACGGGCTGAGAAACACCAAAGCCTAGAGAATGAAATAAACGGAATGAGCCCTCCATCGAGTCTATTTTCTCGACACAAATAAAATTAGCCAAGTCATTTTTACAGCCGATGTCTCGCCTAGGGTGGAGCCTCCATGGTTTCCTTTCTAAAAGAAATGTTGTGCCCATACTACTCAGTCATGGTTGCTTTCCTATTTTTTTTTTTTTGGGTCCGTTATTTCTCTCCCTACCTCATTCATACCATGATCCCCACAGACAATCAATAAAGTGCCTTTGGAGGGTGGGTCCTCTGGGCGGATGCGTTTCTGATCTTGGGCTTTCACGATAGCGTAGATGGATTGAATGGCTTTATCCATTTCCAACTGCTTTGGTTTCATCAGTGGACTTTGAGGTCCACTCAGATGGCCAATGTGATCCAAGCCCAGATAATGAAGGATCACAGCGTCCCAGTCTTGTACTGTGATGTCTGTTTCGATATGGCGCGTGACGTTCCAGTCGACCTGTACTGTATCGGACACAAAGAAAGAAGTCGTCCCATCTGTTTTTGTAAAAATATCGTTGGGAAAGAGCCTGAGCCATGTATCGTCGCCAAAGAAATGAAGGGTTCGATTGTGCTGCTTTCGGAACTGATAAAGCCAATTATCATGATGCGTCAAGGAAGCACTGGTATCTGTTTCGGCAATATTGAGAATAGCATCCAAAAAACTGGGTATGGTACCGGTCGTTAAGGCTTTGATACGAGGTAAGGTGACGGTAGGCGCTGTTGCTTTGGCTGTGAAAGGATAGGCACGACCGAGCTTTATCTGTTGGTTGACAAAATGAAACCCTGAATGCTCACCTAATATAAAATCACTAGTATGCAGAAAAAGAAACACAAGGGAGTGAGTGAGTGAGTGATGGTTAAAACCACTTGAAAAAAAATAAAATAAAAAATGGCGTCGTACTTTCGTAAGGCATCGATGAGGACAAAGACTAATCTGTCAAACTGAGGAGCATCATGGACCACTTCATCTGCGAAACCTGATAAATAGACCTTATAAGGAAAGAAACCTTTGCAGAAGAGAGCAATGCCTAACAGCTGTAAACAAGCCAACAAGCTTAGGTGGATTGCTTTTCGTTTGCTGCTCATTGGGACAGGAACGGGGTCGTGGGTTCCCTTTTACTCTCTTTCTTCCTTTAGAAGCGAACGCTTTTTTTCTGGCTCGCGGGAAAGCCTCGCGGGATTTCAATCCATTTGAGTGTTGGTATTTTGCAGCTGTTCCTGAAGTGAGATGATTTAGGGAGAAGCGATTTGTCATGGTTTTTTTTTTTTTTTTTAAAAAAGCAAAAGGGGATATCGTATATTTTATTTAATTGTAACAAACCATTTTGGTTTTTAAAGAATAATAATAATAATAATAATAATAATATAAATAGTTTAAAAACGAATGTGTATGGGGTGAAGGAAGGAATGATTTATAACAAAAAAAGCGATTCGCTTTTTTTTTTTTTTTTTTGGGGAAAAAGTGGTATCAAGGGCTGTATTGGTTTTTCGCTGTGGACAATTTATTTGACTGTAGACGAAGAGGTTTGCGAAGAGGAAGAGGCTTGCGAAGAGGAAGAGGAAGAGGCTTGCGAAGAGGAAGAACCTTGCGAAGAGGAGGACGGCTGTGATGGTCTCCTTGGTTGGCTATGGGTTGGCTTATCGTATGGACGCTTGAAAACGTGTGGCTTCACTTTGGATGTTTTCAAAGAGGCTTGCGAAGAGGAAGAAGCTTGCGAAGAGGAGGATGGCTGTGATGGTTTCCTTGATTGGCTATGGGTTGGTTTATCGACGGATGGACGCTTGAAGAGGTGTGGCTTCCCTGTGAAAGTTTGCAAAGAGGCTTGCGAAGAGGAAGAAGCTTGCGAAGAGGAGGACGGTTGTGAAGGTCTCCTTGGTTGGCTCTCTGTGGGTTTATCGATGCGTGGACGCTTGACGATGTGTGGCTTCACGGTGGAGGTTTGCGAAGAAGCCGGCGGAGAGGGACCTTTGGACATGGCTTCTGTTGGATTTTCTTCCTCATGATGACGTTTCTTGGCGGCCGATGGGTTTGCAGTAGACGAGGAGGCTTGGGAAGAGGAGGAGGATGCTTGGGGTCTTTTGGAGGATGAGGCAGGTTTAGGATACAAGCGATGGCCTGTGGGAGGAGGAGCATTTTTATAGATCACCTCGGTCAAGTAAGGCGTTTCGCCAATGTAGAAGTCACAACCATGGCAGCCTTCGTATTCCAGTAAGAGAGCCTCCAATTCACGCTCGACCTTTGGAATCTCGGTATTGAAACGTTTACGGGTTCTTTCTTCTCTGAGTAAACGACCAGGGTCACCTCTTGTTCTCTTGTTCAGTAAGCGGGAGGAATCTTTGGTCATGGCTTCGAATTCCTTGAAGTCTTCTTTCAACTTTTTATACTTTCTGACGAGTTCATAGAGAGGAGCATACTTTTGGTATTCTTCCTTGACTTCTTTTGTTTTCTTCTCGATGGCAGCGAGGATGGCTTCAGAGACGTCATCACTGTAGGCAGCAGTACACAATCGACGTTGGGCTTCTGTGATGAACATGAGATCCCAAGTTTCGTGCAAGACCTTCTTGGCATTTTCGATGAATTCACCTAATTTGTCCTTCTTGAGCTGGACATATTTTTGCAAGATGTGTTCAGCCTACACGTAAAATGAAGGGGAGGGGGGATGAGTCACAAGCCCCATATCAAGATGTGTTCTTGTGGGGGTCAATAACAAAAAGGGGGGCTTTACCTTTTCAGCATGGGCATAAGAGCAGCCAGAAGAGAGTTGCTTGACGACTTGTTCTTGTTCAGCAGGTTCGATATTGATTCTGTTCATGATATGAACGACTTCTTCTTTGATCTGCCTGATTCTTGACTCGTGGTGCTGCTTGACCTTGTCTAGGTCTTGAATGCGAGACTCGAAACTTGCTTCTTCTTCTTTGGTGAGCAACTTGACATCACTAAAATGCGTTTGAGAGTTGACCTTCAGGGCACGTTCATCGGTACTTGTCTTGGTCAAAGGCTCCACCTCTTTCAGCAGGTTCACTAAAAGCATGGCAAGTTGCGTGGTAGAAACGAGGCGGTCATCATACTCGTTTTGGCAGCGCTTGACTTCTTGTTCAAGGTCACTAATGGCAGCGACAGACACGTCGTTGCCCACCAATGCAACGAGATCAATCTTGGCGAAACCCTGAAGTGTTTCGTAAAAGTTAGAGATTTGAGACTTGAGGCCTAAAAAAAAAAAAAAAAATGATAAAAAAATGAGTCAGTGACTGGCGGGGGTGAGGGGGGAGGACAGTGGCAGTGCATAAGAAACTTACTATCAACATAGAGTCTCTTTTCATTGTATTCCTATAGAAGCAAAAAAGAAAAAAAAAAAAAAAAAAAAAAAAAAAGGGACGAAATGCCCGCAGAAAAGGTAAATAAAGGGATAAAAGACATAGGGGTTGTTTGTTTGTTTTTCAAAGTCTGGATAAATTTACTTTTTCCAATACTTTATACTCAGCGTGCAATTCATTCAAGTTTTCTCTCAAAGTCTTGGTTTGATCACGAGAAGGAGTACCTGCAGTGTACTGGCCTAAGAGTTGCTTGTGGGTCGTAATCCAGTCGCGTAACTGTTCACATTCACGTTGCATTTTATCATGGACTTGACGTAGGCTATCCAACTGTAACCTATGTTGTTCTTCTAAACGCTCATAGATCGCGTCCAAGACGGATTCACTTTCAGGTACTTCAAGTTGAAGATCATTAATGTGAAGAAGGTAGGTTGACTCATCGGCGATAAGCATTTCAATAAACTGCTTAAGCTGCCTACTGATCGCAGCATGGATGGTGGTTGAGATGATGTTTGTCATTCGAAAAGTGAATTGGAAGAAAGTTTTTTTTCAGTTTAGAGGGCAAGTAGTTCAGATTTAAGAAGAAGGTTTTGTTAGAAAGATAATAAAGAAAGTTTTTTTTTTTTTGAAAAAGGTTAAAGAGATAGACAGAAATTAAAAAAAAAGTGAGCACTGGATTTATATAGACGGGGAAAAAAAAAAAAAAAAACCCTCTCCTCTCTCTCCTGAAAAATGCAATAGTCTCATGTGATCTAGCGGAACTTTATTAACGTTAAATTTTAATTGTTCGCTCAGGAGAGCAACCCTCAGTTGCTCTACACAAAGCACTTGAGAGAGCTATTTCATATTCACTTTTACTACTACTACTTGTTTCTTTCGAAAATAGACTGAATATAGTAGTATAAAAGATAGTTGCAGAGTAGACAGCGTTGATATTCGTTTGGCTTGTTGACACTTGTATGTTCTGGACAAATTACAGTAAATTTTGTGCGACTGAAGAGACGCTATGTTATAGAGCATCGTATTGTATTTACACAACAGTTGTTTGTTGTTGTTGTATCAGATAGTTTTTTTAGCTCAATTTACGCGATTGGTTACATGAATAGCCTTTTTTTTTTTTTTTTTTCCTTTTCCAATCCACAAGTAATGGGGTTACAGTCTATGTCTTGGCTTTGATTTTATAATGAAAAAAGTGCCATGATTTACGTGTTCGTTGCTATGATGTTCCTCGACTCAAATGTGAGGTCTAGACTAAGTGGAAAAGGGTACAGATGGACAGTGATCTTACTCGCTCATCATCCTTTATTTCCAAAAATATACCCACTGTTCCCTTGTGATAATTAATAATGTGTTACACGTTGTTTCGTCAGTCAACGTTAATTGTTTTCTTGCTTACCTATGCTTTTTGTCAACAGAAAAAGTCAATGCACTGCAACACATACCCATCTAAAAAGCCATTTCGTATTCGTTGCGTAGCAATAACTCCATACGAAAATGTCAAAAAACCAAGCAGGATGCATTCAAAAAAGAGGATTGATTTTTTCTGTGCTTGGTAGAATGAAAAAGAGAGTGGGGCTTTGGCGTTCGTCATTGAGGGGGTGTTTGTTGTTTTTACCATTTTAAGAGAGCCAACTTTTTTTTTTTTAAGGTAACCTCCACAATGAAGGCTCTTTGAGTGTAACTCATTTATTCCGTATTCCGTAGCTTATTTTTTTTTCTTTTTTTTTTTACGCTTTCTGCAGATCCTCTTTTATCGAAGCTCTGTACAAAAGGCTAAAATACTCCAAAAAGTAGCTTCACTATGGCCCTCACCACTTGCTTTCCATGAGCGATACAATGCTGTCTGTAGAAATGGGTCAGCCTTATCAAGAACAAACGACCCTCATCCGCTATGCATCAACGTACGCTTGGTAGAGCCTAAAATCCGCTAGAGAGTGAAAATCCTTTGCCAAAAAATTTTCAATGCATGTACTACTTTGTTATCTCATGCGTTCTCCAAGAAAAAAAAAGACAAGCTGTGTTGCTTATCTTTAATACTTCCTTTTATAGATTGGCTATTACGAGACTTCTTCGAGAAAAAAAGCTTGTTGGTGTGCATGCATCGATAAGCCTCTATGGGATAGAATACGACAACTTCTTTGTGAAAGCCATCCAAGACAAAGCAATGGTTCAACAAAAAGAGGCCACGATTGAAAAAATGGGTCAGCTTTTTTTTTTTTTTTTTTTTTTCACCATGCGTTCTCTATCCAACCCGATATGGAAGTTTACTAAAATCAGCCGAGTACACAAATAAACAAGCAATCGAGACTTTCAATACATATTCAGGAGTTTATTTAAGGCTTAGTTACCCCATTCATAGCGAAAGGGTTGTCTTCTATGCGTGGTACGAGCTATTTTCAACCTTAGTATGGAGGGGGGGGGTGTGTAGTCGTACTTGGAATGAAGGAAATAGGAGAGTTTTGACTGGAGTCGTCAAGAGCGTGGGAGCAGCAACAGAGATGACATGTGTGCATTCAGCTGCTGTTTCTATGGGGACGGGTACCCGTCCTCTCGATGTCCATGATGTAGGCTTTGGCTACTGTTACCACTACGTTTGTGGATAAAAAAGAAAGTAAATCCGTTTGAAGAACGACTCTCTTAGAAAGGGTGTTTTGTCCTTTGGAAAAAAAAAGGCTCATGAAGAAAAAGAAAGATTCAAGTACGTCTCATTGCAACTCGAGCATGCACGGGAAGCATTCCGAGCTCAATGCACAGCCAACAAGACTATAAGGAGGCATAGTCAACAAGGACACGACGGAAAAAAAGCCATACAGTATCTCTTTTTGCTGCCAAGAATCTTTACAGGGAAAGCGTAACGATAAGTTCTCTTACAAGACTCAGACGTGTCTTTTTTCTTATCCAAAATCCTTATACCTCTTCACTAAGAGAGCCTTTTGTCCAAAGTCAGCTAAAGTTCATCTCTCCATCTGGGCAAAGTCCAAGGTCTCCAAGAAAGCTGCTGGCCGACTCTATCATGTCAATGCCACTGGCTCACTTGGGAAATGATACATCGACATAGATAATGCACTTCTAGGTTACAAAACAGGTTGTCCTTCTTTTTTATTTCCGGTCTAAACAAGTGAGTTTTATCGTCTTTCTCTTCATTTACTTGATTGTCTATTCAGTATGTCGATATTCCCCTCTATTATAAATGTCTTGAACATTTTTTACAAGAGTTATCAATGCGCGTATGAACATGCGTGCACTTAGTTCAGTGTCCTTTGAAAATGTTTTTCTATGGGTGCTTTTCTCATTCATCACGCGTCCTCTTTTCTGAATGATCTCTCTGCAAAAAAAAAACTCCATCTACGCCGCTGTGATATCACTCGACTTGTTAAAAGAATGTCTCTATTTGCCCATCATGGATTTCCTGTGATATGTTTTTTTTTACTCTTCACAGTGTCTCTTTCTTTCTCTCTTTTCAAAGTCGGGTTTTTCGAGGGGGTTTTGACATCACATCATGCCATCGAATAGAGCGGTAAGAAAAGAAAGCTCAATCGCTTGATTCGGTATGTATTCAGCTCCATCAAAGCTCACAGTTGGGTCCCCCACGACCTCACCCTTTTTACTGACAGATGAAAGAAGAGCCATGTTACGGGAAAAGAAATCCGTTGGCCACGGGCTCTCAGGGCAATTTTTATTCAACTTGTAAAAAAACCCGATCTGCATGAATTGAACGGAAATTTCGTGACTCGAGGCAAAACTCACAGGTGGCTTATCTTTCTCTTTTATTTTCGAAAAAGTGAATCTTTTGGGCAAAGGAATTTATATTTGATTTTCAATAGAAAGAAACAAAACTCATGGTACAGAAAATCGATTGGAAACAGGTATACGTCTATTTCTATTGAAAGACTGTTTGTAAGAGACGGAGCGGGTTGACTGATGCACTGTCTATTTTCTGCTTTGTTTCCGACCTCCTTCAGGCTAAGAAAGCCATCGATGCCTTATATACATTCAACGAATCAAAGCAATCCAACGATTTACTTGACAGTGATGAAGAAAGTGGCATCTATATTCAAATCACAACACATAAAATAATGAACAAAGAAACTACAAAGAAAAAAAAGATGTAAGCTTAGAGAAACAACAGCAGCTACCGTTTGTCACTCTTTTTTTTTTTCTTTTGCGCTGCTTGCCCACCCAATACGAGAGAGAGACGACCTACTGATAACAAAAATGGATTCTATAAAATTAGTGCCTTACCTTGTAAGCCTTTCAAAGACGATTTAGAAATCTGTTACTTTACCAAAGAAAATACAAAGGATGTCGAAGAGAAAGTTAAGGATACCCCTATCAAGAAGGTATGTTTTGTGTGGTTGGGATCTATTCTTTTTCCTTATGAGCTTTCCGTTCACTCTTTCATGCTTTCTTGGTTTGGTTCAGGTCATCAACACGAGAGAATTAGCTACAGTATACAAGTCATTCGAATCAAGAAGAAAATTATTAAACTCTTACGATTTATTTATGGTGGATGATCGAATTGTACATTTGATGCCACCTTTACTTGGCAAGAAGTTCTTTGAAAGAAACAAGTAAGACATTTCCCGGAAAAAAAAAAAAAAAAAAAAAAAAAGACCCAACGATGTATCCCTGTTGGCCTTTGACTCATCGAGTTTCCCCCTCACACTATGTTAGGACGCCTATTGCTTTAAAGCCCACTGGCTCTTTTAAAAATCATATCGAAGCAGCATTGAATGCTACCTATGTCAAGCTAAACAACGGTCTCATCACGTAAGTCGAGAGGGTCTCTTTTTTTTTTTTTTTTTTTTCATTCCAAGCATCAAAGATGGGCTGTTGTACTAACCATTCACTTGTTGGCGGATGGGGTTTATCCCTATTAGACTTGTTTATATTGGTAATTTTGGCATGTCCAAGGAAGACGTATTAAAAAATTATAAAGCAGCTGTACCGGAAATTGTTAACATTTGTGCTCACGAATGGGACCAAGTACAGATGCTGGGCTTGAAATCCAGCTCCTCACCCGTCCTTCCAGTCTATGCAGCCTTCCCTTCTGAGGCTACAGTGAGCAAGGAGGAAAAGACCAAGGAGGAAAAGACCAAGGAGAAGCCAACCAAGGAGAAGCAAGCCAAGGAGGAGGAAAAGCCCAAGGAAAAGCCAGCCAAGAAGGAAGAGAAACCCAAGGCAAAGTTAGCCAAGAAGAAGCTAGTGAAGAAGGCTAAAAAGAATTAGACTTTTGTTGTAATTTATGTCAGTATATACGTATCAATAAAAAAAAAAAAAAAAAAAAAAAAAAAAAAAAAAAAAAAGAAACTTGCGTTGCATCGTCGTTATCAGTTGTATCCAGTCAAACCACTCAATAGCAGAGGGCTGTACACATTCCCTTCACCAGCTAGCAACAGTCTCGGTGAGAAATGCATGTGCCTTTAAAAATGTCATATGTTGAGTTGTGCTACAACAGCTCTTGATTTACGTAAAACATGGGAGTTACTTTAAACTTTGGGTTGGCTTCACTCACCCAAAGGTGAAGATTGCATTCCTCTTTTCCACTCTTTTCCCCGTTGAAAACAGCTTACATTATAACTACCATGGACGCCATGGTGGCTGATCTATTTTCAAAATGGTATACTTATCTTTACCATCATTTTCATCATAAAATGGACTACTATGCACCACCGCCCGATCAATTGTTCCCTAGGATGCGACAGATCATCGACGTGATATCCGCCTACAGTCCACCCATTGTTAGGGTATACTACACTATTCTCAACGCCAATATATTACCAGCTATTATCAACACAGTCTGTCATAGTGACGAAAACAGCTGCAGTGTAAACAGTGAAACAATCAAGACAGTAGCCGTTCTTATTGCCCTTCTCGTTTTATATGCTATTTTTGCGATCGTTTTATTTGTTGTGCGTGGTATCACACGATGCATTCTCGCACTCGTGCGTTTGGGTTCCCTCACAGCTTTATTACTCTTGTTTGCTTGCATCGTCGTGTCTATTGTTTCTGCCACAGCACTGCAAGGCAATAATCCATCGTAGGCTAATGACCCGTCTCTCTCAAGCTCAACTATGTCTTCCCTCCCCCCCTTCTCGCTCAACCCTCCTGTAAATACCTTTACATTCGATCATACACCTTCTCACCACTTTTTCCTCAACTTACCCTTTCCCTGCTCACTGTATGTTCAATCTATCCAATGATATCATTTTATTCAAAAGTGATGGTTGCAAAAAATCAAAAAAAAAAAAAAAAAAATGGTTTTTGAGGAATCAGTCGAGGGAATAAATAATAATAATAATAATGTAGTGTTGTTGGTGTATCATGTTGACTCCTCCGTTCAGTGGATTTTTTTATTTTTTTTTCTGTCAGACAGGTGGGTTCATTCGCTTTTTTCTTTTTTTACTTTCTCCAGGTATACTTGAGGTGAGCGGGTCGTTCAGGTACCACTACCATGGAGGTGTAATCTGACTTGGGCACTTTTCCGTTTTCCAACTCAAAATCAAACATTCTCAACAGGGTAGCCACAATGGTTTTGATTTGCAAGTAACCAAATTGTTCACCAATACAACGATGACGGCCAGCACCAAAAGGTAAGAATGGATTTTTAGACGAGATACCGACAGCACCAAACCCGTAATCCATATTCGCATCATCCCCTGCCTCCATGCCGTGCACAGGATCGTCGAGATCAATCCAACGCATGGGATGGTAGGTGAGAGGGTCCTTGAAATAAAGCTCGTCTACTTGCGTCACGCCAGGAGCGGCACACAGGAAATGTCCTTTGGGAATTTCATGTCCTGTCTTTTCAAAGACGACACCGTTAGGCGCAATGACTTTACGCATCATTTGATAAATGGGCGCGTGGAGACGTAACGTTTCTTTGACACAGCACTCTAATAACGTCAATTCTTTCAAATTATCGTACGTCAGCTCGGCTTGTAAAGAACCCAATTTTTCAATCTGTTCGTCTCGCAGAGCGCGAATGAGATCGGGACGTGCAGAGAGTTCGAGCAATGTCCATGAAGCCGTCGTGGCCGATGTATGCTGACCACCAAAGAGAACCGCAATCATCATGCCAGCGATATGATGATCAGGGACAGGCGTTCCATCTTTGTAAGTGGCGTCCATTAAAGCTTGAAGTAAATCTGCGTTGTTCTATATTCAGGGAGAAATGCGTCAGTCCCTCCTCCACTCTCCTTTCCTCTTTTCGAAAAAAGCCGCTTCCTCCCCGCGGGTGATCTACCCCCCCCCCCCCCACCCATCTGATGCTTACTCTATCATTGTTCTCCTTTCTACGTTGGATGATGCTTGAATAAAGTTCGGCCATTTTTCGACAAGCCTCGTCTCGATGACGATAAGAAGGTAAAGGCAAGTTGGGAAAGACAAAGTTGATCGGTTGAAATCCTTGATCCAGGTCGTAATACAATTTGGCGACACTGCCATCGAGATTAGCACGGATTTCTTTCCCCATCAAACAACGTGAAGCTGTGCAAATGATCAAGGATCCAAACGTATGATAGGCGTCGAAAGTACCACTAGGCTTTTTGAAATCTTGAAAAAAGTTTTCCACCTCTTCTACAATCATGGGCACATGTTTGCGGAAGGACTCTGAATTCAAACCTGCCTTGATGAATCTAGAAAGGCGGGGGGGGAGGGAGTATAGAGGATGAGAGCCCATGGGCGCGAATGACTCGATTTTTTTTTTTTTTTTTTGTCATCACTTGCCTCTTCTGTTCTAAAAACAAATTGTGAGGTGCATCATACACAACTTCGGGCCCGAAAACATATTTCGTCATATCATTGTAAGCTTCGGCAGCCGAGGATAGATTCTGCTTGGAATTGAAAACAAATTGGTTGCCATCCGCACCCAATAATACAGTCACCTTCTTGCCCACCATATGGAAAGTAAACACGTCTCCATATTTCTTTTGACATTTTTGTAAGAATTGAATAGGATTTCTAAAAAAAAAAATAATAATTGTTTCAGTTCAAACACCACCGGAAAAGCGGTCCATTGTTTTCTCTTCACTACCCCACACTACTTTACATTCCAAATTCAATGGCATTTCCCATAAATGGTATCCATGAAAAAACGACAGGTGGCGCCTTTGAGTTCTTGGGACCAAACTATGAAAAAAAAAAAAAAAAAAAAAAAAGAAACAAGTCGTTCAACTACATTGTCTGATGGAACAGCCCATACGTGTTCTTTGAAGGTTGGTTTTTTTTTTTTTTTCCCTGTTTGGACCCATTGTTTTACCAGTTGATTCGCTATATTGAGGATGATATAGAGTGTAGTGGCCAAAAGAACATAGGTGATACATGTTGAAAGAGGAGGTAAAGAGGAGATGAGTGTTGAGATGACCGCCATCTTGAGTTATAAACGATTGAAAATGTAAGAAACTAAAGAAAAGGAGTGAAAAATCATTGACTTTTTTTTTTTTTTTTTTTTTTTTTTTTTCTGATCGGAAAGCATACCACATGAAGCTGCTCTTGGGTCCGCTCGTCGTCAATGTAACCGAATCTTTCAATAATGAATCCCCGCAAATCAATTTTGTATGACACAAATACTACATAGAATGCACTTGTTTCTTTCTGATCCTCTCCGACCATTGAACTGCCATTGTGATGCAGGGGGGATGTTTTGAGAAAATTGAATGGTGCAGTTGTTTGTTTGGGTATAAAACAAAGCCAACAGTAAGAACGCAAGTAACGCATTGAGCAATGACACTACAAACACCAAAAAGACGGGTGCAAATGTGTAGTACTATAGCTAGATGGGAGTCTATTGGGAGGAAAACATGGATTCTAGAGGGTATCTTCTGGATTCATGACTTGGAGGTGTTGAATTCTTCTTCTTAGAACATACAACACTGCAATGGATCGAGATACGAGAAATGATGGATCCGCCTCAATGGTTGCACCAAGGCCTTGTGTTGAAGAATCTTTCACAAAAATAAAGAGTATCTATCCATACGATATGGCCTGATTCCTTATCTCTAGAGTACATAACATGACAAACCTATCAAAAAAAAAAAAAACAAAAAAAAACAACAACCACCATGAACAGCTTTATATCTGTAGTTTACACATAAACATTGAAAGGTGCTGTTATAGCAGCCCCACAAATAAAATATCGTTTCCGTAAGCTTGTTTTCTTTTTCTTATCATTGTTATAGGGTATGAAGTTGTACTTTTGAATATATATACTGTAGTCTCGTCTGTCTCTCTTTGCTATTGCAGTTGATCCTATTGGCAGAATTGGCGTGCTCCGTCAATGGCAATCACTCTTCTCTGGAATTTTCTTTCTGTTACTCTATTTCATCTCCATGTTCTTTTTCCATTCCTTGTTGCCAATAACATCTTTAGGAACTCTAATAAAATTTGGCTAGGCGTGCTATTGAGTAGATTTCATTTTTTACATATGAAAACGTAAATGTATCATGCCCAAATGGCTGCTTCATCTAGTCGTTGTTCCAAGTGAATAAGAAATTCACTACCCTAAAGCAACAACAGCAGAGAGAAACCCTAAAATCAAAAGTTAGAAAGAGTACTTGAATACATTCCGATCACCAGTCTCTCTATATCACAGAAACGTGTACTTTCTCAAGATGATCAAACCGCACATAAAGTGGTAGATGAATACCGGCGGCTAAAGTAAACTACACTTTTTAACGACAGTATCATGTCATTCATTGCTACGTTGTCTTTTTTTTTGTCTTTTAAACCGAAACAAAGAGATGTGGATGTTGGAACTCAAAAAGTGAGTAACACCTATTACATCGCTAAGAGCACAGAAAGGGCCCCTTATTTCTTTGAGGATAGCCAAAGCAATCAGGTTCAGCGGGTGCACTGTTGGGAAATGATGAAAAACAACTTGAAGGCATGAAAGAAAAGAAACACGAAAGGAGAAAAGGAAAACAAACGTTTCATTGTTTACTTTTACAGATGTATCAAGTATAGCCTTTCTTGCTCTCACATTGACCTCATCAATCATTATTATTGAAGCTCTATTGGCTGCTTTGAGGCTTTCAAAACGACCTGATTTATCACTCTGTGCCAAAGTTTATCTTTTGTTTCGCTATGCGACGGCCATTATAACGCGTTCATAAATCACTTTTTTCAAGGATGAGAACTTGACGGGTCTCATTCTGACGTTTACAATCAAGTCATGCAATGTTAGCCATGCAGCAACTTTCCTCTGTAGCGGCTGCCTCAGAGGATACCAAGTATCAACTTTTCTATACTCAGAATAGCTTTCATTGAAAGTAAAGATTGCCTATAAGAGAAGGCCTAAGAGGATGCCGTTCTACTGTTGTAAAAACCGACACATGGACCAATAACAAACATATAATATGAAGGCACTGCTCTCTAGGCTGACAATGGCAAGATTCACTACAAGCTATTCTTCTTCGTATTCCTTCATTCGCAGCTTGTGTACTTTAAGCGAAGAAAAGGAACTAGATGTCAACGAAAAAAATGAAAATTTGGCTTCTTCAACAATGATTCAAATCTTCTGCAGCAACCTATGGAAGCTCTAAAGAAAAACAAAAAGGCGGTAAGTGTAATGAATGTCAAAAATTATCCTTGAATTTTGAAATAATGCATTTGATGTTCCTGTTTTTTAAGAAAAAAAGGAGGAAAATTCACGGCGTATCTTGTTGGCATTGGTCGATTTTCTTATTCCTCTTGTTACGGCATTATTTTTGTTACTGCAAACACTTATACCTCTTCATCTAAAGAATTACACAATGTCACTGAGCGAAGTATTGGAATGCACAATTGTAAATCCTAATCCACACATCAACCAACAAAAATATTATCCATTCACCTGCGTTTCTGACAGAGCTGGCTATTTTATGTAGGATTTCGAAGGTCAAAAACTAGCAGAGCAATTGACATATATTCTGCTGATCGTCACTAGTGTGAGTAGTAGAAGAGAAGTCAACTCAAGAAATCACAGTGATGTCGCTATAACTTTTTTTTTTTTTTTTTTTTTTTTTTTTTGCGAGCTTAGTTTGCTAGCTTTGTAACAGGTTACCTTATGGCTTCTATGCAGTTATCTTTATATATCTTTTTAGCAGGCTGCATCCTTACAAGTCTGGTAAGCGCGTTGTTTTTTTTCAGACAATAGAATTCATGCAAGGCCAAAAACTAATAAACAAACCTTTAACTTTTTACTAGGTCGTGCTTCCACCTTGGCCGATGTATAATAAGCATCCTCAACTATTTATTCAAGACAAAAGCAGCGATTCTACAAAAATACAAGTCAAGAAAGAATAGTCATAGCATTTAAACAATAAGAAAATAAAAAAAGAGGAATGTTGCATGCCGGAAGAAATTTGTTTGATATTGATCTAGTAATGCATTCATAGTCAGGATCCACACTTACAAGCCTTTTACAGTTACTCTTACAATAATAGTTTTGAAAAATCGTTTTTTTTTTTTTTTTAGTATTCCTTGGTTGCTAACAACCAATGACATCTTTGAACGTATGAGGGACATAACTTCAACTTGAACTGTTGAACAGAGTATTATTTCAAAAAAAGACAAAGCTTTGAATGTGTGGGCATTCTAGACATTTTTTGGCGCCTGAAAACTTATTATATGGCGCCGCGAAAGTATATCATCTATTGTCACTTCCGGGACTGCCTCATGAAATCAAACGAAGGATGCATTTTTAAACAAAGACAGACTTAGCATTCGAACGGTCTCTGCCATTTCACACACTAAAGGATGCCATCCATTTTCTATTTTATCCAAATATTCTCTTTTTTTACTAAGCTTATTAAATGGTTCCTATGGAGTCGAAGGTGCTAAAATAGGCTATCAAGGGTCTCTCGTTACAGCTGTTCTCAAGAATGAAGCTTGGATGCTGGGTACCATAAGAATGTGCGAAATAAATTATAAACATCATACAATACATGTCATCGTTTTCTTTATACAAAACATGATTCGCTTTGAATATCTCTAAAGCTTTCGGTCTCGCAAAGCAGACAAAAAGCTATTCAACCGATCAGTACTCATTTACATTTCTGGTTTTTTGAGGTCGTCCATTGTGTAGAATTGATCAATTTGAGAAAGCCAGTCTTTCATATCATCAAAATGAGCTGCTTGAAATAGATACGCATTATTACTTGTATATACTTCGAATACAAAGTTCCTCTACAGGAAGTGGAATGATGGTCAGGCCAAGTCTTCCACCTGATTTTTCTTTTCCATAACAGTCTTTACGCTTCCCTACCTGTAGCAACTTTACCAAGTCAGGTTTATAGTGCACACTGCCTGAAGTGAGATTCAAAACACCCACTTCTTCTGTCTCTGTTTGATCATTGTATAGAATTAAAAACGGCCTAAACAGTTTTGAAAATTAAAACAAAGAAACCGCTGCCAATGAATGGATCAAAATTTACCTTCGAAGAACAAGCCAGCGATTGAGCCAGCTTTGACTCGCATTCTCCATAAACAATAGATGGCCTTTTTTGGTTACAGTATCACTATCATCAAGTCAATGAGAATTTCTAAAAACGTGTTTTGGTCTTGGTGTTATGAAGAAAAGTTACCTGGGGTATACTTGTTGGATGTGTGCGAGTAATTTTACCTTTGTGAGCTCTTCGTTGTTGTTGGTTCCAGTACTGGTTGCACTTGGTGAGGATAGATTGGGGGGATCTTGATTTAATACAATCTACAAGTGTTTGGAAGTATCCACTTTGTAAGACGCGTGTTTCATTGCTTCTATTATTATAAACTTGCCGTACCTCTTCTTGCTCTCCAAACTTTCTTTGCCAAAGATCGATTACTTTTAGTAGCAACTTCTTTTCATCCATAGGTGATAACTTACGCTTTTCCGGAAGCTTTCTTAGTAGAGAGCTTTCTGCAGCGTTTGTTTTTGGTTGATCTACTCTTATTGGAGAATCCGAGTAACTATGTTGTATCATTTTTGTCTGCGGGTGATCACGTAAAAGCATAGATTGTCTGAATGAAGCTACCTCTTCCCGAAATAACATTTGCTGTCTTGCTGCTTTATACTCATTGATAAGCGAAACACCTTTTGGCACCCAAGCACCTATATATTCTTCACCGCGTACATATCTTTTGGATGTATCCAGTCTCCACAAATCCTTTACATTCTTTGCTATTCTTGGTTTCAGCTCAACTGTGAACAGGACGCTTGCTTTATTCATTATTTTTGTAGCGCTTCCATACTCTTTCACATGGCCACTGCCTGCTAGTAGAAATTGCTTAAATAATGACGACGGAGATATCGAGGATGCTAACGTCTTATCCCTTGCATCCATTTGTAACATAATATTTGTACTAAAAGTGAGAGGTGTGTCGCTTTTCTCCTGGGTAATCTGCCATGTTAAAGTCATACACACATGTTTGCCACTCGGTGTTGTACGGTCAAGTTGCAGAGAGTCGTGAAGTGAGCTATCCCAAGCGCCCTCCACCGTCAATGTCGATGTGTTTCTCTGTCCAAGAAGTGTTTTGCTTTTCTTAGGCAGCAAATTAATATTCACAAAGGATGCGTCTTCATCTGATAACACCTCTGCTTCTTCTTGCTGTTGTTGTTGTTGTTGTTCCGACTTGATTGTTATCCAACGAATATTGCCCAGCTTCAAATTCTTTATCTCTTTCCAATTCAGTCGGCTGCCCGAATCGTGCAAAAGTGTCAACGAAATACGTCTTTGCAGTCCTTGACGTAAACAAAATAGATAATGCGGCTTTTTTGTTTCATGACTTTCGTAATGCAATACCTTGACCGGACAGTACTCTCCCTGTGAATTCAACTCTCGAATTTGAATCCACGCAAGTATGTCATGACGCTCTCGCATCAATATACCATTATAAGTATGCTGGTCCGTTGAAAAGTTTCTTAACAAGGGTACTCTTCTGTTCGATGACAAGTTACTGTCTGTCCTTTGGGGCTGATGGCTGTGCTGTCTTTCATTCTTCAACTCAATCGGCCGATGATGGAAGGTATTACCATTACAGGCATACGAGCCGCTTTCTGAAATCGTTCTATTATCGCTAGGTATGTTCGATTCGTCTATGAGTTTGTACAGATATTGTTCTTGCATGCGTCCATGGATTTCAATGGTAAGGCCTTGATTCAGAATGACATCCATCATATTGCTGGTAATATTGATGGACAAAGTCTGACATTGTCCAAACTCAATCACGCTGCCCTCTCCAAATCCGCTCACAGGATCCGTTTGATACATTTTATCTGCTGGTGATAGCCTTTCGACATTCCCGAAGGATGAGAGTCTAAACTGTGCGTGAACTTGCGTGAAGTCAGATTCATTGATGCCCTTTAGTTCTTGAATGCGTACTTCAAACACTTGCTGCTGACCTGTATGTAAGAGATACTTTTCACTCAGAGCACGTTGTTTCAGTAAACCACGCCTTAAAAGTAAGCTAGTAGAACTGGGTGATGCATCGTGTCGCGGTGGTGGCTGCGATTCCTGTGGTTGTGATGGCGCTGTGGAAATTTGCTTTCTAGAAATAGACCTAGCAATCGGTGTAATCATCACGCGAACTTGTCCCATGACTCTTCCACTGTTTCTGCAGTAAATATCCACATAGTTATCCGCGTGTAGTTGTACTGTCAAATTTTGCAAAGGCACCCGCGCCAAGCCTATCAATGCGTATCGAGGGCACAGTATTTCATGGAACGGATCTTCGCGGTTAAAGTGCTGTTGCGTCAAAAGACTTTTGTTGTTGTCCTCTGCATAATCGTAAATCTTGTGCATTTGTTGCAACCGTCGTTTCAGTTTGGCAATCGACCATATATAGGTGGTGCAATGTAATTTGTCAATGACTTGAACAGCTAGGCAAGGCTTTGGGTCAGCTAACAGATGGGCATCATTATAACTATTGATTGATCCTTGATATAAAACACTCGATGTTGGCTCCCAAAAGGATGGATGGCTGGCAGAAAGATCGTCATGCACTACAATAAACTGATAAATAACACCCTTTTTCAATTCTCTTGCCATGACATTGGCCTCTTTTAACAATACGGCATGTACTAGACAATCTTCTGCCATTTTCACGTATCTTAGTTTACGCCACTTTTCAATTACCCATCGCTGTAGGGCCTCTGGAGCATTCTTTGCGTTGTAACCGACATGCAAATCATCCGAACTCAGTTGTGTTCCTGGGGGGAGATGGGCAGAAATTCTTTTGATTTTAGATTCATAGGCCTTTTTTTGTTCCTCCAATGTTCGTTCCATTTGTTGTTTCATCAATGCATATTTGGTTGCCAGTACTGCTTTTTCTTTATCTGACTCGCTTGAATTAATACTCAATGACTCAATCAATCTTATTTTCTCTTCATATTCCTGTTTCTGAATATCGAATCTCTGTTGCATGTCTTTTATCGCTGCACAAAGAAGCTCCTCCTTTTCCTCTTTGATTATTGTTGAGAAGGAGGACAGGCGATCTTCTTTCGTATTGTCTTGGAATTCACTGAACATGGCATCTGTTTTACAGATACTAGTAGCAGTTGAACTGACGGAAGCTCGAGGAATAATGTTACTGTCAATTGAATCCGAATAGAGACTGTTACTGTCTGAAGATAGTCTGTCTTTATTACGAGATTCGCGAATTTTTGTGATGCCATCCGACAATTGCTTTAAGTCCTCGTCCGTCATTTTTGTGAGGTCGGCGTTTCCCTGACTTCCAAAGTTGCGAAGTGCTTCATTATGGGCAAAGTTCCAATCGATGATGTCCGGTGGGTGTGAATAATAAAACTTGCTGCTCTCGCTTGCAAGGCTACTGCTTGTAGGAGATCCACACGTGTAGGTAGAGTGAGTTATGTCACCTTTTATATTGCTCGAAGCTATTAAAAGCGGTGTTGCATCTGCGTGATGAAGGGTCACGTTACTATCGTCGCATTTCTGCAATAACTTTAGCTGTTGCTGTTGATGATCTCTCTCCCTTTTGACCTCGTCTGGATTATTGAAACGAAACAAGTGTTGCAGTCCGGATCCAAATATGATTCTGTATCCACTATGCAATACCTTTGGCTCGCTTATACGAAGACCGTTGACAAGTGTTACAGCTTGTTTATTCGGGTAAATTGTAACAGTACGTCCGCCATTAGTGGTAGCATATCCATTGAGGTGCCTGATTTCCTGATCTTTCTTGTTCGTATTGCTAATATCCTCCTCCAGTGGAAGATTCTCAAAGTAGCAATGTTCATCAGAGATCTCTGAGCCACTCAGTCGAATATCCGCTGCGACCTGGCTCCCAAGTCTACCTACACGAGTGATACCAGGCTTGATTTGATACATTAAACATTCTGTCATTAAAGGATCTTCATTCAGATTGATCAAGTGAACAGTTTTAGGAGCATAGATGCCCATATTATCTTTTTCTACTATCACACCCAATGCTTCTAATGCTTTTTCTCGTTCCGCATGGATGGCTTCCGTTCTTTTCATCTTTTCCTCCCATGTTTCATTGACGGTGGCTAAAAGTTTTTCGGACGTTTCTAACTGTTCCATGAGCTCTTCTTTGCTTACTATATTGCCGTGGATGGCAGAGAACCTATCTTGCTTCTTTTGTACTGCTGCTACTGCCACTGCTGACGAGGCAAATGCTGGAGATTCTGGCGAAATCAATAGCATGGGCGAAACGGAAGACTCCCTGATAGAAGAGTTTCTGGATGATGTTCGACTACTTCCAAACGACTGCCTTCGCGTTCGCTGTTGCAGTGTGATTCTCTCTAGCACTTCTTCGGGAACGTAAACCTTCAATGTATCTCTTAATGCTTGAAGTTCTTCTTTTAATTCACGGATCAAGCGAGCGTTTGGATCTTCATTGACGATAGGCTTGTTCTTGATATGCTTGGCTTGATCGGCATAACGTAACGTACTCAATGTTTCTTCATAGTCCGTGGGTGAAATGGTGGCTATCATGGTGGTCTTTGAGTTACCACCCAGGGAGTCTTTTAACAGCCATGTGAGCACAGAATCTCTGTAGGGGATAAAAATCGTTGTACTAGGGCTGGCACTTTTACCACCGGTGAATGAAGCTCTTCTTTTTGCTGTACTTTTCATTGTAGAGGTAGATTGTTCTGCAAGAGCTGCAATCACCTTGCCTAGAGTGGCTAACGATTTGTTAATGTTTGCACCTTCTTTCAGCCGAATACCGGTAGCGCCTGTGCTATTCACTCTTTCGCTGCCTGCTAGATCTACGAGACTAATACGAGCCACCTTTCCACTATTTTTGTTTGATTTTTCAGACTTTTCTTCTGGATTTGCCAATGAGGTTAGGAATATAGTAAAGACAGCATGCGATCTTGACGATGTTTCGTTCATTTTAGTAGCAGCCACTGTCCTCGCCTAAAAGTAAAAAGGTATTTTTTTTAATTCAAAAACATGCACGATGTCCCATCTGAAGTGACAACACTTTTTTACCTGGTTTCCTTCGTGAATCAATTGTTCCATATCTTTATAAGAGCTTACGATGAGCCTTGCTAGGTCTTCCACATACGGACCTATGGTTGGATGCTCTCTCACCTTTAGATTTCCTTTGTTTCCTGGGTTCAGGAGGTCGCGCACTTTTTCATTGTAAATCTCCAAGTAGGACACCTCGACTTGAAAGTGGAGAGATCCCTTTTTTGACAAAAGAGCAATTCGTTCAAAGAGCTCCTGGCATATACGAGGGATAATGCCCTTATCTTGACCATAACCCATCTGTATATATGTAAAAAAAGAGGTGAGACTGAGCAGCCAGGAGAAAGGGCAGCTTTGTTGCATCCATGAGTAACAACAACTCACCATAGTATATGATTTTCCTGAACCCGTCTGCCCATCTACACGTAATGCAATCAATTAGTTTCAAAAGTAAAACGTAAGCTAAATGGATACGAAGCACTTTTTTTACATGCAAATATGCAACAATTATAGCCGTCAAATGCGTGATTCAACAGATCTCTTCCAATATCATTATAAATATGTTCCTGATCTGCATAATTGGCATCCGATTTTTCTGCCGACCAATAGGATTTATCGAATGTGAACGCTTTGATAATATTGGGATTCTTATCTCCAGTTTCTTGCAGGCTTGATGATGTTTTGTTGGCCTTTGGCCTGGATAAAATGGTTTGATTACCCTCCATAGAGATAAGATGCGTAGCATTTCTCGAGATCTCTATTCAAAAAGTTGGAACATACGTAGTTAGAAATGGATGCATCTATCTTGGAATAAACAAAGGACGAACTACCTTGTGTATTCAAAGGTCGACAGCGAACCACAACTTTAATATTGCCGCTCATTTTACTGGGAAAGAGTCTTTCAATACCCTAATCCTGTCGTTTCAAAGACTTGAAAGAATATACCACTTCTTTTATATTGGGTTAAACTCAGCACTCGTTCCAATGTTCGATAGGAGTGTAATTAATGTTTTTATTTCTCGCTAGTGTATCACTAATGTTGGTGTATACTTATTAATTTGACAGAAATAATGCGTCCAATGAGGATATATGTAAACGAGTAAAAAAAAAAAAAAAAAAAAAAAAAAAAGAAAAAGAAAAATAGAGATAAAGGGGAAAAGTGAAAGGAAATCCCTCAAGAAGTTTAAAGACGAAGAACAAAACAAATACAGCGCTCTCTCACAAACGATACGTGTGACGTACAAGCCGCAATTGTTGAACTGCATGTGATATATTATTGTCGACCGTTGCTTGGAACATTTAGCGTGCTGAATCTCTTTTAAATCCTGTTGTAATTTTACTGTGGCTGATATTGTTGCACAGAGCAACGATGGATACTTATAAATGATACGTCAATTTTTCGTAGAAACAATGGAAATGATGCTAGTTTCAAGCGAACAGCGTGCGATTTCATTTATTCAACGAAAATTAGTTAGCAAGTGGTATATTAAAGTAGAGATAGGTTACTCATGTGTTTGCTCAATGAAATCTTGGATGCTTTGTCTGACTTCCATGATAAGCTTGATGTCTTCATGCGTTGATTTAAGGGGTATACTAAGGTCTCTCATCTCATCCAAAATAGTCTGTAGCTCTCTCTTTTCTTCCACGAGATAGTTCTGATCATCGCCTGGTGCTTGCTGTAATTGCTCATCCATATCCATTTTATATTCAATCGTATCAATCACTCTGTTCAAATGATTGATATGTTTCATCAGCTGGTTCTTATCCTCCAAACGATTGAGATCCTGTTCTTGTTTGAATTCTACAGCCTTTCTCATGTTGTCCAGCTCGTGCTGGGTCGTTTCTTTGAGTTGGTCCACATGCCTGCCTGTTTTGATATAAAGGTATTTGTACTGTAAATATTTGGCGGCCAAGTAAAGCTGTTTATCGGCATCGGTATCGTCCTGTTGCGGATCCTATTATCAGACCGATCATGTAGGTTAATACCAGGATTTTTTATGACGATGTTCATTTTAAGACCAGTCATTACTTGAGACATAGATAGCCTGCTATCGTAGTTACTATGTGTATGGTAACTGGATAACTTTTTGTTGCTGGCGAGTTGTTGGGAAAGGCCATCGTGTAGTTTTTGACGCTTCCCATCCCGCGTCGACGATAAAGATGACGGATCTGTAGACATTCGTTTTGAACTGTATTTATGAGCAGCAGAAGCCGTTGATCTCAAATAGCCTGGTACTGCTTGTTGCTGACTTGATCGACGGGCTTTCCTTGGTAGTAAAAAGAACAATGAGACTCTTTGATTCGAGTGCTTTTACTGTTCGTTGCCATGAAGAGGGTGGCTCTGTTTACCTTCGTATGCTTTACTTTTCTTTGCTGCTACTGCTGCCGAAGATTCATATGTTGGTCTATGTTTTGGTCTAATTGCAGATTAAGAATAGTATTCAGGGCATCTGTTTTGCTGGTTTGCACATCTTACATTTCCATTGGGTCTAACTTTTTGAAAAATATTTTTTGGATAACATTAGCGCATGAAAATGAAAGCCTTACAGTGCCTCCTTTGACTTTGGACATTTTCAGATTCAGTTTTCATCCCGCAAAAGTTACAGAAAAAAGAAGGGCCTAATTTTGTACCCCTAGTATTTGCCCCAGGTTTTTTTTTTTTTTGACATCTTGGTGAAATAGATCTTGTTTCAGGACTCACGATGCATCGCCACGTCTTTACAAAAGTTTCACGCCAAGCTAATAAACGGTGGATAAATCCAAGTAAATAGTTCTCTCTCTCTCTCTCTCTTCCTATTGACAGAAAAAAAGGTGCTACATTTTATTTGTTGCTTGACTGACCCAGCTTTTCTATTTAGATACCATCTTTCTTCGTAGAGAATCCACTGTAGCAGCGTCCACAGGCCAACACGGAATGCATAGGCCTCCACCTATGGTGACAGCCACTCATCCTACAGCTCCGTTGACTTCATTTAATCAACGATTAATGACCGAACTACGCGCAAAGAAATACAGGCACCAACCTCATAGATTAGTGCGAAGCGTTAAAAATATCATTAGTGAAATTAAAGAGCAAAAACTCAAATTTGATCAAACGACCTATAATTGTTTATTGACAGCTCTTAAGCAAGACCAAAATGTAAAGGAAATACTGCAAACATTAGAGGAGATGGAAGAACAAGGCGTTCCACCTTCCATAGAGAGTTATCATATTGCATTAGAGGTAATGGATACATGTAGAGAGTAGGACATGAAAAAAAAAATAAAATAGAAAAGCTAAACTCGTTGTATAACCCAACAGACAGTGGGAAATGCAAAATGCATTGCGCTTATGTTTGATTTGAAAGATGCAATGATCAAACAAGGCATTCAACCTACCAGCCACACCTACCATATCATGATTAAAAGTTTATGCTATGCAGATAGTTTAGAAGAAGCGCTGGATGTATTCCATTCACTTGGGCAGCCATCCACCACCACAGATACCACGGCTGCGACAATAGAGCCTTCTCCTCTGACGTATACTCTTTTGATACAAGCCTGTTTACGTGTCCATCATGTGGGTACAGCTTACTCACTCTTACAACAAGCCGAATCCAAAAACGTCATCCAAGATGCCATGGCGCAAAGTCGAATCTACATGAATGTATTAAGGGCGGGTGCCGATGCGGATCGACTCGATATGGTGAATCATTGCTGGAAAAAGGCAATTCATGAACAAAAATCCCGACCGGATGAAGGCGTTTTGTTAAACACCTCCAGAGTAGCAGCCAAGTATGGTCAACCGACGTTAGTCACGGATATTATTCGTACGCTTGGTGCTCATGGTTATCCTTATAAAGAGCATTACTTTACGCCTTTAATGGAAGCTTTTCTCAACAGCACTAAAAATTCCTCCTGGCTGTCTACCAACAAAAGCAACAGCAGCAACAGCAACAGCAGCAGCAGCAGTAGCCATGAGGATCAACAGGAGGTGGACGCGGATGAAAAAGACCTACCGTTTGTCAAGAATTTAAAGAATGCTTTTCAAGTGTTGGACATTATGCGTATTTCCGGCATTACACCTACCATGCGTACGGCGCAACCCATCTTAACGTACCTTCGTGGCAATGTCAAGAAAGTAGATGCCGCCTATTTCGTGTTGGAAGAAATGCGCAAGAAAGAAAACAGAAACATTGATGTGACAGCTTTCAATGTGGTGGTCGCCGCTTGTGCTCAATTGGGCGATATGGAGCGTACGATTGCGACGTACCGTGAAGCGTCTCATTTGGGAGTGACGATTGATGTGGATACATGTAACGCTGTGTTGGATGCATGTATCTCTACGGCCATGAAGGGCATGGGCACGATTCTTATTGAAGATATGAAGAAGGAAGGCATTCAGCCCAACATGGAGACGTATACCAAGATGATTGAGCTCGCATTGACACAGCGAAATTATGAAGATGCGTTTGTGTATCTTGAAGAAATGAAGGGGTATGATATTGTTCCACCCCAAAGATGCTATATGAAGTTGGCACAAAAGTTGGCAAGGGAGAGAGATCCTCGGTTCCACATGGTGATTGAAGAATTGGATACGTATGGCTACAAGATTAGCAACGAAAGGGTGAAGCAGTTATGGAATAATACCCCTAATGACAATGAGCCACCACGACGACAACAAAGATCTCGGCGTTATCAAGATTAATTGTACATACATAGCACGTTAGGTTTAATTATATATTTTATTGTAGTTATATAAATTCATGTAGAGAATTTTCTTTTTTTTTTTTTTTTTTTTTTTTTTTTTTCCTTGTTCAGTCCATGTTTACATTTACAAAAATACAATTTTTATTGGAAAGTACACATTGTTAATAGAGAAAGGCATCTATTAAAGCGGCTGTTGTTGTTGAAGTAACAGCCGCCGCAACAGTAGCACTCGTATAGTTGTTATCGTTAGTATCAGAATAGTACAACATATTTGGACTATTGGTAGCATTTGTAGGCGACGATAGGGAAGAAGGCGATGCAGTGGCGGAAAGTAAATGGCTGCTACTACTCATGCTTGTGGTGGAAGGTGGATGACAGCTATAGTAAGAAGCGTCATACTGATAAGGGGTCAACAAGTAAGGGTTATTACTGTCGTCGTGGCTGTTCATATCAGCTTCCATATTGACATCGTTCGTGGTGGTGGTGGTGGTGTAATATTGATTCCAGTCTATTTTCATTTGCCAGTCATCAATGGAGGCGTGTGGTTGAAATAATGGATGTTGCTGCAAGGGGGAGGGTGGTTGCTGATGAGGATGCTGCAGATGCTGTTGTTGTTGCTGTTGTTGTTGTTGATGATGTTGATGTTCATGTGGTTGTTCTTTGTCTTCTTGATGAAGAAGGATGGGTGGACTATGATGGCCAAATGTACTGGAAGAAGGCGTAAAGAGTTCCATATCTTCCAATTTGATGATGGGTCTTGCGGCGGTGGAATAAAAATCGTCCGCTTCTGCGGTATCACTGTGATAGGAAGTGGGATAATGCAGCATGTTCAAGGTGGTGGTGTCGATGGTCAATTGGGGTATAGCGATGCTTAACGCTGGCTCGGGGCTTGGTTGTAATTGTCTCATTTTATAAAAGTCTTGTTCTTCTGCTTCATCATCAAGCTCCATGTCTTTGACACCGTCGCCGTCGTCGTCGTCGTCGTCGTCCAGGTCCTCCTCGTCATCATCCGTGGTGGTGGTCAAGACTTCATAAACGACCCATTTTCTTTTTTTATGGCTACGCTGCGTTCTTTTGGCAGCTCTTCTCTTTTGGAGATCCTCTCTATTGCATTGGTATCTTTTTATTGTTGTTCTGCGGGGATGGGTTGTATTTTTCTTGAGGGTTGAGCTTCTTTGGGGTCGTCGTCCTCTTCGAGCCGTGGATGTGTATTCTTGATAGGTGCTATCTTTGGATTCATCATCCTCTTCCTCTTCCATACTCTCCTCTTCGGCGTCTTGCTGTGGTGATGGTGGTGCCAACCGAGCCTGAGTGCTATGAAGGGTGCGATCATGATGAGGATGGACAGACACGTCCTCTCTTGTTTTATGATAGACACGGCGGGTACTATGGCTGTTGTAGCTACTGCTGCTATTCTTTCTTTTTCTTGGATAGTCTGACATGACATCCGAATCACCGTGATCTTGACTGTCCTCTTCATCGTTGTCGTTGTTGTTGTCGTCGTCATCGTCGTCGTCGTCGTCCTCATTATCGCCGTCGTCATCATCGGTGTGTTTCATTCTACCTTTGTTGTTCTTTGACAATTTTAAATGTGTTTTTTTATGTTGGGATAGATTATCTGATCTAGAAAAGCGTTTACCACAGAGATCACATAGATAGGGTCTTTCCAGAGTATGTGTTCTAAAATGACGTTTCATGTGTTCTAATCTTCTAAAGACTTTGGCACAAGAGGCCAAGGGACAATAAAAGTGGCTGTTACGCGTGGAGGTGGCAGGCGGCGTCTTTTGACGGATGTCATGAGCGTCAGGGGAGGCAGACTTTTTCACAGAGGGAAAAAAAAGGTCGTTTGTTTGTTTTTGTTGTTGTTGTTGTTGTTGTTGTTGTTGTTGTGGATATGTTGTGGATGGGGTGGCCGATGGAGTTTGCTGTTGTGTAACACGACGTCGACGTTGTTTATAAGTAGGGCAACCTTCAAACAACGAGAAGCCATGACCCAGCTGAGCTGATAGGCTACTGTGGCTGCTGTGGCTGCTGCTGCTGCTGCTACTGCTGCTGTCCTCGTCCTCCTCCTTGATGCCTTTTTCTACTTTCAAGCTGGATACAACGGCTTGTGGTGTCTCTGTTTCTTTTTTGATTTCTTCTTGATGTGGTGGTGGTGGAGGTAATGAGGAGGACAATAAAGCCGATACACTGAATTGACGACGACGAGGATGGCTGGTGGTGCTGGTGGTGATGGTAGTAGTAGTAGAACAGTTGGAAAGATCCTCTTCTTCTTCTTCTTCTTCGTCGGCGGTGGTGATGGCATGGCTAGTACTTTTACTACTGCTACTACTACTACTCGTGCTCGTGCGTCTTCTTTTCGCAGTCGTACTACTCTTTCCCTTTTTTTTACGCGAGGGACCGTTTTTAAAGGTGTGGGTAGACGAGATAGGATCAGGCGAGGGGGTCGCTGCTGTGATCAAGTTCAATTCAGTGAGGATGGCTCTGCGAAACTCGTCAAACATGGCTTGGGTGGTGTCCAAGGTCATGGAGAGGGCGGGTTCTGCCACGGCTTTGGAGGTAGGGTCCAATTGGAGTTTTTCTCTTTTCAAATCGCGTTCGAGGGCGTCTAAAAAGAGACGATCGTGAGGGACGGAACGCCAGAAAAAGACCTTTTGTTTCTTTTGGGTACGGATGCATTGGTGTTTGAACAGAAAGTCGAGAAAGGAAGATTTGGGTTCTTCTAGAATGGCATCGAGACCGGGCTTGAGGTTGCGTAGATCGCTAAAGATGCCTTCTTCAAATTTTTTCATGTTGTGGATAGGTCGTCCAAAGGCAGTGAAGCGAAAGACGAGGGAACGAACAATATCTGTCCCTGAAATGAAAAAAAGGTCGCTTTCTGGCGGAAGGTTGTCGTGGCGGCTACTGCTATGAGGCCATTGGACACAGGAGATGGGCTCTTCCGTGATAGGTAAAGTGTAGGTAAAGATACCGGTTTTTGCTGAACGGGTCTTTTCAGGCGCTCGTTTCAAAAAGGCTTTAAATTGATTGATCATTTCCATTCTTGAGGTCGCATTTTCTTGGGTAGGAAAACACAATAGGTGTTGGATAGCTGCTGCCGCCTTGGCGGAGGCTGCTACTGCTGCTGCATTCTCTTTCTGAGCCATCGTGTACAAATGATGAGAGAAAAAAAAAAAACAAAAAAAAAACACACAAGTTCAAATAGTGGAGATGAGAGAGAAAAGAAAAGCAAAAAAGAAACAACAACAACAACAAGAACAACAACAACAACAATAGACAACTGCACCATGTCACTTTTATAGTGGCCCATACCCGTCTTTTTTTTTTTTTTTATGTTACGTCGGTTTGTTTATGTTGTTTACAAAGACTAAAAAATCACGGGTTTCACCAACACTATCCATTTAATGTATCCATTCCGAGTGAAAAAAAAAAAGAAAAGAGCTCATTTTTTTTGTATAAGGTTAAGCTTTCAAACACTTATTTGAAAGGTGATACAGTAACAGATTATGTTGGTGTTCTTGAACAGAGTTGTCATGGTTAGAACCAATCAAATGAGGAGGCATTCTCGAAATTTAATGCAAAAAAACAACGAAAAAAAAAAAAAAAAAAAAGGGATCCTTTTTCCTCTCCGTTTGGGCCATCATGCTCTTCTTGGTCTATTTTTTGCTCGTGGTAGGGGTCATGTCACAGAAACTACTTTATGAACCCAATGCACCCGATTATAAAACACAACGGATGGCACAATCTCTTTTTGATAAGCTGGCACCGGATCCATCGTTGTCGACGTTTATGGACGTTTTGACACAGGTCGATGACATTTTCCGCCTGGTCAATCACTCTTCCTCTGATCATGCGCCTCATGATGGTCCGGCAGTGATTACCATGTTTGTACCCACGAATGCAGCATTTCGGTACGGTCGTCAACAAGGATCATCGCCAATGCCGTTCATGTCGGGTCACCCTAGCGATTGGGAGGCATTTTTGAAATACCACATTGTTCCTTATGCGATAGAGACGGTGGCAAAGGATCAGCAGGTCAGTACGCTTTTAGGCAAAGACGAAAAGATTGATATCCATTATCATGCGTGGAGTCGACGTGTGGATTTAAATCATGGTACAGCCAATGTCATCGATCACCGTCACCCTGTACGTGCTATCAATGGCGTTGCGTTTAAAATTGATCGATTGTTAAAGCAACCTTGATAAAGGGGAAAAAAAAAGTACCTTTCTATGTAAAAAAAAAAAAAAAAAAAAAAAAAAGAAACCAAAGCTTTATTTTGAATTGATTTTAGTAAGGTTTTGACAAAGAAAACCTAAAAAAAAAGTGAGTGTAGGAGAGCAATAAATATGGAAAGGGGGTGGATCTTTACAAGTTTAATAAAAAATCATGCTCATCATTCGTTGTTGTTGTTGTTGTATTTGCTGTTGTGGACGACGCTGACATAGCATTATGGAGGATGGTATCATTATGCGTAGAAGGGATGGCGTGATGAATAGCGGTACTAGAGGAAGTAGCAGTAGTAGTAGTAGTAATAGTAGTAGTAGTAGTAGAAGGAGGAGGAGATGTGATAGTAGTAGTAGTAGTAGTAGTAGGAGTAGTAGTATGAGTAGCCGTCGTTGTAGAAGGCGTAGAGAGAGTATCATTGGCATGACCACCGTTATAGTGTTGTTGCTCCGTGGCAGCAGCATTGGAATAATAGGTTTGCTGTGACGTCGTCTCTAATCCCTCGGTAAACCCCTGTTGTGGTTGCTGCTGCTGTTGTTGTTGTGGTTCCTGGGATGGATGAAAATGGTCTTGATTATTAAATTCGCTAATGGTCTTTAAAAAGTCGTCTTGCTGCTGTTGTTCCTGTTGACTCTGCGTCAAGGATCCTTCTTCGGTCTTGAAGACGAGAGGGTCTGCAGACTGTGGTGGTTGAGTTTCCTTCGGGTCGCTACTGTGGGTAGGCGGTTCCTCCTCGGTCGCCTCTCTACGACTCGCCTCCGCACTGACCGTGGGTGATTCGTCTTGGACACCCTCTGTAGGGTGACCGTCTGCTTGTTCTTGTTGCGCTTCTTCTTGTGTCTGCTTTTGCTGATCGACAGGCACTGGTTCCTTTTTCGTCAAATGAGCGGAGAGATCCTTATTCATACCGAAACTGTTGATTCTGTCCTGATGAAAAATCTTTTTCAACTTTTCATCACAAAGAATATATCTTCTATCTGCCGGATCCTGTAGATTGTTCTCTTTAATGTATTTCCACAACTTTTGTACCAATTCAGGACGAGAAAGCTATATCATTAAAAAAAAAAAAAAAAAAGCACGTGTTATCCCACCCGTTTGCTTACATAATATCCAGCGTGAAGAGGACTAAAAAAAATTTTTTTTTTTTTTTCAGTTCCTCCCTCCACCACCGTTCTATAAAATGAGTTTACCTCTTTATCACCGTCCATCAAATCGGATAGAGCAGGACTAAGGATCAAAGGTTTATTCAAACCCGTCTTTCTCTTGGGACGATTGGGGTCTTTGATACGTTGTACTCTTCTTTTTGTTTTACCACCTCTTTTATTAATAGCGCCTAAACGAGTTTGAGCAGGGATAGGATGAAAAGCAGGATGATGAACAGCAGCAGGCGTCATGGATGGATGCTGTGGTGGCTGTTGTTGTTGTTGTTGTTGTTGTTGTTGTTGTTGCTGTGGTAGTAGTAGTGGAGGTTGTAATGCCATCATGGGATGATACCCTTGCGTGGAAGGCTGTTGTTGTTGTTGTTGTTGTAATGGATGTGAAGGATGTCCTCCGTTGGTAGGTAAAGCCAAGTTAGCATAGGGATAAGGATAGCCATTTTGTTGTTGTTGTTGTTGCAATAATTGCTGCTGTTGCTGTTGTTGTCTTTTCAATTGCTGTTGCTGTTGTTGCTGTTGCAAGTAAGGTTGTTGCAATTGTTGTAACTGTTGTTGCTGATAGTATAAATGGCTATTATTCTCTAATAACATATGACCTGATAAATGATGCGTAGCGTTATTATTATTATTATTATTATTATTATTATTATTATTATTCGTATGTTGTTGTTGCTGATGGGGTGACGTTGTCATAGTATTATTATGATTACTTTGATGATGACCCGCACTAGGCGTAGGATGGGATGCCTGCTGCTGCTGCTGCTGCTGCTGCTGATAATAATGTTGTTGTTGTTGTTGTGGTGTTAATGGGGATGAATGATGGAATGGAGAAGGAGAGAGAGAGTGATGATGTTGTTGTTGTTGTTGCTGAGACTGTTGTTGTTGATAAAATGCGTGCTGTGGTGGTTGACTATGATGTGTAGTAGGATTCGTAGCAGTGGCAGTTGTATTTGTAGTATAATGCTGGAATTGAGGCTGTGGTGGTGGTGGTGCGGGTGATGGTTGTGGATGTGTTTGAAAGTAGGAAGGATGTTGATGTTGTTGTGTCGCGCCTGGATGAAAATCAAGTCCGTCTACTAGAAAAGGGGATGGATGGTGAGGAGAAGGCTGTTGTTGTTGTTGTGAATGTGTGCTTGTATTTGTATGTGTCGTCGTTGGATGATACAAGTTTGTTTGCTGCTGCTGCTGATGATGATGATGATGAGCATAAGGAGCAGGAAGAGCAGGAGGCGGAGGATGATGTGATGTCATCTTTTGATAGTGATTTGTAAAAGAGGATGAAGCAGACGAGGCTGAAGGACTGTTGGCTGTTCCTGGATGTCCTGGCGTATGTAAATCTGCATAAAATTAAAAAAATTTGGTTGTCCAAAATGAATAAAAAAACAGATTTTCCCCTGTTTTTGCCATTTTTTAGGGATTTTATTTTTACCTTGTAAAATTGAATTATCCATCACTTTGTTTTATTTGTTCGTTTAAAAAAAAGCTTTTGGAACTTTTTATGGTAAGATTCGTAAAGGAACAAAAAAAGAAAAAAAAAAAAAAAAAAAGGTTTACCGATAATCAGTTCCGGAAAGAAAAAAGAGACTTTTTTTTTTTTTTTTTTTTTTCTTTTTTTTTTAAAAAAAGAACGTATACAAAGCACACAAAAAAGAAACGTAAAAGAGATAAAAAAAAAAAAAAAAAAAAGTAAGAGAGAGAGAGAGAGAAAGCCGGAAAAAAGGGGTTGGTTTACTTTTTCCCTTTTTTTTTTTTTTTTTTTTTTTTTGTTTTGTACTTTCTGTCTAAAAAACTCACCTTGAAAAGCGTGACTCCCTTTTCAATGTTAAACTTGTAAAACAAAAGAGAGAAAACAAAACTCGGGCAAACAGGTATTCAGTTTTCTTTTTTTAACCACTGGCTTGTGAAGGAATCGAAAATGAATCTTTTGTGTTTACCCATTGATTTCCATGGACAGTCTTGTTATCTATCCCTTGGGTAAAAAAGATTCCATGGAATGTGTAAATGAAGAAAAATTTCTTTTTTGAAAGACAGGGCTGCAGCACACTTTTTCATTTCAAGTTCCGGGAATTCATTTTTGAACCTATTCAAATTTTCATTTTAGACAAATGGGTCAAGTTTTCAAGACAAAAACATGCAGTGGGTCCTTTTCATGAGAAAGACACTTCCGTGATACATGCTTCAAAACCAAGACAGCCTGGTCTCAAGCAAATGGTACAGTTTGTTTAAAATAAATTGTGTATTCACTATTAAAAATTGTACAATGAAAAGACTATTTTTTTTTATTTTTTTTTCCTTTGATTTTTCCTTTTTCGGTTGATCCAGGGACACGGTTTTTGGGAGAATGAAAAATGGACTCCTTCTATCCTCTCTCCATGGGGAGCTTACAGCTTGTTCCGTACGAAAAAATAAAATAAAAAAACACAGAGAGAAAGAGAACAAAATACTACATCTATTTGTTATAGATTGTGAATAGGTGTGTGTTGTGCGCGATTGACCCGAAAAAAAAAAAGACCCCATCGTTTCACGTTATTGACAACATTTACTTTTTTATCCTTTTTTTTTTTTTTTTTTTTTTTTTCTTTTTTACTTTATTCCTTCCTTTGCCTTTTTTCTTTCAACTACTTCCTTGACTTGTCTGCTAGCGTGTAGATGTTATTTATATCCATTTTATAATCCATCCCTCCTGAACCCCACTACCCATGCTTATCATGGATCTTTTCTGAAGCCTTTTTATTTTAGAGAGTCACTGTTTTCTCAATGTAGGGTTTGTCTGTCCGTCCGTGCATTCATCCGATCCCATCTAGAGTGGATGTGGCTCTAGAGATGCTCACCTTCATGGTGGGTGTATTCTACTAGCAAAAAAAAAAAGGGGGGGGGGTGGGTGGTGGGTACCCTCTTGGAAGAGGGAGGGGAGGGGAGGGGAGGCAAGGCAAATCCATCTTGATGGGAGGGTCCCCCTCTTGAAAACCCATCTCCTTGAATCCATTCCCACTCCCCCCACTGGGTGGGTAGAGAAGAGACAACAGTGGCTAGCCTTCTTTATCAAGGAAATAAATATAAACACATTGGATTTTATTGGGATGCGAGAATCTATTATGTTGAATCTATGTACAATCATGGATAAGTGAGAGAAGGAAAAAAAAAAAAAAAAAAGAATGAATGCATGCATGTATGTATGTAGGTAGAGATGTAGCTAAAAAGGGGGGTGGGGAAAGGGGAGACATCAATAAATAATGGAGAAAAGGACATCCTGTGGTGACTGTGGCCATGAAACGAAGGAGGACAGTCGACGAGGGCTCAGGACGCGAAAGAGGAAGGACAACAACCCTTGTCTACTTTTAAATGTCTATTCAAAGCATCCATGCGAGCAAAAGGTTTCCGACAATGCATACAGGCATAGGGTTTGATGCCCCAATGTAACTTTTCGTGTCGATTTCGATCATGTTGTCGTGCAAATCGTCGTCCACATTGCGAGCAAGCAAAAGGGCGCTCTGCTGTATGGGTGCGCATATGCGATGTCAAGTTGTAGGGACGCGTAAAGGATTTGCCGCAGCCAGGATGAGGACAGGTATGAGCGACGATCGCCGCCGACGCGCTACGACGATGACGGCGCGTGGGGGGTTGTTTTTTGGATACTACACTCGTAGCACGATCACTGTGATGTTGCGTGGTGATGACAACGGCGGCAGCAGCGGTCGAACGAGGCCAAGGCGGTGGCTCGGAGGTGTGTCGCTGGAGGGGGGGTGGTGCTGATGGGTGCATGGATTCGGAAAAGACTCTCCCATCACCGTCCGACAGGGTAGGGGAAGGATAGCCTACGGTCAAAGGCGTCATGTAAGCATTCTGAGCAGCAGCAGCAGCAGCACTGTTCGAGGACGACGACGACGATGACGACGATGACGACGTAGCTAATGGAAACATGAACCAGGCATCGTCAAAAGAAGCACTGGCCATCGATCGGGGTGAAGTGCTCGGTGTCCAGCTTAACCAGTCCATTGGGTTGGAGGAAGGTGTTAGCAGATCACTCACTAAAAAGGCCATCGTGTGGCTACTGTTGTTGTTGTTGTCGTTGTTGTTGTGGTGGTGGTGGTGGTGGTGGTGGTGGGCCTGTGCTGGTGGAGGCATACCATGCTCGCTGTCGACGGACGAGGAGGATAGATCCATACCGGTCCCCAAGGGTAAAAAGTCAAACGGGGTGGGGTTGGGCGTAGAGCCACCATAGGCGGGTATCGGCGTAGGCTCTGTGATTGAAATACCAGGCTGAATTTGAAGACAGGGTAGGTCCTGTGGCTGAACGACGACGACAGCGGCTGGTTTCGGTGGTTGTTGTGCACGGAGGGCTATCCACGGCGCATGACGAATGGTGTTGTCTAAAGGTGCAAATAATAAGGCTTGTTCCTCATGGCTCACCCAAGGTCTTGCGATGGCTGCGGAGGAGAAGGATGGACTCTCTCCTGAGCCGTTGACCCAGCGGGTGGGAAAGAAAGCTTCAGAATAAGGTGTCCAACCACCCTCCAGGGCGTCGCTCCATTGTGTTTGCATGGGTTAAAAAAAAAAAAAAAAAAAAAAAAATGATAGGAAAAAAAAAGTTTATTTTTGAGAATTTCAACAAAAAAAGAACTACATTCTTATATACCTTTTTTTTATTATTATTTACACAAAACGAAAACCATCAAATACCTTTATGTGTCATACACTTTTTTCTTTTTTTCAAACAGGTCCGTGAGGTATATTTTTAGAATTTTTTGAATGGCTACTTAGCTAGTACCCGAAAAAGTATAAAAAGTGTGACACTTTCTGAAAAAGTACTTATTTTCTCTACTGACTCCCATCAGCAAAACAACTTGAGCCGTTCCATCTTGCATGATCTGACCATGTCTGTTTATATAGAAAATGCGCCCTTATTGAAATGAAACGCGCACGCACACCTCGTAGAAAAAAAACAAAAAAAACTAAAAATACCTCGACTCACTCTACTACTCAAGCCTATTGTAATTTACTTGTTCATAACAGCAATGAGGGTGAGGCACACAATGAGCGCAAATGGAATGCCCGAACTTTCTTCTTTTCTTGATTTTTGGGTTTGGGGATCACAAAAAAAAAAAAAAAAAAAAAAAAAAAAAAAACCATCATCGTACACCCTTTTTTTTTCGGTTTCCATGCAAATAGAACATCTTTCTTTGATTTCTTCAAGACGTGTCTCTGTTTTACCTGCATGAATCAATGCACTTTTGTAACATAGGAAAGGAATCCATTTTACATTGTTTCAATGAAAAACATGTCAATCAAAGAATGTTGACATGTATTTTTTTTTTTTGTTTTTGTTAAAAAAAAAAGTGGAAAGGTAAAAAGGGTTTCCTATGTGCGGTGGTGAGCATGCATCATTTTCGCATAATTTCCACAGATCGCTTCTTCTCTTGTAAATGGTGATTTATAAAAGTTTATCTTTGAGCGATCTCTCATTCGTTGTGGAAGTTTCTTTGTGTGATTCTGCCGTTGTAAATCGTGCGAGTTTGGCTATATTATAAACTCCCAAGTTTTCTCCCATTCCACCGGAATAAAATTTCCTATTATAGGGTGGGTCCATCAGGAGTACCAAATAAGGTCATCAAGCCTTAAAGTAGTGGCTGGTGAAGGAGAATGGATAAAGAGCCCACCATTCGATTTGGGAAAAAAGCCTAACTCTAATCTTATCCATAGGGAGTGTATGTGTGTGTGTGTATAAGAATAAAAAAGAGGACGAATACACTAGGTAAACTAGATAGGTAGACAGCGGTGTTGGTTTAAAATAGACATAGGAGGATGACGTAGCATTGGTCAAGTACCATTCCATTGCAATACAGACCAATGTATTTATAGAAACATACAACAACATGGCATAAAACACTTTATAATTTTAGAGTCATCATGAACCCCCATTTCACAAAGTAGCACGACATTCTATGACAAAAGCTAGCATAGCATGCTTTAAAATGGGGTGGGGGTGGGGGGTGGGGCGCTTCTTCATCCATCCGTGGTGATGCCCCTCCATTTCATCCTAGGGAGGCTGCCTAGCGCATGGATCATTGAAAAAAAAAAAAAAAAAACTCTCTTACGCATCGTGGCGAAAGCGAAAAATAGTTGTTGACTCTAGCAACATGAAAGAAAAGACCAAGTCATTCCCGCTTCAATAAAAAACATGAAAAAGCATATCGCCTCAAGGATGGGAAACAGGGTTCCCCAAGCGCCTAGAGAAAAAACACAAACGAGTTTTATTCAACTACTTTATCGACCGTCATCTGATAGGTTCCGTCTGCTTGTTTCTTGACATGGACAGAATCAAGACGTTCCACAATCACGGTAGCACCCGCCTCCTTTAATTGTTGTGCGGTATGCGTCGTTAAACAAGCGATGCATTGCATACCCGCCGCCACCGCTGCTTGAACACCCGCTGGAGCGTCTTCAAACACAATGCATTGACGAGGCTCTTTACCAATGATCTCGGCCGCTCTCAAATAGCCTTCGGGATGGGGTTTACCATGCGTCAACTAACAAAAGAGTATGTGTATGTGTGTGTGTGAATCTCTCTGCTTGCTTGCTCGGCCCCGTCCAACCCCCCCCCCAACCCCCCTCATGGCCATGGCGCAGCCACTTACCCTGTCCCCCGTTGCCATGTCCTTGGGTACAGGAAGATTGAATTGCGTCAAACGTGTCGTGGCCATCGTCCATGTTCCTGCTGTATTGACCGTCCAATCTTGGACGTCAATGCTGCCAACCAACTCTCTCACACCAGGCAAGATCATCACGCCTTCCATATTTTGCGCCAATTCTGCTTCAAATTGGTTGACATACTCGACCGTAGCTATCTCGGGTACCCAACGTTGCAATGTTTCAATCGTTCTTCTTCCATGCGAAGTAGCTAGAATCTACATAGCATGCCAGGGGATATCAATAGACACTTTTCTGTCTCTTTTGGCGCCCTGCTATTGTCTATTTTTTTTTTTTTTTTTTTTTTTTTTTTTTACCTGTTCTGGATCTAAATTGTATTTTTTGGCAATATCCGTCCACGCTTGAATGACCAAAGGTGTCGTATCAATCAGCGTACCATCCAAATCAAAAATAATACCTGTACATGCTAGCGTTTTAGATACCATCTTTTTTTTTTACAAGTCAATGAAAAAGAAAAAAACAAAAAAGGAAAAAAGAAAATAACACCTCAGGTTTTTTGCATTCACGTCCAACGGGGTCCTAATTTAGCCCCTCTGAGTTTTATATATTGTCAATTGTTTTTTCGCATTTCATTTTTTCTTTATGAGCGATAGATATAAAAAAAAAAAAAAGCAGCCAAAGGACCACACGTATCTGTTATTAGAGTGATCCTTTTGATAGAGGGGATACCCTATGTTTCCTGTTTTTTTTTACAATTTGCTTTGACGTGCTTGGGTCTTGATTTCGACAGCCGCGTTAGAAATAGCAATCACATTGCGTTCCACCACACGCGTTTGGAAAAGAATGCGTTGGCCTTCCTTCCACATCGACGTTTCCAATGTCTCTCCAGGAAAGACAGGCTTGGCAAATCGGACCTTGATCGTGGAAAAGAGCTCAGGATCATTGTTGCAAAACGTCTTTAATACATGTTTCGCTGACACGCCAAAAGAGCAAAGACCGTGCAAAATAGGCACGTCAAACCCTCCGACCGCCGCCATCTCAGGATCGATGTGCAGAGGATTGTAATCACCACTCAAACGATACAGAGCGGCTTGATCGGGGTGTGTCTTTTCTGTCACCACCGCATCAGGCTGACGATCGGGCACCGCATGTGTGGCGGAAGCTGCCCCGCGGTCGTGTCCCTTGGACCTGCCTCCAAAGCCGCCACTGCCACGTACAAAGAGCGTAAACTCATTTTCACACACGACCTCTCCTGACGCACCATCCGTCGTGGTCACGCCCACAATGACCGAGGCCCCTTTGCCCTTGTCCAGGATATCAATGACACGCGCCTTGGAGTGAAGCGTTCCGCTCGTAGGGAGAGGCTTTTTCAGCGATAAAAATTGCTCGCCATGCAACAGCATCATGGGGTTGAAATGAGGAAGCATGTCGCCGAATGGCACCGATTGCATGGCAGCAAAGGCAGGAATGACACCAAAGGTCGGCAATGCACTAAAGTGGACGTCGTTTTCATACACAAAGCGTGTGTCGGTGCGCTGACATCCCACGCCGAGCGCATAGAGAATGAGGTCACGTTCTTCGTAAGAGAAAGAAAGAGGCTCGAACGCCATCCTTTTGGCCGCTTCCACATCCAGGCCCTCCTCCTTCTTGGGGTGGTCTTCTTCTTCTTTTTCTTCTTCCTCCTCATCGACATGGCTAAAGTGCTCCATAAAACCTTGAAAGGACTCTTGCGTGCTATTCGGGTGCGTCGCACGACCATCGTTGAAATCACAAATACGTGACCAAGCCGCTGCGACGTGTTCGGGTGTCAAGGCACGATGCGCGGGAAAGCCCACACCGCCTGAACGCTGCCAGCGCACTTGAGCCATCCAACCACTGCCGACTTCAAAGACACCGCCCGTCGAGGCGTTGCTGCTATGCCCCAGGTAAGCGACGAGAGGAGCGACATACTCGGGTTTGAAGGCTTCCACCATCTCGGGAGGCATCACCGTCGCCGTCATACGTGTTCCCGCATTGGGAGCAATGACGTTGCAGAGAATGTTCTTGCGTTGGCCTTCCAGCGCTAACGTACGTGTCAAACCGACAATCCCCAGTTTCGCCGCGCTGTAATTCGTCTGACCAAAGTTGCCGTACAAGCCGACCGCCGAGGCGGTGTTGACGATGCGGCCATACTGTTGCTTGACAAAGTGCGGCCAGGCTGCCTTGCAGACCTTGTACGTGCCTCGGAGATGCACGCGATGCACAAGATCCCAATCGTCGTCCGTCAAACGAGCAAACGACTTGTCACGCAAAATGCCCGCATTGTTCACCACGATGTCAATGCGTCCAAACGCTTTCAACGCCGTCTCCACCACCTTGTCTCCCTCTTCCACCGAATCATAGTTGGCCACCGCTGTGCCGCCTGCCTGACGAATCTCATGCACCACCTGATCCGCCGCGCGACTGTCCGCTCCGGCACCGCTCGTCGACACACCCAGATCATTGACCACGACAGACGCCCCCAACTTGGCCAGTAACAGGGCATACGCTCTGCCCAATCCTCCTCCTGCCCCCGTGACCACGGCCACTTGCCCATCGAATCGCAAGGGCGGCGCTTCTTCTTGGGTCTGCTGGGCGTTGGCCTCGACTTGCTTGGCACGTTCCAACAGAGCTAAAAAGTCCGTGTCCATCACCGACGTAGGGTATGCATTCGCTGCTTTGTCGAAATCGGTAATGTCTTTCCATTGCGCACGCACCGCGTCAGGCGTCAAGCTGTCATCCGCTTTGAAAACGACACCCGCTGAACGTTCCCATCTCAATTTGGCCACAAACCCGCCTCCTACTTCAAAGAGACCTCCGTTCTCCTCTGTGTTTTCATGACATAGATAACCTACCACAGGTGTTACAAATTCAGGTTTCAATGAAGCGAGAATATCGGGCGGCAACACGGTTTCTGTCCTAGAAGTATCGTACGCATCGGTAGGTTCATGGATGAGTGGAGAGATTTTTTTTTTTTTTTTTTCAAATAAAGAAGAGAGGGAAAAACCTACATTCGGGAAGCTGCCATGGGAGCAATGGTATTGCAGTGAATATTATCCTTGGCCCCTTCCTTGGCTAAAGAATGGCTGAAACTAACAAGAGCAAGCTTGGCTATAAAAAAAAAACAAGGGGCCAGCCATCATGAGTCGATCTATTTTTTTTATTTTTTATTTTTTTTTTTTTTCTTGTTGGGGGGGCTCTCCCTTTGGAGGAATGACTTTTTACCAGCACTATAGTTGGCTTGACCAAAATTACCGTAAATACCAGCCGCAGAGGCGGTCATGATGATGCGACCATATTTTTGTTTCTTCATAATGGGCCACGCTGCCTTGGTGACAGCATAAGAACCCTTCACATGCACCGCTTGGATCAAATCCCAATCCTTATCCGTCATGCGAGCAAAAGAGATATCACGCAGGATGCCGGCATTGTTGATGACAATATCGACACGTCCAAATGCTTTCATCGCTGTATCCACAATCCTAGCTCCGTCTTCCACCGAATGGTAGTTGGCCACTGCTTTGCCGCCGGCTTTTTGAATTTCTTCCACCACGACATCCGCTGCTTTTGAGCTGGCCCCATCGCCTGTATGAGAAGCGCCTAAATCGTTGACCACCACACTCGCCCCCCGTTGGGCAAAATAAAGAGCATACGCTCTACCAATACCTATCATTCATACCATCATGTCATGGGATGAGCATCCATTGTCATTTTTTCCCCCATGAGCAATCTCCCCTTTTTAAGGCTCGTTTCGGAGATGAACAAAAATTTACCTCCACCAGCGCCTGTAACAATAGCTACTTTTCCATCATAACGAATATCTTGGGTCATTGCTTTTTTTTAGAGACAAAAGAAGGATGAATGGAAAAAAAAAAAAAAAAAAAAAAAGAGAAAAGAAAAGAAAAAAGGGAGAAGGCTGTGGGAGATGACTTTATAAAAAAAAATCAACAAAATCACAAGTATTTGCTTTTTTACAATGACTAAAATAAAATAACGTTACAAGAAACGGGTTTTCACATGAAAATGTGGGGTTGAAATCAATGCAGACGTAACCCGTTATTTGCTCCTTTCAAGTAAGGACTCGATCTTTTTTTTTTTTTTTTTAAATTCAGATGGACATCACTTGCTTCAGTGGGAACCCAAGGTGAACCAAGGATCTGTTACAATAGTACATGCCAATGCTCTTACGACCCACATCGGGTTTGGCTCGAGCATGGATGTTTTTCAGGAGCTGGAGGATGCAGGAGAAACAAGAACAAGTCGATCAAGACACATTTTTTATTCTAAAACGCCTACTTTTTTTTTTTTTTTTTTTTTTTTTTTTTTTTACTTTCTCTATAAAGCCAAACACATCAGATCAATTGCAAAGGATGCTTCAAACAATACACATAGATCGGTAAAAAAGATGAAAATAAAGACCCATCGATCCTTCATGCTTTCGTCAGCTTGATGTGATAAGTGCAGGAGTGGGGATAGCACAGGCTTTTTAGAATAGTAACGGCAGTCAATATCTATTGGGTTGAATCAATGCATGTTTGGCCCATCCACTTTTGTATACATACACCTTTCAATATAAAAACATGTCACTAGGAAACCATCTCCTATGAGAAAGGTAATACACTGTCATGAACGCGTTGTCGATAGTCAAACGAGGGGTCATATCATCTTTTTTGAGCGATAGAAACAGCCCTTCATCAGAAAGAAGAAGGCACATTACCGTTTATAATGATACTTTTTCTCAAATGAATGGATTTGAAAGGAAGAACGATAGTATTATATTAGACGTATTAAGATAAATAATGGGATAGAGCAGACGCATCAATGCAGGTTTTTTGACGTTGAGGGGTGTGTGTGTAGAGGGCGATGAACAACGAGTAGGGTCTATGTTTCTTTAGCAAGCGCATGAGCTTGACTCTTTCTTTTTGGTGGATGCATCTGTCAAATCCACTTTTGTCACTGTTGCCCGCAAAAAAATTTAAAGGGTTGGCTATGGGAGCTTATTACATTTGTTTTTGTATCTTTTCTTACACTGCTCTTTTTGATCATCTTCTGAATGTTTCTCCATTCCTGGTAACGCATGCCCTATTTTTCTAAAAAGAGCTTTCACCTAACATAGAACAGAATGAATGGTGTCAATTCGTCAAATGAGTAAGGGCACGTATTAAAAATGGCCTCCCCCCCATTTACATTGTATCCAGCCTTTGCACTTGTTTCAATATACATAATGTTGTAATCTTTTGCTTTCTTTTCTCCTTCTTCTACTGTCACTTGTCTACAAAAAATAGAGTAGGAAGGGTTATATACACACACACACACACACACACCGGATGACATCTCTATCGATCAGCGCCTTTTTTTTTTTTTTTTTTTTTTTTTTTACCTTTTATCACTCAAGTCTGTCTTGTTTCCTACCAAAACAATAATCACATCTGTCCCTCTTTCAGCTCTCACATCGTCTATCCATTTCGAAGTGTTTTGAAATGAGGCACGATCTAGTTTTTCAAAAAGCATGCCATGTCAGCACACGATCCTATCCTCCCATGAGCTTACTCTTTGTTATTTACTTGTAATATCATAAACGACAACACAGACGGAAGAGTCTCGAATATAACTTGGGATCAAAGAACGAAACCTTTCCTATCATTGTTTTTCAAAACATGGCGGTGGGTTGGTTGGTTGCTATGCAGTCCATTGCTTTTATTATTCTACGAATGTTGGAAATGTGTAGTATACCTGCCCAGCTGTATCCCCTAAGAATATGTACATAGTAAAATTAATACACTTCATCTCATCTCTATGCAGTTTCCACCCCTCCCCTCAGCACCCCCCCCCACCTCCTCCCCTCGCCCACCTCATGGTCATTGTACTCACATAATTGAAGTCGAATCGTACGGTCATCGAGATACATGGTCTTTGACAGAAAATCGATACCTATCGTAGCCTTTAAAGAAACTGTGTCAATGGGGGCTGCTATCCTCCGCTTGCCACTTGGGTTCACTCAGACTAACTACATTACTTGATATGTATTGTCAAAGGTATCGTACATGAATCTTGTGATAAGTGACGTTTTTCCAACTGCGAGTTCAGTGCCATGGGGTCAAAAGCAAAAAAAGTGATGTGGTCAACGATCGCGATTGAGCTTTTCTGCAACCTTTGCTATACTATATAACTTTTACCACTCTGCTCGCCCAAAAAGACCAACTTGAACTTTTTGAGTGGGTTTCCAAAATCGTTATGACTCGACATACTAAGAAAAAACAAAAAAGAGGCAATAATGGAAGGAAACACTGAAGCTGTCAACAATAAAAGAGAAAAAGAAAAAAGAAAGAACGAAAAAGTAGCTTCCTGTAGACAATAAGCTACATCTTTAATTATCTTGTGTGTAACAACTGAACCATGATCTATATTACTGCTCTCTCTCTCTCGCTCTCTCTCTCTCCTTGCCGGTACTTCAAGTTGTTATTGTTTACAATTTGATCATTACCCAGCCTTAATTACAGTAAGCTCTTTGCCCCCCCTGAAATGCTCAGATCAGGCTTTCATCCTTTTTACCTTATCTCGGTGCAAGAAAAGGTAGTTTCTTTCAAAACATAGACACTGCTTTTATATCAAATGAAAAAAGTACAGAGGCATGGACAATCGACAGCCATCTTACGATAGTGCCAGCTTTTCATGCTTTACCTTCCATTAGACCCTTCTTTTTCTTTTTCACATTGGAAGAAAAGAGGCCCGTAGTCGAATACATGGTCCACTGTGTAGTACAAACCTATTTTACCTGCACCCAACCCCCATCCTCACTTATAACATGAGCTACCCGCTTTCTTTCTCTTCCCTGCTCCACCCAATCATGGATACCTGATATTTTTGAGATGATTCATAAAAACATGTAGATATCAACGGGTTTCGTTTTTTATTTCAAGATAAAAGAATAGAAATAGTACTTCCACACAATTTAGAATCTGAGCTTGCTGAAGAACCACTTGTTCTTACCGGTTTGGTAACGTTCTTCAAAGAGCTTCTTGATGACCTTCTTGGCTTCTTCACGTTGAGTGGGTTCCTTGAAGGTTTCAGCAGAGATGGTACCCTTGATTTGTTCTAATTCCAAACCATAACTAATTGGGATAGGACAAAAAGTATGAGCCATCACACACTACATTCCATTCGATCTATTCCACTTTAAATCGCTTACCGAGTGGGCATCATGTGGTTGTAGTTGACAATCTTGACAAAAGGCTTGACCTTGGAGCGCTTGGCAACCTTCTTCTTGTTCATGGCCTTGGTGACCTTGAGAGGAGTACGTTCGATACCAGCAACGACGGCATAACCATAAGGTCTATCCTTGGTACCTTCATCGTGATCTAGCATGGTTCAACAAGTGCGTTAGCGTCCCATCACATCATCATGAACACGCTTTGGACAAAGTTCCAAGGAAACAAAAGATGGTGCATTCACAAAACTGCTGTTGATCAATGTCTCATCCGATGAGTGCGAGGACCATCTTGTGCTTTATCGCTGAAACACACTAATGCTAATGTCCAATCTGTAATGACGGGCACAAACGGTGTTGCTCACCATGATGCCTTTCACTGAAAGCTTTCATGATGGTTGTGATTCAAGAACAAATAATGGCAAGATGGTATACAGTTGAAGAATAGACGGCTCGCATTGGAAGCCAAACAATATTGTCGTTGTTGTTGTTGTTATTGTTATTGTTATTGTTGTTGTGGATGCACTCTCTCGGTTCCTCGAAATTCTGTCGAAAACATCACTTATGACACAAATAATAAAAAAAAAAACCAAACTTGGCATTGAATACATACTACGGACGACAACGGCCTTCTTACCGGCGTAACGACCATTCAAAATAACGACAACCTAATGGAAGAGGAAAAAAAAAAAAAAAAAAGTCAGTTCTTCCCATCCATGATGCATCAATCCATCCGTTTTCGTTCTACATCCATCGAGCTGATACATTACTTTGCCAGCCTTGATGAACTTGACCATGGTTGCTGAAGATCTTCTTGATGTGTCAAGGAAAAGAGGAAGAATAGGATCGAATGACAGCCTTTGTTTACTCTTTCTTCCCTCTGCCCTCTCCCATTGCTGTTGCTTGGCCCAACCGGACAACTTTGAAAGCAGCCAACTTTTTTAATCGGACCTCAGAATTTTTTGGTGGAATCTCCCAATCAAAATTTTCCTTTTTTTTTTTTTTTTTTTTTTTTGTTTTCATTTTGGCTTGTGTGCCCTTTTTCATTCCTCGTTCGACCCCACCTCTATTCTATGTAGCCGAATGTTGAAAAGATTATTCGAAAATGATGAAAACTTGAGCTTAGATTCACAAGTGTTTACAAAGAAGAAACAAAAGTCGTCGTCATCCTTATTGTCCTTGTCACGATCCCGCAGCGGTAGTGTGTCTGCTTCACACCATTCGCCATCGTCTCAGTCGTCAACGCAGACGCAGCTCGTCAAAACTGAACCATGGCAGAAGAATACCCAACCACAGGCAGAGCTATCGATGGAATGCAAAAAAGAAGACCCATGTGATGTTTCAAAAACACACGCTTCTTGCCTTGAGCAGCTTAGCAAAGTGATCCATCGGACAGAGATAAAGCAGGCATCGCCTGATAACCTGTGCCTCGATATACCTACGCAACAGGAGCCGTTAGACTCACAGCACGCAGCGTACGGAACTGGAAAATACACATCAGAGAAGAAAAGCCTTTTGTTACATACATCATTGACGGAAGACAAGTTTGATACCCACCCGAAAAAAGAGACCCCAGATACAGCTTGTTCGGAAACATACCATTGCTTTATCTGTCATGAGGACCTGTCGCACATGAAACATACCTTTTTTCGCCAGCGACATGTTGAAAAATGTCTCTCCCATCTCCATGAGGAGACGAACGACACAAAAGCATCCACATCCGATGAGAGGGTTCTTGAATGGAGCGTTTGTTTTTTCTGTCAGCAAAATTTGTCTCATTATAAAGCACCACAGCGTCTCGTTCATTTGAACCGTTGTCTTGATGAACAGACGGCGATCGTCGATGTAGCCAAAACAAACGAGGACGCATTGGCAGGTCAAACACATGCCTTTCTACAAACCTTAAAGATATGTCCTGTCTGTCATGAAATGCGTCTTTTGCAAAACAAGACGGTCCAACAGAAACTCATGCATATCAAGCAATGTGCAAAACAACACAACATAGAGGCCAGCCATTTAGTAAGAAGATGTCAATGGATCCGATGGGGACATGGACCCACTCTACCCGATCCTATACCCCCTCCTCCACCAGAGCAACAGCCGTCAACGATGACAAAAGCCATGCCACAGCATCAATTAAAAGCCTCTCTACCACCTCAGTGGAGCAATGATCCTTATGACGCAACAGACCTTGATTTTGATGATACTGTCATTCTACACAAACAGGCCTGCTTCACCTCGCAAGCTTCGAAAGCCATGGACAAAGAGGATGAGGAGCTTCAAACCGCATTGGCCATGTCACGCTCTTTGCACCAAATGCAAAACACCCGTCGTCCTCCCAAGAAAAGACAAGGCATCCGGCCGACAGATGAACGTGAATGGAACTCAACCAACATTTGGTCGATAGAAGAGTCTCGAAAGCGAGCCATTGAGACATTGGATCAGCTGTTGTTTGCTCCAGATCAGCATTTGCAAGCACTGCATCAAGCGGAAAGAGAAAAATCGCATCTTCTGCTTGGCGCCTCTCGGATCGTGTGTGAAGCATCATCCAACGAAAACACATCAGCTTTTGGCACTTTTTATTGGAATTTGGCATCGAATAGAGACAATAATTGGGATGCCATGCCTTCTGTATTCACTTCTTTATTCATGCAAAAAATAAATTGAATCGAGTGTGTGTCGGTTGGCCCTCACGCGCCTCCGCACTCCCCCCCCCCTTTTTTTAAAGGGCGGCGGAATTTTATGTTTTGCTTCATGAACTTGTTACGAGCATTTGCCTTTTTTGTCCAGTCCCATTATTTTGTCTTTTCTTTTTTTTCTGTTCCTTCCTTCATTTCTTGCATTGGCCATGACGCCTAATTATTCAAGAAACAACCCTAATGTAAAAAAATAGAGAAAAAGCTTTCGCAGAATAGAGAGAGCTTTTTGAAATCATTTTAACAAGTTCATTTTCCAAAATGTGTTTAGCATAATCAGCGGCAGCGATCTCAGGCGGATGAATCGGACAATTGGCGATCCCGTAAAAAAGTCCCTAGCAATGACAACGACAACGACGCCCGTAGAATGAACAGTGGACTTTTTTCACAGGCAGCTCTTCATTCTCCTGACTATTTAAATAGTCCTCATCAAGGAAACGGTATCTTTAAGCCCATCAGAAATATCAATTCCAACACGCAGGTGCTTGAACCACCACCCCCTTCGAGTCCTCCAAAAAGAGGATTTCCTTTGGTGAGACTACCGGGGCATGGCTTCCCTCAGAGCACATCACTGTATCCCCCATCCAACGACTCCTTCTCTGCGAATGATCCTCCTCTACGAGTGCAAAGTCATGTTCCGACGACCCCTTTTTCACCGAATAAGCAGGAGGACGACAGAAGATCAGCCGCTGCCGTCCGACCCTCCACAGCAGGTGATGATCGAAAGGAAGACACTCCTCGCTCGCACACGTACCCCAAGGGAAAGAGCCATCATCTTTTACATCAGGAGGGCAACCCACAGCAACCTAAAATGATGGCAACAGAGGAGGACAATGATCCATTCGATAGGTCAACAAGGTGTGTGCCTTCCCCCTTACCATCACAACGACACGTCAACGAACCACTTGTGCAAGACGAACCACCACCTGTTCAAGCAAGGCTTGAACGAGCGGTCTCACCGGTCAAAAGCCATTCATCCACATGGGCAGAATATGCCGAAAGCTTACAAGCAGAAGAAGAGGCGAAACGACAATATTGGGAGAGAAAAAAATTGTCTGCCATGGCGGTAGCGACCTCCAGCGATCATAGTTCAGGTTAGCTCAGCTTTTTTTAATAGTAGTAGTAGGCATAGGAATAGAGAGAGAGACGCTCTTCATTGAGATACATACCCATCGTAAAAAACCTTGTGTAGCTAAAATGGCACATTTCTATGGTACTACGTAGCACACTGGCAGACACCCGAATCCTCCTCACCCAACTCAGCTACCACCACGGCAACGACACGTAGTATGGACACGACGGATCACACGCGTCAACGGCATCATCGTCCGTTGCAGCAAGGAAACAGCCGCTTCCTCCATCCCACACGTCAGCGTCATCCGAATGAAAATGAAACGAACCACCCTACTTCTTGGCGTTCTGATCAGCAGCGATCCCAAAAAGAAAGAGAGGACCATTACTGTCACCCAGACGACCGTAATGGCGCCGGCCGTAAAGAACTCTTTTCTCGTTTCCTTCATCCTGACGTGATCGAACGTGGCTTGCTCAACAAAACCTACATCAAAGGCGTGCTACGTCTTGTACGCAATCCCATGGATGCCTATGTTACTTCGGAGGATCTTGACCATGATATCTATATCAGTGGTGCCAAGAACCGTAATCGTGCGTTAGACGGCGATATGGTGGCTGTGGAATTGTTGGACAATGTCGACGAGATTTGGGAGGAAAGACGGGTGAGGGAGATGGAACGCTTCGAATTGAGGAAAAAGATGAGAGAACAGGACGCAGCGGAAAAGGAAGCTCTTCTCCAAAAACAAGACACCCCTGATGATGACGAGGATGAATTACTACCCTCGAATGACAACACGGACGAGAATGAGGTCAGTGTCGACAATGATGCAGAAGACGACGACAATGACGATGACGATGACGATGACGATGACGATGAAGAGGGTCATAAACCTAAATATTGTGGAAGAGTGGTGGGTATCATTGAACGATCACCCAACATTACCTACTCTGGGTAAGTCATCCTTTTACAAAAAGAGACATGCGTTCGTGCATCATCCTCTCCACTCTCTCGATGCTTATCTGTCCTATTATGTCAAAAGAACCATCGTTGTCAATATAGGTAAAAAGCGTTTGAAACCGGATGAACCCAATGCTGATTTGAAAATGGATACTGAAGAAAAGAACGACGAGGACGAGGACGATGGTAACACCAGTAACAGCGATCCAGCTGCTGTTCCGTCTCTTGAAGCAGAATCACCGAGTACAACAACAACAACAACAACAACCGCCAACACTCCTGTCTCTTCAGAGAGTCATCCTACGGAAGCCCCTCGCCAAGGCACTGCGCTCACAAGACCGTTACGTTACGCTTGGTTCAAACCGTCAGACAAACGTATTCCTCTCTTTATGCTCAAATACAACGACATTCCCGACACACTACTCGAAAACGAAGACTACTTTACTTCCCATCTTTTTGAAGTGGAATTGCGCCGTTGGCAAATTACCGACAGAAACCCGATCGGCCGATTCGTGAAAGAATTAGGGCCCTTGGGTGACTTGATGACCGAGAAATATGCCCTCCTCAGCGACAGTTGTGTGATTGTCTCACCTTTCAGTCCTCTAGCACTCAAGTGTTTGCCTGAAACACCCTGGACCATCCCTGCTCAACAGTACAAGACGAGACGTGATTTGCGTCACGAACGCGTCTTTTCCATTGATCCCAAGACAGCCAAAGATCTGGACGATGCACTCCACATCAAAGCATTGTCCGATGGATGTTACGAGGTAGGTGTCCATATTGCCGATGTGTCCTTTTTTGTGAAAAAGGGGACTGTCTTGGATACAGAGGCGCGTCGAAGAGCCACCAGTACCTACTTGGTCGACGATGTGATACCCATGTTGCCGCCCCTTTTGTGTGAGGAACTGTGCAGCTTGAATCCAGGTGTGGAAAGATTGGCTTTTTCTGTGATTTGGAAAATGGACAAAGAAGGAAAACCTGTCGACGACACATGGTTTGGAAAGACAATCATCAAGTAAGTGTAGTGTCCTTGAAGAGAAGGGGGTGTGAGAGAGAGAGAGCAAGAAAGGCTGAATCTCTTTTCTTTGATACTATAGATCGTGTGCTAAATTAGCCTATGAAGATGCTCAACGCGTGATTGAAGGAGGTGAATTGGATGCCGATACGATGATCCATGATGGTCACAACGTGTCTGACGTCTACCATGATATCCGCACCCTTCAGCAAATGTCCATGGCCATGAGAAAGCGTCGTTACGAAAACGGATCGCTATCGATGAACTCGGTGAAACTTCAATTCGAGCTTGACGAACGTGGTGAACCTATTTCCGTCCGTCCATTCGAGGCCAAAGAAGCCAATCGAATGATTGAAGAGTTTATGCTGTGTGCCAACATTAGTGTGGCCCAAAAAATTGCTGAAGCTTTCCCTGACGAAGCCTTGCTAAGAAGACATCAAGAGCCTATTGAAAGAAGAATGGTAAAAAAGATTTATTTTTTTTTCGGGAAAGGAAAATAGACGATGGCCCCGTATGCTGATGGGCATCATGCTGCCTCCATTGTACCCTATAGAATAACTTTTTGAAAATTACCCATGTGTTGGGGCTTGACTTTGATGGAAGTACGGCAGGGTCACTCCAAGCCTCCTTTGACAAGATCCAAAATCAAGATATTCGAGATGTCATGCTCGTGTTGGCTATCCGTACCATGCAAAAAGCAAAGTATTTCTGCGCAGGTTCGCTCAGCCGAGAGAAATATCGACACTATGCTCTCAACGAGCCTTTATATACCCACTTTACCTCACCGATTCGTCGCTATGCCGATGTGATTGTTCACCGTATGCTAGAGAGTGCTCTTCCATCGCATCAAAAAGGTAAACTTAAAAAACGAGGCTGATGAAGCAAATTCTTTTCTCTGACCGGAAAGACTTTTATCCTTTTGCGAATAGCACATTCACCGTATGGAAAGAAATTTGTGCAAAAGACGGCTTTCCATTGCAACTCGAAAAAAGATGGAGCGCGAAGTGCCCAAGACCGTAGTATTCTCTTGTTCCTCAGCCATTACCTGAATCGCAAAGAAGCCACTGAAGGACACCATTTCACGAAAGCGGTGGTGATTGCGGTGGCCAAGAAGCATTATGAGATTTACGTGCCAGAGTACGGTCTTGAAAAGAAAGTGCTACTGGAGGGTTTGCCACTCAGTAAAAGTCATTTTGATAAAACCACACTCGCCCTCGATCTCTTCTGGCAACGCGATGTCCCTGTCACGATGCACAACGAAGAGAAAATATACGGTGCTGCCCGTCTTGTGGATGATTATTCTGACTCTGACTCTGACTCTGACGCTGACGCTGACGCTGACGATGCGGATGAAACAGACATTGAGGATAGTTTACAAGCACTGACACTCAAAGAAGCAAAGCCTGCATCGGTCGTTCACGAAGCCGATCTGATTCCACCGGTGGTACTCGAGGAAGCCACTTGCAGGCAACAACTTGGCATGTTTTCTAGCATCACGGTTCGAATTCAAGTCAACAACACAAGGTCTCCCCCCATCATCAACATTTACCCTGTCAGTCCTTTCTGCACGAAAACAGCTCAAGACGATGACTGATCCTCCTTCATTCTCACTGCATCCTTTTCTTTTTATTTTAAAAAAAGTTTGAATAAACAATCCATGGCTCTCCCCCAGGGAGACCCCCCATGTCCTCTTCTTTTATTCCATTTTATAAGGGGAAAAAAAAAAGAGTATCCTTTCTCCCTCTAGGGAAGGACTCTTTGTCGTTTATGGTTGTTGAAACCGGGTAAATAACCCGCTTTATATCTAGAAAAAGTATCCAAGCATTGACATCGCCAACGGATGGTTTCCAAGGGCCATGGATTTTCCTCCTTTTCTGGCTCATCCATGGGCACTTGTGTCGTGGGTGTGGGTGGGTGGGGGTGAGGGGTGCGTAAAAGCGAGACATAGTTGTAAAACAAGCGAGCCGCGGCGTCAATATCTCGTTGAGCACCTATATAAAATCTTTCGAGTGTTTGCCAATCGTAGATCGTGAATCTCGGACCCACGACGACTCTGGGGGAGGGTGGGGTGGCTGTGGAGGTAGGGCGAGTTTCAGATAAGAAGAAAAAACTGTCTCGGTGGTGATGAAGGAAACGTGGAGGCAGATGATCCTTCTTTACGTCCGGCGTAAAAGAGGAGCTTCTGCTGTTCGACTCGTGGTAGTAGTCGCTTGGCTGAGCGACAGAAAAAGACGCGGCTCTTGGATGGGAGGGTACGGTGCGTGAGGCTGAGGGGTCGTTCGTGCCACTGGCAGCGGTCGTAGTAGCGGTACGGATAAAGGAAGGAGAAGATCGCCTCCGTAGTGCAGCCGCGACGGCATGTCTATGAGTGGAAGGGGTGGAGAAGGTGGAGGCGTACAGTTTTGCGAATGTATCCCGTTGGGTGGTTGTTTCTGGTGTTGCTGCTGGTGGTGTTGCTGCTGTCGCTGCTGCTGCTGCCGCTGTCGGTGCTGCTGCTGCTGCTGATGAGGATGACCCGTTGGAGGCTACAGTAAGAGGATGGCTTTCATCTTTTATCAAACGAAAACGACGACTCTGTTCTTGCGTGGGTGGTGGTAGGCTGGGTGGTTTCGGTGTGGGCATTGGTGAAGTGTTGGTAAAATGAAAATGAACATGCTTTGGACGCTCTGAAAAAGTATTTAAAAGGGTCGATGCGTCAGTCGTAGAGCCAAGAGGACGGCTTGCTTCGATCGGCTCGTCCGTGTCGTTTTCGATAAAGGAAGCTTTACGCTTTTGTGAGCGACGGGCGATACTGGTATCGACCAAGAGAGTGCTTTTTTGTCGATGGGGTTCCTCTGTGGAAGCGAAAAGAGAGCTAGAAGAGGCGTCAAAGTATTCTGTCATGGGATGAATGTGAGAGAGAGAAAAAGAAAAAGGAAAAGTAAAAAGGGCAAGCTAGCCTTTGTCGGTTGGTTAGTGAAAGAGGCTCAGCTAAGGGGGGCGGGAACCCCCTTCAACATGTCAACAAAAGGTACAATGACTCTATCAAAACAGCCCAAAGGGGGGGGGGTTTATTTTTCCCATTCGCATCATGAAACAAACATGCCTGTCAACAACAACAAAAGAGCAGGTTTTTTTTTTTTTTTTTATTTATTTATACATCAAGGGTAAATGACTCAAAATCATCTATTGTTCTATCGTCAAAAGATCGTCGCCCCGGGGGGGATGTCTATTGATACATGAGTGATCTTGCCCATTCATCAGCTACAGATATCAATTCAAAGGTATAATCTGCAGGCTCGATGCTACTTCTGCTATGACCCGTGGTCGCTGCGGCGGCGGCGGCGGTACCCGTACCAGGATGATCGCCACCTGAACCATGACTGGTGGTACTTTGACTGGACAAAACCGAAGGTAAAGGAGTGGTGACAACAGATGAGGAAGAAGTAAAGGCAGTGGAAGTATCGACAGCACCGACAGCGGCAGCAGCAGCAGCGACAGCAGCAGCGGCAGAGGAAAAGGCGGAAGAGGGAGAGGAAGGAGAGCATAGATTGGCATGCGTATGAAGAGAGGTGGAGGGATAATGGGAGAGTGTGGTGGAGGAGGAAGACTGTTGCTGTTGCTGTTGCTGTTGCATGTGAGGCAATTGTTGATAATAGTCAAAAGCAAATTGACCTGAAATCATGGGATTGTGATTTGGTTGGTAATTCAATCCATCGGGCGTGAGATAACCTGGTGAAGAGGTAGTAGAGGATGGGGTGGTTTGAGCAGGTTCTTGATGGGGTGGTGGAGGACAAGGAGGAGGCGGGTAGGATGAGGAAGAAGGGGTGGTTCCGAGGCCTTTCGGCTGATGGAGATGATGACACACGTCCGTGATGGCCGAGAAGGCCATGTGTGCTGTATTGGAAGAGACAAAGGCTAAAGGCTGTTGTTGTTGTTGTTGTTGTTGTTGTTGTAGCGAGGCGGGGAGGAGTGGCATGGTAGGCTGCAGTAGATCGACGAGACGAGCAAAATGTCTCAAATCGCGCATAGGTATCCTCTCGACAATTAAACGAACATCGTCGAGACTCTTTCTAAAGTGCACTTTGGCGGATGCCGACACGTCCTGTCGCGGATCGTCAAAATCTACGGCGTGGGTCAAAGCGGCAAAAATACCGGAAAAGGTAGAGACGGAAAAGTTGTACATCAAATGAGGATGCTGGACGGTCAAGGCGACAATACGAGTGATGGTGTTGGCTAATGTTCTTCTTTTTTCACGGTGAGTGTCTTCATCTTGGTATCGACAACACATGAGCAAGGAGAGTTCCAGATCATAGGCAATCAAATGTAAATTAACGACAACAGCAGAAGAAGGTATCATAGGCTGGTCTGGTAGAGGCAGCCTATCTGGGTATGGTGCATCTGCCGTTGTAGGGATGGCATCGGTAGTGGTGGTGGTGGTGGTGGAAGGTGACGATGAGGTGTTTGTTTTCGTAGGGTGGTTGTTGTTGTTGTTGGTGGTGGTGGTGGTGGTGGTGGTGGTGGTAGTGACGGCAGGGGTCGTGGTAGCAGTAGGAGCAGCCATGACTCCGTTGGAGTGTAGCAGGGAAGTTTCCCACTGTAGTTCCTGTGGCAAGGCGTTTCGCCATTGGTGAATGGCATCGAGATAGTGCACTATTTGATTTTCTTCTTGCACGGTCCATAAGCTCAGATTCTTTTTCAAATCGTGGGTAAAGAAATGAATGACTTTTTCGACCAAGGTCATCAATCGACACAGTTGATTGAATCCTTCCAAGACAAGACGCTCGCTGGGCGTGTCTTCGGGGAGGGGTTGTGGAAAGTCCACAGCGATATCACTGGAGCGTAGCATCCACGGCCTTTCCATGGTACAGCTTTCTAATTTGTCCATCACGAAACAGGTCCACAGCACGCGTTTTCGCAGCTCGATATCGCATTGCGACATTTGACTACTGTAATTGGCGGTATGAAGACCTAATTCAAAACACATGCGGATGGCCATGCCGCTGTACAACCAGGCGCGACTGGAACGTATACGTGAACCTGAGGCAGGGATATGATCACAGTCGTAAAGAGCCATGTAAAGCAAAGCAATGACTGTACTTATACGTGGGGTATCAAGAAAGTCGTCGACGAGGCGTCGCGCACGATGGTAAAACAAATCGCCGTCCGGCACGGCGTCGCGGCTGTGGTGGTGGTGGTGGTGGTGATGACTGTTTTGATGGATGTGATGAGCGGCATGAGCATACATGCTATTCAATAAAAGAGGAGTGATCAAGGGACCTTTGGCTTTGAGTTGGTCGTAAAACATGGTACGTGAGAGGATGGGTAAAATGTGCTGGCATTCATCAAAAAAGAGGGCGAGGAGTTGTTCTTGCATGGCTCGCGAGGGCATGTCGATGGAAGCGGTGTAATAAATGGGAAGATGGGGTTCAGGCGTCCAACGGACAATATCGCCATACCTTGGCCATGGGGTGACATGCTCGTGATCCAAATGGAGTGATCCTCCCCCTCCTGACGACGTGGACGACGTGCCTGTTGCATTTGGATTCAAGGTAAGACGAACAATGCCGTCTGTCAACTGCTCAATCATTTTGTCGGATCGTGTGGAGGGTGGTTCATTCAAGGTGGAAGAAGAGAACTGCGCTTGCTGTGGTGATGGAGAGGAAGAGAACAGGTGATCTGGCTGATCCGTGGCATAGATTTTAGGAATGCCATTGAATGCATTGTGGTGGGATGGCTGTTGTTGTTGCTGCTGCTGCTGGTGATGATGAGGAGGATGCTGTGTTTGAGAACAAAGGGGTGTTGATGACGCTAAAGATGCTGGTGGTGAAGATGCTGAGGATGCTGAGGAGGGTTGCTGTGGTTGAAACCCATGTTGACTAGGCGTACTTTGCCGCCTTGAGGGTTCTGTATTGCTCATTGTATTTGCAGAAGACAATGTTTCTTCCACAGGATCGAGGCGAATATAGGTCTCGTCAGGGTTTTTCAAATACATACATTTACGACGTCTGGCTATCAATAGGAATGGTTGTCAGTCTCTTTCTTTTTTTCTGAAGCACTATTGAAATCAAAGGAGAGAGAGCAAGTACCTTTGCACTAAACGCGAGAGAAAAAAATGCATTGAACAAAAAAAAAAAAAAAAAAAAAACCAAAAAATAACGAATGAGACATGCATGGGATCAGGGCAAGATATTTTCTAAACAAAGTGTACCTGCATGCAAGGTTGCTTTCCATCACACTAATACACATCCAACGAAAAATAAAAAAGGTAGTTTGCTAAGTTTGAATGCTTTTTTTGATATGCCTCTAAAGAACGCGTTGTACCTTGATTTTTTTCATACGGCAAGGATGACATGCTCTTCCCACTTTGAGTCGTTTATGTCTACTGTCATCTACCATGGCCAACCCGATGAAAAAAAAAAACAAAAAAACCACAAGTCGAATGCCATGAGCTCATTGTGTTTTCATTGAACCCACGTTGCATTTTTTTCTAGTATACCTCTTAGTGGTAGTTCTAATGTGGCGAACATGACAAAAAGAGAAGAACAACAGTTGGAAATCAAAGCAGAAAAACAAAAGAAAAGCTAAAGAAAAAAAAACTTTTTAGTCTGTTGTGTCAGTATTTTTCAAAAAATGAACGAATGTCATAGGCTGACGGGCCTTTTTTTTTTTTTGGCTGCTCTCCTATTACTGCCCCTTTTTGTGTGACCAGAAAGGGTTGTTGACTTTTTTTTACCCCATCTGATATTTGATTGGCCAGCGATGGCTCATTTTGAACGGGTTCTCTCTTCTATCGCCCTTCGTTGCTTGGGGTAGGTGATGGACGTGGGGGGAAGGAGTGTCGTGCGGAGACTTGAGGAGAGGATAAAAGGCGCCTTTCTTTACGTACGCACAAAAGACAGACGGTGACCTTTTTTTTTTTTTTTGCTTGGGCATAGAGATCCACCCTCTCCTCTTTGGGTTTTTTTTTTTTGTACGCGTGCCAACAGTGATGTGGTTTCCCTCCCCCCCCAAGGGGTGGTCAAGTACGGCGGACCTGAAAAAGAGACCCTTTTCAAGATTGTGTAACCAAAAAGATTTTTCCAGCAATGCACCATGGCAACCTAACTCTAAGAGCTACGGGAGTCGACTTTTGGGTGGCAACGGTAACCATGCCATTTTTGACAATGAAAATAAGGTTATTGAACAAGCCTCAATGTGGATTGCCCTGTGCATTTAAAAAAAGGGGTTCAGGCAAAAAAAGAAAAAGAAGAAAAAAAAAAAAAAAAAAGAACCTTGTGCAAAAGGATCGACGAGAGAGAGACGTTGGTTGTTTTGATAGATTCCTTTTTTTTTTTTTAATGGGGAAAAAAAAAGAAATGAAAAATGCAGAAAAATAGAAAAAACGAGGTCATCCTATAAAATTACAAGAATAAGAGAGTAAAAGTACAAAATAGAAATACAGAAAATAGAGATACAAATACAAAAAGAGGGGTTGTTTTTTTTTTTTTGGTAGTTGGCGTTTGGGATCATAAAAATACAATGGAGAATAAATTATAAAAAAAATACAATGCTTGCTTTTGCTTTTTTTCATGACATTACATGTCAACAATGCGTTGCACTTTACCACATTCAGGAAGATGTTCACCACGGTATTTGATGAGATATTCACCATTTTCTTTCCAAGTGACGGTCTTGTTGACAGGGCATCCTTTACCACTATTGGAGCATTTGTAATAGACACTCTTGTTGCCAGTCTTCTTTTGAATGGTGTTGCCATTGTTCTTCCAAAAGTAACCATCCACGTAGGGATAATCCCTGGTTTCGACGATTTTTGAGATGGCCTGCATCTCACGTCGACGACGAGGACGTTGAGGAAAGTAGCTGCCATTTTCATGACGATGATGCTGCTGCTGACGAGGGGTCGTATTGGAAGTGGCATCGTGTGATGAGGATGGATTCAGAGTAGAAGAAGAGGAGGGGGTGGAGGAGGAAGGAGATGTCATGCTGTGAAGGGAGGAAGTAAAATGGGTAGTCGAGGTAGCGGTGCTCGTGGTAGGATCATAAGGAGAGGTGGTGGCGTTCGGTGTCGTGGCATTCGTAGAAAGAGCGGCCGCCGTTGTATAAGCAGGAGATAAAGGATGGAGTGAATGCCTTGTGGTTGTCGTAGGCAAGCTTAATAAAGGTTGAGGAGGGAAACTGGACAGCCAAAAAAAAAAAAAAAAAAAAAAAAAAGGGTGAGTCCTTCTGTCCTCTACAGTGTGAGCAGCAACAACAAAAAAAAAGGTCAATTTTTTACCTCATGGAAAGAAGGTTAGCAGCGGCCGAGGTGGAATGGTTGGTAAGAAAGGAGGTGGCCGTGTTATGACGGTCATCGTCAGGATGTGTGTCATCAGGGTTTGCGTTACTATCAAACGAGGAACCCAAGGCGGAATCGCGTCGATTGCAGTCGCTGTCGTCCATCAACATTTCAAGCGCACTTTGACGACGAAACTGATTGGCAGCCGCTGTATTGGCTAGTAAAGGATGCGTGGAAGGATAGTTGGCAGAGGACGGTAATGGGGGTGTTGTCGTAGCTGCATTGGCCGTTGTGGTCGCACTCGTCGTTGTGCCAGACAAGATGGAAGCATCGGGTGTTTGTGGTGTCCCCATGAGGGGTGGTTGCTGTTGCTGTTGCTGCTGAAGTAATAACATGTCGAGTTCTTTTGCACGTAATTTTGCTTCTTCTGCTTTTCGTTTGTCTTCTTCCACCTTGCTCAATAAAATAAGGCGTAAAAGTTCGGGTTGCGATTGATAATAAAGAATGACTTCTTGTAAATCACAAGAAGCAGGATTGATAGCAGGGTTGTTCATGTTATTCGACGTCGTAGCGGCTGCTGCTACTACTGCTACTGCGGCTGCTGCTGCAGAGGTCGACATATTGGAGGAAGCGGAGGACGAGGACGAGGAGGATGGCTGTTGAAGAGGAGCGATGTTCATGTTCGTCGTCGTCGTCGTCGTGGTGGTTGTAGGCATATTTAATGACAGCGTGGAGGCGGGCAGAGAATTGCTTCGCCACTGATCATAGTCTTGAGGTTGTGAAAATGAATACGATTTCATCAAATTGTTAGGACGACTGAGAGGTGATGGCTCTGTTGGGTAAAGTAATCCACCCACTTTTGCTGACATATCTTTTGGTTGGAAACTGAAATCATTCATTCCCTGATTTATTTTAATTATTTATTTTTTGGTTGGTTCGTTCTACTGTTATTTGGGAAAAATAAAAAAGTTAAAGTTTTTTTTTTTTCTTTTTTTGCCCTCAAAAGAAGAAGTGAGAGAAAGGATGGTACAAAAGGAATACAAAAGGGAATTTTAAAAAATAAAAGGGCAATGGATTCCTTTACCCTTTTTTCTGCGTCTTCCCGCCCTTTTTATTTGAAAAAAGTGAAACCACGATCCGTTCAAGAAAAAGGTGGGATCAAAGCGGACCTTCAATCAATGAAAAAGGACACGGACTTTGCCTATGCACCCCCACAACTCCAGCCTATCCAAATCAGTTTTTTTCTAGACATAATCCCCGCTTGCGATTGATTTGTTCCTTGTCTCTTTTTTTCTTTTTTTGTTTGCCTTCCACTGCACGGATTTATCCGGAAAATAAATTGCCTTTTTTGCAAAAGAAAAAAGATGGACACTTTCCCCCCTTTCTCCCCTTTTCAATTGAAAAAAAAGGGGAAACATATTCTTTACCACGACAGTCGTTCATAAGAAGAGAGACATGAATACCTTTCATCCATTTTCCAATCACTCGATCTTGGATGAGCCTTTTTTTTTTTCTTGTTCTTATTGTACAAAAAAAAAGTCACATAATGTTTCAGTAAAAAAAATGTGAGGGTATGCTAGAACAAGATCCATAGAAATGAAAAAGGTTTCAATTGCAATTGAAACGGCGCTGAATGAACTGTACCTGGTTCATCGAACGGAACGATAGAATCGGCTTGCTGTTGAGGGACAAACAGGGTCCTTTTTCTCATTGTTATATAAAAACGGATGAGAACACCAACGATTAGCCGATCCATTTTTTTTTAAATTTTTTAATTCTTACTTTTTTTCTCTGATGCAGGAAAAAAGAACTTTTTTTTTTGGGTCTCTCATGCAAAAAAAAGAATGCAATCCAAGGGTTTTCTTACATGAGTTCTCTCTAGAGAGAGAGAGAGAGAGAGAGGGAAAAGGAAAATACGCTTTAGAAAGATCTGATTTGTCCCATGGACGAAAAAGGGAAGGAACCAACGCCTATCCTGCCGTTGAACGTAGGGTGTGGAGGCACGGTAGAAAAATCACCTCATTTTTGCCGAACAAAGCAATACAAAAGCACACCATTGAGTGTCACCCTAGGCCCCTTTGATTCATCTCCAGCTGTAACACTCAGACATGTTGCTTTATATAAACTACCCCACGGCTACCTTATAAAGTCATATTTTTGGGTACAACTTGAGCTTTTTTTTTTTTTTTTTTTTACTTTTTAAACGTTACCCATGGTTTTTCTTTTCTTCATGCAGCCTAGCTTTTCCCCCCTCCCCTCCCTTTCCTTTTATTGTGAATAGAGGGCAAAAAATACCCTTTCTTTTCTCTCTCTCTCTCTCTCTTAAATCTTAAGAGGGGAGGGAAAATTAAAAAAAGTAAAAATTTTGAAACCTCGATTTAGACAGTAGTGAGCCAAGTAAATAGTAGGATTATCCTATTTTCCTGAAAGATTCATGCAGGTGATTTTTTTTTGGGTGTGTGTGTCTATGTAGGAATGGATGCACATGGATAGGTTGAGAGCAACAAAGGCGTTGAATGATGACTACAATGACTGTCAGCAGTGACATTTACAAAAAAAAAAAAAAAAAAAAATAATCTCAAAACTCCATAAATAGGTCGTTGATCTAAACGTTAACCCTATGTTATGTGTCTGTATGGTTTGGTTTCTTTTGATTAAGTAAGCGAAGAATGGGCGAAAATCGCCGTTTAAAAAAAGTGGTTTTACCAATCAAAAAACAAGACACAAAGGGCAAAGAGGAAAATCTTTTTTTCTTTTTTTACTCTCCTCATAGCCCACTTATTTGCATGAACCCTTTAAGGGACTTTTTTCTTTTTTTTTTTTTTGTAAGCGGTATCTCGGATTTTAATTATAACAAAATTAAAATAATAAAGAGGTGTAAATGCAATCCATTCCTTGGTATATGCACGATAAAAATTGGGTTTCAATGACGTAGGGCGCGGTTGGTTTTTTTTGTTTTTTTTTTTCTTTTCCAAAAGCCCAACCTATGTTGGTGCTTCTATGATCCCTCTTTGCTCATTTTTGAGCCTAAAAAAAATAAAGCCAATGATAATGCCACACATCAACCCAAGTTTGTCATTGTTGAACCAATGAACAGAAAAGGCGGGCAAAGGAGGATCGATGTCATCTGCCCGACGTGAGATACTGAAAAGCATACAGAGATCATCTGCACTGACTGAATAACATACAACCCCCATTCCGTTTCCTTCGCGCTTTGTACGCGAGTGGTGGCTACGGAGCAAAGTAAACAACCCCCCTACTGTAGGTCCTACACGGCTGATGCTCTTTTATTCCATCTCATTTTGGAACGCCACACCATCCAAAGACACGATCGTCTTTACTTTTTATCTTTCTTTGAAACACGGATCGACGACAGGACGGACTTGTACCTTTTCCAAATGCCTTAAGAGTACAACACTATCATGAGTTGGGAAAAAAAAAAAAAAAGAAAGAAAGGATGAAAGCGTGGCCCGTCTTCCGAGGAAGGGGGGCAAAAAAAAAAAAAATTGGCCCCCTTCTGAGGGTGCGGTCCTTTGGCCCGGGTCGAAAGGGGAAGCTCTCTTCGGGCTCCTAAACCCCCATCCATCGTTTTTGGTCATTCTTGCCGTTGGCAGCTGTTCAAGTCTCCCTCTTTCCCTATCCACTTGGTAATCCTTACGTATGTATACACACATACACACTCACACACTCCCTCTCCTCACCATCCAACACAACATCAAGAATCCATCCTTCTGCCATCCATCATGATGGAGAAAAAAAGATAGATCGAAAACAACGCATTTGTTATGGACGATAGTAGAGTCGATTCAGAAAGCGAAAACAACATGAGCCATCGGATACCACCATGACGGCCATGTCCGATGCTGCGCTTGGAAAGATGGTGTGTTGGAAGGAGGAGGAGGAGGAGGAAGAAGGGAGCAAAACAAACACACACATGAAAAACCGAATTGTGGATGGCTAACATGTAATCTCTTCATTTATTCTCTCTTTCCACTTTTCCTAACCCATGGAACGACATTGAATCAAAACAACACCCTTTCCTTCACTATATGACAACCTTGATTTTCATTGAATGGAATGCCCATCCTGTAGACCATGGTTTTGAAGCACAACAATCAGTTGCCCAACCAGCACTTCCGTAAGCAATGGGCTCGTCGTGTCAAGACTTGGTTCGATCAAGCTGGCCGTAAAAAGTCCAGAAGAATCGCACGTGTCCAAAAGGCTGCTCGTATTGCTCCCAGACCCGTTGACGGTCTCCTTCGTCCTGCTGTTCGTTGTCCTACTGTTCGTTACAACATGAAGTTGAGAGCTGGCCGTGGTTTCACTCTTGAAGAACTCAAGGTAAGAATAATAGTAGTATTGCCAGTGAGAGAGAGATGGGAAGAGCAGAGAAAGAGTGGGGGGGGGCGGGGGCGGGCATCAGAAAAATGCCTCAAGACTCGGAAAACGGATCATGGGTTGACATTTTCTTCTTCCGTGGCATCATAGGAAGCTGGTATTCGTCGTAAGGAAGCCCGTACTGTCGGTATCGCTGTTGACCACCGTCGTCGCAACAGATCCAACGAATCCCTTGAACTCAACGTTCAACGTTTGAAGGCTTACAAGGCTAAGCTTATCGTCTTCCCCCGTAAGGCCGGTAAGGCCAAGAAGGGTGATGCCGAAGCCTCTGAAGTCGCCGCTGCTGTTCAACACCGTGGTCCTCTCTTCCCCGTTGAACAAATCCCTGCTGCTCCTGAAGCTCGTGAAATCACTGCTGAAGACAAGGCCGTCCATGCTTATGCCAAGCTCCGTGCTGCTCGTGCTGCTGCTCGTACTCTTGGTATCCGTGAAAAGCGTGCCCGTGACAGAGCTGAAGAAGAAGCCAACAAGGTAAGAGGCATTCACCCATGGACACAAGTTGGAATGAGAAAAAAAAAAAAAACAAAAAAAAAACTAACACCTTCTTTCTCCTTTCTATTCAATAGAAGAAATAAACGGCTTTTTCAACTTCAACCTCTCGCTTCTCTCTTTTTTTTTTTTCATTTAATTTGTTAAAATAATGACTTTATTCCACCCCATCAATAAAACAGAAAAAAGGAAATGGACGGTTTGCGTTTTCTTTATCATCTCCACTTCAGCTCTCTTTTGGTTTTAGATTCTACTTTTTTTTACGGGCATCAGACGTCGACAGAGAAAAATAGGATGGGCAGTCGATAGATGGAGGGGGAGAAAAAAAAAAAAAAGAAAAAAAACACTTTCAAGCCACCAGGACACCTGTATCATTAGATGGGAAAAGCTTTTTATTATTTGGGAAAAATGATACAAAAGACATGAGAAAAAGGGGGGGAATATAATCAAGATGAAAAATAAAAGGAATTTCTAAAACAAATGGGATAAACAAAGATGAGACTATGTAACAAGAAGGGATGGGATAGGGGAGGGGGGATAGAAAATACACAAATTTTTTATACAAGAGAGATTGGAATAAATAAAATAGAATCATTGCGAGAAAACATAAAGTCTAAAACAAGATATCAATTTCCTCATCGGTATCATCCACGGCAACTTGCTGCGGCTGCTGTGGTTGTTCGGTCACGGAAGCAATAGCTATCACTTGGTTTGTCATGGCATCGGATATCACCGGTGCAGGGTTGTGGATAATGGTCTTGTTGTCTACCACTCGGTAATCCATCTTTTCATTACCAAAGACAATCAGATTGCTTGAACCGCCACCTGTCGTTGACCTCTCCTCTTCCTCTTCATCCTCCTCCTCCTCTTCTTCTTCTTCTTCTTCCTCGTCCGAAGGAGCAAGCATTTCTTCTAGTAATCTTCGTTTGTGAACAGCCGCCCGTCGTTTGGGTCGAGCAATGGCTATACTATTAGGGTCTTGAGAGACGGTGACAGAGGATGTCACCGCCTCATCGTCTGCCTGACGATGCTTCTTGCGTCTATTTCTTTTGCTGCCACTAGGACTTGTGCCTTTCTTTCTGCTACCATGACGCTTCGTAGAAGCCATCGAGGAGACTGTATTTTCTCTTTTCGTCAAGGAAGCCATCGAGATCGGCCCTTCTACTTTTTTCTTTCGGTGGCTGTAAGCAGGGAAATCAAATGCATCCACAGCAAAAGAGGCGTCGTCGTCAGAGGATGCACCCGCATCAATATCTTCTGTTAATTCTTCACGCGTCCTTGTTTTCGGCATTCCCGCTGTACTACGTCTTTTTCTCTGTCTCTGTCCATGGGCCGCCATGCCACGTCTTTTCTTGGCATGACCACCCGCTTCTTCTTCTTCTTCTTCTTCCTCGACGGATGCCTTCTGCTGCTGCTGCTGCTTTCGAATATAATCCTCAACATGGACAGTGGGGCCTCCATTCTGTTCCAAAATACAAGCATCCACATAAAACAACACTTGCACCAACTGTTCTCGTGCCACGCTCGACAGATCAATCTCGACTTCTTCTTCCTGCGAAGCACCTTTGGCCTTTTCCGGTGACAGAATCGGTAGAATGCTAGGTAGCCTTTCGGGATCCAATTGATTCGTAATACGGTCCAAGAGTGTTTCTTCCATTTGACGTTTGTGCATATAAATATAGGGGCTTGGCACCGCCGAAGAGGGAGACGAACGGACGCGAGAACGACGACCACGACCACGACCAGCACCAGCACCAGCACCAGCACCAGCACCAGCAGCATGACGTCTGGCAGGCATCCCATGCCTGCCTTCCGCATCCGATTCAGAATCAGAATCCGAAGAGGAGGCATAGCGACCACGACTACTCATATTCGCCACCGTCGTAGGAATCACCGTGCGTTCGTCTTCAGAATCATCCGAGACATCATCCTCCTCCTCTTCTTCATCCGAAGAAGCAGAAGACGAAGAAGAGCTCTCCTCGTCACTACTGCTGCTGGAGGCATCCTCCTCCTCCTCCTCCTCCTCCGAGACACTGCTATTCAAACATCTTTTACGTTTTAAACCACGTTCAAAGGCATCCGCTTCACTTGCTTCGAGCACGCTTGCTTTCTTTTCCTTTTCTTCTGCCGTCTCTGTCTCAGTAGATACAGAGGACGATCCCCACCGTACTGGCACTGCCTCCTCCTCTTCCTCTTCCGTCATCCTCCTCTCCTTTTCCACCTCCACATTCACTTCTTCAATATCAATTTCCTCTTCTTCATTGGTCTTGTGGAAAGATGGGTTGACTTTTTCCATAGCCACGGCTGTAGAAGCAGCCGACGTGGCATCAACGCCATCCACCGCAGCAGCAGTAGCAGTAGCAGTAGCAGCAGCAGCCGCTGCATCCATGAAATCCTTGTGGATCGGATCCACGGTCGCACGTTGAACAATAGGACTGACCTGCGCAGACGTAGCAGGTGAAGAAGTAGCAGACGTAGACGTGCTCGAGTCCAGAGGGCTACTCGACACAAACGTCATTTCATCATAGAAAGCCGCGGCTTGCGTGAAATCATTCATCGTCAATGGATTTTGTTCCACCACACCACCGCCATGGTCTGCACCAAAAAGATCCGTCGTGAGTTGAATGGATTGAGCCAGCATTTGCGCTGCTGTATCCATATCGGTCAAACAATGCGTTTGATCCGTTCCCCAAGCTTGTAACCAAGAATTCAATGATTCCCTAATTCAAAAAAGAAAGACGAGGGGTGGGGTGCGGGTCAGTTCCTTGTCGTCCATGGACATGTGTCATTGTGGTGGTTTTTTTTTTTTTTACCTCATCATCATGTCTTGCACTTCGCCTGTCAAATCCTCTACCATAGGAAGTTTGGGGTGGGTCCAATCGTTCGTATGGGCAAACAGTTGATTTAGTTGTTCTTCTGTCACTGTAGGAATCGTGCTGTCCTCTTGTTGATCCAGTGCTACCATACCAAAATGGTCCCGGGTCGTGGCGTTCAGTGGTTGCTGATCCTGTTGTTGTTGTTGTTGTTGTGGTGGTTGTTGTTGTTGCTGCTCTTGTTGTTGTTGATGTGCTATGGTCACTCTATAAAAATGTCGTAGAGGGGTCAACCAGGCTATTCTTTTGCATGTTTATTGGATCAAACAAGATGATACTTTACCCTCCCATCATTTTTTTTTTCCTATTGCTAATTGAAATGAATGAATGATATGAAAGGTGGTTGAGAGAAAGAGGGCTTTATAATAGAACGTAGATACAAGTAGATAAAAAAAGGCTTATGAAATAAGAAAAAAAAACAGGGCTTGGATAAACAGGTCAAACAGAAAAAAAAAAATTTTTCTTCCACTCTTTTCAAAATTTAAAAGTCTTCAAAACAGCACGAATGCCAAGTGTTCTTTTTCTTCTCTTGTTAGATTTGTTGGCTAATAATATTGAAAATGAATACACAGAGCGGCTGATTTGATCCCCTTTCACAAAAAAAGAGAAGATAGATAGTGTCAATAAATAGAGAAAAAAAATGAAATCGTTTTCGATAGACCTGTTTTTTTTAAAGCAAGAATTTGAAAAATTTATTCCAAGTCAGCAGCCACTTTTTGACATGTAAAAAAAAAGTAACGCCACCAGTCACAGCAAAAGAAAGAGCAAAAAAAAAAGCTCTCAAGGTACACCGGCCTTTTTTTACATTGGGTTTCATTCAGTTGCTATAGCGTCTTTATGTTTTTACCCTTTTTTAGGGCTAAAAAATATTTCATTTTTCTTGGGCGGCGGAAGGGACCCACGTAAACCTTAGCGTTCTCTCCCCCACCCCTTCATGACAAAACCCCTGCCCGCCCCCACCATCACTTTCTTGCTGATGTGATAAAAGTTTCAGTGGGAAAAAAAAATTGTTTTTTTCTTTTTTATTTGGCCCGCCAAGTTCTGTCACGTCGCCAAACGAGTAGGACCTAGAACCAGATCAAAAAATTTTATTTTTTTTTTTCGCGTGTAGAGGAATGCAATCCTATTGGATCCCCCCCCCTTTTTAATACATAATATATATATATATATCTCTCTCTGTTTATATTGCAGTTCTTAAACTTTTAGGTATCATTTTGGACAAGATGGGTTGCCCCACCATGAGCGGTCCTATCACGAGACACGCAAAAATGAGGAATAAACTATAAAATAAAATGCCGTAACAAATCGCCACGCGCATCCGTTTTCTCTTTTGTGAGGCCGTCCAAATAGGAGCATGAAATTGTTTCGAAGGTCGCAGCCAGAACAGCATCAGTGAATGTAAAGTATCTATGTAAGGTACAAGGAGAAACACAGACAGGAAAAACAAGATAATATGTCCAAGAATAAAATCAGTGGAAAATTCAGACATTTCAATCATTTTACAGACAAATTCTCGACCCGGTTGTGTAATGACTATCCCATCAAAAGAAAAGAGGCATCATCAATATCACTTTCACATAGCGTCAATGAAAAAAAAAAAAAAAGGACTACTTTACCGTGCCATCCAAGCTATAAAGACCCCACCCCACCCCATCCCATCATCCAAAAGAAAAAAAAAAAAAAAAAAAAGGTGAGATCATCGTAGGAAATAAAAAAAGCCAATATCCAACATAGAAAGTGATCTTTACCCCACGTCCATACCACTTGCCAGTCCACCAGGCTCGGTTGGCTTCGTCTTGCTTTAATTCTCTTGTCAAGCAAAGAATGGTCAAAACTCTCAATACAAAACGTTGAATGGACACCATCGCTACCATCGCCAACACGACATGCGTCAACTTCCAGTTTTCCAAAACGAACAGCACTTCAAAAATGACCATCAGACCCATGACGGACCACGCATGCGTCGTCGCCGCAATGACACTGCCAAACTTGCTGGACCAGAGACTCACAATGGAACCCACCCCGATCGACACACCAAAAAACATCAATAAACCCAGCGCATTCAGCAAAAGAGGAGCAAAAGAGAGAACGCCAATGCGAATCAGAGGGCTAGGTTGTGCGCCCGTTGTTGCTGTCCTACCCTGCTGCTGCTGCTGCGTCGTCGCGCCCTCTTCTGTATCAAAACTCTTGACAAAAATATAAGGAATCGTACATAGCATCGCATAAAAAAGGGGAAATAGAATTTCAGACACAAAAATAGCGGCGTGGCTGGCACGAGGCGTGTCTCCACGCACTGTCGTAGCGGCAGCACCTGTACCTGCCTTGGCATAGCGTTTGTAACCCGTGATACGCGCTCGTCCTGCTCGCGTATGGCTGATCCACGAATGAGCATGGGGTTTCGAATTGCCCCGGGACAGCCAGCGAATAAACTCTTTGTAATCAATCAAAAAGTCGAGACGACTAAACTGGTTGGGATTAAACACAAAAGGGGAGACAATGAGAGCCACGACCGTCAACCAGAAATAGATCAAATGAGGCAACCAGTAGGCCAGAGAAGCAAACAGCATAATAATCAGGTTTCTTGCCCCTACATAGATACTAGGCCCTGTAAAGCGTGAATACAAAAGGGCAAAAGACAGCCGCGACGTCGCAAAACCACGGCCCGTACCAATGTATTGCGCTCCACCATAGATCAAGTTTTCCAGCACCGAATGCGTGTAGATTTGAGTCACGAAAATTTCAAACAAGGGAGACAGTGACATGAAATGCCGTGCCATACGTGTCAGACTGCGCCAAAACCCACGTTCCGTCAGCTCCTGCAAGAACAACGGTAAAAACGCCGCAAAGAACACGACAAAAATAGACATGATGCACCGCTTGACCCATTCGATGATGGGAATCAGATTATAACACCCCTCGGGTGTCAGAGGCGCATCCGGGGCGTCCTGGTTGTACTCACAGATCGTCAACGACGTCGCCATGGCAGTGACAAACAAAATCACCAGCATAAAGAGTTGCACGGACTTCATGATGAAAATGTTGTTGATGTGGAAACCAGGATGAGCATAATAAAACGTCAAGAAACGGTCCAGAGGCAATTGCGTACCGATGTAGTAGTATTCTCGTGACAGCATTTGCTCGCCCATGCCTGTCCCTATCTTGGTGGTAAAGTTAAGAATGGACCCAAACCCGAGATCACGTCCTTTACCGCATTGGAAATACTCGGTATGCTTGATACGTCCACCACGCGTAAAAGCGTTCATGCCAGCGTAAATGTCTTCGTTCAGATGAAGCCCCTTTTGCGCTTTCGATACACCGCCGCGTGTCGTCATAAAGATCGCATTTAAAAAGTCTGGATGGCCATAGTGCAGTTTACCGCCAATCTTGGCCATGATACGTTGCGTCAACGTACCAAACGTCTGCTCCTTACCCGCTGCTACATCGCCCAACACACCGATGTTCTCGGAAAAGATATACTCACGCGCTCCCACAATCGCTACCGGCGCCTTGTTGGATTTTTCATAGTGCGTCGAGTACGGTGAGGTAGACGTCGGTTCGAGATTTTCAAATTCGCTCAGCACATTTCGTATTTTCAAGCATTCTTCCAGGTAATTGTCTTGGTTTGCATCCACCAACTGCAAAAATTCACCGCGATAGAAAACAATGGCATGGTTCTGGTTGTCAGATTTACCGTCGCCCAAAATAGGATTGCCCGCGAGACGGATACGGAAACGAGGCTGACGTTTGAGCCCATGGCTGCCCTCGACATAATCACACAGCCCGTCAATCAGGCAAGAATAATAAATGGTCTCGCCTCCTTCTCCTTCTTCTTCGTCAATGTACGCTATTTGCAGTTGGGGAAACGCCTTGAGTAAAAGCTCGGCATCTTCTGCTTCCGCTGGGCTGAATTTAGCATAACGTTGCATCGCCACGAGGAACCGAAATTTGCGGTGCGCCAAGCGATTCAGATCACGGTTGAGTTTCTTTTTGTCGTCTTCATACAGCTTCACAATATCGGGTCGTTCGACGCGAAAGAGAATTTGAATGGCTCTTTTGTAGTTCATGAAACCAGACACCGTACGGTACAATGTCTGAGCTCGGAGCGAAGACCATATACGTGTACGCAGCGTAAATTCAGGTTTATCGTGTTTGAAACCTATACAATAAAAAGGGACATCATCATTTTTGGCCGTCTCTTCTTTTCGGCTGTACAGTGTGGCGGCTGTCAACACGGTCGAAGCAGCGGATACTTGAGAGTCTGTGCGTCGATGGCCTCCTATGTCGCCTATATGGACCGCGGCCTCGTTCTTTTCCCCTTCCTGTTCCCCGTCATTGTTGTCGATGATAGCGCCTAATCGAATGGCTTCTTCACTGCCATGCGCGAGCATCTTTGTATCCTGCACAAAATGATGCCATTCCACACCGTGGAGCTTTTTTAAATATTCAAGCAAAGTAATGCGCGTACTGTTGTCTTCTTCCTTGATAATCTCTCGGAGAGAGAGCAATATCTTTTCGCCGTAATGAGGCGTCAGCACGGTAAACGTAGGCATGCATTCCACAGGATGAGGCTGAGGCATCGGCGTCGTCAGACTTTGAGCAAAAAACCGAATACGTCGATCCGCCTCCCCATTTTGAGGAAAGCATTCTGTTTTAAAGGAAGTATCTTCCTGCGAAACAAAAAACGCGGGCGTTTTCAAAGTACGTTGACCATGAAGTGCATCTACTTCCTGTTGAACGGTTAAAAGAGGGAGGGTTTACTGAATGCAAAAAAGTCACTTTTTTTCATTTTACCTGTTGGTAAAGCATTCGCTGTAGATGATCGACACTGATTAAATGTTCTCTGTACATGGTCACCACAATCGCGTTCCAGATCTGAGAGCATAAAAGCTTGGGCTTGACCTTGAGAGGAATATCATTCGTCGCCAACAGCTTGACATGAATACGCTGAGGCAGTCTCGCAAAGATGTTTCTCCACGGCGACCAAATCGAAATGCCTAGGTAGAACGATCGAGCCACGGAAAAAATAGTGTTCCAAATGACGTACCAAAGATACGTATCCAAGAAATACAGCACCATATCCATGATCAACATGAGGACAATCGTGATACGTGGCATGTGCTCACAGATAAGAAGGCCCACAATCGCATCCTTATGGCAGTGGGTGATGGTCATCGAGCTGATCACTTTGAGGGGATCTTTGAAGGAAAGAGCTAAAAAGAAATAGGACTCGAGTAGTTTACATCCAAAGACACATACCCACAAACAAATCGACATGATACGGTCAATCCGTTTCAAAGACGGAAAGCTGGCGGTAAAGTGCTCATTGGCCAGTTCAGCCCGTGTCACCATGGATTTGCGCATGAACAATCGCGCCGAGGGAACCACAGCCAGATAAAGCGTGGTAGCCACGCTCACCAACAGTTGAGCAACCGAAGTAAGCAAAGACATCCGACTCGTCCTATTCATGTAGACACAATAGTAGGTAGGGCCTCCATTGATCACTGCAAGTAAAACAAGAAAGCCCATGCGCCGTAGCACACATTTTGCATTACGCCACGTGAATGGTATATAGGCCAGCTCAGCACAGGAGCCAATGATGAAAAGTAAACACGCTACGACACCGCCGAGAGCCACCATGGATATTTGTACAGGTTTTTCTTTCTCTGCCATCTCTGGGTCAGGATGAAGATACAGAGGATAGGCGTTGGCCATGATATAGTACCAAAAGGTCACAATGTGAATGACCCACACACGAGCAAAGTTGATCGAGGCATGCATCCAAGACCGTTTTTCCTTGTACGTTTTTTCAAATGTATTTTTCCAATCGACATCCTTCAAGGCCGCATAACGCTGGTGGGCTGGTAGTTGGCCGATGGAGGACTGCTGTTGACGCGCTGATTTTGTTTTGGTATCCTGCTGCTGAGCAGCGGGTAGCCGTATTCTATCGAGGCAGGTAAAGTGCCAAAAGAACTGATTGACGTCGTCATAGCCTATCACTTTGTCATGGTCCCGTTCTCGCTTTAAATACTTTCCATTGTGAACTTTGTACATCTGATCTCTGAAAAAATGGTAAAAGGGCGTGATGAGTGTATCCAAAAACGCACCTTCGGGCATGGCTGCGCTGGCGTTGGGGTCTTCTTCATCGGCAGGTGCCCTCTTTAAATAAAAGTAGTGATCAGAAGCCACTTTAAAGAGGAAGCAAAGCGCTTCCGGCGTATAACGGAGGGGGCCTGCTTCACCCCATATACACAGATAAAGCGCAAGATGCTGTAGCTTTTCCATATTGGTTAACTGGCGCATACATTCATCCCATTGCGCTTGAGCACGTTTTAATTGCATTTGCTCCGTCCATTTGAGCCCTTGCGTGGCATACGCTGTCCGTGCCTTTTCCTCTTCTGTGGCATCATACACATCCATTTCCGCTGCAAAATACCATTTGCGATAATTTGCATGCTCCCCACCGATATACTCGGCGTGTAAAGTATCCAGTGCGATTTGTGGTGCTAATCGTGACGCGCGTGAATCAAGCATGACCTTCAAATGCTCACTCATATTGCGAATATTATCTCTTTGGAACCCAAACGTGTGGGCCATGTCATTGAAAACGGCATCTATCTCTTCCAGTGTCACAGGTAAACAGTCGTGTGGACCCCATGCCGGATAATCCGCGGGTTCCGTTGTGGTGGACGTGTAGCCTTCCAGTGGATTGATCAATTCAGGTGCCAGGAAAGCAGCGGATGCTCTATTCTTTTTGTCCACTAGAATGCTACTGCGTACAGAGGATGCGCCTGAACTTTGTGCCATTGTGTTCTTCATCTGTATTTGGTTCGAGTATTTACGAGCCTCGAGTAAGGCAAGCATGTCTTCTGCAGAAGAAGCATACGTCATGTAACGGCTGTCGTCCGTTTCCAACACAGTGGCCGATACATCCACGTCAAGAACATCTGAAGTAGAAAAAGACTCTAAAGTGGCTCGGCTGCTTGGGCGTCGGGCTTTTTTCCCCTCCATCATTATTTGACCTAATCCCCATAGATAGTTAGATAAAAGAAAGTTTATAAGTGATGGATCAATCGAATATACCTTCTGAAGCGGTCAGTTGCGGTAGTATGGACCGTGTAGGCGCGTCCGCTGGTTCAGATGATGTTGACGGCTTTATTTCAATGGTATCGTTGACTACTGCTTCTACTGGACCGGCATCTGACTCTATACTAATAGGTTTAAATACAAAGAGAAACATCAGCTTATTAAGCCCAATGTTGAATAAAACAACTTTTTTTTTTTTTTATTTTTACTTTGCAAAATAGGCACGAATCTCAGCAAATTCTTCTTTTGGTAGTGTAACGGCAGAAGTAGATGGATTCGTTGGACGCGAAGATATTGGTTGTTGCTCATCGGCCACTCGGTTGTCCTCAAGAGGCGTTTGACTGATATCAGTAGGCATCATGGTTGGACTGGATGAGGGTGCATCATGAAAATCCGCTTCATCGACAACTGCTGCAGCTACTTTATTCGGATCTTCTACGAATGAGTTATTGGCCGTAGCCAACATTTCTGGCGAGCGGTTGGGGATATTCTCCTCTTCTTCTGTGGACATCCTTTACGCTCTATCTCTACTATCGTAGCACTCTGTTAATGGAGTCGAGAGAATAAAGTACTGGAAAAAGAAATACAACACCACAAAATAAATAGGTTATATGATGTTGAGTATTAAGTTAAAGGGAGAAGAGAGAATGATAAGGCAGAGTAATAGTCGAGACTTTAGTTATGCCAGAAGATTAGACGCTAGAACAAAACAGCTGCATGGTTGCTTTTTAAACGATTCTTCAAATATGTAACAAACATAACATCAAATTCATTGAACCTTATCGATCAAGCCCAGCTAAGGAGTGGCCGTTGACGCAATCTCCATCCATTTGATGAATGTACGGCTGAGTAAATTGGCATAAGAATTTTTATTGTATAGACAGCTATTGAAAGTACTCTTTTACTTGTTCTTGTTGAACACATTGCTCATTCTGCATCACTGATGAAGCAAATCAACGAAATCCTGAAAATAGTACTGATTGTTATTGAGCCGACAACTCAAAATCTGTTCATAGAGGGTTTATTTGCCTGACTTAAAAAAGATGAATAGCTTTTCTTTTTCTTTGCCTACCCTCCATTTCTTTTTAACATAAGGCTCCTTCCCTCTATGTACCTTTGCCTCCAGACGTTCGGAATTTGTGTTATTTTATAAACGTGGCACAGACGGTGCCTGGGTTTTTGATCTTCCGATTTTATGCAACAAAAATGATTCGCTTGTGTAGCATGAATTTCTTTTTCTGCAAAATTTCAGGCGGAGCAAAAGCAGATGCTTGACCACCCCCCGGTATCCCTAGCAGGGGCGAGCCAAGAGTTGGCTGGGCATTCAAAAACTGAGTGACTACAAGCCACTTTACTATTTTCATATTAAGGAAGGGGGGTTGTTGGAGAGAGGGATACCCAAAGCGTGAGGTGTGTGGGTTTTTGTACTTTTTGCTCTCAACTTTCGAAACAGTTTTCAACTGCACTATAGAATACCATGTTGCGTTCATCGCTCCAAAAGTTCAGCAGAAACACCTATTCAACATTAAGGCGACAACCAGAGAACTTGTCCAAAGCCGCTCATAATTTAGCTGAAGAAGCTTTAGCACAGAAAACCGCCGGTGCTTCTAGAAGTAAAGTTACGCTACCTAAAGGGAATAAAAAGCCTACCAAAGCCAAAGGAGAAAAGGACAACAATTATAAAGAAATGGCTCTGGCAGCCGGTGTTTTCACTGGTCTTGGTCTTGGTAGTTTACTATACTATGGTAGGTATAAATAGTCATTGTTAACAAACCTGGGCTTCCATCTGGATGATGAGTGGTTGATGGATGGGGCATGGTTGACAATGGACTCTCTTTTTCCACGGATAGGTCGTCCATTCAACGATGGAAGAGAAGATAAGGTTAGAACAAGAGCAAAAAAGTTAAAGGATGCAGTTATTGAAATCAATAGAGAAACGAAAGACAACTAAAAAAGCAACACACTATCCTTTTGAATAGTATGTCCAAGATAATACCTTTGCGGCAGCATACAAGCGTTGTAGGGATCGTTTCCACGACTTTCAACAGGTAATGGACAGAGAACTGATTCTGTGCTGTCGTAAAATTAATTGACATCGAGGACGGAATATACAACACATTTAGAGAATGAACGAACCCATGTGGGATAAACTTCTTCCTGAGCCTTTACCAGAACCCTATAGACGTCCTTACACTTTGGTGATCAATTTGGATGAAACATTAGTATACACAACTTGGGATGTAAGCTTCATGAACCAAAAACAATGGATGGATAAGCAGTCGCAATAGAAAAACTAAAACAAAACTTTCCACTACACCTTGTAGAAAGAGCATGGTTGGCGTCATGCCAAACGACCTGGTGTTGACTATTTCTTGGCCTACCTTTCCCAATTCTATGAAATTGTTATATTCACTTCTCAACCTTCTATGGTAAGCAAACACTTTTTTCCTTGCGACTAAAAGCAATTCATATTCATCCACTCTGCTTTCGATTCGTTTATTTAGAATGCTCAACCTTTGTTGGATAAACTTGATCCATATCAATACGCCATGTACAGACTTTACCGTGAAGGAACACGGTATAAGGATGGCAAATACATCAAAGACTTGTCTCACTTGAACCGTGATTTGAGTAAAGTCATCATCATGGACTCGAATCCTGAGTCATTCTGTTTACAACCTGAAAACGGTATTGCTTTGAAACCATGGAAGGGTGAAGCCAACGATAGTGGATTATTAGATTATATACCTTTCTTGGAAGGTAAGTTATTGATTTTTAAATCTGTATGTTTCTAGTTTTTTTTTTTTGCATTTTCTAACGTGAAATAACTTAACATTGTGCAAAATAGCTGTTGCCTTGACATCACCTGAGGATGTTCGACCTGTTTTAAAGAGTTTCGAAGGCAAGCACATTCCAATTGAATGGGCCAAGCGTGAGGAAGAAATTAAAAAGGCACATATCAAGCAATGGGAAGAAGAACAAGCTCAGAAGAAGGGATCACGTAATTTAGGTTCCCTATTGAGCGGAGGCGGTGCAGCAAAGCAAACAGAAGGTCCACCACCTCATTATCTAGACCAAATGAGAAAACAAGTACGTGAAGCATTTGCTTCTGAATTCGAACAACAAAAGAAGATGCAAGAAGAAGCCATGGCACAAGATATGGAACGACAAATGCAAATGATGAAAGACATGAAGATGTCTGTTTGGGACCTGATGACACAAGCTGTCTCTGTAAAGTATTTTTTTTTTTTTTTTTGGGTAATGTAAGAATCATCATTGGCTAATGTAGATGTATCCGTTTTATAGGGTCAACCTTTAATGCCTCCACCCGATATGCAACAACAACAACAAGGACAGCAGCCGCAACAACAACAGCCTTCCAACCAAAAGCCTTGATAACCATGATACTCAACTTGTATTTAGAAATGTACTTTTAGTTTAAATGAAGAATGGGTTCACATTCGTCTAATAAAAAACCATCCTCATGGATTTGGACGGAAAAATGGGAAATGTTCTCTTTTACTTTGACAAGACCATGTGATGCATTGCATAATTGACGTTGGATGAGCATCTTTATATCAGGTTTAATGGAAAAAAGAACGGGAGGCATTCCGTTTTGAAGTTACACTGTAGTAGGTTTAGGATTTTTGGCCCTTAATTTCGTCGGTCTATCCATAAACGTCATCTGCTTTTTTTTATTTCCGAGATAAAAAAGAAAGAGTAAGCGAAAGTGAAAGAGAAAGGCAGACAAAGAATCGTGAGAGACAGCGTATATAAAGCAAATAGAGCCTTCTGTATAACTATGAGCAAACATGAGTCTACAGCAAGCCAATCTAATATTTTGTTAGCGTGAAGCACCCAAGTTTACCCTGAAGATCAGCAAAAAGAAGAACAAATCTTCACGTTTTTGTTGTTAAGTAAAGAAACGATCAGAATGTTACGCACAACACTATTCTTATTGTGTGTGTCTGAGGCTCGGATCTTTGTAAAATATAGTTATATCAGATAGTCCAAGTCTGTCTGACTTTAGCCGTTGCTATTATTATCAAACACTTCAAGCCTTATCTTTTTGGAGAGTGACTGTAGCTATCCATGGTTCAAACATAGATGATGCATACTTCTACATATAGATGTATTGGATTGAATACCCAGAAAAAAAAGTAAAAAAATAAAGCTGTGGGAAATAAGCGTTTTATATGTATGGATATTATTCTTTCAATAGCTTACTTTGCTCAAGCACTGTGATTGAGTGCCCAATTTTTTGTTAGTGATGAAACACATTATAAAAGGATGATAAGCCTTTCAAAACTTGGTAAATAGCGCTTTTCTCTTTCTATCCCTTGCGAATCCTGAACAATGTCGCCACCTTGATGCATCATGAGTCTATAGCTCTTCAAATAGTCGGCAAGCTTACATCGATTTGACTCTTTCTACTAAGGATATGTATAGCCTTTCGTTTCTTGCTTCTCAATGATGACCTTAAGTGGTACGACTTGGAAGAAAAATGCCTTCTTAATAAGGATATATATGAAAAAACTTAAAAGTTAGACAAAGATGTGTGAACACTGCTGCAAAATATTCAACCTACATAAATAACTTTTTAGTTCCAAAGTAAATCTTTTTTCATTTTTTTTTTTTTTGGGTTTAAACCAGGCAAAAGAGGGCCAAGAGAAATGTGTGCTTGTTAAGCCATCCGAATTTTTACTAACTGAACCTATTGTTCTGATCAGCAGTCTTTCGGTTTTAGGTTCTGCAGACGTATAATGCATGATAGATGCACTGTACATGTATGGTATCCTCTTTTAAAAAAGCCTCACTTTGTTAAGCATCCGTCGTTGATAGAAAAATGAAAGAACTGCCATTGCCCGGTGAACCCTTTTCATAAATGTTCTTTTGCTCCAAAACGCTCTATTGCACCTATAGCAAGACATAATATAGGCATTAGAAAGAAATGATTTTCTTGCCACCATCATGTAAGAAACAGGCTGATTCTTTTCTTCTTTTTCTCTTTTGTGTGCAAAATGTGAGAGATGCGATGAAAGATGATTTTCGTACGCGCCAAAATAAAGTTCACTGCATAATTCATGGAATAAAATTTCGGATTGTTCTTCATAATCCTTTGAAAATACATAACGTACATTTTGTCGCCTTAAGAAGAGCAGCTTCTTTTCTACCACGTCATTATACTAACAGTACGGTTCAAACGTTAATGACTTTTCAGAGGTATTTGAACACCTGATTTGGTCCTTTTTTTTTTCCCTTTGCCACTGCATTTTTCTACTTGGATTCTTATAAGCAAAAAAACTATCTCTCCATACATTTCAGACCTTTTTCTTTCTTATCTTATACTATCACTCTGTCTCTTTATTTTTATTTTTTTCCTTTTTTTTTTTTTTTTTTTTTTTTCTCTTTCAACTGACTCGTCTTTCGTGTAGTCATCGTTTATAGCAATCCTGCTCCCTTTCTTCACCCAAACAAATAATAAGAAAAAGACTTACAGTTCCTTTTTCTTTGTTATTTTACCTTACGTCTACCGTTCTATTGAACAATGCAATATTTAGCATCCACAACAAACATGACTTCTATAGCAGCCCCAAAGATGCATAAAAATAGCTCCTCTATGACCACCACCACAAGCAACTCCTCTTCTCCTGATACAGCTGCTTGGATGCAGCCGCCACCACCTCCACACCTTACTTCAGCCACTGTAGACCCCTATTATAATCATGATGCCGCCAATCCGGTTATTAATGACAAAGATACTACAGATCCTATGATAAAAGAGGAGCAACCATTTATGAACTCGAGCAACAGCTCTAACAGTAACCATCCTGCCTCAGCTGTGGAAAGTGACCTGAGCACATCCGAAAGTTCGAAATCAGACAGAAGCCGTTCTTCTACTTCAGAGATAACCGTAGAGAAAAACACAGATGGAAAGCCACCCTATTCTTACGCGACTTTAATCAAATATGCTATTGAGCGTAGCCCTGATAACAAATTAACACTTAGTCAAATATACCAATGGGTCATCGATCATTACCCATACTATGCAACCGCAGGATCCGGTTGGAAGGTAGCAATTTTTTTTATTTTATTTTTTTCCAAGCTTATCCATGATGTGCTCTCTTCCCCTTTCTCAGTGTTAACTAAACAGTTTGTATCTATATCCATATCATTTTCCTTCTAGAATTCGATTCGTCATAATTTATCTTTAAACAAGAGTTTCGTTCGTGTATCGAGACCAGTGAATGAACCTGGCAAGGGCTCTTACTGGACAGTAGATCAGTATGCTGCAGAGAATGAACATCGAGCAAAATCATCTGTGCGAGGCTCGGGTCGTTCCTCCTCAAATAACCGTTCCAACAGTGGTGACTATGCAAATGCAACCTTTCACAGCCATAGAATGATGAATAACATAGCTGCCGATCCATGGTTATTTGCTCGCAGTTCTCGTGAAGCGAATGGAAGACCTATGTCTACGAAAGATGCTGTTGTAGCCGCAGCTGCAGTAGGCATGTCTCCCTATGGTGCAAGTGGTCCCATTCGCCGTGCATCTCAACATTATGGTTATTGTCCTACGAGCATGGTCAATTCAGCAACGGCGGCAGCAGCGGCTGCTGCTGCAGCTGCAGCTGCAGGCGGAGGCCATCATCATCCTCCTCCTTATGGTAGTTATGCGACCAATCCATATGTTTATTCACACTCATTTCCTTACCATCACCATCATCATCCGCATCAGCAACAACAACAACAACAGCATCCAAGGTTATCTTCTCAACATGAAGCTTTATTTCCTTCCGCTCGCCAACATTCTTCAGTAACTTACAGTCTGCCTAACCAACACACTCATCCTCATTCTTTCAGCACCAGCAGCATTTATACTGCCGTGCATCATCCACAGCCACATCAATCGCCATTCTACGCACATAGACAATCTTGCCCTGAATTAGCAAACATGCACTATCATCATTCTGACGCTCCCAGTATGATGCATACCGCTTCTAATACGACTACCTCGCATGTTACTTCACCGGGTACAAGTGGAAATGATAACAGCAACAGCCATGACGTTTGCCTCAGTACTTCAGGTTCACCTATTGTCGAAGTACCTGTAACAACAGGTGACACGAATACAAGAATGCTGTATGCCTCCTCTTCTCAGCCATTACACACTTATGGCAGTCTCACAACAACTACGAGCACCACCGCCAATGCAAAGAGCAACCCTTACATCGCCTCTTCAGCTTCATCTCCTATTGGCGGAGGCCCAGCGCTATCTACATCCATGGAAGCAACAACATCTGCAATAACCAATAACGTTGGTCAATTATCACAATCTTCTCCCATCTCGTCTAGTAGTACCTCTCCCTTATCGCCTTCACATACACAGCAGCAACACATGTCCGAGGCCGATCCATTATATACCATGGTGGTACAGCAAACTTCACCCGTGACAACAACAAAAACAACAACAACAACAACAACAACAACAATAGATGCTGCTGTAGCAGCAGCGGCAGCGGCAGCAGCAGCAGCAGCAGAACTGTCAGTGACAACTACTACCCCCGGAAATACGAGATTAACAACCCAATACTTTCATCCCTCTCCAAACTTGCTTGATGGCAGTGGCAATGAAAATAGACAGACCATCCATAAAAATGAATGCTTGACCTCTCCTTCATCACCTCTCGTCATCAACAGTATGTTTTCTCAAAACTTTTTGCCTGTCTGACGTGAAACATCGTAGATACTAACCCTTCACTCTTTCTACTAAAAAAAGACAACTCAAATACTATCCATTATATGGGTATGGTAGCTCATCATCACCATCAGCAACACTCTTCTAATAACAATGATAATGAAGAGAATCCTTCATCCTCTGCAGATGCTTGTTCGCCACAACCTACGACTACTAATTTTCATGCTCATCATCCACAGCGTCACCCACAGCAACATTTCCAATTAAAGTCAGACCCATCAAAGGAAGCTGTGAGCTTTAGATATGCACAACAGCCCATGATGTCTAATAGTGATACAACAACTGCATTCTTGCAGCAGCAGTCAAATGAAGGACAGCAGCAGGGCTTTATGAATGATACAAGATTCGACTATTCGAATCTTTAATTACAACGTCGTTTTAATTGACATGTTAACCAACACACTGGCATACTAAAACTTATACCAAAAAGAAGTTACTGCTTCTTTCTGAAAACTTTCATCATAAAACAAACAAACAAAAAAAAAAAAAAAGGATATTCCTTTCTCTTTGAAATCTAACGCTAGAAAACACGAAAACAAAATCCATAAAAAAAAAGCCCATTTCTTTTTTAAATTACTGCATTTCTTTATTTTCTGTCATCTATAAAATTTATATAATATATTCTTTATCATTTCATTCATTTTTATATCATTAAAGAAAAACATAAACCAAAAAAAGACATGACTCTATAAACATGAATATCTTATCTTTCATCTTAACCGGGCATAAATTGATTTTCGAAACAAATCATGATCATAGTACAAATCACACAACATTGGCTTCTAGACCTTGTTGACTGATTTCCCGGCGTTTCATTAGCCTTTTTTAAAGTTATGCCACCCATGTCCATAGAGAATTTTTACTTTGAGCCCAGTCTTGTAACAGACACAGTAAAGCCCATCCATCTGTAGGTTCCAACGTATGTGTAAACGAGTCCAATAAACCTTCCATAGGGTGAGGATTGAGTAATTCGTCCACTGTCAAGATAATGACCTTACATCTATCAAGAAAATGGAGGATTAACTTCTTATAACCCCTCTTATCCGCCCACCTCCACACCACCAGCCCCCCCTTCCCTCATCCCCCGCCCCCTGAACCTTTTTCGGGTTACCTGGCTCGTGATAAAGCTACATTCCATCTTCTGAAATCACGTAAAAATTCATTCGTCTTTTTGCCTCGGCCAGTATTATTCATACATGAAAAGCAGGCAATGACCAAATCACACTCTTGCCCTTGCATTTTCTCCACTGTATCTACCGGAATGAAATGAGGTATTCTTCTTTTGATAGCCACTCTTTGCTGATGGTGAGGTACCACTACCATCGCTAGGGGTTCCTGTTTAGCATGGTTAGCTGGAATTTGAGAAGCATCCACATTTTTGATTCGAGCACAGAGATAAGATTCAATCAATGTTTGAACAATTTCGGCTTCCTTCTCCACTGCTTCTTTGTCTTGATGAAAATCAGACATACTGCTGCTGCTGCTGCTATTACGAACAATCTTTACCAAGGAGATCGGCTTGGATGGGTCCAGAATCGACTTTATCAATTTAAAGTCTGTCTTCTTTTTGATGTTGTTGCTACTGCTGTCATGACTCATAAGATGAGGATCCTCCGTTTCTTCTTCTTTTTCTAATAATTCCAAATCAAGATGAAGCTTAATTTTTGGGAAACGGGAAGTATATTCAGGACCATAAACTTGTCTAAAAAACTCGTTTAATTCTTCATTCTAATAGAATAGTTAGTGAGCTTTGCATTCATAGTAAAAAGAATTCTTTCAATTACCATTCGCCAATTATCCTTCAACTGAAGCGTGTTGGGCCCAAAGTCATGCACTGCACCTTTCTGCAATAAAAATTTCCGCATTGGAATCGCGCGATTATCCTCAGTTCGCATCAAACATTGTTGAATAGATCCAAATAGCATAGGATCGTCCAGTCGTAAGGTTATATCTGAATAATCATGTTTGATAATTGGGCCTAGTTGCTATTTTTTGTCATCATATCGAGTAAAGATGGATGTGAACAACGACTTTTCTATACAGGCTTTTTAATTCATCTTCCTTACCATATGATCACCAGCTATGATCAGTTTTCCACGTTTTGATAGACAGGCAATGGCTAGCAATGCATCTGGTACAAGTAACTGTTATAGATAACAAAAAAATCAGAAAAAATCAATCCGTCTCTATCCGCCTCATCCTCCTCACATGTAAATTAACACAAAATGCCAAGCCAGCGCTGTCTACCTGTGTACTTTCATCCAAAATCATCATTTTACATCCAGTTTTATCAAATGTCTTCCATTTACACCTCATTTTGTTCCAACTCCATACCGTTGCGCCAATAACAAAAATCTTGATTGGTGTGTTTCTTCTTATGCGATTCACTACGGTGAGCGACGTGTTCCATTCCGAGTCTATGATGTTGGAAGCCTCACCGAATTGAGTGTCATCCCATTCAGGTTCCGTCACATACATGATAGAGAACTCGTCATCAAAACCATGGTGATGTTGAACTTTTTCTATGCGCTTCAAAAGATTGATAATAGCATTGCGTGTAAAAGCAGTGACGCCGATCGTTAAATTCTTGTCTGTATTACCCACTTGATTCTTCCAGCACTTGATGTACCAATTGATAAAAAGTGCCAAGAATTCAGTCTTTCCAGACCCCTTCAGTCAGGTGAAGTTCTGTCAGAGGCACAGTCCAATGATAAAACAATGTCACTCCATCCCACTTACCGGTGGTCCCCAAATAATCTGCAGTCTTTTCTTAGATAGGTTGGCCGATATAGTTTTCTGTGAAGGCGACATGGAAAACGCTTCCCTCATTTGGATAGCTGTGTCATTGCTGTTGAAATGGATATCGTCTGTCACATTTTTGTTTGCCCATTCATTAGGGTTCTCTATTAAGGACTATAGGCCATGCCCAATGTGATAGAAAGAAAAAAAAAAGGCAAAAAACAATTACATTGTGAAACATTTGTTTACTGTAGTGTAGCCCTTCTTTTTGTTATCTTTTCAGTTACAATAATATCGTTGTTTCTCGGATCTTGATCCAAATTTTTTAAAGCATTAATGGTCAAAATAGTCGTAAAGTTCGTAAATCGTCTATACAATCGCCATCTTCTTATACGAGTACTAATTCGATATCCACACAAGACAAGTTCATTATGGTGAATTTCCTCTACATCCACACAGCGAATACCAATTTTTTTAAACTTTCCAAGGTTCATATACATCAAATCCGAGAACTGAATTGTCTCCAAAATGCCCTTTTGGAAAAGACGGATCAGCAAAAATGAAATAGAACTCTGAGCTAATTCGGTACATGAGTAATCAGAGCCTTACTTCTCGCGTGTCAGGCACCAAAATATATTGTCGAAAGTTATCCATAGTTAATCGATCCAATTTATGCTGAACTTCAGGACCATTCAAAAATGGGCTGACTGAAAATGTCAGCCGATGGTCGTATTGGTTCAACTGCTCCATCCTTACCAATTCCAAAACCAACCCGCCCGAACGATGCCCTTCTTCAGCAAGAGCATCCAATAGCGGCTGCTGTCGTTGTCTTTCCCAATGTGACAAGTCTTTGATGCGATCCATACGAACTTCATCACAGGCCTTAATACATTCCATTTGTTTGAAGAACATCAATTTGGCAAACAAGAGATGATTGAAATTCTGCACAGAGGGCCATTGGAACGGCTTACAAACCAACGGGAAAAGCTCCATCCCTGTTTCTGCGCTGTACTGTTGCGTCAATGTTCGATATGTTGACAGGATGGCTTGTAGCCATATGAAACGATGCAGAATCAAAGTTTCTGTAGTGCAAGATGTCAAATTGGCATTGTGGTTGGACAGCGACACGCCCTCTTTGTCCCCTTTCCAGAACGAGTAAACGTGATTCAAATCAAGGCCTGCTCGTTCCACTTCGGTATCGAGTTTTACGGTGTCTGTCATCCATTCGACAACGTCTGACAGCTTATAGTGTTGATATCTCGCAACACCCAGCACGACATTTTGTTCGAGTAGCTGTTGAATGCTCACAGATCGACCCACAGAGGATGTATTGCAAACATCCTGCATATCAGGAAAATGAACAATGCCTGGTAATCCAAGTAACTGCGTATCTTGGAACAAAACAACCAAACAGCGCATGGCATCCGTGATGATTTCATTTCTACGTTCCGCATTGACTGTCACCAGTTCATCCCCATCCGATCGAACAATTTCGTACAGAAGTTGTTGGATGGCCTTTTTTTCCTGTGAGTTATACACGTAAAACAAACAGCGCGATTGAAGCTGGTCCATTTGATAGAGCGTTTCTGTTAAATCTTGGATAAAGTTGTCGACAAAATCGCTATAGGCCTTTTTGCGCTCTTCTGTGTCTCCTTCTTTGCTGGCATACTTTTCATAATCTATAGAGTAAAACGCTTCGAAAACCTCGTTGTCTGGGTTTCTCGTATCTACCACTTGAATACCATAAAGAAACGGTTTCTGTAAAAAGGGATCTATTTGCAAGTATATATAGATGTCATGATCGACGTCTTTTGCTGTCAATACGGTAGCATATCCCATAAATTTAGGTTGCTTTCGTCGGTACGTCTCAATGCAGTCATTATAGTATTCGGCCCAATGGACTACGTTTTCTTGTTGTCCGTTAGTAATGCCCAAATTCTGCAAAATTTCAGCCAGCTTATCCATGTCTAACTTTTCGTCCTTCGTATTCATTGACAATGGATAGGTTGGGTCTTTATCCAGAAGGGCCAGGGTTTTGAGTGTGTTTGAAGCATCCTCTTTACATTGTGGGCATTGAATGTCGCGGCCCTTTCTAGATAGCTTAGTCCAATCTGCTTCTGCTTCTTGCTCCTCTTGCGAATGTGTCGTGGATACCTTCACAAGCACGTCAAGGTAGACATATCGAATCTTGTGTAAGACGAAATCAATCCGAAACGTCACTGGCTCGTCCATGTTGGACGGTAACCAAACACCTCCTATCTCATCGATCTCCACATGGCGGATGTCTTTTATCAAATAGGACAGGAAAAAAGCATAGGAAGTAACTTGAAATTGATGGGTCTTGGATAACTCCTTTGATGACTTGGCATCAATAATACGGATCTTTTTTATTTTACTGGCAGGATCTTCATAAATGTACAAGAAGTCGGGTATAAAGTTATTCATGCGGTAAGCGGTGGTGTTATGAATGATATCCGCATAGAAGGATTCTGGTAAGCTGCATTTGAGCTGGTATAAATAAGTACCGGCTTGAGCTTCTGCAAAAACCTTTTTTATGTCTTCCTTGGGGGTATTGGTGTGGTCGACCATGACAGCGCGATGTCTTTGGAAAAGGCGTTCCTCGAATGCCATGCCACGATCGCAATGCGCATATTTGATCGATTCGTCCGCCTTTTTCGATGAACTCATCCCACCGTTGGTGTCGTTAAAATGTTGTTGTTTTCCACTAGCAAGTTGATGAAAATGTTTCTTACAATTGGTATATTTGATAGCACTTGCTAGCGCTGACACTGAATACCGCGGCAATGAATCCATTGCTTTCTAATACAGGTTGCCTATTTGTTAGGTTGGATCACTACAAAGGGTCCTTGAAAACGGAGCGCTCTTACCTGCATGTCGACGGGTGCGAAAACTGTTGACGTTGTCAACATAACTTTTGGCTGTTAAAGTTATGCCAAATTAGAAAGAAAGAGTAGCAATAAAACTTTGTCGTGCTTTGGAAAAGATAAAATAACGGGCATGATAAAACTTCATTTGGCAAGTCGTACACCTTTTCTGTGCCTTATTTGGATCTTTCGTATAATAAAAGTTGTTGAAAGCCTACATAGCATAAATTTAACAATTCCAACTTTGGTTTATTCAAGCGGAGGCCTAAACGAACCAACTTACAATTATGGACAAACACATGATTGACTACAGTTTTTGCTTCTATTTTAGAAGGCTCGGCAATTTTATTCAACAAATACATGTACTGTACATTTGTTATATACATATCATAAAGTTCTTTTCAATATGAATAAAACATTTACAAGACATCGATGGATTGAAGTATTTTCACGGCAATTTCAAACTATTGTTGTCGACAAGAAACGTGAGTCATCTAAATCCATATTTCTATTAATAGCAGCTAAATATACTTACACATGCAACAACGACCGCGACAATAATCAAGTAAATGATAATCAATGTCTGATATTCCACGCCAAAGTTTGTTAAATGCTCTCTTAGCATCGACAGCAAGTCTGAAATGACCTTCAATCGATCATTCAGAATCTTGGCTCGCTGCGGTATTTCCAGGTAGTCTCGTATTGCTGAATACATTGGCTGTAACGCTGGTTCCGACCAGAATATTTCCGGTGTGTCCAAAACATTACTGACCAAATTGACGTTCATACGCAGGTTGAATAATTGTCCATTGATCTTTGTGATTTCTGTACGTGTTTTACCTAGTCGTCCGGTTTCTGCCATTTCTTTCGGTAGATGTTTGGTATCTTCAATGGTTTTATCCATTATATCTTCGTAACGGGCTACCACAGCACTCTGAGCTAATCCATGAGAAAGGGTGAGTTTAATCATATGATTGCGGCTCTTCAGCGTAATCATGTCATTAAAGATGCGAGGTTTGAGTATATCCGAGGTGTCATACTGAAAGTGAAGTTCTTCGATTTGCATATCCTCATCTGGGTTATCACGGAAAGGCTCTATAGAAAATGGCATAAAATCTTCAAGCATAAGCAGCTCTTCAGCACGGCGAAAGTTCCAAAAGACCACCACACCGTAGTCAAATATAAAAACTTCACCGCCTTTGAAGGGCTCTCTTTGAGGTTTGCTGGTGGTGGTCTTATTTTCTGTGGTATGAGTGTCCGCAGTAGTAGCAGGTATATTCGTCGTCTGTGCGGGTCTATTGTCATCATTGTAATTTGGATAATCCTCCTGTTCCACGTCTAGTCTACTATTTCTTCGGATAGTTGACGTTGTAGCCTCTTCTTGTTGTTGAGTATGCTGCTCCCCCTCTTGTTGAGCCTCTTCTTGTTGCCGTTGTTGTTGTCGTTCATGCAACTGCTGATCATTACAATTCAGAATATGAGGATCTCCTGCTTGTTCTTCTTCTTCTTCAATCATCTGCGCTTGGCCCTCATATTCTTCTCTTGCTGTTGTGTTTTTCTTATTGCTGTAAGAAGGTGGTGGTGGGTTTGAACTTCGAACGCGGATATTGAATGCATTGGATTTGTCGGGTCTCAATGTCCTTAAGGGAAAATGATAAGGCCCATACAAGCATTCATCATAAAGTCTGGGCGCTACACGATGATGTTGTCGTAAAAATGTACGTAAACGATTCAAGTCATACCCCTCACCTGTACAATAAGCAGCTGCACGAGGCAAAAGCGCTAGTTCTCTCTCTTCTTTGGTCATGCGTTCAGCTTGGGTACGCGAGCCAGAGAGTGTCCATTCGAGGGGAAGCGGAACACCCGCTGTACGAGGCTGACTTTGTTCGTCTTGCCAGTGTTGCTCATCGACGGAATGAGCAGATGGACGTCGTTCGTTTATCAATTGTTGCTGCTGTTGTGAAGGATATTCTTCTTGTTTTGGTGTGGTCGGGATGGACGGTAATAATGCGTCTTGCGCTTCATTGTCATCACCTCCATCAGTGGGTAAAGTGGATTGTGTTTCAACATGTTCAGCAGAAGCTTGAGGGAATAACACAAGCTTTTGAGAAACTTTAGTGCTTCTGAGTGGCTGGCCTTTCCCTTTGTTATCGGTGGATAGTGCGTGAAGCTTCTTTGTAAGGTTGGAAGATGCAGGATTGCCCAAAGCTGAGAAGCCGGAAGATGTCGATTGCGGAATAGGGTTGGTTTTCAATACTTGTTTTGAAATGGCGGAGGGTTTATTGCTGCTTGCCGCTTTCTGTAAAGCTTTTTTCGAAGCACTATTATCTGAAGTTCTGTTCGACATTCTAGTTTGGCTTATAGTTCAATTAAATGGTGAAGTGCCGTGCCAAAAATAAAAATATGGAGAAAAGCAGAATCAACACTTGGGAAGTAGGAGTTTTTCGCTTTTTTTTTTTGTTCTCTTTGTCCCGATTTTAAACCTCCGCTGTCAAAAGCTTAAACCATATTTTTTAATCATGTCTGGAAAAAACTATAATACAATATTTCTATTTACATTTCAAATTCTGTTTACAGAATTGTTATAAAGAGCTAAGCTCTTTTAACAGTATTAGATGGTCTCTATATATAAGTGATGGCCCTTTTGATATTTACTATTTCCTTGATGGTCTTTTCTGTTCTCTCGCTCTATCGAGCTGTTCTAATCTGTCAAAATCCATTCGTCTTTGCTGTCTTATTGTTTCCATTGCACCTGTCAACCCTAACTGCTCACATCCCTCCAGAACTATATCGTATGTTTCATAGTCTGGCAATACACCTTGCGACCGCATATCATACCATACATTCATAGCTTCTGACGCTTTGCCTTCGTTTTGAAGACCTTTCATCAACGCATTGAAGACATTGCTTGGCAGCTGAGTTGACGATAGAGTGTTATTGTGAATTCTCCTTCGTTTGGCGTCTTCATAAATCTGCATTGCAGATCGCATATGTTGACCGACTGACAATGCATGAATCATCATACTGTAAGTAATAAAATCTGGCTCCGATTGATCTTTCATCAATCGATACATTTTAAGCATTTCTTGAATCGGTTGATGGATATTTTCTACAGGCTTATTATCATCATCCTCAATCCAAAGGGAAGAGGAAGAGGAAGGCCTTGCAAAGTTATTATTAGCAGTAGCATGAGCAGCATTCGTCCTGATCTTTCTCGCCAAAATAGATATATAGTTGTTGAAAGATCGCTTATCTGGCCGGATATCCATTTCTTCCATCTTTGACCAAATGGCCTTAGCACGATCCAACTTATACTGTATATTATCACCGTCATAGTCATTTTCGTCATTCGCTACTAAACTTAATAAGGTGTTGAATGTGTAGATATTAGGCTTGACTTGATATCGCTCCACCGTCTCTGCCAAGACTTCCATCGCCTTTTGCACATCTTGATTCTGCTGACAGGCCGTCATCAGCATCGTCAAGACAACAGTGTCTATAGGCACATTTTCTCTTTTCATTTCTTCATAAATGTCAAAAGCAGCATCTATCTGCCGGTCTTTAATTAGAGCATCCATGATGATGCCATAACCAAATTGATCCAATTTGTTGTAATTGAGCATTGCTTTACTGGCATCTTCTGCGTTTTCTTCATCCCCATCCTTTGCTGTGGGTGCTTGCGATTTTGCTTTCATCGCCTGTTCCTTCATGAAATTAATCACTTGTAAAGCTTTCTCCAACTGATTTTTTTTCATATAAAAGGTCAAGCAAGTGTTATAATCCCTGGAAGAAAGAGTGCTCATAGCAGCATTACTAATATTCTCCTTCTTGAATATTTCCTTCAGTGCCTCTAACGGATCCCAATCCAAACATAGATAATCATGAATATTGAACACGACCTGGTGGTGCTTCATATCGCCTACAACTTCATCCATGCGTGCTCTAATCTGTTCCATTTCTACGCTCGTCTTTTTCTTGTTGTAATGCTTTCCACTGCCTGCCAATGCTGTAAGTTGATCGAGCCTCTTTTTTAATACGCCTAACACAAGGCTATAGTTTCCTTTATCCGGTTGTCCTTTTACGTCATTATTCTTCATTTCCTGAAAGAGAGACCAAATCTGTTCATACTGTGGATGTGTTTGATCTCTGTAGGCCAACATGAGCGTCTGATAGCATCGGCTGTCTGGTTTGAGACCATACTTGTCTTGCATGATATCCTTGAAATAATAATGACATCGGCGGGTGTCTTTCACATCTTTCAGCGCTGTCAAAATGGCATAATAAACGTTGATGTTTTTAAATAGAGGTTCGAACATGGAAGGGTAATCTTTGTGATATTTCTCAATGGTAGCGAAGAATTGGTAAAAGTCGCTTGTCGATGAGGACGATAGAAACGATGTTGTGCTGATAATATTCCCTTTATGTAGCTGTTGTTGGGTGTAGCCATAGATCATGGTAATCAGAGTAATTTCACTGATGCCGGTGCCACTTTTGATCATTCCATCAAATACCTGTCTGGCAGAGGCTATATTTTTCTGTTTTATAAAGACATGGATAAGGATATTGCATGCTTTAATGAAATCCGCGGAATACTGATTCTTTCCTCGTTGTGGATGTTGTTGGTCTCTAAGTTTATAATGATTGTGCATATCCCTGAGTATAGATTGAATTCGAAACACCATGTCTTCATCAGATAAAGAATTGTCTCGACTAATAATCTTACATTGATTTACAAAATCTGCACCTGTCAAAGTAGGGTCCTTTTGTGCAATGCGTTGATGATATGCCTCGTATAGCTTTTCTTTTTCTTCCTGGGTATCTCCATATTTGGATGGTGCTGATGATGTTGCTTGACTACTTTCGTAGTCTTCTTGTGTGGATGTTGCTGTTGCTGTCTCAATGGTATCAATAGAAGAAGTAAATGCTCGGCGGAAAATAAAGAGGGGTCGTTGTGGACTCATGCATTGATATTTGTGTGGCTGTAGCCAACATTGCTGTATACTTTTTGATGTACTAGAAGTAAACGTATTATAATTTAACTTGTTTGAAATTGAAGGTATGAAAGATCTTGTTGTCTTCTTGAGCATTTCAACAAAGGCAATGAAAGGAAAAGAAAATAAAGATGCGGGGGAAGCCTTGTTCTTCATTAATTTTGCCCTATGAAAAGGGGAAAGAAATATAGTGCTCTGTGACCGTTACGGTGAATTGTGAGTTTGAAAACACCCCTTTTTCGTCTCTTTTCTCTTTTTCTTTTTTTGAGAATTAATGTAACGCTCACTGCAACTATTATAATGGGGTTGATGACAATTCTAAGGAAGAATCGACAAAATGAAAAAGAAATTCGTATCTTAATGCTGTAATGTAAATGGCCTTCTTTCAACTTTATCAATTTCAGTCGAAACTCCAAGTTTTGTAGCTTATGCCCTGATCTTCCAACTAAATGTCAATGATATTCTCTTTTCTTTCCAAACAGAGGATTAGATAACGCAGGCAAAACAACTATTTTGAAACGTATCAATGGTGAACCTATTGATACTATATCACCTACACTTGGATTTAACATCAAAACTTTAGAGCACGAAAAGTACGTATAAAGCCACGCGAAGGACGTCAATGGAACCCGTTTTCTACATAAATATACCCACTCACGATGTCGCGGCAAAACACTGATTGAATATTAGTTACAAGCTCAATATTTGGGACGTAGGCGGGCAAAGATCTATTCGCTCCTACTGGCGGAACTATTTTGAGCAGACGGACGCTCTCATATGGGTGGTTGACTCTGCTGATCGACTACGTTTACAAGACTGCAAAACGGAACTTTTTAACCTGCTGTTGAAGGAGGAAAAACTGGCAGGTGCAACAATTTTAGTATTAGCAAACAAGCAAGATCTGGCAGGTAGCTTGTCAGATCAAGAAATACGACAAATGTTAGAGTTGGACTCGATCAAGGCTTCACAGCATCATTGGGCTATATTTCCGTGCAGCGCAGTGACAGGGGATAATCTGTTGAAAGGCATGGATTGGGTAGTGAATGATGTAGCTTCAAGAATTTATATGCTTGACTGAAAGGAAAAGAGACTGTATATTATCTTCAATTTCCAAATATATCCATCATTATCCAATGTAAACGAAACAGAGATTATAATCGAACTTGATCAACGTAAGAATAAATAATGTCTTTATTTACAACGTAAATAAAAAGGAGTAAAAAGAACAACAACAAAAAAACTAAAATCAAAAACCAAAAGGAACGTATGAAGAAAAAAGAACTAAAAAGCAAAGCTGCATAGATCAAAAGAGAACAAGAAAAAAGATAAGCGTGGAGGGAAAGCAACAAAGAAAGGATGTATAATATAGTGTGAATGTGTAGAATGTCATAAACATGTAAAAACGAATTGTATAAATACGATATATGTAACATGTAGGGTGTTCTGTGAAGGGTTATCCATTTATAAGTAATCTGTTGTATAGGTTGTGAGGTGCACTTTGTAAAGTAAAAAGTAGTAGTCATTGTAAGGGTGCTGCATATATTGTACGTTTGGACTGTGCGTGTAAGCGTACGAATGGGCTCTTTTTTTTCTATGCGTGAATTGTATAGGAGCTATTGACAAGTCTACAAATAGTGTCCAACTTTTTAATACACGTCTTCATGCATGTTGTAATCATCTAATAGGGATATATTCAGCACTTCAACTACATTGTCCACTTTTGATAAATCTTCTAAAAAGGGAATCAAATCTATTAACTCAGAGTCATGCTGATCGTTAAACCAAGTCGAAACAGGAACAGCATTGCATGGGTGGAAGCTATAGCTGGCTGGTGTATTATCCAAAATAATCACATGCCTCAAATCTCGACCTAAACGAGAAAGGTCCTATATTAGGTAATGAATAAAAAATTTCAGGATTAAAACAGAGCAAAAGAAAAAAAAGGAGAGCAGACATCATCTTTCATGACTCCTATATACATTACCTTGATATAACTGCCATTATATGGATGACAGGCTTCTCTAAAAAGGCGATGGTGAATCACTTTATGTAAGTCAAACTGATCTAACACAGGATCTGCGTACTAGCAACGATGTGAAGCGTATATTTTAGTTTTCAATACAGTACTTCTCAAAAACATCACTGTAGAGTGTTACCTTGGACAAACTCGCTGTGAATATAACGATTTCATAAAGTTCACCCATCCTTTTCATGAAGGCATCAACACCTGGTCTTTTCAATACAAATACATTATGATAATTTCCGTCAATTTCAACTGGCACAATAAAGTCTGCTTCAGCGACAGTCTAGAGTTCCAGTGGGATGTCAAGGCCTAAAGTAATTTTAAGGTAATAGTAAGAAGCAGGTTGCTTACCTTAAAAGAACTATGAATTAAAGTTTCATCGAGATCCAAAACGAGACATTTTCTACCTTGGTGCTCTTTCCCTAGAGGTTCTAGTAAATGATTCACCTGCAAAAAAAAACCATAAAAGCCAAGAAGTTAAAAAGAGATAGAGTTTAAAGGAGTTCAAAGAGAGAGAGAGAGAGGGGCGGGGGGCGCGGCCGGAGGGCTTAATGTATGTGTGTGTGTGCGTGTGTGTGTGTGTGTGATTGCTGTTACAGAACATACATGTGAATCAAATTCGTCAATAGTAGCATCTTCTTCTTGCTCAACTTCTTGCTCAATATGTGTCAGTACGACTGGCACTTGTTGGTCCACTTCAACTAACTCTTGTTGGGCCGTCTTTTCATTTTCGATATTTATCTGTTGAGGCAATGAAATGTCAACTTCCTCTTCTTTCAGTGTTCTTTTATTGAATTCTTCGTCTCCTATTCTCTCTTTCTCTATCAGAGTAGGTGGTAATGGTATCGTTTCTTTTGCCACTTCAAAAGTTGTTTGTTGCTGTTGTTGCTTCTCATTGGTATGTTGCTTTCGTTGATGATGAAGTAATTGTTCGTTAACAATGGAGTCAACTGTAGCGGACGTTGACGAAGACGTTCTTCTTGGTTTCTCTTTCTCACTAAGGGTACTAGAGGGACTTCTATCTTTTTTCTTTTTAAAAGTAAAGCAGAATAATAAAGAGAACAGTTTTCCTCTCTTCGTTGTAGCATCGGAGGCTGAGGCACTTTTATTTGATGTTGACCTCTTTTTATAACTTTTATTTGCTGTGCTTTTACTCTGACGTAAAAAGGAGGATTTTGTGATTGTCGTTGGCGTAGGCTGTATGATTAAGGTCGAGCCTCCATCTAATTGTACCATTGTTTAGACAAAAACTTTGTGAACTAATATTCACTTGGAGGGAAAAAAGACACTTTTTTCGCTAAATTGTGGGCAAAAAATTGTTCTTTTTTTGTTTTCTGTTGGTTGTGTTTCCGAAAGTGTGCACATAGGAGGATGAAAGGGGGAGATGTGGATTCAGGAACGATGGAAGTTCCTGCTTAGGAATTAGATTTTTTCTGTTTTTCTAATATCGTGGTTTGGCATTTCCGGAAGCCCTTATTGTAAATGTGAAAACTTTAAAATTGCTGTCATCAGCTATATCAATTAATTTTCTTGCAATAGAGATCGGTATACCTTGGCCTGAATCAACATATCAATGCGGTAATGAAGAGACATATCTCAATTGATACCATGAGGGGTTGGACACTGAGGACATCAATTTTGATGAGACAAAAAGCTTTTATTTAAGACCCACTGTGAGCAAAAATATCATGCCTTCGCAATAAGAACCTTGATTCTGAGAACATATATTCGAATAGAGTACAGTCATAATACCTATTAGGAGGCTTTTTTGTAATTAGTTACAAATGTCCAGGCTGGAAGTATATGATCAAGTTTGGTGGACAATATGCAAGCGATACTACAAATGCTATGTTAAGGGCTCGCCCTACTATTAGCATACTAACAGAGTAACCAATTCACTACGTACCTTTTGTAATAGTTTATAGGAAGTGGCTAACTGCTGCCGTTTCCCAATTCCGAATCGTTATGCTTCGATTAAAATTGAATTTTTAGTTAAACTTTGAACATAAACAGACTGTTACAAATGCAAATCATAGTAATGCATTTCATGCTGTAATCAAAACCATAGCATTTGTACAGATGCGTTCATAACCTTACATTCTCCATATATGTGATATGTCAAGCTTCCAATTGTGTATAATTTCCGTTAGTCTTAAGGCACAAATCTATGACTAGAAGAAAATGGAGAAGAACTCTCAATAAAAACAGTAAGCCAAATATCTCATGTGAATAGCATACTGTATACCAGGGCAGCCTCCAATGAGTTTCTACTGCAGTTGAAAACTCAAGACTGTAACAAAAAGTTGCACATCAATACATTTTCCCTTCTAAATCAAATTTGAATGAATAACGTTTTGCTATGAGAAGCTCATAGGTCGCTATATAAACATATATCAAAGTATCACGCTTATGTATCACGTTTTTTCTGACAATCTGAAAACCCGGATGGCAGTTCCTCAAACAATAACACATAAAAAGTTGCTCAAATCGACGGTGCAACCATAGTAAATGTTGTTGTTCGAACCTTAAAAATGCATGTAAAGTGGTTTTTTGTTTTCAAACAATTACAATAAAAAGCAAGCATCACAGCTTTTGTTCTTCTTTCACTTCTTCATAACTCTTCATTTCTTTGCAAGTGTTCAATTAAAATGCCCAATAATGAAAATGAACCTTTATTAGGCCATCATCACGATGCCAATGCTAGCAAAGGCGATATCAATTTCTGGTCTTCCCTTAAGGTCACTTTGCTCTCCTCTCACATTAATTGGTTCTTAGTCTTCGTTCCTATTGCTCTTATTTATTCCATGATGGATAATGCAGTTTCTACTTGGGTTTTTACTCTGAATTTTATTGCTATTATTCCTTTGGCAAAACTATTAGGCTTCTCAACTGAAGAGATTGCTTTACGTTCAGGTTCGACGATCGGTGCTCTTCTAAACGCAACGTTCGGTAATGCCGTGGAACTAATTCTGGGTGCCATTGCTTTGAAGGAAGGATTGATCCGGGTCGTTCAAGGTAAGAGCTACTATTGCTGATTGCATATTCTTAACATGTCATATAACTGATTATTGCCGTCATTTTCATGACTTTAGCGTCAGTGTTGGGCTCTATTCTATCCAACATATTACTCGTAAGTCGTTGTCCATGTTTGTAAAAGATTTTCAGAGTTCTTTCAGAAATTAGCTTTTATTAATAACTCTCCTTCCATCTATTCATATCATGTATCTAGGTTCTCGGATTTTGTTTCTTTTTGGGAGGCGTCACCCGAACTGAACAAAAGTTTAATGTAACAGGTAAGTGACGTACGCAGATTTGACTTTGACCATGATAGCTGAAACACCGAATTATCTTCAATAGCTGCTCAAACAAGTTGTTCCTTATTGGCTATAAGCACCCTATCTCTTTTGATTCCTGCCGCTTTCTCTGCTACAATTGATGACGATACTACTGAAGGTATTCTTCAGCTCAGCCACGGTGTATCCATCGTCCTTTTGATTGTTTATCTATTATACTTGTTTTTCCAGGTTAGTGCCGTTTTCTGCAAACTTGATACTTATGATCAAAGGGGGGAAAACATCAAGAACTCATTATAAAATGCCATTTTCCTTATAAAACTACAGCTTAAAACGCATACCTTTTTGGTAATACAAACCTTGTACCTGAAACAGTGAAAGAGCAAATTTGACGTAAAATAACTCAATAATTTTATTGCCTACTTTATAGTATGAAGACGAGGAAGATGAAACAGAAGTACCTTCTACTACTTTATCATTTTCAGTTACTTCGTAAGATGACACAATCTTTTTGAGAGAAATGACAAATAGCCAACTTTAAACCTTTCTTTTTCTTTTTTCATATCTTCACAGACTCTTAGTTATCGCTTGTGTTGTCTCCGTTCATGCAGAATACCTTGTTGGAGCGTAAGTTTCTATTGTACAACGTCCCTGCCCGGATTTTTAACGTTTGAAACTTACTATTTCTATATCTTTGCTTACTTGTTCATTCAGAATTGAAGGCGTCGTAGAGAAATGGGGTATCAATGAAACTTTTGTTGGCTTAATTCTTTTGCCTATCGTCGGAAAGTAAGTCTACTAAGAACAATGAACAAAAGTGTTGATCAAAAAAAGATGTTTGGCTGCATCTATTGACCCGTTCATCACAATCTAGTGCTGCTGAACATGTCAGTGCTGTTACCTTCGCCATGAAGGACAAGATGAACCTGTGTATCGGTATTGCTATCTCTTCATCCCTTCAAATTGGTTTACTCGTAACCCCTGTTTTGTGTTTGGTCGGCTGGGCTATAAATCAACCTATGACTTTATTCTTTGAAGACTTTGAAACTGTAATTATGTTTGCCAGCGTTTTGATCGTGAACTACTTGATACAAGATGGTCGATCTAATTGGTTAGAAGGTGTTTTACTACTCGTAAGTTATAGCTTTATATCTACAACCTGTTCAAACATTATTATTTACTAATGCTGCAAAAATCTGCCTAATGTGTTAGTCTTCCTATATCATTATTGGTATGGCTTTATATTTGTACCCTTAAAGAAAAGTATTATCTTTTCTTAATGCTGCGAATGAAATATCTGCAAGCCCCGCGTTTAGTTTTTTCCATCAAAAATCTATCTGTACCCCTTTTGACTTGTATAAACCCCTTTGTACTCTTTTTATATCAGATAATTATAAGCATCCATATATCTCTATAACCAAGTAAAATCAAACTGATTCTTCAATAAATTTGTGTGGAAGCATGACAGATAGTGAAATAAACAACCAGACTACCAATTATTCGAAACGATTCCAATCAGGCGATTGCCAACTCTACGAGATGGTGCAATACCAATGTGAACATTCGCAATCGCAAATAGTTTGTTCACCACTGACGCGGTTATTCTTAAAGTAAGTGTAGTGTGTAACATTTTATACGCTAAAGCCTGTACTTACAGGTCTATTTTGATGTAACATTATTGGAAAAAGGTGTGCAGGCGTCCCTACCGTGGAAGTGACGCCTGAATATGATCAAAATGGTGATCCTATCATGCCAAAGTAAAACTAAAAACTAAGCTCAAGGATTTCAAATAAGAATCTTTATTGATAGATTAATGCTAATCTATTACGTCTTTTATTTGCCATAAAAATAGTAAGAAAGTGATGGAAAATCACTCATAATCTATGGAGATCTTTAGATAGCAAATATACCTTATTCTTCTTTAGTTTTGGTTCAATATCATGCGAAGAGATTTTGTCATGGTCTTGGCTCATCGAGACTGCAATTAATCACATAATCTTATATCAGCTCTTGTACATAATATATAAAGAGAGAAAAGATACCCACATGCTGCATACCTGAAGCTTCTTTTTCTCGTTTTTCTTACAACTGTGAATAATCATGGCCCGTTTAACTCATTGTTTATTGCTCGCCTTTGGCTCCCTCATTTTGACTCTTGGTCGTGCACAGCAAGACCAACCTAATGCTGTCAATCCTAACGTTGCAGCTAATCCTGCTGCTGCTGCTGCTGCCGGTAATCCGCCTATGGCAGATGTTGTAAAAAATATGGTTGATTATATGCGTGAAAATCATCAAGAGATGACACCTGCCCTTCAAAGTTGGATTCAGGAAATGAATGCAGTTGTTCAACAACAACAACAAGCAATTCATCAAGGTAATAACGATGCTATTGTTAAAAATGCTATAACTCCACCGTCAAATTCACCTGATGCTCATCCACAAGCTAATGTTGTTCCTGAAAACCCTCATATTGTTAATAATGCTCTTACGCCTGTTCAAACTATTCCTGCACAACCTGCACAACCTGCACAACCTGCTCCACCTGTTCCACCTGCTCCACCTGTTCCACCTGCTCCTCCTGCTCCCCCTGCTCCAACGAATCCTCCTCAACCTCCTCCTCCTGCTGACACCCCACCAGCTCAACAACCTACACCTCCAGTACCTCCACCAGCTATTCCCCCTTCTCCAGCTCCACCTGTAGCCTCACCCACAAATACTGGAGCTGCTCCTGTTACGCCTGTTCAAACGGCTACTCCTACCGGTACTGTCGCTCCTACTGTTGTTGCAAGCATGACAAGCACTCTTACTCATCCTACATCCATGACAATGTCTGTTACTCGTTCAGTCACTTCTTCCACTATTAGTCCCACGTCGACATTCCCTTCCATTAGTGCTGCTGGCCCTAGTGAACGTTATCCATTGACTGGAAGTTTTCTGGCTCTAGTTACCGCCATGATGGTGACTACAGTTATCTTTTTGGCGTAAAGTAATCTCTGATAAAATTCGCTAACCTATTCTACAGTCTAGTCATGATGAATAATGATATAATACTCTTTATACTTGGTTTAATGTGATGTTTACTTTTTCAATTTCTTAATGAGCTCTCTCTCTCTCTCTATACATATATTTTTCTTTTTTTTCGCATTCAATACTACTTATACAATAATAAAAGTTTCTTTATTTTAGCAAATCATGATTCTTGAAACAAATTTCCTCATCATTGTTCAACTTCAATCCGAAAGCGTATAATGTAAACATCACTTTATCCATCAGCTTGTGATACTCGAATTTCCATTCTAAAGGTGCCCTGACGATCAAGATAAGGTAATCCAATGGCTGATCAAAATAGTATGGATAGTACTGGTAGGCTTTCCAGTAACATACAAGGACTTTCAAACTGTAAAAAGAGATCCCTTAAACTGGGAGGAAAGGCCATCAATACCTAAAAAATATGCCATTGTTTCCCATCTTTATCTTCATTTATTTACTATTCAACAGCACTTAGAAGGACATGCAAATAGCCTGCTCGCGTGTGATAACTATGTTTTTAGGTAAAAACAAAGACAAATTTTTGCACCGATAGTTCACAAATACTTTTGGGCTTGAAACGACAGATGTCATTAGCCGAACTGCATAGTGAAAGTTCCTCATCATGTATGCGTTTTAGGAATTTTGTTATTTTTTTTTACTACGTTTCATACTCCCAGTCATGTCTTTCACTTTTCCTATCAAATGCTGGTACACGTACCCCCCCCCCCTATCTTAAGCTAGGACCCATATTATATAGATCGAATGAAGACAATGCGAATGATATGCTCGAATACACAGATTGAAACACTACAGCTCCCGACACTTATGGCATACAACGGTTCGTAAGCCATGGTTTACATTCACTTTCACCGTTCTCCTCATGAGAGATGAAACGCTGCGAGAGAATAGGTTGCTTATAAAGAAGTCCAGCCTTAAAAAAATAACACAATGTCCTCTTGATAACCGTGCTAAGCTTATTTCTTCCAAATTATTTATTTTTTGGCTTGGCGCACATTACATGAAAAAGTATAAAGATATTCGATAATGATATACAACGATTGAAAAATATATATACAATTAAAAAGGGGGGGGGGAAAATAAAAAAATCGAAGGAAGCAAGAACAAAGTCTACAGTGTATTGTTTCCTAATGTTGCCAATTTGTTACTCTTCATCATCAGTTTCACTGAGTTTTTGTCTTTTCGCTTCATTTTCTTCGTCTTCTTCATCTGCTCCTCTTTTCTTTAAACCCTTCATCTTTCTAGTCTGAATCTTGGCAAATTCTTGTTTACCAAGATGGACTCTACCATACGTATCACCCATTTCATCCTTTTCAATATTCTTTTGTTTCTTAGGCTTGAGTTCCTTTGGCATTTTACAAGCTTGATTCCACATATCAGCCTTTGGTAATTGACTACGTCTCAATTTCAGATCATAGCAAGGGCCCATTTCTTGCAATTCCACACGAGGTGTCTTGACACCACTCTTTTTCATTTGAATCGAATATGTTCTGAAGAGGATACGTGTATTCTCCCCTTCTCCTGTTGCAGTTAGACTGATCACATGTTCTAAACCAGCCAAATTGATGTGAGTCGTCTGTTCTCCGTTGAAGAAATCCAAAAAGTAGTTTTTGATGGCTTTTAATGTATCATCGGTATCAAAGCGTTCTCCTTGAAATGTCATAAGAGGCTTTAAACCAACAGCACATTTGGGGCCGGGCATCGAACTCATACAGCGAGCATTCTCTACACCGAATTCATACATGTCCAATAATTGGTGGTTGAACATACGAATAAAGGTGAGATTGTGAGGACGTTTTTTGGAATGGCTGCCAACGACCATGAGAGATGTGTCATTCTTTTGAGAAAAAAATTCAAGCTTTTCTTCTTCCTCAAAGGGTTTGATTTCGTTCTTTTTACTGAAATTGACTGCATTGGGACGTTTTAAAGCATACTATGATGATGAGATGAAAAATTAAAAAAGTACAGTGTACAAGCAGTGGAGAAAAAAGAAAGGTTAGATTGGCATACGCAGAAATGGTTCTCAATAAAACTGTACGCAATGTAAACATTACCAGATCTTTTAAAGCATCTGTTACTACTTGCGATGTGCTGGAACCTTTCACCACGAGTGTATTCTTTGGATTTTCGTTGACTTTAGCTTCACGGCTTTTCAAAAAACGCTTGGCACGAGCATTCTTGGGTTTTCTACAAGATCAGGTAACGATTAGCTAGTTGTCTCACCAATAGCCTGTAAAAGCTATCTTTTTAAACAAAAAGTGTAAAGGTAACTTACACTGTACGCAACATTTATTGTAGATGATCTCGAATGGTAGCTGCTAAATTGTTTTAGGCAGAAAAACGAAGTTAAAACTCAAGTCGACCTTCTTTTTGCTGAAAGCTGGAAAAAAGCAGATAAGATCCTCTGTCACATTGTGGCTTGGTTCATGCAATTGGTAGGACGGTTTCGAATGGACAAGGAATTCAGGAACGGACAGGACAGAATTCGAGATCGGAAATAGATGAATACAACATAGCTGTAAAGTATATAGACAAAGGCAAAGGGAACATGAAAAGAAATGAAGGTACATATAATGACACAGTTCAGCGTGGAACATCAGAAGAAGGCCCTTTTTCTGATGAGATACAATAATTATCATGTAGCTTAGCCATATTTGACAAACATAGAACGCAAGAAGAAACTTTGTGGATAAAGAAAGCAGAAGAAAAATATGAGCAAGTATAAAAAGATCATTATCGTGCAGCATATCTAGAGAGTATTACAAAATTTTAGTCTATTTTCAACATGAAGCAAGTTGACATAGGTCTATTTATCCAGATGTTCAACGAAAGGGAAGTAAAACTGATTGTCTATAAAAGTGTGTGTGTTAAAGAGCTCATCTACATGCATTCTGAAAATATGATGATCGTTGTTTTGCACTAAGGAATGAAAATTAAATGATTGAGTATTCTGAGCAGATTTGGTTGTCACTGCCGATACTTTTACACCTTTATTTGCTTAACTGCTAATCAGAAAAAGCACGTTAATTACACGAATGTTGATTATTTATTGGATGGATTAGCGCTGTTATCATTGGTGTACCCTGTGCATCCTTAATAGATACTAATTTCATCGTCGCAAGTATCATTCAAGGTGCAAACAAGCTCTCCATGTAGCTTTGAGTGGAAAAGAAAGATGATGATGCATTTCTAAAAGACAAACTGATGCAAGACATATAGAAACCGCTTGCATCGATATCAAACTGGTTCGGTACTTGTAAGACATCAGTAGCCCTGAATAACGAACGCGTCGTACATATGCAATTGCTTCAACTGTCTTCTACAACAAATGAGCATCATTTCCAACGCTTAAAGCGAGCTTTAAGAATTATATTGCTTGATTCATCATGATGTCGTTTTTATTTTAAGCTATTGAATGCTCAGAACCGAGTAATAATAAGTAAATAAGCTTTAACTGAGGAATATTTATTTTATTTCAAAGTTATAAGTGGCATTCATCCGTCGAGTATAGATTTTGAGGTGCGTTAAAACACTTGTAAACCTTGAGTAAGGCACCTTGATAAACAGATTTACCACAAGTTCACTGTGATGAATTATCTTTTACAAGCACGATGTTCAGATTCAGTAAACTTACTCCAGTCATTCGCCTCTGAGTAAGAAAAAAAAAAAAAAAAAAAAAAAAAGATCGTCCGCGTATTAAATATTCTTCATGACGTAAGACAATCTTTTTTTTTTTGACATTGGATGAAAATTGCATCTGGGAATACTAAAACCCTTTTTTGGCCGTACGAATTTAGAAAGGAAATAAAAATAGCATAACAATAGTTGGTTAAGAATATATAGGTTCCGACCATCTGTAGGCCACTAATAGTGTTAAAGTATATCTAACAACAAGGAAATAAAATATCAGCCTCTATCAGCAATCAGGATAACTTCATAACAATTGATATTAAATTGTACGCGTAACTGCTATATGCAAGACATATTTCTCCTGAAACTGTATCTAATGCAACCTTTGAAGCAATAACAAAGGTTTTACTTACAAAAAAAATCACAATCCTATCACAGAAAGTGCCAATGTACATATGAAGCTCTCTAACTATGCTTAGCAAGCGTTTGTGTCGTATGAACTCTTCCTTTAATCGATTAAATTTTCTTATCTTTGCAGATATGGCCAGTTTTTTATGAAACTATTGTAAGTGTGTCGTGCAATGCATAAATGAACATAGAATTAAAGAATACATAAAGAATTTCATCTCTAGAGTATAAATGATGATGCTACTGTCGACTTTTCTTACATCTTATAATTGTGATTAAGGATCGTCGCTATATGGCCATTGAGTTTTCATGCCATATAATAGTTTAACAATCGTTTACCGTTTAGTAAATATATTCACAACCGGTAATTCCAAACTTAGCAATTTGAACCTGCTCCCCTGTTAGATTCTACCACCCGAGCAATTTTTCGCGTATCAACCAAGCGCATTTTTGAAAGGGAATGAGAGTACACTCCTTGACAAAAACAATAAAAAAAACAAAACAAACAACACACACACACACTCACTCACTCACTCACACAAACAACGAGTTCTATTTTATACCTTCGCTATTGTCATACTTCTTATGAATAGTTTTAGCGAATCAGCTCATGTAAAGCCGGAACTAACGTTATACTAATTCCAACACACCCATGTACACTTGAATTCTCGCTTAACTTTATTGAGGCAATAAATTGAAGAATGTTAATGGTTGTTATGGAAGTCAAATTAGCCTAGGGTTTGATGAAATTCTGATTATGATTGAGGGGTTTTGAATGGTCAATTCTCGATATCATTGAAGCATGTAAATTACATCTCGAATTCTGACTTCTTTTTACTTTGCGAACCAAGGAAAGGCAAATCAACCACTTTTGAGAAGTTATATAAATTGTCACCTTTCCATTGTCTTATTTTTCGAGAGGTTACAATTTACTCAAGAATAAAATAAAAGAAACAAAAAATTCAGCATGTTGCATAAATCTGTTTTGCTATTGTCAATGTTTATTTGCACACTCAGCCTTCAAAGTTTTGTATCGGCTATGGCAATAACCTCATCCTCATCCTCTTCATCAGCTATGGAAAAACGATTCGGTGACTTTGACAATCTGTTACCGGACATAAATGAAGATCTAGGTAAGACCACCATACAATAACTGCACTGCATTCCTTTTTCTTCTCCAAATTATGCCTGTTAAGAATTATTGATGCCTACCTTTTTTTTTTTTTTTTTTTTTTTTTTTTTTTTTTTTTTTTTTTTGTTTCCCAGTTCTGGATAGTTTAGAATCCCTCTCGGATCATTTGGATCATTAACTTACCATTTGATGAATACTGTGTATTCCACATGTATGGCATGAACCATGGGCTTTTATGTATCTCTGTAAAGAAACGCAAAAATTGTCAATAGAACGGACTATGACTTTTCATCAATAAATATTTTTCCCTTGTTATCCGTAAAGTACAGCGTCCCTTGTGATGGTTGGAATCCATGATTTGTGCTGTTGCAAAGAACAAAATAACTTGAATAAGAAATGCGGATGTCAATAGCATGCTGTGAACTTTATCCAATGAGAAAGCAATGGCAATTCCACGTTTACATATGAAATTTATGCAAACTCTGTGGATTTTCTAATCGATTAGAACAAAAAAAACCCACTCAACAGCTATCGTCATCTTTTTTCTTTGCTGCTTGCGATTTGGCAAGTTCAACACTCTTTTTTCGAAGAATAGGCGGTCCTTTTTTTCGAGCCTTTCCAGATTGGGGAGCTGCTTTCTTTTGATAAACTCCATGACCTGATAGATTAAATAAAATTACTTCCTTATCTTTTCTCGTACATTTACTTATATAAGTTTTACTCTTCAATATTGCCCTTCCCCCTTCTTCGAACAGCATGCTGAGCATTTCCAATGGAGACAAATACGCAAAGAAATACAATTAATCTTGATACACAGCATTATCCATCTTCCTCACAATTAAATAATGCTCACCAAAACTTAGCGAGCCTAGAAGCGTTAGATAGGAAAGACAATCGAAAAACTCGCTCTGTCAATTGGTTTATGGTACGCACCATTCTGACATCGGGTGCCGGCTTCTTCACTGACTCGTACGATGTCTTTATTATCAATCTTGTCATGCCTATGATCGGCTTCGTCTACTATCCCAACAACAACAACAAAATACCCTCCGATATTGAAGGCATTGTCAAAGGCATGGCATCGGTTGGTACCCTTCTTGGCCAGCTATTTTTTGGTTTCATGGGTGATATATTTGGACGAAAAATATATGGCTTTGAACTACTGATCATTATCATCGGTACCATCAACTGCGCAACGGCGGCATCGGCCATAAAAGGTGTCTCTATGCTGGGATTTCTGGGCTTTTGGCGCTTTATTTTGGGCATAGGTATAGGTGGAGACTATCCTATGTCGGCTACGATCACATCGGAATGGTCGTCTGCCGGAAGACGTGGTATGATGATGGCACTTATCTTCTCTATGCAAGGCATTGGTATGTTGGCAGCCGCTATAGTGACTATCATTCTGTTGGCTATTTTCAAAAGTGGTATTGAAACAGATACGAGGGAGTTGGATTATGTGTGGCGACTGTGCATAGGCTTGGGTGCCGTACCTGCATTTGCTACCGTTTATTTACGATTTACAATGCCTGAATCGCCGCGATATTCGCTCGACGTCAAGCATGACGTCGAACAAGCAGCTATTGCCATGACTGTACGCGGTGGTGAGTTGAAAAGCACTAATAAGGATACTACAATAAAATCTGCTTCTACAACAGAAAGTGATCCCTTCGAGTATGAAGAGCATCGCCGACATCAGCAAGAACAGCTGGCGCAAAAATCAAAAAGCAGAAACCATTGGAAAGAATTTCGGGATTATTTCAAGCAGTGGAAGCATCTCAAAGTATTGCTGGGTACATCTCTTTCCTGGTTTCTGTTGGATATAGCATTTTATGGTTTGGGACTGAACAACAGCTACGTCCTCAATGCCATTGGCTTTTCCAAGAAAGATACACCTTTCGAGGTGATGTGGTGGAATGCCATCGGGCAACTCATTATCACTCTTCTTGGTTCAGTCCCAGGTTATTATCTATCCGTCATTTTCATCGAGAGGTGGGGTCGTCGACCTATACAAATCATGGGTTTCGCAGTATGTACCGCTTTATTTATCATTCTATCAGCTGCCTATCATCCTCTGCGAGATAATTCAATTCCGGCTTTCGTTGCTATCTTTACTCTGGCTCAATTATTCCAAAACTTTGGTGCTAACACGACTACCTTTATTATCCCTGGTGAAGTCTTTCCAACCAAAGTACGAGCTTCTGCACACGGTATTTCTGCTGCTTCAGGCAAAGCAGGCGCCATTCTGGCAGCCTTTGCTTTCAATGAGTTGGTAGAAACGAATGATTCTTATCCTGGTGAGCATGCATTCTTGCCCCAGACTCTCGGTATCTTTGCGGGTATCATGTTTTTAGGTCTCATTGTTACGATTTTATGGATACCCGAATCCAAAGGCAAAGACTTGGAAGTATTCGAAGAAGGCTATGTGTCGCCTACAGGTTCAGTTGTAACTGATGAGTTCGAACCACCCCCTGTTACGGCAGTAACAGATGAGAAGAACGGTAGAAGCAAAGAATATCCCAGCAATCCGGATAATGGAAATGGCAAGGATAGCAATCATTCTTCGACAAACGCTAGTTCTTCATCCAAACCTTATATTTATTAGCATACCAATTTGCAGGGTTTAATGATTTGGAATTAGAAATCTAGCAATCTAAACGAGCACGCTTTTTTTTTTTCTTTGGTTCCCTTCAATAGCAAATAATATACTTTCGGTTTGAATTTAGATAAACATGTTGAATTTCTTTTCGCAGGTGCTGTAAGAGATGATTTTATGAAAATTTGCGCGGGGATGATGAGAACAACTGTTCTAGTAGTCAATCCAATACCGTCGAAATGGGTTCAATCGAACTTGGTTCATGAGCCCCTAAGTTCACGTGGGCCTACGGATTGAATGGATACCGAAACCATTGCCATAGAGTATGGCGACCTTGAGACATTCAATAGTATGGTAATCTTCACCCTATAACAAATTGAGTATACTGATTTTGAAGATGACTCTCAGAAGCTACCAACCAACGTCAAACTGATCATGATTGCTAGTAAGAAATAGGAACCTATATTGAATTAACTGTCTCATGAAGATGTTAAAAAAAGGAGGTGTGAGTGTAATCAAGGACGCAGAACTTTGTGATGTTTCACCTAGCTCGGATTACAAACTTCATGTTTTATTTAAACAATGGAAAACTACTGCCTTATTGCAAAAGAAGTGCCGACCTGGTAGACCTGGTACATCAGTGCAAGCCTTTTAAAAAAGATCCGGTAAACTCTAAAAAAAAAGAAAAAAGAAAAAAAAAGTGGTAGACCTGGTAGACAGATCAACCGAAAACTGAAACGTTTCTTGAGTAGACTTGCTCACTGGATCTAAGATGAAAACCCCAAACGAACAATATACCTTGCGAGAGAAATTGTTCTCAAAATTTTTGCACGAGGTGTTTTCAGTCTTAGAATTCACAAAAGACAAAAATGCAATCTGTGTTTAAAGGAAGCTATTAAGCATACTGAGCCCAGGAAATATTAGGCTTAGCCAAATAGTTAGTACCTCATATACGTATCATTGACTGCTTATCATATTTTGGTTATGTCAATCTCTCCAACGTTAAGACATAATGAAGTAGCGTTATCTAGCGGGATCATACGAAATTAGAAAAAGAAAGGGAGAAACCGCAATTGAAAACTGAATAAACCAAACTTCTGATGACAAAACCCGTAGCATTTCATATTGTAAGATTCTAAGACACCCTAATAACAACATTAGATAACTCCTGACTGTAGATTGTTCTATCGTTCTGTATAACTTCAGAATGCACCGTGCCCATTTGTAGTTAGGCGCGGGCACAAACTGCCGTCTATGCCGCACTATCCTCCCTTGAGGAAGTTGACGTAGATAGAGCCAAATCCGAGAAATCATCTTGAAAAAGAAACTGTACTCTTGTGCCTTGCATAATGAAAGGTTGCAAATACTGTTGAAGACTGCCAAAAATGTTAGATGCATACATAATTTTATTGCATCGTTGTCTCCACACGAAGGCTTACTGACATTGATATATACGACAAGTATGCAGAAATGATTTCCTTAAACTTTTTCAGATGCATTTTACCCCAGTTTTTTCCAAATTTGTGAGACTATGCTTCTGTACCTCAACACAAAAGCTTATCCAAGATGAAGTACCTTAAATTACGAGCCAAGATAAAAACTATCTCAGTAAACGATACTAAATCAAAGTATAAGAACCGTAGAATCACAAACAAAACAGTTAGAAAAGCAAAATGAAAAGAGACTGGGAAATAAAGGCATACAATGTATTAACTTCAGATTTGGACAACACAAACATAATTTTGGACGATAAGTAGATTATGTTTAAACAAATTCAATATAATAGTAGACCGTTAAGAGTAAGTATTAGACAGTTTGCACAACAGTAGAAAAGTACAAGCTTTTGTTCTTTTTACCTGTAAAAAATCAAACTGGGTTCGTTCCAGCGATCAATGAAGCAGGGCCTATAACCAGCTTCGATATCGGCTAAATCAAAGTCCTCCAAAGTCAACCAATGGTTTTCGATGCCTCCTTCGATTGTATGTGATTAGGACAAAGAGGCGAATGAGAGGAAGCATGGTTATCATTCCCACAACTTGGACACTCTACATCTTGTGATGCCGTTTTCTTCTTCTTCACTGCCTTTTTCTCTGCTTTAACACTGGCGCTCTGTTTTCTCTTCTTATTGCGACTCCCAACTATGAGTATGAGACGGTCTGTTACTCGGCTTGTGTGACTAAAAGCAGGTCGATGCTCGACTTACCATCGTCAGCGGATACAGCTTTATAATGTTTGCATTTTGGGTAGCTTTTATTGAAGTGACCCATTTCATTACAGTCTTTACATTTGGTATGGTCTGAATAAGTGCACAACAGGGTTACTAGTGTCTCAAACAACACATTATATTGTGGTTTGCCTTTACTGAACCGATTTCTCTTTTTAAACGCGATATAGAAGGAGTTTTTATAGTCATGCACAATTGTAGAATTTACATTGTAAATTTGTTGTAGAGGGTATCCATAAGTGTGGCTACAAGCTTTTATTCATGCCTTCCTACTCGTCATTTTTTAACTTTATTAAGAATGCTAATCAAGAATTAAAAGTAATATCCAACGCAATTCGTTGCAGATGGGAGCTGAACTATCGCTTCAGATCCAGAAAGCGTTTGAAACAGTTATGCCTGATGTTTACCTAGGTTGGACTAGGCATGCAAAAACACGCTGCGAAAAATACTTACAGAAAGAACATGGCATTATGAACTGGTAATTCAATCGTTTATAAAATTGTAAGAAAGTTTAAAAATAAAATGCAAGTTGCTCCAATAAATAGTGCAAGTCGTCTAAAATGGATGTTGAAACCACTGTAGTATAAAAAACGGCGTGCGTTAAAAGTCAGAGCGGCACAAACACAGATTATTGGTTTTCTTCTACCTACATAACAAAATGGCCGGGATCCTTAGAAAGCTTGCTTTACAAAAACGTTCTATATTATCAACCACAGTTCGCTTGTCTCAAAGAAATGCATGGAATAGAACATGCGTCACCTCAAAAAGAAGTTCGTTTGAAAGTTCTTAAAATGTCTTGATCTAGTTAAACTGATCTCTTGAACGTTATAACCACTATGTAGCCTTCATCGCGTGTATACCACGATTGGACAGAATCAGTGATGCAGAAGAACAGATAAAGATTGGTTCAGAGCATTTAAATAAAGGCTCGCTAGATATGGTAAAGGACGTTGATTAATTTATCCTTAAGCTTGATTAGTCGGACTAGAAAACCTTTATAATGACATATTCTTATGCAACAGGCAATGAACAGCTATCATAAAAGTGTGCAGTTGGCACCATCGGGTACAGGCTACTTCAACATTGGTGTTTGCTATTTTCAAATGGGTAAAAGATAAATGCATAGCAGATAGTTGAACCTGCCTTGAAAATCACTTCTAAATATGGCTCAAAAATAATATAGGCAAGCACCACGATGCTATCAAATCTTTTGAACGTTCCTTAGAATATACACCAAATTCACCTGATGCTCATACCAACATTGCTACCAGCTATCTAATGCTGAAAGATACCGAAAACGCTATCAAACATTTAGAAAAAGCCTCCAATTTTGATCCCCTTGACGGTGAAATACAGTACAATTTGGCTTGTGTGTATGAGGCAGTGGGTCGATTGAATGATGCAAAAACACGATTTGAGAGAGCTGAAATGCAGGGTATTGAGAAGGCTACCGAGGCATTAGAAAAATTAAAAAAGAAGTTGTAGCCAGTCTAGTTGTTTGTTTTTTTATCATCGTTTTTATTAACGTGGTGAATTGTTGCCGATATAAACTGATCTCAATACTCTACAATATTACAATACATCAGAAGTTTGCGTTATTAGCCTAGTCACACAATACATTGAAACAAAATATATGCCACAAAATTATACCTTGCAACATTTTCCATTCCTTTACGCCTCAACTTTTCCTTTTGACTTAGCATGGCATTCATTGGTAAGGGTGTACGTAAAATTCTATGTAAAATGACCGTTACGGTTAGTCTAACTGAATGCTACAATACAAACACCTCGAAGAAAAAGCAAGAAAACAAAAAAAAAACTTACTTCTCAAATAATATGATAACATCACTGCTATTGATTCTGTTGTAGTTTCTATTTCGCACCTGAGGCGTTAAATACTCTTCAAGATTATCAGACAAAAGAGACAAATCCAATAGTTGACGCAGTTCTACAAATGTATCCATCACAGTAGGATCACCTAATGCACGTACAAACTCTTCTACAAATCGGACATCCGTATCAAAGTTGCATAATGCAATTTCTGTCATATATCGCTGATCAGTATCTAACAACAGTCCCTTCATGGCTTGACTTAAATGCTCCAACGCATCAAAGTACAATAAACTCTTGATAGTTTCTGGTAAATTGAGCAAAGCAGCATTAGTGACATTGGTTAGAAAAGTGACCAGATCCTGCAAATTCGAGCTAGGACTATTTTGTATCTCCTGCGTCTCCCAATCATAGTCCAACAATTCTAAAAATTCATCTAGTTTGGCATTGACCAATTCAAACACGCGTTTTTCAGCCTTTCGACGGGTATCTTGAAAAGTTTTTGTTGCCTTCAAATGAATGTGTCCCGAACGATGAAAGGATCGAGTATCCATCAATAGCATTTCAAAGTCGGGACAGGTGGATTCAAAATACTCGATATTGATAATGATCTGTACTATTTGCGACAAATTAGTTGATTCGAGTTTTTTAAGTAAAATGTTGTTGACTTTATCTATTAGAAGACTATCAACAGCCTAAAGTAGAGTTATATCAAAAGCTAAGTCTCGAAACGTTATCTACTCATAGAGGGCTTTTCCTATTACCTTTTTAAGTATATCATCCATCTCGCCGTGTGTCTGACTAAACCCTTCCGCAAATTGATAGAACTGATGAACAAAATGACTGACATCGCGGCAGCAGGTTGGGAATACTTTAGAAAAGGGTAATCGAAGTGGAAATCTAAATGAAAACAATTAGGTATGAGATAATGGCGAGTCAAGATTGATAAAGCAGGAACAATATTTACCCATATCGCTTGATGAATTCGCGATCTGGTCTAAACCGGGTATATTGCATTACATTTTGTAATTCTTGCTCATTTTCTACAGTCATTGGCATGCACTCATCTTCCTGAACAATCTATACACCGTGACCATAAACCTTGATGAGATACTTTACGTTATAATCATGTTATGAGCTACTCACCTTTTCAAACACCTCACTGTATTGACTAATAAGCAATTCTGAATAGCGTTGGAACAACGTAATGAGTGTCTCTTGAAGGGGCTTTACAGAGTAGTCAAATCCTTCCAATGTTTGGATGAACACCAGTAACGAGAATTTGATCCTTAAAAAGAGTTCTGGATTTTTGCAGCCTTTTAGACTTTCTGATACGACCAAGATAACCTTGCTTGTCACCATCTCCCATAGCCCGTCTACTTCTGCTTGACTTCTAAAGTCAGTTGTATTATGTAGAATCAGATGCTCAATAATAAAGAAGCCGACGATGTCTTGCAATAAGTTATCAAATGTTGCCATATTTCCATCACGTAAATTGATTGGTGTTGAAAGAGCCAAGTTTGCTTGTGCCTAATTGGTCAGAGTAATAAATTGTGGTATATAAGTCTATAGTATAATCAATCAGTTGATGAGACAATACTTACTCTTCTATCTTCGGAATAGGAGGTCTTAAACTCGGCGCGCTTGTTTAGCGTACCATAGACATGGATGCATCTGTATAGGGGCTCAAAATCGATATTGACCTCATCCAATATACTAGCTGCGAGAGCGAACGATGTTAATTGATTAGGTACCTTTCTCTCGTTTCTTGCTCATCTCTACTTACTTTCTAGACCTTCATTAACAACCATTTCAATAGCAGAGTTAACTTGATGATGTTGTAGGTTTTTTAGTTTCGGATTCTCGGTCGTTTTCGTTCGCCATCTTTCTTGTCTTTCTTGCATTCTTTGCATTGCTAAATTCCCAATTTCTCGGGATATTTCACGAACTCTAGCCAGCCATTCTTTCAATTCAATCGTTACAGTATTCTTAATATTACTTTGCATCACAGGCACACTTTTTGAAAGCATTTTTGTGAAAGTAAATTGCTGTACTCGTCCCAATCGATCGTTTTCTAATCCATCCAGAGTCTGTATAACAATTTCAACATTCATGTAAGCCGACTAAAAAGCAAAAAAAAAAAAATAGCTAATAGATCGTTTCTTATATCTCTCTTACATACTTTCAATGCTGTATAATAATTCTTTTTCTCCAACATATCATTTACGTTATTGGCTGATTTTAAGACAATCAAACTAGATTGTATCGCTTCAATGGCATCTTCTACATTTTGTTGCACTTTCCTTGCATTGTTCAACTCTTTTTTCTGGGGAAAATTGATGAGATCATGCTTAGAACATAACTTTTGGTTACCTTCAACTTTCGTTATTTACCCTTTGAGCCATCTTTGTACCGCTCGTCTGTAACGCTTGGTTCACCTCTCCCAACTTTTTACGCAATTCTACTGAACCTTGTCGAACTTTTAATAGTTGATCGACTGCTTGTACAAATTCCTATGAATAGACGTTATTTGTTTGATTCTGGGTCAGCTCGAAGTTATGCTCGTAACAGTTATTTTGCCAATTTTCCATTCAACAGAAGAGAGTTTACTTGATAATGTGAATTGCACATTCGTTCGATTTCACCATCTTTTTTTCGAATAAAGGCATCTAAAGATTCCAGAAATGCTGCTTGTTTTCCTGTTTCTGTAATATTCTTAATAACGGGACCAAGTTGTTCCAAGTTCTCTGAATCATCAATAGCAGCTGAGATCGTAAGGTCGAGGTTACTGCCCGGTACCACAAAGTCCTCGTCGGCAATCGATGTTTTTCTAACTGATTTTGTTAATTGCTCGACTTCTGCAGTGGTTGGCATTTAGCTGATGAACCTTTTCGCTTGTTGATGCTGCTATACTAATTGTTATTTTGTGAAATAAAGGGCAAACTACCAAAGAAAACACTTTTGCTGCTGCTTTAAACTGAGTTTAAAAAACTGACCCCGCATCTGACTCGGCTTTCTTCAACACCACCAAAAAAGATTAGGTGTTGTACATAGTGGTGGCTCTGACAGCCAGTGATAACGCTGCAGCTAAACTGAAGCAAACTATGTTCAATAGATTCTCGTAACAACCTATGCATTTTTTTTTTTTGCGTTATGAGATATATTTCATCTCAAAACGCTTAGGAATTACAGTCCGTTTAGGAACGTATTCATTGATAACTGTCGAGAAATTTATATAGTACAACTTCAACCGGTTTTGTGAAAGACAGATTAATGTATAATTTTACTTTATTAGAAATCATAAGCCATATATTATTGTAACTTTACAGTAAAACTATGCGCTAAATTGCTGATTACGCGAAAGATAGATCAGTCTTCATCTAGTAGCAATTCAACAGTCTCCACCTGCTGTTGCCTAGCTGCTGGTTCTATAATTTGAGGAACCGGTTTTCGTTTTACACCAAAATTTTCGACTACTTCTATAACTTGGATATCGACCTTTCTATCAGATGTGCTATGGTGATGATGATGCTGATGATGATGTTTAGACAGGTTTGCTTGAGTCGGTGGCTTCTTAAACTGTTGCTTTTCTGATTTCGTTCTTCTCTTAGATTTTGTTTTAGAAGTGTCATTTCTCGAGTTATCCTCTGTTTCAACCTCAATGGTTTCCATCTTGATAATATTTTTAACTTTCAAGGAGTCTGCTACAGCAGAGCGATTGAGAACATTATGAGTGATGATAGCAGTGGCAGAGCTGGCTGTTGTAGCTGTTGTGGATGATGTTACGGTAGCGGTAGAGGTAGTTGCTGTGGGAATAATGACATGGTCAGAAGAATTGAAACTATCCACTACAGTAATCAGAGGTTGTTGCTTAGCTCCTGCAAGTAGAGTATTGGCATCATTCTGCACAGCAGTAGTAGCAGCGGTAGAGGATGTCTTAATACCATTAGTATCACAAGGAGCCGGAGCGCCGAGAGAGTGAAGAGTATCAAGCCATCGACCTGCTTGTTGATATAACGTTTTTTGTTTGGGGCTGGGTATGATATGTAACGGAGGAGTTACAGTTATGCAGCTTGGAGCAGCAACAAATGTAAAGCTTTCACTGTCTGTTATCTGAGTTTGCAGCTCTTGAGAGTTGTTGTCTTGTAATGTATCTGATAGATGCTCTGTTGGTTTTAAACTCGAAACGCCGAAATCAAGGGTAGAAAATGGTTTTGATGTTTCTACCGTTTCTTTTGATGGAGTTTGTCGTAGTGTGTCTATTATTTTCTTTGCCTTCAGTGGGGCTTTCTCTTGGTTCACAGTAGCCGTCCCATTAGGTATAGAAGTGGAGTCAGTATCGCTTGCTGTTATAACTGGTCGATGTAAGCTACCAGTTTCATGCAGTGTATTTCCTGCATTTTCTGCAGCAGCTTTTTCGAGATTCCGTGACTTTCGCGTCTTATCGATATACTGTGGAGCAACTGGTACTTCTTCCACCTTCGCTGAGACTGTAGCAGTAGGGTCAGAAGAAGCTGCACGCTGCCGTTTTCCTGTACTTTGCGTGATTTGAGGATTGATAGTAACCGTACCTTCTCTTTCTACCAGTGAAGCAGGCCTACTACCGTACAAACCAATGTCTCTAGCAGTAATGAAAGAGGAGCTACTACTTGCTGGAAATCCTCGGTTATCATCTTCCTTATCATCTGTACCAACATTTTCCTCAAATTTGCTTTGATTCTGTTCCTCAAAGTTAACAGTCATTTTAGGCTTAGCAATCGTTTCAAATGTTTCTACTGAAACTAGCTGCTGCTCCTCCTCGTATTCTTCATATTCTTCATTATCACCGCTATCTACTATAGTATACATATGCTTCATCCTTTTTGCATTCGTTTGTATACTTCTGTACCAAATTTCAATCCATTGTAACTATTTATAAACAGTAAAATTTGTTAATAAAGTATACACTGGGAAAGAATATGATAAAGCTTAGACTATGTATACAATCGCAAACGTACAGGAACACATAGTTGTACTAAATATACGTTGAAAGCAACGAAATCACCTGGGCTTAATCGGCCTCTGGCCACTTCGTAAGCGAATAAAAGACAACCTACAAGCAAGCCTCCTGTAACTATCATATTTTGTGCTAAATTAAGCGCAAACGAGGGTGGGGCATTCAACAGATCTGCTTGTTCTTCTTCTGAAGTATTTCCGACAGAATGACTTGCTACAGCAGCTGTTACTTCGGTAATATCTGACAAATAAGTGTCACCTTCTCTGCCTGATGGTTGTGGTGAAGCTGTACTACTAGTCTGTTCCACGTCTGTGCCAGTGGCGTTCAATCCAATGTTCTCTTCTTCTCCATCAATAGAAATGTGATGTTGCGACAAATAAAGTGTTGCACACAAATATGTAAACATAGTAATAAGAATGATAATACCGAAGTACCGACCGTAAATGTATGATACGAACAAGGAAGTCAGGATCACGTTGATACAGAAAGGAAAGATGTGGAACAGTAACAGATTTAAGATCTTCACTGTTGCATTGGTTCCGCGCTGAATGACAATTCCGTCCTCTAGTTGTTTGTCTTCATCTCGCTTACTGTTACTGTTGGTGAATACTCCAGTACTGCCATTATTCGTCTCCGCAGCGGCAACATCCGTAGAAGATGGTTTTTGCTGCGTCCTGTCGTCCTTACGCTGCTGTACTGTGGACATAATCTCCTTTTTGATATGATTCATGATAGGTATATTTAGCCTTGTTTGAATGAATGATTCCAACAGGTTGGTTGAGTTATTATTGCCCTGAACGAACTTTAATGCAATATAAATGATAATAAGCTGCCATGATATAGAATCGAATACCCCAGCATCGGGATCTGATGGCTGGGGCTCTTGTTGCTTTTGCTTGAAGTCATCGATAATATGACCTATTTCCCATGGAGCCCATAGATTCACTATAAACCCAAGTGCCATGACACAAAAACAAAGAAGAACCAGTATATAAATTTTGAAATTGAATCCTTCTGAACTTTTGCGAGGTAATAAAATATGCAATGTTTTCTGTGCTAAGCTTCTAAAAGTTGATGGAGGAGTCTTCTTCTTTCTCTTTTTGACGGTTGTGGTTGTTGTAGTTGTAATTGTTGTCTTCGTAATTGCACCATATTGTGTCTTCGAGGTTGAAACCGTGGTGGATGTCTTAGCATTCGTGGCTGTGCTGGACGACAACAATGGAGAACTTGCATCATTGTTATGGGTGGTACGACTGCGGCGATTGTTCATCCACACATTCATGCTGAATACAGAAAGAATTAAGCTTTCCACCACATAGCGAACCACAAAGATACTGAAAAGGAAATGATCATAGGCAGCATTAGGAGAGGAAGGTTCAGTCCCTGAAAGAAAAAAAAAAAAAGAGAGTTGGTACGACCACAAGTACAGAAAGAGTTAATTTTTTGCAGTATCGGACTTGTTGCTTCAATCAACACATTGGGAGCTCAACGAACGATGCTTAACTCTAATCACTTCTCTCATTCCCGCACTCCTAAATTTCGCCACATATTGTATTCACAATGTTTTACGTATAAAATGCTGCTCATCACCGCCCCCCTACCCCTACCCCTTGAATTTATTGACAGTGCACATACCTGGTTGTTCTCCTGGTTTCAATGTTAGACCATAAGAAAGCCAACACCAACCAACCAAGGAATCGATACCGATTACTTCAATCCAAAATATTTGCTGTTGTATCCACGAAGCATGATCATCTGATTGCATCTTTAACCGCTTTCCGTTGACTATGAATGAGATTAAGTTAAACACCCAAGCGAACCATGATGCAATAATATAGTAGGAGAAGATTGCAACTGTAATGGTGTTTTCATTAGTGTTGTTAGGGGTTATAATGGCGTGTGTGATGATGACAACAGCGTCCGCTATGTAGGTGAAAAGAACGAAGCAGCAAAGGATTATGATAAATTTTGAAAAGATTGATAAGCTAGTATTCTTGACAGGCCTTTGTATCTGCTGTTCTGTTTTCAAAATTTGGCTACGGTAGCGTACAATAGACAAAGTGAAGAGCGCAATTGAGGACGCAAGTAAGACAGTAGGGCCACACACGAAAATGGCAGGCCAGCCGTACGGAATGATGGAAGAAAAGGCTGTTTGCGAAAACATTGAACCCTTCGAGGTATACTATTTTATTGCAAAGAAATGTAGAAAAGGGATATCACAATAAGAGATGCAGACAAAGAAGAAAAGAAAGATAAAATGAAAGAAAGGAGCATCAATGGGAAGAGGTGGATCAATTACAACGTTGCTTTTTTTAAATTTGCTTTGTACACAGATCCAAATACATGCTTAAGAGCAGATCTTTCTTGAAAGCTGTATCCGTGCGGAATTTATAATTTGAACGGAACTACGGGCCAAAGCACGATAGGTGCATCGTCAACACTGGTCGTGGTACGAGAACGACAAGAAGCCAAATAGCTTGAATTCAATAGATCTTCTTTCAGTCTTATTTGCCTTCCACTTTCGCTTTTACTGTAAATGTTGTCTTGCTGATTCACTAATACCAAGCAAGTAGTTGGCGGTTCTGATATCCCACTATTTAAAACATTTGATTCATCATATTGCCAGTTCTCCTCTCCTCTTCGTTCTTCTTCCATGATTCGCTGAGCCTCTTCTTCTTTCTGCTTTCTGAAATTCTCAGAGAATTGAAAAACTTCAAGAGCCTCTTCAGACATAAACTGCAATGCAACAGAATCATCTGCATTTAAGCTTTCTTCCTCAAAGTCTTCGACATTTAACTCATTAGACTCTAAATGATGTTGCCGAAACTCCTCTTGTCGTTGTGGATCGTCAGCATCAACACGATATTCCGCCTCATCAAACGGATCAGCATATTCGTCATCGTCGTCTTGTTCTGCTTCTTCGTCAAAATAGTACCATTGCTGTTGTTGTTGTTCTTGTTGTTTCGGGTTGAGAAATGTTTGCCAATATAGTTTTTGCTCAGGACCGAAATGTTTTTGATGGAAATTGCGAAAGGACAAACGATTCATATAAAACGAGACAAAAATTGACAGCTGATCAAAAAAGAAACAAAAAGGTGCATAAAAGCACCAAATCTCAGCTATTTTCATTTGCATTTTCTTTAAAAGTTCAAAGTATCCAATGGCACCAAATTACCCAAAACAGATCTTGACAACCTTGAAAGGTCATAAAGGACCTGTTAACGATGTATGTTATAATAAATCAGGTCAATATTGCCTATCGGCAGGTCGCGATCGATCGATTCGCTTATGGAATCCTGAAACAGGACTTTTGATTCATACTTACAATGGTCACGGACGAGATGTGCTTGGCTTAGCAGTGTAACTTTCTACGTAAACATGAATATACGGTGTTTGTATTTTAGATAGGCAAGTTAACCATTTACTTTTGCTTAGATCGAACGATAACGGGAAAATTGTAAGTGGAGGTGTTGACCGTACAGTTTTGCTTTGGGACGTGAGTTCAGGCGAAATTCTACGGCGTTTTACAGCGCATTGGGAAAGGGTGAATTCGGTCGCTTTCAACGACGAATCGACCGTTGTAGTGAGCGGATCATTTGATGCTACTATTCGTCTGTGGGACCTGAGATCAATGAATTTCCAACCTATTCAAGTGATCGAAGACTGTAAAGATAGTGTTATGTCTGTAGAGGTCAAAGGACCAGAAATTGTCGCAGGATGTGCAGATGGAAAGCTACGCACTTACGATATTAGGATGGGAGAATTAAAAGAAGATTATATAGGACCTGCCATTACATCCGCCAGACTATCAAAGGATAACAATTGCATATTGGTTAGCTCGTTAGATGACACAATGAGGTTGATGGATAAAAGTAATGGAAAACTTTTAAACGAGTAAGTGTGTTGCATTTGACTAAAAGTGTGTTAATGTAACAACATCAGTTTTGACTCAGTTCAATAATTGACGAATCATTAGGTTCAAAGGTGGCCATAAGCATAAGGAATACAAGCTAGCATCTATACTATCCAATTCAGACGCTGTAGCAATTACAGGATCGGAAGATGGAAAGATTTTTGTCTACGATGTACTAGAGGGAGATGTTTTGTCAACATTAGAGGGCCACAAAGGTGTATCTTCAGCTTTAGCGTATCATCCTGAGAATGATGCTATGTTATCAGGAGGTTCGGATGGTCTGATACATATCTGGGGCTAATGAAGCAGAATAAAATAAAATTATTATCACCCTTTGAAGCAAAAGAAAAACCTAAACACTACCAGTCAGACGTAGCATTTGCTGCAAGCGACTTTTTTATGAATATGGTTGCTTTTAACTAGATTAGAAAGGCTTCTTATATTATACTTCCCAATGTAGAATTTTATCCAGCTTTCAATAATTGAGGGAATGAGGACCATAAATAGATACTATTGATTCCTGTTCATCTTCAACGCAGTTTTGAACCTCTGCCTCATTCATTTCATACTTTTTAATAGAAACATCCGTTGATCGCATGCAGGATAGCAACATTTGTTTTGCCTGTTTTCGAAAGCTATTGCAAAGTTATGTTTCATCTACTGATGTTGCTGACCTCTTTTTCGTTTAGAAAAAGAACAGCCAATAATGAAATTACTCATCCCAAACATCATAAACCACTTTTCAAGGTTTTAAGTGCCCTTCGATATGGCTTTTGGGCCGGTTTGATGTATCCAGGTTTTACGCATGGTTTTCTGATGCGGAAAGGGGGTACAATTGTTGATTTCTGCACCAAGATAGCTGATGGAGAAATAGCCAAAATGGCAAGTGCTCAGAGCATGATTTATATATCCAGCGTACAAATGCTCTTCATATGTTACTTAAAACTGTTTTACACATGTGGAATAATGATATGATACTTACAATACTACTTTCAGACATTGTACAAATTGTACGGTTGATTGGATGGTTAAAAGGTTCATATAATTACATGAATGTTGCCCTATTTATATTTAATAATACAATTGTGGTAGAGATGACAATGTATACTTACTTGAAACATACAGACTCTTAATAGATAGGATTCAGAAGCGAGTAAGCCACGAAATTCATAGCTCGTACCTTGATTTTAAAGTTTTTTTAGGTCCGTACCTTGTTGTATAATACGGCCGTCTTCGGACATACACTGTGAAACGTATATCCTAACGTTTAATACAGCATATCAACTTTTCATTCACTGTGAGATTGGTAACCACTTTTATTGGTGTTTTAATGAAGCAAAACGCTGTGTGCGACTGCAACTTCTTCACTGTTAAGACTGTGCGTTGCGGAAATTCATTTTTTACATTTTTAAGCTTTTTCGTCGTTTCCTTTTGTTCATCCATCAATCTTTCCATATTATTTCATAGCTCTGTTTATCCAAATCTTCGAATCTTGAAATATCCAATATGAACTACCTGATGCTAGATAGAGCGTCAGAAGCAGCAGCAAACGACTTGGCTGAAGTGAGGAAGTTAATTGAAGGAATGAACGCTTTGGTTCACAGTCAAATTCAACAGCAACAACAACAATTGCAACAACAACAACAGATTCAACAAGCTCAAGTTCAGGCACAGTCTCAAGCCCAATACCCCTCTCAACAGCTTCTGCCATCGCAATGCTCGGTGATAGAGAATTCAACTGCCTCCCAAGCACGAAACCAGGTCGGGAATGGCGCAAAATCCAGTGCACGATTACAAACTTCAGTTGAGAAGAACTCAACTACAGTAAAAGTTGAGATGAATAATAATGGAGTACCAGTGTCTCCGAAGCAGCCTACAGAGTCAGTGGAAACTCACAGTCTTAGCGATAACTCAATGGCTGGGAATAATGTACAAACGAACATACCTACCACTGGTGGAACCCTTACAGAAAGAGAGACTGCAAAGGCTATCCAAATTAAAGCAGAACAACCTTCTTACAAACAACAGCAACAAGAACAGATTGAGCAACAACAACAACAACAACAACAACAGCAGCAGCAACTAAGACAGCAACAACAAAACATGAGCGCCCAATTTCGGTAAGGGAGATATGCGATTTATGATAAAAAGAGTTATTCAAAGTCTACTGATACCTTAATTCCCGACTGTGCAGCGAACCTGCGGTACAGCCTCAACCACCAGTAGGAGTAGTTGTAGAAGTGACACATTTGACTTTCAATAGAGTAGTATACTTTCAACTCGCCTGTAAAAATCGTTGAACAGTTCATTGTTAGTATTACAAATGGACTTATCATTTTATTTATTCTATAATAGTGGAGGCAACCATTGAGCCAATGATTGCTTGGTTGAGGCTTTCTTTTCAAGATGCCGCCATTTCTGGTATGGTTCTTCAGTATAAAGGTTTTGATGGATTATGGAAATGTCTATTGAATCGTAAGTTTGGAAGTGAAGATAATATACAAGTGAATGAGACATAAATTATTGATATCATCCAATTTAACATCGCAATAGGCGATGACTCTCTAAAAAGAATTTTACAGCAAAGTTTAAAAAGTAATACAATGCTACAAATGAGAGTGCCAAGAGAAGAAGATTTGGTTAGCGTAAGTGAAGCATAATATTGGGAGAATGTAACGACTTCTTCTGCCTCTTTTCTTTTTTCTTTCAGTGCTAAAACGATTGCTTTTCATAGTCAGGGTACACGGATCGTAGATTAATTGCTTTGACGAGAACAGAAAGCATGGTTTGAGAGAACAGCGCATCATCATTTCATCGAGAATTTTTCATATATCAGTAACATATTGGCTTCAGTGTTAGACTCACTTGATCTTCCTTTGATATCATATTTTATACACATATTCAAAGTTTTACACATATACTAACAATATAATCACTTGCAAACAATCCGCCGAACGTGCAAAATACGCTTGAGTACAATTATGAAGAGGTCATGAAGTTTTATTTACAATGTTTGGGAAATGCCATGATAAGTTATTTTGTAATTATGCTTTGCAAAATATGGTTTGGTTTTGGTTTTTTTTTTAACATCAATATGGTAGGAGTAGTGAAAGGTTGAATGTGTTTGGATTATCTTTCATTACAAAGTTGCATTTCTTTCCTTTAATTCAACTTCCACACCGCGTACAAACACTCTCTTAAGGTTTAAATCATCATCCAAGAAAACCATATCAGCATCTGCTCCAGGATTTAAAGTACCCTTTCTATCTTGAATACCCAAGCATTGGGCAGGATGCAATGTGGCTGCTTCTAAAGCCTCGACGTTTGTGCATCTTGTAAATTTCTTGAAATTACGAACGCAATGATCAATAGAAATAGTGCTTCCGGCTAATGTATTTGTACCCTTGATATAAGCACCGCTGACACCACGGACTTCAACATCGCGACCACCCAAACGATGAATACCAGCAGGTAAACCAGCAGCAGAGAGAGCATCAGTTACCAAAACACAACCACTAGGGTGAGAATAGTAAGCAATGCGTACAGAGTTGGGATGAACGTGAACACCGTCACAAATGATACCATAGAAAGGACGAGGATCTGTTTTTTCACGACATGGCGAGGTGGTTGAGGGTAAAGGATGACGTTCAGGTTGCTTAGGTTCGGGTAAGTCACTAGCGCCTAGAATACCTACCATACCAGGATCACGTTGATGGAAAGGACGCATAGCGTTGAACAAATGAGTCATAAAAGTGGCACCAGCCTTGACACCTTCTTCAGCTTGACTGATGGTGGCAGCTGAATGGCCGATAGAAACAGTAATATCGCGATCAACAAGTTGGGGAATGACGTCCAAGATACCTTCGATTTCGGGAGCCACTGTCATAATGCGGACAGCCTTACCGCCTTTCTTAAGTTCGGGACCATAAGCCTTGTCTAGCGCATCAATTCCATCCTTGGCATTTTGTATGACGGTTTGATTGTGAGCACCCTTCTTTTCAGTAGAAATGAATGGACCTTCACAATGAGCACCAAGAATTTCTGCACCTTCTTTAGCATCTCCAGGACGATATTGCAATAAAGGCAATACCTAGATAGCATGAGTTAGCACCACAAGCACAGCTTTTGTCCTTTGAATACACTTTAAACATTGAATTACCTTTGAATATACTTCCGGAGCGGAAGTGACCACAGTTGGACAAAAGGCAGTACAGCCACTCTGCAATAACCCCTTAGATACTGTCGCGATATCCTTTTTTAATTTCGATTCGGGATCTTTATAATCTGAAAAGTCAATACCAAATGCGCCGTTGATTTGTAAATCAATGAAACCAGGTGCAACAATAGCGCCCTGAGCGTCAATAATCTCGTCGGGTTCTCTGTTATACTTGAAGAAGGAATTGAAAGCATCAATGATTTTGCCGTCTTGAATCCATAGATACGAGTCGTTGACTATTTCGTGATCGCGCAAGATACGAGCATTGATGATTTTGGTAATTTTACCGCCGTTAGAAGGAGATGGCATTTTATTTGAAATTAATATCTAACTAAATATTCAAGTTGGGAAAAGAAGAACCAAACGAGAATGGGTAAAGTCAGTCATATGCGTACATTATTTATACCTTGGTAGTTGATGATACCAGCGTTGACAATTTTGCTATAAACAGATGTCTCAGAAAAAGATTACGCAATTTTATTTCCCGCTGGAAAAAGCATGAGTTTTGTTAAATTAGCTTCAAAGGCACTTCTCCGGAAAAAAGATTGCAAAGGGTCCTTTTCCATATCCTTCAAAGGGTCTTTGTTAAAAAAAGAATGATGTCCTTTTTGTTAAAGTGATTTTCTTATGCTAATCCTTCTTTTTAACCTTTGGAAAATACGTAAATGTAACGTTGGACAGAAACAATGCAGCCGAAGATGAATGTTGCTTCCCCAGGTTACAATTAAAAGGCCCACTTTGGCTATCAGATATGCAGAGAAAACAAATCTTTGGGTGAATTCTATTATGTAAGATTATGGTTCTCGAAGGGAACAAGGGTCACCATTGATTTTGATAGGCGATAGTGTGATTAAGCTGGTAATACCAACTTGACACCCAAACGTTTCACGAAATACTGCATTCGGGAGAGGGGTACGGGTGTTCTCAAACCCAAGTGTCGTTGTAGACCTTTAGCTAAAAACAACGGGTGATGGTTTCCCTTGACACGGATCAAAAATGGAAACAATAAGGGTCTTACTGAGACATTCTGGTGAAAAAGTCCACTTGAGGTTAAATCTTTCTAGACTAATGCCGATTGCAACCGAGATTAAGGACTGATATGCAAGGAAGCCTAACTGTAATTGGGCTCCATGCCTATAATTCTTATTATAGGATTATTATTTTCTGGTACAGTCATTGGGAATTACCTAACCTTACTTTTAGAAGAGAATACTTCCCTACTGGTACAAATAGTGAAGGATTCAAGTTTCACCTAATTAACTTCAAACTTTAGCGGGATAATGCCATCTTACGCTATTATTATGGTGATCAGTATGTCAGTTATTGTTACAGTTATTTTTAACTTCTTAGGGAACAGTTCAATGTTGCCATAGTTTCAGAAGTGAGGGTCGCTTTATTATGCTTGTAATGTAAAAGAGTGATAATACCGATCTGTCAATATAGAGGTAAATAAATAATCAATTAAATAGCTAGTATGTATTTGCAGCATAAAGTTATAGTAGAATGAATCGAGTAGGGTAGCATTATGTGTTAAGAAGAAGGATAAAGTTAAATAAAACGCGAAACGAAAGGCTCTTTGAATTTGTTATTATTGCATGCTAATCGTGTTACAAGCCCCACGTTACCGAGTATACAGTTTCAGCCGCCAATTTTAATCGTTGCTGTTCTTGTTTCATTAAGAAGTACTCTCTTGCGCTATTTAGCATCATGTTATGTTGTTGTTGGTAGTTGTGGGGACTCTTGTTAAAGTAACAGTGGTATTTGTTTTCGTTGCTGTTGCTGCTGAAACTACTGTAGCTGCTTATTGTGCTGTTATAAGAGCCGATGCTATCTCTTCTTTTAGGTAGACTTTTGTTACTATTATCGTTATTGCTGCCAGAACCGTGTGGTGTATGAGAATTATGAATAAAATTGCAACGAATACCATAAGGACAGGTACCGTCTCCAAAATAAGCACGGCAAATCTGCGTTTTATAGCGATTGTGCCTAGGAACCACTCGCAATTCTCCCTCTCCATGAGCATATCGGCATTTTTTATTGTATCTAGAATGTAAAAGAAACCTTTATTACTAACTGTACGCTCCGAAAATAGGTTTCATTTTTATAAATGCATGTTTCCAGAATCTTAGAATACCTGCAATGCCCTAGTTCTGTCCAGTTTCTACAAAATTCGGTCTTGTATAGCTTGATATCTTTTGCATATTTCGAATTTGTTATATTGATGCTGTTTTGTAATTGTGGTTGTGCTTCGTACGGCTGCTCGTAAAATGGCAACCAGCTATTATTTACAAAGTGAACGGACGGCTCTTTTTGTGCTTGAGATAAATACATCACACAACGGATGAAGTAAATGAAAAGCAGAGAATATGAAGAGTGAAAAGAAAAGATGTTTGTGGCAAACAAACTCCTTGAAATGTTGCGATTTTATATTTCTGAATTGTTTTTGTATTCTCATACGCCCAACTTGTTACAGATATATCATATTTCAATACGAAACTTGTTTTCATCAAGTAGGTACCACACCACGTATTTTACCTCAAACTGCTGCTTCAAACACAGATTCATAACAGAAGACCGTCTTTCATGATTCTTTCAACATTATTGATAAACACTCGGAATGCCTGACTTCTGATATGATACAAACAGTTGATTGCTATACTTACCAAGTCCAGTAGGCCCATAATAATCTGTAAGCCGCTTTCTGTCCATAGACAACTTGAGCCTTGTGATTAAGCTTTTTCATTTACGCTCACTACCTGCAAACGTGAAAAAAAAAAAACTTAAAACAAAGAAAGTTGATGCGCTACACAAACTTAAGGAGGTTATTTCTTCTTTCGTTTCCCTTTGATAAAATGATAAATTAGTCACATATTGTTGAGGGTTGGGACATAAGGTTGAAAATCGAATATGTATTCTAAGCCTCCAAAATAATCAAGCATGTTGCTTCCCGCAACAGTTGCAAAGATGGAAAAAGACTTTAGGTAGTGGTAAGCTGATATTTATAAATAACAGGGGAAGGTTGAATGTTATGCAAAGCTGATTGATAATAAGCTACCCATATTGCCCAGTAAATATCACAATGAATGATTAGGAAGTTTGCATTTGTCTTTGGATACACTATCTAAAATATGCTGAAGTAGTATTGCCCTGAAAAATTTGGGATTGAGAGCGTGGGACGGATATTACTGTAAGTGTAAGCCAAACTTCAAAGCGATGTGAACGTTCTATGAATATAATGTGCCAATGGCGTCTTAACATTGCCTGGAAAACGGCGAAAATACCACCTCAGCAATATTTAAAAGCATCCAAACAGGGAATTTTGTGATATTGTACAATAAGATAAATTCCAATCTTTTTGATTGAATTCAAAGTGACCACTTGATAACGCTAAGTAATGTGTTAGAAACGGAAAGTAGTTGAGCACTACTAATGCCATAATAAACAAGATGCTCACAGATAAATGATCGAAAACTCTACGTTGGTATTAGTAATATTTGGATAAGATGGATGTCAGTAATGAAAAAAAAAAGCGGATAGAATAAATGGTTTCTTCGAGGTACCATAGGCTGTATCGATTAAATGCAATTGGGGTACTGGTAAAAACCAGGAGGTTTAACAGTGAAATGATGTGTCAATCCATCGTGTATGTTGAAATAGCAGTTTAGTTTTTGACAGTCGGAACGCTCTCAAGGCAAAGGAGGAATTGAATGGAAACCTTTCATATATGTAGTATGTCTCCTAAAGGTATTTTCTTTCTGCCGATACCAGCTGCCAAACGTCTGATAGGTAAAATTCAAAGGTTGCGAGTTAAGGTAGTGTGTAATATAATACTGCATAGATTGGTCTATAGAATCATAGTATATGTGTAACGTACGATCCTATTACGACTATTACCTGAATAATTTGAGCATGATTCCCTTGAGGCGTTTTAAAGAAAGATCTAGATTTATTTTCTTTGCATCTGACATTATGAAAAAGAGTACGATGCTCATATGTCTACGTCTTTACAGCAGGAATTCGAATTAACTGTCCGTTACTAACTAATGCTTCTTAGATAATATATATTCTATTCACTCCAGAGTCTCGCTTTCGGTTGGAATGGCAGTTGATATAAGAGCGATCAATCTAATTCTCAGCAAGGGTTTATTTCCCCCTACTGGTAATGTTGTAATTATGAACATTTCTTTGGTTGTTCAACTTGTGCTTTCAATACATCAGATGGCTAGCACGCCTAGTTTCGCTTCTTTCTACTGCATAATTCACTTTAAACTTTCTCAATTTAGATAGATATATCTTGCCTCCGGTAAACCATCATATTGATATAGTCTCTCACTGTTTTATGTATACTCCTTCATACTTTGAGTTTTACATACCGCGATAATAGTAGACGGTATGTAAGCTATTAAGCATTAAGTTCAGACAGCAGTAAGGCAATTATAAGCATCAACAAAATCAAAAATATTAGGGCTAACAGCTGCATTCTCAACCAACGAACCTAATGACTGACTTAACAAAGGTTTTAACGCACGGAGCTCGTTTCTCTTTATCTACCTAATTTCTTTGTGTCATTTTTTATAGAATGTTGAAAAGGGGCAAAACGTAGAGAAACAAACCACCTATAGACTTTAAAAAAATCCGTAAACGGTGCCTGAAGAAACTTTCTGAAGCCCAGTCAGTGTAACTTTTCAACGCTCCGCGCTTCACCTTAATTATGTAATTCATTGATTACAGTATCATGCTTGCAGGAGCATTTTAAAGTTCATCTCATTCTGACTTTATTCCGCTGAACATTTTATCCTTTTTCTTTTGCCTTAACCTGCTCCTTTTATCCCATCTTTTAAATTGAATGTCTGGAAGTAAACGAAGGTTGTCTCTTATCGCTCAGCATATAGGACAAAGAACAAATGGAGCAGCAGTGAGTCATAAGGGCATTACGGAAACCAAAAAGCTCGTTAAGCAACTAAACACTGCTACGACAGCCAACAGTAACAGCATCCATCATGAAGAGACTTTTCGAAAGAGAACGGACTACAAATATTTCCTTCCTATACAAACTCGGTAAAGAATAATAGCAAGCTCAGCAATAAAAGCAATGCATACTGACCCGACTTGAACGATTCTGAGCAAAATAGTTTTGGTGATAATGATATGTATGGTCATTTAAACAATGCGGCTTATTACTATTATTTCGACAGTATTATCAATAAGTATTTAATTGAACATTGTGGGCTAGATACATGCAGCACCAATACAACGAAACCTATCGGCTTGGTTGTTTCCAGTCAAGCAAACTTTTACGCCTCTGCATCCTATCCCCACTTGATTCATGCTGGACTTAGAATCACAAAAATAGGGAATTCCAGTATTGCCTATCGTGTAGGTATATTTGAAGGTGACAACCTGACGGCTTGTGTTGTGGGTGGGTATACGCATGTTTTTGTAGATCCGAATACCAGAAGGCCTGTCCAAGCTCTACCAAAGACATTTATAGAGGGTCTCGAAAAATTATTGTAGTAAGAAAGAGCATGGTTACTCGGATTCATAATTATTATTTGTATTTGCAATAAAAGTGTCGCTCCATTGAAAACTTGAAAGAGAGCAATAGCATTTATCATGAATGACTGCCTGGCATGAATAGGTTAGCTGTGCTATAAGAAAGATGAAGCGACAAAGCTGTATGCATTTATAACGTAAAGTTGCAACCTCAGTAGAAAATGGTCGGACGGCTAACAATAATAAAGGACGATTTGAATAATTGCTGTGTTGTTGAAATATGGCTACCACGTAAGGTGAAATGGGTCTCCTTAGTCCTTTTATTGTCACTGAAAATTGGAGAGTGGAGCGTTCACAGCAAACTGAATGTTTGTATTTAAAAAAGAGAATAATAAAAAAAATACTCGGTCCTGAAATTATCATCTAGTAAGAATGCAGCATTAAATATACGCATGTCTTTAGAATACAAGGTGACGTGTACAAGTTTTATTATGATTCTAGTGATCTTAATAACGTGTCTAGTATTTGAAGGTGTGGCTAATTCGTGTTTATAGCGGGTACTACACAGTCTACACCAAAAAAAAAAGACAGCCTACACAACAGCCTGCACATGCACAATTTTTTTCGCGCAACGTTAAACTCAAAATCAGCGACTTTACTATCTGAAGTGACTGTAATGCAGCACACCTGTCAGCTTCAGGCTTCTCGTGAATGGCCAAGTTGTCAGTTTTGCGGATAAAACCACATTCAAATTCCTCTGCTGTCATTTGTAGCGAGCTGCTGGCTGCATAAAAAATGCTTAGTACCTGAGCGTGCTCTGAAGAAAAAATACATTTGGAAAACGAAAAATAGAAAAAAAAAAAGCAAAAAAGCACGGAAGCCCTGTTTGAGAGCCATCACTTAATTTTTTCCCCTTTTTACAGCTTCACTCTTAAATTGCCAAACACAATCAACCCTACAATTCAAACACAATTAGCTTTAGGGAAAGTCAATGTCAAAGTCAGTAGATGCTAAAAAGAATCCAGCACTTCACTTAACAGGAGGAGCGCTATCCGGTATGGCTGCCTGTACCGTACTTCAACCTCTTGACCTTATAAAAACACGTTTGCAACAACAAAGACAAGATCACTTGACTTTTTTGAGAGAAGCGAAAGCGAAAGGCTTGAAGATTTCACCACAGAAAAGGTGTGTACTTCCTCGTTAACGAACCATCCATGGATAAAGTATGTAGAACTTAAAAGTTATTTTTCTTTCACCCTTGATGGCTGCAGTAACATTTATGCGACTGTGAAGGATATTGTTCATAGTAATGGTGTAAGTGGTCTATGGAGAGGCACTGTGCCAACCATTATGAGGTATCTATTGGGTGTGTCATAATACATAGTGTGTTGTTCTGCAGCAAGATTGATCATCATTCGTCTTTTATCGTAGAAATGTACCTGGATCTGCACTTTATTTCTTTACTTTGGCAGAGATTCGTGAGATACTACACAAAACCAGAAGCACTTGGCAGCCTGTGTTGAAGCTGAAGGAAAAAGAAAATCAACGTTGGGAAAATTTACTTTCAGGCTCTACAGCCAGAGGTGCTGTGGGTTATATCATGATGCCCATTACAGTTGTAAAAGTGCGATATGAGGTAAATTAGATGCAATTGATAGGATGGAGGCTGCTTTTACGAAATCTTTTCACTCACTTAGTGTCTTTGTTTGAAAAGAGCAACTTTTATAACTATCGTAGTCTAGGAGAAGCATTCAGATCCATCATCAATCAAGATGGTTTCAGAGGTTTATTTGCTGGTTATGGTGCCACGTTCATTCGAGATGCTCCCTTTGCTGGTATCTACTTGTTTTTCTACGAAGGATGTAAAGCTTCAGCTAATGGTAAGAAAGTCAATGGTCAGTCATTTAGGTTCCATTTGAAGACATATTCAAATGCGTTTATTGTATGTATAATCTAGAATACATCAAAAACCATAATTTACCGATTGCCAATGCTATGATCAACCTGAGTTCTGGTGTAGTAGCGGGATTAGCAGCCACATGTACAACACAGCCATTTGATATGCTAAAGACACGTATGCAATTGAAGCCAATGATGTATAAAAATATGATACAGTCAGCTAAAAAGGTGTATAGAGAAGAAGGACTGATAGGCTTCTTTGATGGTATCAGTGTCAGATTAATTCGAAAACCTTTGAATTCAGCCATTTCTTGGACGATTTACGAGGAAGTGGTCCGTTGGTACAATCGTAGAGACCAATTATTGAAAGAAAGTCTGTAATATATACACTGTTATACCATTTTTTTGTAATCATAGAAATGCCACCCTTCTTGTAAATACCTTTTATTCCTTAGATATGTAATTTTACTGTAATCTATGTCAACTTCTTGCCACCGATAATATAAGTATATCTATATGTTGAAAACTGACTATTTTTGTGTCTCTATGCTGATATTGTTCCATAGATTGAGTAACAATTTGGACAGCGCTTTGATGCTGTCATGCGGCGTTAAAAGTTGCCTCTTATGTAACTTAAACAGTTGATCAGTCGGGCTTTTTTTTCATTTTTGAAGAACAAACAAAAGCAATGCATGATGTGTGTACAGATAGCAAGGCTTGGCCTATAATGCACTTACTTCTAATAGACCAATGGAGGGGTTTGTGTAAATGAAATGTATGTCATTTTCTATGTATTCATAACGCTCTTTTTGTCTATAATGCCAAGCATAGGATGTCTGTTTTTTTCTAAACAGACTTTTTACTCGTCTGATCTTTTTCAATTCAATAAAAATTTGGTTAATTTTCCCGTTTGTCCCTGCACGCCCTTTTAGCATTATCTAATCTTTATCCCGTCCCCCAGCTGGATTTCAATAGCCTCCAATTTGGGCATCATTTTTTTTCTTTTTTTCCTCAATAGAGTTACGGGCAAACGCGAAATGGATCTCTTTTCTTTTGTATTTTCTTCACACCCTCAGCCCAAGAAGCGGTTTCCTTTATTCCTTTGAAAGCTTTATAGAATAGAACCATGAGTACAGCAGAAGAAAAAGTTTTGGTTATTTTGGCCTCTCATTTTGAGCCAAACCAACTGGAAAAAGAGGTTAAAGTAAGGGCACGGCAGTAAACATGAATATGCATTGTTTTGTCCAATTGATGTGCCTTTTCCTCACTTACGGGCCGGATTAGGAACGGTATGACGATTATTTCTGCTTAAAATCACGAGGTATTCCTAAAGCGTTATTACCTATCTCTGGAAAGCCTGTTTTAAGTTGGTTCTGTCAATGGGCAAGGAAAAGATTCAGCCACCTCTATATCTTGACGAATGCATACAAGTGAGTTTGAATGACAACTGTATCCGTTTGCGATAAGAGAAAGAGGGTGATGACGACTGGAATACTGACAGATCTTTGATAGCTTCAAACATTATGAACGTTGGGCAAGTAGTATCGATTTTCCAAGAGAAAACATTTTAAATACGGGTGCGAGGTAATGCGTCAAGTACTCTATTTTCTATTAAGGAGCTTTTTTTTTTTGTTGTTGTTGCTCTGCACAAGGCTAATTCCTTAACCATTCCTTTTTGCATAGTCCTAGTGTATTATTCGATATTGCATTCTTATATCGTGTGAGAAGAAACATGATCCAAGGCGATATAGTGATTACAGTTCCTGAACTTTTTGCAGAAAAGGAATCCTTATTGGAAGATCTATTTCGTGACACTACTCACAATTTTGTTACACGGGTGGTCAGTGAAGAAAAGGAGCTTGCTATCGCATTTGGAATGGATCAAACATTATTAAAAACATTGGAAGATGATCTGTCATCCATCGACTCTACACAAATACTACAGAAGCATATAGAAAAGGAATCCATGCCAAATTGGCGACATGATGTGGAGCACTATATCAAAATAAAAACAGAGGAAACCAGCAGCCAGTGCAAGATCATTGACAGAGAGGATGACGATAGTTTTGCCTTTGTTGACCCTGCTCTCTCTCTTGAGGCTTATTCAAACAAGTGGATGGACTGCTTGGACAATCAAATTTCTCAGCACATGGAGCATCAGATCCTTCAAACCGAGCCCATCCACGTCAAAACCTATGCGCGTGTTGGCTTGATGGGCAATCCAAGTGATGGATTTTATGGTATGAAGGCAATGACCATCGGATTTTATTTTTTTCCTTGATGAGGACATACTGTCATCCTTTCTAACATGTTACCCTCTCTTTGTCTATCACTCTACCTTTCCTATCGACCTCATGCCTGTGTGTGTGTGTTCCTGTGCTTTTGTTCTTTTTTAGGTAAAACTCTCAGTTTACTCATATCCAACTTTTGGGCCGAAGTGACGCTCTTCCCTAATACGGATCCCAAGGCTTTGGAATCGATTCAAACCCTGTCCAACCCTATTTCCGATCCACGGTATTTCTATTCCATGGCCAGTCTTGTCAGCATGTCAGAAATTGACGGCTACGATCACGGGGATCGACTGCTTCAAGCGTGTTGCAAAGTATTTTATCGTCATTGTCGTTTACCGAAACATAAATTGCAACAGGGTTTCAAGATGCGATTTTTGACCAATATTCCTCGTCAAGTGGGTTTAGCAGGATCTTCTGCTATTATTACGGCCTTATGGAAAGCATTGATGCAGTTTTACCAAGTCGATATTCCGTTAGAGCAACAAGCCAGTTTGGTGTTGCAGGTGGAACAGGAGGAGCTGGGCATTGCAGCAGGATTGCAAGACAGAGTGATACAGGCGTACGGCGGTTTAGTGTATATGGATTTCAACAAGGCCTTCATGGATCAGCATGGGCACGGTCAGTATGAGCGTCTGGATGTGTCTCTTGTTCCCAAGTTATGGCTAGCCTATGTAGCCGACCCTGAGGACTCTGGAAAAGTACACAGCACAGTGAAAGAGCGCTTCCGTCACGGTGACCAGGAGGTGATCAAGGCCATGCAGACGTTTGCTTCGTTTACTGACCAAGCCAAACAAGCTCTGCAAGCGCACGATACGAAGCGGTTTGCTGAGCTCATGACGGCCAACTTTGAGCTACGTCGTCAGATCTACGGCGATGATGTGATAGGAAAGACAAATCTGAGAATGGTGGAATTAGCAAGACAGCATCACTGTGCGGCCAAGTTTCCGGGCAGTGGTGGAGCGGTTGTAGGCATGTATGCCGGTGAACCGCAGCATGAACAGAAGCGTTTGTTGAATTTACGTAGAGCATTAGAGGATGAAGGATATGTATTTATGGAGATCCAACCCAAGGAATACTAGAGGGGGGGGAAATAAAGCTTTCTCTATCTATTCAAGCAGGGCTTTCTTCCTGCATGGCTTTCTTTAAAAGTATTTCCAGGAGATGGCCTTCTCATGACATTTTTCCATTGCTGATGATGCTTTTTTATTTGTCTCAATGGGTCCATATTTTACAAAAAAAAAAAAAAAAGAAAAGAAAAAATAGACTATAGTACAGTGAATTGCATGTTTCTAAAGTGTCATTGGAAGATACAGGTCTATACAACACTTTTTTCGGGTGGATTGACTTGTCTCACATTGAGATTGATACGTGCTGTGCTCATGTAATCGCCATAAAGTTTCCAATCGGGCGCGTCATCGTAGGATTGCTGATTGGAAAGGTACGGTGGTAATGTATTCTCAATGATGAGAGGAACACCTAACATTGTTTTAAAAGGGGGTTAGCCACGCTCCTCTGGTTTTTTGTCTCTCTTCTGCACTTACCATGGAAAGCCTTTCTGCTCGGACCTGTCATGACGACCATATCGCCACTTCTCAGTAGTAAGGGTACAGGAACGGTATCTCTCGTGGGTCCACCAATGACATAGATGCAATCATGTCCAAGACTAACAGAGATCGTTTTCAGTCATGGGGGCAAAAAAAAAAATAAAATCAAGCGTCACACAGCTTTTCGAGATCTTACCTGATAGAGACTAAGGGAGCGTCCATGTTGAGCTCACTACGATCCACATGTCCCATTAATGTATCCCTAAACTGATAATAGTTCACCACACCTGCTTCTGCCTCAAAATCGCTTCCTTTATATGTATTTCTCCATTCGTCTGTGCCGTCTTCCTTTTTGCCACCGACGTTTTCACAAGCTGTCACAACGGCCTTTGTAATCTCTGCAATCTCGGGTGGGAAAGGGTATCGACGGTCTAGATGATAGGTCTTTGTGGGCCAATGGTATTGGTAACCTAGGGTGATCCAACGTATTTTGCGTACGAGAACAGAGGGAGGCAGCAAGGGAACACCAGGAGCTGGCAGAGGATCTGGTTTAGGACCGTCAATGATAGGTTTAAAGTCGTCTGAGCAAGCCGTCGGTGCGTTCATGGCACACGTGTTGTTGTTGTTGTTGTTGTTTGTTTTGTCATGTTCATGTTCGTCGTCAGAAGAGGTGTCATCATCGTGATGGTCGTCCTCACTGTCGACCACGGCCTTTTTGGCAACATAAAATTGAGGATCGGAAGGCTTTAATGTGCCTTTGACTTGTTTTTCAAAGAGGGGCCATATGCCTTCCTCAGGCACATGATAATGTGTATGTAAATTCGATGTATTGGGTGCTCTAGGATAATTCCTTAGGCATTCTTTAATAAGATGACGTTGCGCTTTCGGTGTAAAAGCTTGTGGTATAATGATGAGTCCTGGCACACTCTTAATGATATAGGCTTGTGCTGCTGATGGATCGTCGTTGGTGCAGGGTTCGTTGTCATTAGCTGGGTCGCCAAAGAGGGGCGACAACTGCTTGAGATCTTGTGACAAAGAGACGGCTGTCACACCTTGCTCAGCAAAGTTGATGCCTTTACTGAAATCGACAACTTGACTGAAATCGGGTGGAGGAACAATCGATTTGAAATTGCGTTCCATGTAACGAAATGGTGTCTGATTGACGTATGTTTTAGCATTTTTTTTTTTCTCTTCCAGATCCTTTCGCTGCTTTTCCCATATTTTCTTTTGACGGTTAGAAGTGAATGTAGGTGCCATCTTGTCAAAGCTCCAACAGATAAAGATAGATAATGACAAAAAAGATAAATTATGTGTGTTTCAATTTTTTCCTCTTCTTTTTTTTTTTTTTTGGTTTTTTTTTTTTTCGGCAGATGGTCCTTACGGTGATCCCAGGTTTATCCTAAGAATGAAAAAAAAAAAAAAAAAAGAAAAAAAGAAAAGTGTACAAGTAACACTGTATGCTAGTCAATGCCATCTTTTGATGATGGTTTAAATGATTGTATATTTTCTGAAAAGGTGTGTTGAATGATATGCTTTTGTTGTATAGGATGGGGAGGGGGGATCTACAAGAAATTATAACTATAGAATGCAATTTTGAGAACCAGTGCAAAAACGGTATGCGCCAACAAGATCACCAACAGTAAGATACGCGATATTTTGGCCTCTGCTCTGGATATCACAAGATAGAGGTTTTTCACAAGGAAAATCGCCGTGATCAACCAGGCAACACCCACAAAAGACCATCTCGCATAATCATAGGGGATGATACACAGCAACTAGATAATAAAGCAGTAGAGGGGTCTTGGTTAGATACCACCCTTTTTTACTCTTTCCCCAATCTCGGTGATACTTTACCGATACAGGTATCCAAATGGTCAATCCATAACCATAATAGTTGATAATTTCCAACAGGTTCGGGTCGCATTTAAACCACTTGGTGCAGGCCCAGAAGACCACGGGACATAAAAAGGCATAGAGATAAACGACACCTACTGAAAAGCCTAATAAATTAAAGTCGTAAAAGAACTCTCTGTCTGCAATATAGGCGGCTAAGGAGCCTGCCAGTGAGGAGCATACAAAGACGGTAAAGACAACTGAAGTGGGAATCCAAAAGGGACCATAGAGGTCGGGCTGATGGTTGAGTGTGTCTTGAGCGAAATCGCCTCGAGGGTACATGGACTTGAGACATCGCTCCAAGACCTGAGTCGTGTCTACGTCAAAGAATTGAGAGTAAAAGTCAAGAGACCAAAGAGGCCGTTTCGCACGAGGCGATGCGTCGTTGTAAAAGTTGCTGTTGCTCATGTTATGTTGTGCTGATGTTGAGGGAGGAGGAGGAGGAGGAGGAGGAGGAGGAGAAGTATGAGACGGTGAATTGTCTAGCATGAGAGTGTACAAAATCCACACGTCCGTTAGTATAGGCAATGCAGAGGTTCATTTCAATGGTAGACTAGTTACAGGATGGGTTGTAATGTTGGCTAGAAGAAAAATCTATCAAGAAGAGATGGCGTGATGAGAGAGGAGATGCTTCTGTTGATGGCCAAAGTTTGCCATACCTTGAAATTCTAATCCATCACTTTCAATGGTGGCTGGCTAATAAGAGATGGGGTTAGCTGTTGTTTCTTATACATTCAGAGGTAGACGAGATGGAATCGAACCTGTGAATAGGCATTGTCTTGCCCCATGTCCACAAGCACGTTGTAACTATTGTTCTTTGTCATGCTTTTTTTTGGCAGTGATTATTGATATGAAATGGGATAATTTTCTCGAGTTTTAAAAAAAAGTTCATGGAGAGCGGATCTTCAATAGGAACATTCCGCCATTCATCTGCTTGAACGCTTATAAAAGAGCTCCTCACTGCCCCCGCAAGCCCTTGATGCAACTCCATTATGTGTCATCCACTGGCCCAATGGAAAGTGAGAGATGAGGACATGTTATGGAAAAAGGGTGATGACCTTTCTGTATCGGGTTGTGGGCGCCTTGGTTCGGTGTCGGAAGTCGGAGGTGGGTGATGGTGGTGAAAGAGGGGGGCGTCATTTTGCTTTAGTGCATCTTTTTCTCACTCTCTGTGTATCATTGCGTGTCTAGTAGCACTCATTCTCTTTCTTGGGTTTTGTCTCTTTTTTTTTTTTCTCCTTTCTTTTGTCTTTTATACATTGTATTTTTGCAATTGGAGTATTTTTATATACTTGATAGATCCGCCTACAGCCATTCTAGACAAAGCCCGTATAATATAATTTATTTTTTTCTTTTGTTTGCTGCATAAACCAGGAAAAAAAAAAATCAAAAAAAATCACCCATTTTCCTTTTGCACGCTTCTTTTATTTTTATTTTCCTCCTTTTTACTGTCGTTGTTTTTTGCATAAGAAACACACTCTGTGCTCATGACACCCATTTCAACCACCACGTCTTCAACCAGCCACCGTCAGGACCATTGGCAACTGTCGGAGGACGGTCAATATTGGATTTTTACTCAACCTTTAGAAAAGTCGGATAATGACGATCGTGTTTATAGACTCATCAAGTTGGCTTCCAACGATCTGGAAGTATTGCTCGTGCACGATAAGGATACGGACAAATCCAGTGCAGCTTTAGACGTGCATGTGGGTCATATTAGTGATCCTGTAAGTTGGCTAGAAAAAAAAATTATTTTTTTTTGGCTTTTTGCACTTATTCTCTTTCTTATTTTTTTTTGGCTTTTTGCACTTATTCTCTTTCTCTCTTGTTTAGCATGACTTACAAGGCTTGGCTCATTTCTGTGAACATTTACTCTTTATGGGAACTGAAAAGTATCCTAAAGAAAATGACTACAATCAGTTTTTAGCAGAACATTCTGGTTTTTCAAATGCGTTTACCGGTGTGGAAGACACGAACTATTACTTTGAAGTGGATCAAGCTTATTTGGAAGGCGCATTGGATCGATTTGCCCAGTTTTTCATTTCACCTTTGTTCTCTGACAGTTGTACAGAAAGAGAACTAAAGGCTGTGGATTCAGGTAACGAGATGAGAAAAGAGAGAGAGAGAGAGAGAGAGAGAGCCTAGTGAACTCAACCTCCCGTTGTTGTAGAACATAAAAAGAATCGTCAGCAAGATAGTTGGCGCATGTTTCAACTAGAGAAATCTCTGAGCAATCCCAACCATCCTTACTGTCATTTTGGTACGGGCAATCTAGAGACATTATACGAAAATCCCAAAAAGAGTGGACAGGACATCCGACAAGAATTGTTGAAATTCCATGACACGTATTACTCTGCCAACATTATGAAGCTTTGTATTCTCGGAAGAGGTAGAGTGATCCATGCTATGAAGATTTTATAAGGGCTCAAGCTCACCTATGATTATGATTCTTCCCCCCCTGTAGAATCCTTGGATCAGTTGACGGAATGGACTGTATCCAAGTTTAATGCTGTTCGTAACAAGGATATTCAGCCACCTAGTTTCCCAGGTCATCCACTCACCAAAAACGAATTGATGGTAAAAGTGTACCCCTTTGTTTTTTTTTTGTTTTTTTTTCTCAAAACTGATTTGTGATTCGTTGCACAAAGAGAGAGATCTAACGCAACCATTTTTTTTTTTTTTCTTTTGATACACAATAGAAACAAATATTTGTAAAGCCTGTCAAAGATGTACGTTCATTGGAAATGACGTTTCCTTTCCCAGACCAACGACCTCTTTATGCAGTTCAGGTAAAATGAGACATAGCATAGGGTTCAATGGATCTCGATCGGTATCTCATCGTGCTGGTTTTTTTTTGTTTTTTCTTTAGCCTGGTCGATATCTTTCTCATCTGATAGGTCACGAGGGCCGTGGCTCTATTTTATCCTTGTTGAAAAAGCATGGTTGGGCTAATTATCTTCAAGTAGGCACGATTCATGGCGGTATTGGATTTGAATTCATGAGGATCAGTGTCGATTTAACGCAACAAGGCTTAGGTAAGGGGGGAGGTGCAAAACCGATGATGACATAGGAGGGGCAGCGATGAAGTAACCCCTTTTTGTTTGTTCCACACACTAGCGCATTATCGAGAGGTCATTCAAATCATTTTCGAATACATTCACTTGCTCAAAAAAGACGGTGTTCAAGCGCGTATTTTTGAAGAGGTCCAGTCGTTGGCTTCTTTAGCCTTCCGTTTCAAAGAAAAATACCCGCCTTCTCAGTATACGTCTCGACTGGCAGGATTGATGCAGCATGGCTATCCTGAAGTGTCTGTCTTGAGTGGACCCAGCCTCATTCGTCATTATGATCCAGAGCTGATCAAGGAGAATCTAGACTACCTTTGTCCTGACAATTTCCGCATCATGTTGGCCAGTCAGACGCCACCGAATGGGATTGAATTTACACAACGAGAGAAATGGTATGGTACAGAATACAATGTCGTTGATTTTGACGAGGATTTGATCAAAGTAAGTTTCTATGGCAAGAGGGAGGGGGTTGGGGGTGGGGACGATCGAGAGAGAGAGCGAGCGAGCGAGTCATCTAAGCTAACATCATCTCCTTCATCATTGGTGGTTGGCGGGGGCCAGTCGCTGCAAAATATAAAAGAGAATCCCTCGTTGGCTTTCCCTGAACCCAATACGTTTATTCCCGAAAACTTTGAGACGTTTAAAAAAGAGGTGACAGAGCCTCAACGTCGGCCGGATCTGATTGAAGAGACGGACGTCCTTCGTCTGTGGCACAAGAAAGACGACACGTTCTGGGTGCCGCGCGCGAATGTGTGGATTACGCTGCAGTCGCCGCTGGCGTATGCGACACCCGCCAACTGCGTGAAAACGCGTCTGTACGCTGATTTACTGACGGATGCGTTGAATGAATATGCGTACGACGCTGAAGTAGCGGGGCTGTCTTACAACATTGAAAACCAGTTGGACGGTCTCTTGCTCGCGATGGGGGGCTACAATGACAAGCTGCCGATTTTGCTCGAGCGCGTCGTCTCTAAAATGCGCGATTTCACGGTGGATGCTGAGCGCTTCCAGCTGATCAAAGACCAACTGTGTCGATCGTACAAGAACTTTGCTCTGGAGCCGCCTTACCAACATGCGTTGTATTACCTGTCGTATCTCACGCAAGACAAAATGTGGACGAATGCGGAAAAGCTGCAGGAACTCGAGAGCATCACAGCAGAGGACATCCAAGCGTTCTATCCGACCGTGTTGGCGCAGCTCCACGTGGAAGCGCTGGTGCATGGCAATGTCGTGAAGGAAGAGGCGCAGCGGATGCTGCGTCAGGTGATCGCGATCTTGCAGCCCAAGCCTCTGTTGCCCCATCAACGCGTCCGTCACCACAGTCTGCTGCTTCCGCACGGATCGAAATACGTGTACCATCGCGAAGTGGAAGATCCTCACAACGTCAACTCGGGCATCGAGTACCTGATCCAAGTCGGTAACGTCACGCAAACGACGTTACGCGCTCAATTGAGCTTGTTGGCCCAGATTGCGCAGGAACCGTGTTTTGATCAGTTGCGTACCAAGGAGCAATTGGGCTATCTTGTCTTTAGTGGTGTCCGTAAACAGACGGGATCCATGGGCCTCCGTTTCATTCTGCAGAGTGAACGCGACACGGTCTATCTAGAAAACCGCATTGAAGCGTTCTTGACCAAGCTCCGACAGCTGGTGGAGAACATGTCTGAAAAGGAATACCAGGCTCAAGTGCGATCGCTCGTCAATAAAAAGCTGGAGAAAAACAAGAATCTCGGACAAGAGGGTGGCAAGTACTGGACGCATATCCATTCAGGCTATTATGAATTTGATCAGATTGAAAAGGATATCAAGGAATTGAACGAGATCACAAAGGAGGACATTTTAGAATTCATCAAGGAATATGTGGATCCTGCCTCTCCCCGCGTCCGTAAATTATCCGTTCATATTCAGTCGCAAAAGACAAAAGCGAGTAGCCCTGCTTCTGCTTCTGCTGCTGATTCTGCTTCTGCTTCTGCTTCTGCTGCTCCTAGAAAGGCCAAGGAAAAAAAATACAAGGTCTCGATTGAATCGTTACATACGTGTTTGGTGTCTCAAGGGGTGACGCGTTTGAGTATTGAAGATGTTCGATCCGCTGTAGAAAAAGGAGACGCTGGAGAAGCCTCCATTGAAGCCAACCTTCGTACCTTGTTGGCGGATGAAAGCCAAGCCGACGAAGAAGCCATTGAAGCCTGCATGGCCAAGTTGATGTCGATCATGCGAGAATCATCGGAAGGTGCGGATGGTGCTTATGTCTCCGTGGACAGTCAAAAGACGGCGAGAAGATTATCGATGGTCCAGCCTACAGAATCCATGACAGCCACGACCCAAGCCGTCGATCATACGCAACTCCCTGCCGGTAACATCATGATTACCAACGTGACTGAATTCAAGAGTAGCATGGAGTTGAGCCCTGCCGCTGTCCCCTTGATTGATCTTGATTCTTGTACCATTTAACGTAATCATCCCCCCTCCTATGTATATATAGATCTTTGACAACCCTCCTCTTTTTATGTTATGCTTGGTTCTCGTCTCTTTAGCTAGCTCGCTTTTCATCCATCACCAATAAAAAAATGAATCTATTTGCATCCTATTTCAATGAGGGATCTTCGTTGGGCTAGCTCAGCCAACAAAACCGACATAACACTCCATTTTTTTTTTTTTTTTTGCTCAGCATTGTCCATTTCAAAAGTGCCAAGTAAAAATAGACATGATGTCATGGGCTTTTTCTTTTTTCCAATTTAGACAACAAAAGAATTGGTCCTAGCCACACCCAATCATTCCAACAAAAAAGTAATGTCGATCCCCTGTTGTTGTGTAGTCAAGACCCTTGATAGCATCCAAAAAGAATAAAGTATAACAGTTTTAAGGTTGGATGAAAATCAAAAAAAAAAGCGCGCACAGACCACTTTTTTTTTCTTTTTTTTTTCCTCCCGTAAAGGATAGATAGCCTGTATCGTCTTTCGACAATAGAGATCGATGCTTTGAAAAAAAGCTGAGGCTGATTTTCCACCGACAACCCTCCATTAGCATGATGTCATACAGGTTCATGTCAACATAAAGCGGATTCAAAGGCACGTTTCGATCTTTGTTGCGGTGGTGTCAGGATGGCTCCCACTCGTGAGCACAGGATGATCTGATGGGGGCTTATCGTATCCATAGAAACGGGATCGACGCATAAAATCGAATTCGTTCTCGGGGTGTGGAAGTGACACCGAAAACATTTTTCAACAAAAAGAAAACCAGGAAAACATCCATGTTTTCGAGAGTCAACCCAATTTGCTGCCCTTCCCCCCCCCAAAAAAAAACATCGAATACGCTTGTGACTTTTTTTTTCCCCTTGCAACCATCGACGTCTCTATGCCAAGGAAAGACTCTGAAAAATAGCTGGAGAAATGGGTATCTTTTTGGATCTCTCGCTGTATTCCGAGGGAAGAAAACAAGGGTCGCGTGTACGCGTTTCTTGGTCAACAAAAAGCCTGTCTCCTTTCTCTTTGTGCCCTTGTCCATGTCACGGAATGGGAACAAAAAAGCAAAGAGTCATTTCTGTAGACTGTGCAGTGTTTTCTATTACTGATTGTCCGTGATAACCCTTCAGTTGTTTTCCGGATATTTTCTTTTACCACTCCTTCCCAAATCAAATAAAAATTGGGGCTCCCTTTTTCGTTTTTTTTGATCCAATCGCCGTCTTTCCATTTTTGCTACTTGGTCAAAATGAAAAAAAAACAAAACGGAGCTTGTGATAACCACTTTTTAAACTCCAAACGAAAAAAAAAAAAAGCTGAAAAATGGGATGTGCATTGATTTCAACGAATTTAGAAAGATTTTTTTTTTATTTCTTTTTTCTTTTTTTTTTTTTTTTTTTTTTGTTTTTATTAATATACTCTGGCTTACACAAGAAAAAAAAAAACTTCCATTATACAACAGTACTAGTTTGAACTATGTCTGACCCGCTTCATATAAAAGACGATACTGTAAGGTTGATCAGAAACAAGAAGTGTAGAGGAATGGATTACTAAAAGGCAATGCTTAGCTTGTGAGTACTGTACTGCAGCACATTGGACAGGAAAAAAATTGGTCGTCTCAAGATGTTGAAAAAGACCTCGAAGTGCTCAACAGAAACAGACTCTTTTATATTCGTGATTTAAAGTCGTTATCCGGTGACAGCTGGAACGTAAGTTTTTTTTTGCTTTTTTTGTTGCTTGCCCTCGCTTTCTATAGGCTTTTTGTCCAGTTATTTGACTCACACCTCTTTATCTACAGCAAATCGAGTTATTGCCGCTGGTAAAAGACCTGCTAAGAAATGCTATTGATCCTTGTTGGCCACCTAAATGTAAACATACTAAGCATAAAAAAGAGCGCAGAAAAAAAGTATAAAGTTTCCCTTTTTTATTAATTTTATCTTCCGTTTCTTTTTTTTTTTTTTTTTTTGTGCTTTTTTCTTTTTTTGTTGACATATAAAAATCGACGTTTGTTTTCCCCTTGCACCACCTACGCTATCCATTTTGTTGACGCCATGACAGGTTATGACGAGAGTGATGCAGACGAAGGTACACTATCCATGGATTCATCCTCCGAAGAAGAAGACGACGACTACGATAACATCCTCATCAACAACAACAACAACAGCCACGAGGGTCAAGTGGCCGTAGGAGACGAAGGCAAAAAGAAGAAAAAGGACAAAAAGTCCAAGGACAAAAAAACCAAGGACAAAAAAGACAAAAAGAAAAAGAGTGGCAACGACAACAACGAAAAGGAGAAAAAGAAGGATAAAAAGAAAAACAAGGAAAAGAAACAAAAGCAGTTCATCAGTCCATCGCCTTTGGGTACACCGGTGGTTCCTACTGTCCTTAGACCACCACCCCCTTCGCTGGCTCCTGTTACCATCAGCACGGGTCAACCACCCCAACAGCAGCAGCAGCAGCAGCAGCCATCACCACTGTCTTACCCATCACAAGATAACGAGGAAGACAGAGAACATTTAACCATTAAAAATACCATTTTGAATGGTGTCACGTCAGCGCATTCGGATGACGAAGAAATTATTGTCTCTCCTACGACAGGTCGTCGGAAGAGCGTCAGTTTCTCTGAACAAACCTCGACGATTGGCTACAGTAATGGTGATCAACCTTTGGAAAAGCGAAAAAAGAAAGACAAAAAGAAAAAGGACAAGGAAAAGAAAAAGGATAAAATGACCTACAGTAGTAGTAGTAGTAGTAGTAGTAGTGGTAGTGGCAGTGGTAGTGGTGGTAGTGGTAGTTGTAGTAGTAGTAGTAGTGACAGCAGCAGTCTGGACGCCCACGACGACAAAGATAACAGCTCCTCCTCTATGCCAGCCACTGCAGCCGATTTGATGATGGCAAGTATCAACAATAAATACAGTGGTTTTCGCGGTTCGTTGAGTTATCCTTATAATACAAGTTGTTATTACCCTCCAATAGTGAAATTCAGGAAACTGAAAACAAAACATTGTAAACGACTACCGCCTGTTCCTTCAAACGATCCATTTTTACAAGGCATTCACGATAAATTATTATTAGCACAGCAGCAACAACAACAACAACAACAACAACAACAACAACAGCAACAAAAGCAGCAACATAGTCATGATAGGATGGACATAGATCATCATGATGATTTTTTAAAACAGCCCTCCAGGACCTTAAAGAATAAGCGTAGTAGTAGTATTAGTGGCGGTGCTCATCCTAGTCCGCCCGTGAAAAGGGTTACCTTTGAATAATGCCACCACCTCGTGATGAGGATCCCTATTTATTATTTTTTTACCTTTATTCTTTCTTGGTTTTGTTCCAAAACTATATATCACTTTCATTTCATTTTTGATGCTCATTTATTTTCAATTTTTTGATTGCTTTTGTTTGACTTTTTTTGTTTGACTTTTTTTTGTTTTGTTTATAATTTTGTACATGTCCCAAATCATTAAAAAAGATACTTTTTTTTATATCTCTTTTCTTTTTTCTTTTTTTTTTATTTGAGTTTCCGCATTTCAAATCATGACACCAATGACAACCAATGTAAGCCATGACAACCCCTTCGTTTTGATGGTATGATTTTCTTATGTCATCCTCCTTCATAGACATGTTTACTGTCTTCAGAATGGTTATCCCAAACGGAAAATGTTGGGTGTGGTAAATTACTTTTTTTTTTTTTTTAATTTCCGGTCATGCAAAAGCGATTACTCCGTACTAAAGTCAAAAAGGACATGTTGCATGCGTTAGTTTCGTTAAAAGACCTCGTTTATCATGTAATAAAGGAAGAAGAGACATAGTGAATACTGGCGGATGACTAAAGCAACGCGTTTACAACCGTGATAGGAAGATTTAGTATCCATGGTTCAGTTCAATTTCATGATTGACCTGGACTTTTTAACGTCTCACATGCATCCAGCCGTCATTATCAAGCAAATTCCTATTGTCGTTATACACGGTTTAAGAGAATCTGCACCTATTTTAAAAGTAAGTCGGTTTTTTTTTTTTTCTTCCCCCCGCATTTTCTTTTGCCCTTGGTTCTCTCAACAAAAAAAACATGGATAGGAACAAGCAAAACAATACCCAAATGTAAAAGTAGCCACGCCATTTATGAGGGATAAATTTGGTAACCGCGCAAACGACCACTGCCATCGCCTTGCGTTTTTCTATATTAACCCACCCATCTCTACAGGGACTCACCACACAAAAGTAAGCAAAAAAAAAAAAAAAAAAGCAAGGGGAGGATGAAATACACACACACACACACACACACACCCTCTCTGTGCTCATGCGTTCATCTCTCGACAGGCCATGATTTTATTCTTTCGTGATGTACAGACGGGTGTGGAGACGGCCCAGATCGTCATCATGACCGCCAATATGGTAGAAGCAGATTGGAAGTGAGTGCCCTCTCTTCGGATAAGAAACACAGGATGTGGGATGCCACATTGTTTAAAACTCCTACCTTCTATGATTGATTAGGACAATGACTCAAGGTGTGTACCGAACGCCTCGCTGTTGCTTGAAGCAACCCATCGCTTCTTCTCCAAGCATCCATGCTACAACCACGCATGCCCCCTCCCCCTCCCCCTCTGCCTCTGCCTCCGCCACGAGCACCAGCACCAGCACCAGCACCAGCACGAGCACGAGCACCGCAACGACACGTACATCCGCCTTTGAAAAAGACTGGATCCACTACTTGCAAGCCTACCGACTCCCTCTTCTCCTGCCTATCATCACGAAACTACAGCTCTTTGATTGGTCCCCTTGCAAAGCTGTCCTCATTGCCTCTGTGCCTGGATACCATCGTCAACGTTCGTTTGCAGATTGGGGCCTTGAAAGACTGGCGTCCGTACTGAGAAAGCATGTCCGTGTCCCCACCACAGCGGCGCCCACTTCCCATCAGATCATCCTCCAATGCTCCAGTATGCCTCATTCTCCCGAACGCTGGTTCAAACACGATGTCTGTGAAGCCATGTCTGAACTCAAAAACAAACACAGCACCCTTTTCCCCATGAAACCACCAAAGATAGCCGTGATCTATCCTACCCTCGCCACCGCAGACCACAGTTTGACCGGCCTGGACATGAGCGGCGGTTTCTTGCGATTCGATGCTTCCTCCTACGACAAAAACCACACATGGCTCGATCCCTACCTCTATGACTGGAAGAGCGAACGCGCCGGTCGTGCCACCCTCATGCCTCACATCAAAACCTATACGCGTGTGTATCAACAACGCCGTGGCGCCAAGCGACCCGACAAGGACAGTAGTGCTCCTCCTTTTTATATCGCCTGGCATCTGCTGACCTCGGCCAACCTGAGCCGAGCCGCCTGGGGTGAATATCAAAAAAATAAATCGCAGATTTACGTGAAAAGCTTTGAATGTGGTGTCTTGTTTTATCCTGCCTTATGGGAGGAGGACAACGACAACAAAGACACACGTGAGGTCATCATGGTACCCGCTTGGCGAGAGGACCTAGCACGCATGTCTGATGCCAACGAGGAGGAGGAGGAGGAGGAAGAAGAAGAAGAAACAGACGTGAAAAAAGTGCATGTTTGTTTGCCGTTTGATTTGCCTCTGGTGCATCATCCGGGTCCTCGACAATGTTTTACACGTCGAGCAGAATAAAATTCAATTCCCTCATAGAAGGCTACGCGGGCCATGGCCCTCTTTTTATTGTGTTGACTTTTATTAATCTCTCTAGAAGCCGTGGACAGGGTAGGGTATAGAACAAAGGGGATGCCATAGGATCCTACACTTAGTTTTTCTTTTTCTTTTTCTTATTCGCACGTTCAGACAAATACATTGATAAAAAGTCGCCTTGAGGACCGATCTTTTTCTTGCCAGCGGCTGTTGTTGTTGCTGCTGTTGCTGCTGCTGCTGCTGCTGTTGTTGTTGTTGTTGTTGTTGTTGTTGTTGTTGTTGTTGTTGTTGGTAGTGTCTTTTTCTTGCTGTTTTTGCTCACCGTGTTGGTTCTCGACTCTTCCTCATCGTCCTCATCGCTATCGTCCTCATCGCCAAGTCTTGTTCGTTTTCCAACAGGCACAGGGCTATCTCGATGGGATCGACTATTCTGACGCAATATCTTGTTCTTCAACATCATTTCTTGTTTCGTGGACACTCGACTACTACTACTACTACTACTCTTGTCATTCTCACTACTGCCATGGTGATGTCGCATGGCTTCCTTGTGGGATATGAACTTGGCACCCAAACCAAGTCTATGGTTTTTTGCTTTTTTAAAAGAGGGAAAGAGGCGTGCTTTTTACGATGATCTTTTGGGCTTACATTTACCTATCCGGTCTTCCAGTAGAATAACTCGCAAGAATAGACTCGTTCACTTCCTCATCGTCACCTGATGCATCTCCCAACGACGATGAACCTAACCAAGAATGTACCTTCGATCGTGCCATACTGATCGAAGCATCGATCTGTGTCTTGATTTTTTCATTCTGTTCCAGTATCCGTTTCTGCTCTTCTTTTTGATGTTGACTCGCCATCGTTCTAATTATAAAATCAAACAACCCGTAAAAAAAAAAAAGGGGAAAATTTTTCTTGGAGACGGAAAAAACATTTTTATTTTAATGCAGCTGCATGATGTTGAATATGGTCTGCTATAAAAGTAGCAATGAAAAAGTAACTATGGTCATAACCTTCTTGATAACGAATCTTCCATTGCTTTTCCACATTCAATTCCTTGGTGACGCGCTCCAAATGGTCAATCAGCAATTCCTTTTCTAAAAACCCATCGGCTGTGCCTACATCAATAAGGACATTCTGCTGCTGCAGCTGGGTTGGCTTTTTCTTTAGCAACTCTACTGTATCGTATTCTTTCCAAGCTTCCTTGTCATTCGCATCTAAATAATTGGAAAACGCCTTTTGACCCCAAGGACATTGCGTAGGATGCGCAATCGGTGACAATGCAGAGACGGATCGGTACTTTTCCGGATTCTTTAAATAAATAGTCAAAGCGCCATGACCCCCCTAAAAAGTCATACACGTTTGTTAGTAAAAACAAAAAAAGGCCCTCTTGCTGCTTTTTATACCCTACCATGGAATGTCCCATGATGGACACGCGTGTTTCATCCTAAGAAAGAAAGAAAAAAGACATGATCCGTTGTCAGTGTGGCTCTTTTCCATCCCCTGACACCTTCTTTTGGAACGGAACGCTTTTTACGATAGGAAGTTCTTTATAAATCAAAGCTGGTAATTCCTTCACTACATAAGAATACATGCGATAGTGTTTGGCCCATTTGGGATGGGTCGCATCCAAGTAAAATCCTGCTCCTGTACCGAAATCCCAACTGTCCTCATCCCCTTCAATAGGAACACCACCTAAAAAGAGAGAGGGACGGGGAAACTGTCAAAATGCTCACGTCCATACAACAACAAAAGCCATGACACAAGGGAAACTTACGTGGCGAAGTGTCAGGCATAATCAAGGCAATACCGTGCTTGGCTGCTTCTGCCATAGCACCACTCTTTTGAGTAAAATTGTCTTCTGTACACGTCAACCCTGACAAAAAGTAAATGGCAGGCACTTTTTGTGGTGCGGAACAAGACAAAGCTTCGGCAGGTAAAAAGACGTTGAACTTGATGGTACATTGAAGTTCTTGAGAAACATGTTCGTATTTAACGACATGACCGTTAAAGCACTTGTTTTTTGAAATCTCTTTCAATGCCATGTTCAGTGGTGTTTTGGGTGTGTGACGAAAGCAAAAAGAGAGAGCTCTTTTGCTTTTTTCCCTGAAAGAATAAAGTAACGCCAAACTCCGCCTCCCTCCACAAAGAAACATGCATGTACCTTGGGCTTCTTTGATGGATGAAAGCAATGGGCCCTTTAGGATACAAAAAGCAGTCTTTCTTGTAAAAAAGCTAGGAATGCAGATCATGTTGAATCAAGGAAAATTTGAAAATCAAAAGAATGAAATGTCTCTCTATCTGTACTATGTGTTCTTTTCACCTTTGGGAACCAGTCAATGAAAAAGACTGCTTATTGAACAGCCCTCGTTGGGCCATGGAGTGGGGATCATTGGATAAAATAGCGCGCCCTCTTCCCTGAAACCTGACTGTAATCTATTTCAATTTCCATTTCTAGTAATTATAGCGGGGCTTCTTTTTTTTTCTTTTTCTTTTCTATTCCAAACCATAAAAAAATGACTACGAGTAAAGCGACCTTACCATCACTGGAAAAGGTCGATACCTCTACCGATACCACTGCAACAACAGGTATTCGACCTCTCGATGCACAGTTACAACAACAACAACAACAACAGCATGGTCAACAACAACGAGAATCATACCATGGTCTACAACCCCATCAGATGGTGTTTTCCATTCTGTACGTCATGACCCCTTTGGTCGCTGTCATCTATGCTCTCTTGGGCGATCCACCCCGATCGTACTTTAGCAGCAAACACAACATCTTTAATCAATATTTTGTGAAAATCGGTTGGTTTTGGGTGACACTCGCTTACTTTGCCTACTTGTGGATCGTTCCCTTCCAACGCAGCCCACCCGCCCGCAAAAGACAAGTCCTCACGAGCGGTCTCTTACGTTATGTCTTTGTCACCGCTTACTGGTACGCGATGACCCAGTGGCTGTTGGGCCCTAGTCTCATCGATCGTGTCTTTGTGTGGACAGGCGGTCGTTGCATGTCTCTTTTACAGGATGTGGAACACGCCGCCAAGTTGAATGCCGTCTCCCATCCCCATGTCTGCCGGAACTTGGGAGGCCGATGGACGGGCGGTCATGATGTGTCAGGCCACTGTGTCCTCTTGATCCATGCGAGCCTATTTTTATGGGAAGAGTTGAGCTGGCTGTTTTATGATGCCAGACCTTTCTTGCAATGGAAAAGACAGACAGAAAATAGAGCCTCTTATTTTGTTGTGCTTGGTAACTTGGCTCTCCTCGCCTTATGGTGGTGGATGCTGTTGATGACAGGTGTGTATTTCCACGGAAGAATGGAAATTGTATCTGGCATTCTCTTTGGCATCTTGGGTTGGGTTATTTTGGTAAGTCGTGCAAAGAAGAAAGGCTGAATTAAAAAACGCAACAGCTAACGAACGACCCTCTATCAGTATCTTGGTTTATTCCCTAGAGTGTCCTTCTTTGGACTCCTACGTCCTGCTACCAGGACGACCATGGTGGCGTAAACGCGGAGAGGGTCTTGCGACATTCACCCTCCAAAGACGAGGTAGACTAGAACCTTTGTGTATGAAACGAAGTCACATGTGTACACTATTTTGTATATTCCCCAAACGTGTGTGTAATAAAACAATACTTTTTACAGAAAGAATAAAAACAGCGAGACGGGAAACATCCCCTTAGGAACGAAATAACAATCGCTGAGTACTATCTTGACAGTACAATTTATTCATGTTGTCTTTTTAAAAAGTAGAGATAGGCCTCAGACATAGGTGGCGTTGGGCTAACAGCGACTTTGGTGTCGTTGAACAAAACCCATTCGCCCTCTTTATAGACATGCGCTACATAGTGGCCGCAATGGACAGAAGTGCCTTTGTGTGACACAAACGAATCCAATGCATAATGGAAAGGCGGTGTTGCATCTACACAAAGATAAGGTTTAGATACAGCGTGATGCAGATGCGTTAAAGTTAAAAAACTTACCGCCCAACGGAGCATGACCACCACTGCTGTTGTTTCCAGTAGGGACGGTGTCATCCTCTCCCATCTCCTCAGGGTGACTAAATAACCATTCCACAGCCCTTTCCGTATTGTTATTCTATATGGAACCCAAAAAGAACCCCATCAGAAAAACAATTTCGTCTTGATTTTGTCCTCTTGTGCTTACCGTTTCGCGAAGAGCCTTCTTGGCTTGTGCTAGAGTAAATCCCATGTCCTGTAACATCGTGATCTGAGTTTCATCTGCTTCTGTAGTAGGCGCTGTTCCTGCTCCACCTTGTGATGGTAAAGGATCATCCACATCTATAAAAGAAATCTCGGATTTGTTTAGCAGGCATGCTTCTTTTTAATCCATTCGTCTTTATCCATTTCAATTCACCTGGGTCTTCCATATGCTCAAATATCCAATTCATGGCCATGTCTGCCCCCCTATGTCCAGTATTGAGTAAGGCGCGCTTACATCGATTTTCTGAAAAGCCCATCATCAGCAACTGGTCTAAATCAGCCTGGTTGAATGCAGGTTCGGCTGTGGCTGCCTCGGTCATTGTTTCGTCATCCGGTAAGAGTTCTTCATCCGGTTGTTGGCCTTGGCTTAGATACTTGTCCAGCTGGATCGGCTGGCTTCTATCCGGAAAGAGAATAGGAATATCTGAAACAGATATCGTTCGTCAGTACATGCTGTGTCGAGGGAGGACTCGTTTTCTACTTACTCAATTTTTGAGGAACCCAATCCATAAACGCAAATCGACGAGGATTCATCACCAGTATCTCTGGGAACGTACTGAATTTGACCGATCTGTGCATGGGTAGAAAAAAGGGGGGGGGCGGGTCAGCATGAAGGGGGCGAATCCACAACCACAAACACTTTCACTGTCCACTCTCCATTACCTAAAAGCAGTCGTCTTTTCGTTACATTGAGGACACTTGTATCCTTCTACCACTTCTGGCTCCACAAAAGCATCTAGGCATTCTTCGAGAGTGACTGGTTCGTATGCATTGCTGTCGCTGTCCTTCTTTAGACGGGCTGGCACATTGATCGAAATACTCGTGGTGGCATCCTTTTGGTAGCGGACTCGCTTACATTTTCCACACTGCAGTCTCTGCTCCAATTCAAATTGAAACACTTGCGTTGGGTCGTTTTCCTTGTTTTTATTTTCCTTTTGTTGAATCTGTTTCAGAAGGAATTGGAAGAATTCAAACGCATCTTGTTGACGCATCGTCGAGAATTCGTGATGATCCTTGCCCACCAACGTTTTAAACATAGCAGGAGCAATCCCTGTTTGTTGTTGTGGTGGTGGTGATGGCGTCTGCCTGCTGTCTCCCTCACGACAAGCATCCTCTTGTACAGGCAGAGAGTAACGACCGGATAAGAGGCCGTCCGCCAATTTATGCAGTTGACAATACCAACATTGCGCTGGATCCTGCGTACATGTGAGGCTATGATCCTCTAATTCCTTGCCATAACGTCTTTGAAAGATAGGCAGGTTGAAAATAGATTGAAGGACAGAAGCCATATAACAGCTGTTGCCTAGATTCTTGAATCCAGTGTAGCCAGGTCCAAACTTTGGCTGCAACTGCTTTCCGTCTTCTGTTGTCATACTAAAGTCAAAATGAAGGTTTTGTTCTAGTTGTAGTTCCACCATGGATTTTTCCGTCTTTGTTTGTTGCGCTACGTTGATGCCCCAGTTGGCCAAGTGAAGAGAAAGGTTCTCATCCAGACGAGCGTCATCACAACTATAGCAGTAAATGTCTAGAAAAACGCATCAGTTGGACCGTCTCCCCTCCTTCCCCCCTCCACCCACTTGTATAACTCTGCTCATTTACCGGCTGTGCCTTCAGGTGTAATGGTTCCTAATTTCACATTGACAGCATGCCCTGTCTTTTCAAAATGCTCAATAGCATGTTGATTGCCTCCTGTTCCATCGTATTGTCGACGTCCACAACCTAAATTACCACACACTAAACAGAGCCAAAGGTTCTGATTCAACTCGCAGTCGGCACAATGAGCTAAAGCCTGTGCTTCCAACTTTTTAGGCGGCTCTTGCGTCAAACAAAGTGTATGTTCACAAGCTGTAATGTCGTCCTCCTGCCACGCTTTCACTTCGGATTGTTTGGCGGATGATAAAGAATTCATAATAGCCTCGACAATAGAGTTTATCTTTTTTGGCGTAAAATAGAGATGAGTCTACCCCTCTTTTCATGCAAACCATGTGGGGCTCGTCAAGCCTTACCTTGGGGGAGACATCTTTGTCCTCTTCCGTTTGACAAATGTAGCAACGCACTTTGGTTTCATACTCGTATTTGTCTGCTTCATTTTCTGCCTCAATAGCTACTTTGGTGATTTTGAAAGGTGGCGGACTGTCTTCATCCGTCTTTTTTTTTTCAAAAAACAAAAAATTCTTAACACACTTTGTTCTGACAGCCGTTTCTAAAAAAAAAACGTGTGGATCACTCACCCGCTTCGTGTTGCTGGTTTTACAAAGTTTGCGCTTTATATTCAACGTCAGAGGATGGCCCGATAACTGATAATGTGTTAAAGCATGATGTCTTTCTTTATCCAAACATCCGCCGTTGAAACAGCTCAAACAAACGTCAATGCCTTCTGCTCCATCCTAAAGGGTGTCGTCAACTGTTGCGTAAGTCAATGACAGCCACCACGCGCCATCGCGGGAACAAATAAAGGCTTACTTGACTGTCAAAGCACTGAGTACATTCTTCTTTATGTACTTGTGCGAATGCCGAAGGTGGATGAAGAGTCGTATTGGCTATATGTGAACAGACCATGGTGTACAGAGCAACTCACACTTGAGAAAAAGAACTTTTTGCAAGAAAAGGTGGGGGACGAGATGGAGTCTGCTGCATACATGAATTATTTCCCCGTTGGAACTTTTTTTTCCAGGAAAACGTCACAAGGCCGATCGTACCTTCCTTTTTCATGGCAATGAATCCAACTTTTTTATTTTTATTGTCCGGTGTGCGTGCTTCTTTCCCTTTTGAAATATATACATATACATAGACCATCCGCCATCCCGCTTGTATAAACGCGTCAGAATGGATCAAGAAGCTCTGAAAAGAAAAGAACGTCTTGCAGCTTTAAGAAAAAGAAAAATAGATGCTACACGAATGGATGACGGCCGCTCAACTGAAGATGCTGAAAAGTAATGGAGTACAGCCATAGATTCACTTTGTCAGCTAGCTTTTCATCTTATTAACTGAATCCTCGTAGAAAATTAGTGTTTCGAAGTTACACTCCCAAAGACGAAAACCTAAAGGCACACGTAGATATTGCGACACCTGATGCTATCCAGGAAACGTTGGAAACAGCGACAAAAGATTTGACAAAAGAGACGTTAGCTCTAGCTGAAGAAAAGCAAAAAGAAGAAGTGGTAAAAGGACGAGAATAGCGTTGCTTATCGAGAATCTATCCATACCAAAACTCCCTTTCCCTTCTTTTTACACTTGTTTAGGATCTCTTCAATTTGCAACCCAAAAAACCGAATTGGGATTTAAAACGAGATGTTGAAAAGAAATTACAAAAGTTAGAACGCAAGACACAGCGAGCCATTTACGAAATCATACGTCAACGATTAGAAAAAGACGAACACGCCGATCTAGCCGAAGTGGTGGCTAACGCTGAAGCACAACAGAAATTTGACGCGGAAGAGGCAGCAAAAGAGGCAAACGAAAATGACGACTAAAAAAGATGGGCATTGCACCAGCAACACGCACAGAGAAACATCTGTAGCAAAAGCCAAATTTTCTGTACATAGTTTACGAAATCAATTATATGAACAACCCAAAGAACATGATTTTTTTTTTCTTTCCAATAAAAAGAAAACTTACAAGAACCTTTTATTTACCATCTAAAATGACAACGAAAATGGGATATAGCTACGTTCGAAATCACTAATAGTATATACAAGCAAACTCTGGTTTTTGTAAATACATATCAGACATGACAATGGCTGTGGATTGGGTAGCAATAGCTGTGCTTTCCAAAGACAGGATGGGTATATTGCAACCATGTTTTAAATTACGCTGGTAATGGGGCGTCTGAGTAGGTGCAACAGACGGTAGAACCATAGGCTCTAAATGACTTGGAATCTCTTTCACAGGTATGCCATGTTGTAAAAGCTCCTCTTTGCCATCATCAAATACAGCTATGCGTGAGTGTTGCTCTTTCCTTTTATCTCCATCGAGCAAAATGGATGCACTGCCTTCCGCTAAAGAGGATGTTGAGGATATGAATCTTTTCTGCAAGCTGGCAGTGGAGAGGAGGGCGTCTACATGCTTGGCGGGATGATGGGTAAGACTAGCTTCATCCTCCCCCACTTGGCCGCTTCTACTATTATTACTACTACTACTACTGCTGCTGCTGGTCATGCTACTTCCGCAGTCATCTTCTGATATCGCTACATCCTCTGCGGTGGTTATTTCTGTCATATGCAGATCAATTTCTTCAAAATCATCCTCATCCACTTGGCGATATGTAGGTGGTGTTGCTTCAGGAAACATGGAAGATAAAGGTGATGTAGGCGTTGCGTTGAGTAAAATTTGACGAAATTTTAGACTCGTCGTTCTGGGTGGCGTTTTGACTTTAAGCTGGTGCATGTCCGAATAAGATGCATTTACGTTGAACGGTGATCCTACTGACGAGGAAGGGGATGTTGTTATGGAGGACGAGGATGAAGATAAAGAAGTCAAAGAGGATATAGAAAGTCGTTTCAACGCCGATGATAACCAGAATTTTCTGCTGTTGTGATAGCTGTTGTTACAAAACATTTAATAATTTGTTGTCTTTAGATACAAAAAGAAGAAAATGGATCAAAAGGCAGGGCAAACAAGCAAAAATACAAACAATTCATTTTAAGCGTTCGGCTCTAATGCTCAATATACCGTATAATGTTAATCACTTAATTTTAATTAAGCTTTAATTATACAAATCATATTCTTATTCTCCAAATATTTTTCGTTGCTCATACAAATGCTCTATCCTCGTCTGATGAAAGCAGTAGAGCGATCAAGACAGTGTTGAAGTCTGTCAAAATAAATATCAAGCGCCAACGGCTCGTATCATCCGTACACATTACATTTGCAATTCCTGGGTACACTCCATGCAGGTTCTGGGGAATGATCTCGAACTGTTCATTCATTTTTTTTCCAAGTTTAGCACTTGTCCACCTCTGTGTCTCAATCGGAGCCCAGTTCTAACAGGTACCGTCGACCCTCCGAAAAGGCTCAAAACAAAATTACTTTTTTAAGCATTCACAAATGATCAATATAAATGTTTTATCTTTTCGTTCTGTGTCTCTTTTCTTAAACATCCAGATGTTTAAATTGTATCTATTCATTTGGTCTTCTATGGTGTTTGTATTCAACCTTTATTAATCCTTATTCTGTCTCTCTTTACTTGATTTTTGTGGCATTGCATATATCTTCTACTTCTTTGTCCCTTTCGCCTTCATACATGTATACTTTGCACTTGACTGTGTCTCCAATTCATGTCCCGCACTTTGCAATTTCAGTACAGTAAAGATGATGCGGGGAGATTGCCCGGAAATATCGAATGCAATCAAGTAACAGATTTTAGAGAATACACAGGAGGTGTGAATAAGAACGTCTAACCCGAGTTGTTGTTTAGGATAATACTTTGACATTTGTCGTCATTTACTGCCGCAATTTTATTACACACAGCAAACCTCACAATTGAGTATACGAGCAGAGCTATTGAGCTATGACCAACTTGAAAACCAGATTTATAGTGCAGACACTAGTCGAAAAATCACTTACGAGACAGAGAATAGGATCCGAACACATAAAAGTATGGGAGATATCAAAATGCATTGAAAGATAATTTGGGTTATATTTTAAGCTGGAAGATGAACAAAAATCTAAATACTACTAAAGATATGTCGAGAGTAAAAAATGCATGGAGGATCAGTTATATGCTTGCTTTTGAAATGGACTGAATTCCTCTTTCATTGTTGTTGTTCGTGGATAAGGACTTGATCAAATACAAAAGTAAGCGTTTTCAAAGCTTTCTTTGGAATTTTCTGCACGTTTATTGAGAAGCATGTGTATAAAAATGGATGATAACTTACTTTGATTATCGTCCTACTAACTCTAACTCTTGGTAAACAATGTAATATCATCACCTTTCTAGACTTTTGTTTGGGTTTTTGGACGGATTGTCGAAATCCTATTCTATGTAAGTTGGAAGTCTAACTAATACAGGACTCTCCATCTAAAACAAACAATAATAAATAGTTGTTACTCATTGCTTCTGTCAATTTGTTATATCATTTTTACGATGAATGTAGGAGTAAGAAGCAACGCAAGTAACAGGGGGGCCTCCTGCTTATTATGTTAGCTTTGGAATAGTATATCCATTGATGTCTTCATGTAAATAAAGAAGTAAGCGCAGATAAGGAAAATACAGCTCAAAGCAATGAGGGCCTCCCTTTCTTTTAATACACAAAGTTTATAAGCGTAGAGAAGACAGGGATAAATTTACATAGATCTACAATCTACAAACATCTTTAGCGGCATCTTTAAGCTGGGAAACTTTAAAGAAACAACAGTAACGTATAAAGAAGATGCTTGCTCTTTAGATAATTCTTGGTTTCAGAAAAAGATATCATCATATCATTTTCTTCCTTCTAATAATCATCTCTTGTCTGTATACTAAAACAACCGATTCACAATGCAGACTAAACTTTTGACTCTCGCCTTTACTGCTTGCTTGTTCGCTTTCACGTCTGCCGCACCGGCCACTCGCCAAGATTTCATTGAGGCTCTTGTTGCTGGTTTGACACGCATCACTCCTCCAGGCCCTGTTAGCAATTCTTTTGAAGCCGTTACAAAGCCTGCAAAGGGTATAACAAAATCGGGTTTTACCGCTATAAGTCGAACTCCCCGAGTATTCTAGTTTATTTTAACCCTGAACCTATCATTTAATTCAATTTGATTAATTTAAAGCTATCCATTTCCCTGGGTATTTTACATGCTAAAAAAAAACGTTTGTTTTGTTAAAAAAGATTGTCTTGATGAGCATCTACCGTTTATACTGTATGCGTTCAATAAAAGATCTTGGGTTTTTTTTCTCATCTTACAACAGCTCTGATCTTAAAAGTGGACTATTTCTGTTACTTGAAATAGATAGCTTTATTATATAGATTAGTATTGAAAATACAACAATTCCAAAGGTTCTTACAACCACCCACTTTTGCTAACTGTTTGGAACTATTTCGATCATCGGAAAGATCCAAGAGAAGAAAGGGGATGTGATAAGAGTTTTGAAGTTAGAATTTCATATATGCGTATAAACAGATGACAGTAACTATCCCAATCAAATTCATTTAGGGTTGCAAATCCCCCATTCCAACTTTCAATAAAAGTAGTTTAACCCTGAATCTTGATCGCAACGTGAAATTCGTACATGTCAAAATAAAAATTCAACTTTTACAAAGATAGTTTCAGCGAGACAGTACAAAAATCGACAAGTCACTGTATGTTGTGTAAGTGAAGCCCGAATATCACAAGAGAAAAGAAAACAAACGAATAGCCACAAAGACCAAGTTACCTTCTTTATTACGATAATAACCTGATCTGTGGTATTCGATGATTTTAGCTAGTAGGATTAAATGAAAGGATACTATAAGAGAAAATAAACGCGAAATCAAACCACCGTCTTTATTTCTCTTTCAAAAACGAACGAAAGAAAAAGAAAAGAAAACAAAGATTACTGCTATTAATAATGAGTTATACTGTTTACTGTCTACGAAATGAGTGTATCTGACACTGATGTATTATGGTCAAATAATACTCAGTCGTTAGACGTTTTGAGTGAGTTACTCAATTTAAATACTATTATTCACACCCCCTCCCCCCAAGGTAGACGGTTGTTGATCAAAAAAGATACAACTTAGCATCCATGAAGGAGAGCAGATGAGGTGTACGGGAAAGCAGTAGCATGGTCTAAATGAGTTTGTTAAAGACAAGTGTCACGCGCAAATTTTTTAAAAATTCGTGTTGTATTGCCATGAGCATAAAAAGCCGTACTCCAACGTTTGTCAATTCTCATAGCCGTACATAGGGTAGAGAGGATCTAATTTTTCCACTCAGTGCCATTGTTAGAATGAATCATACGAGAACAGCCAACAAGTAAAAAGATGGAAATGAGTTCTTCAGCTACTATTTTAGTAGACTTATCACGAAACGGGTCGAAGAAAGAAAGAAAGTGGCAACGTCGATGATGTGAACTAAAATGTACGTATTGCCGTTGGTTGTAAGATAAGAAAAGGACCGCATAAAGCCATTGGATAGTGCCTTCCAGGTGTATATCAGTGAATGGCTTTTAACGGATTGTATTCCTTATTGCTAATGGTGAACTTTTGACGAGTTGTATATTGCTTCACCACTTCCTTCGTCAGATGAGGTCAGTTCATACCTTGATCTTTTCTCACATGTTGTACGATAGCTCCACCACCGAAATGACCAAACTATAACACATGTGTTGAAGAATTTATCGTTCAGTACAACTGTTTGGGAGAGCTTTAACCAGTTTACACCTTTGATTGCAGAACAACAAGCTTTGAAATCAAAAGACTTTGTGCGAGCTGTCTACCGGCTCGACCTAGAATAGAGATGCCCAACCAATATAGGATTGAGATTGTACGAATCAAGTCTATTGATACCTCCCATACGAAATCACGGTATTTATCCCGCGTTGGGCAATGGAGAGGCACTACTTTTGACAGTCTTCACGATACTGATTTTGCCACAAAGCAATACAATGGATGCTTTTCGCTTGTATTAAATTTACTGCTTTAATAAGGGCACAAGTACGAGCTCTACCCTACTATTTTATAGTTCACCTAATAGAAAGGAAGGGCTTCCAAATACACTTGCTAATTTAACATTATCTCGATTTAATAATAAATCTAAAAGTTAAGCTTCTCATACAGTCAAGAATTAACACAATTCAAACACTTTAATTTACAGTGATCTGTAGATCCAACCTCTCTCTCTCTCTCTCTCTCTCTAATCTATTTTTCCGTTGTTTCCTCGGTCTCTGGTACCAAAAGGGTCGATTTGGCTAGACTTAATCGTGATGACTATTGTAGCTCTCTTAAAAGTAGAGTGACCCCTTGTATTATGGACTGAGTGCCCAAAAGGGCAAACTATGCCATTTCGAAAAATCGCATGTCATGGGTCGCTTACGTAATACAGGTATCAATGCAAACGTGAGTCTCATGGTACTCATATCAGTGTTTTATTGTTGATTAGGTTTGATAGAATATAGATATCTGGGTTCTGTTTAAACTATTTACATGCAAATGGTACAATTAACCATATGCTTCACCGATGAATGGCATCTCTTATAAAGATCATGACTCCCCGATGATAACTTTTCTAACGCTGATAATTGTATACAGACTATTTCTATCTCTTGTATCGGCCACAATATAAGTACATTCACGTTTGTGATCTACTAGAATAAATTCTGGATTATTGACCCACTTGTCGCTTTTACTATCATATCTGTTAGGTACATTTTCTTCTATTTCTGCTTCATCCCAATCGTTGTCATTGTCATCGCTCACTGTTAGATCTTCTGAAAGACTGTACTGTCCCTGATATTTATACAATTGATACACTTTCTTCGATACAACACCTCTATACCAATTCGCATCGTCCAAATTGGAGAATGCTTTTGTTTTCATAGAGTGATCGTCAACTTCTTCTTCACCTTTGGCGTATAATATTGTTACTACGTAAATAGTCTCACCGTCCATAATTATAGTTGGAGAAAAAAGATAAGGATAAATAGAATTTAATGGCTGTAGGATGAATGGAGGAAAGTGCAAAGCAAAGGTATAATCAACGTTGATGGAGCAAAATGAAAAGGTTGACCCGATTATTTCATGCATGCACTTTCAAAAACAAGCAGAAAATACAATTCCAAAATAGGAAATACAAGAAAGAATAAATGGCTGTCTTGGTTTCGACGGGCCTGTTGTCTAATTTTCTTTGGCAGACAAATCGCCCTTCTCCAAGCAACTATCTGAGTATCACCGAGTTTCAAGACGATGGCATACAGCAGCGTTGGTGACCGTTTAAGTTTCTCCAGCATGGTAGATTATAGTAGCAATATAGGCTTTTTTTTTTGGGCTGGATCGTATGCAATGGATCTCTTTGAGCTTTCACGTGAATTCTTAGGTCGATCTTTCCTCTGCTAGGTCAACCACCTCATGCTAACTACTGCTACGAGAATTACAGATAAGCAGTATGCTTTAATACCAGCGGTGTAGAAACTGTTAGCTGCGGTTAAATGATGACGTTTTAAAGAATCAAGTAAAGGGCATTGATAGAAGAAAACTGGCTTCCTTTATATGATGTCCCTCTTCCCTCTCTTCATTCTAGATCAATGGCCATCTGTTTATTGGGCTTGACAAAATTTAAACGAAAATAAAAAGCTTTATTTGATCTATTGCTTAGGCAGTGTTCGTTAAGCTGAATATAGCTCGCGGGGGTTGACATGCTATTGCATCTAAATTGTTGGGCGAAAGTATTCCATGACCTTTTCGTCTAAACATTCAATCTTTCCCTTTGTAAGCAACTCGGAAATGGCCTTTCCTGTAATAGGGGCGTTCAATATACCCCAGAAAGAATGGCCTGTAGCCAAAATCAGCTGCTGAAAGCGAGGATGTGGACCGATCAATGGCATTTGCGTTTTCTCTGAGATAGGTAAATAGCACGCCTGTCCTTGAATCAAGGGCATCTTGGCTAATTGTGAAGAAATAATGGTAGCTTGACGTTGCAACGTCTCTATAGCTGTGTCCGCTACATGAACCTCAGATGCATTTTTAGTTAAGGGTTCATTATCACTCGCTCCACAAAGGTAAACAGTGCCGTCCTAAATTGAAAAGTAAAGCAGAGGGATATGCCAGTCAATAACTACACGGCAAAAGCTTGTAGCCGTTATTTATTATCGTTCTTACTCACCGGCCTAGGGTATGTCTATATGAAAATGTTCATCATCATCCGTAGGTGTGTACAACAATTAGTTAGTGAATGAGAAAATGAGCTGAATTCTATGCTAGGTTTTCTGTACCTCTGGCTCCGCTGTGGAGTCATCTTCAATTATCGTGGTAAAAAGAGCATCACCAGGAATAACGTCTTTCGGTTTTAGCACGATTGAATGAACGTGAGAGGCTCTAATGGGTATACGTTCCTGGTTTGGAAGAGGCAGCAAACCGCTCCATGGTCCCATACAGATAATAACCTTATCACCATGTAGATTCTCTCCGGTTCCTTCTATTTCGACGCCGACTACCAAATCATTTTCAAACAAAAGTTGTTTAACACCCGTTCTTACACGTACTTCAACACGCCCTGACTTTTTTGCCTCCTCAATCAATTTCTTCGTCATCTGCGGTGGCATCACCTGGGCTGTCGTAGTTGTGTCGCCAATTTTCTCTGCAGACCTGACATAATCTCTATTAATCCATGTTACATTGCTTGACGCCGATGCAGTTGTTTTTCTCCTCTTCTTACTCAAACTGGTATCGAACACCACGGAATAAGTTTGCATTTTACGATAGCCGTATGCTTTCTCACCGTCCAGTTGCTTCGCAAGCTCTTCATGCAGTTTGTAAGACGCTCTGGAAAGCGCTTTCATTCCAGGGTGGTCATCGTTCCAATCAAGCGCTAAAAATCCCCCAGCTTTTCCACTTGCTGCACAGGCAATATCTGTTTGCTCCAGTAACGTTATGGTATATCCATCTTGTTGAGAAAGGAAGTAAGCGCAGCTAGCACCGATAATACCTCCACCTACAATAATAATATGCTTATTTGACATGGCGCCTGAACTATTACAGCAAAAACCTTGCAATTATAAATAGGACACGAAAAATAGAGAGAAAAAAAAGACCAAAAGGGCTCTGACAATAGCTCAAACGAGCTATTTCGTTTGCTTTTAGTGAAAATTTCATTCATGCAAATGACACAAAAATGTCGTAACTCAGCCAATGGAAAAGTTCGACGGGTGCATAAACTGCAAGTCGGGTCAGAAATGAAAATAACAATGAAGAGTAAGTAAAGTATATGTTTAGAGAGACAGAAGAGCATAAGAAGTCAAGTGAGAAAAGCACTACCGTACTTTTCATTTGAGGAAGAAGTATGAAGAAATGTGTGTAGGTAATATCGTGAAAGAGAGAAGAAGAAGAAAGTAATGACTATCATTCACAGGATGTGAAATTTGTATAAGAATATAAGGAATAGCATCTATCTCTTGGTAAATGCTAGTACTTTTCTACACATAAACTGCACTATAAATACCATTAGGCAAACAATAAGAGAGGAACGTACTGTTTAAAAGTAGAGAGTAGTCTACTAGATGACCATCGGAAGGAAAGATTAGTGTACTACTTACTATTCCGTGTAAAAGTAGTGTTATATATAACAATGAATAATGACATGTACAAGATGTATGAATCGATTCTAGCTTAGTACGTGCTTTATGTGCTTGATTAAAAATCTGGCCGAAATGAGAATGCCTCTGCTTTGTATTTCAATGAATTACACGTTGACAGAAGTGTGCGATTCATTTAATTGTATGTTTCTTCCAAAGCAATTGGAAATTTCAGTTAATGTACGGATCTGAGCATAGACTACCTGTATTCTTTCTATAATACTATAATATCGTCTGTTTCAACATGTCTATCAACATATATATATCAGTTTATCAAGCAAATCATCTACGTTCTTATCCATAAAAATATGTTGATCATAAGGAGGATAGAGTACTAAAAAAAAAACCACCAAAAGAGAATTTGTAGATCGACGAAAATGGCCGTCTATGCATAAAGCTATCGTTTTGTAACTGATATCGTCGTGGCGAATTCTTAGTGATCAGCGTAAAATCCAATTGCTTGTTAGAACAAAAATAAAAATCTTCTAAATCCCTGATTTGCACTGATAGTGTACGAGCAAACAATTTCGACTAGCTAAACGTGCTGATGGATTTAGAAACTTATATGTCTATATCGAAAAGTGATTTTTCCCCCTTGCTCAGCATGTGTCGATAAAGAAATGATAGTTATCAATAGTTTTTAGTATCCCTGCATTGCAAGGTAAAGAAAAATAATATGGCTTATTCGGGCAAATACAGAAATAAAGGAAGCCGAACATGATAATCAATATCTTCTCCTATCTCTGCGTCCGCCCGTTAAACGGCAGCGCATTTTGTTCAACTTCTCACTAAGTTTCTAAAACTAGTACGATTGAAGAAAAGATAGAAAGGCCATTGGCTTAGTCAATATGGTCTTTTTCTCACCTCTAATGCATCCAAGACATCCCCACAGAGCGAGCCTTGAATATGTCTCTTAAATGATGTTGTATTTATATTGATTACTCAACCGAGGTGACAACACCCGTAATTGTTCAGTTCCGTCGACAGTTGTTGTCTTCTTATAATTCTTATTTCTGCAATTTCTCGGTGGAATGTATGACTGCATGAAGGGTGATACATTGACTATCTGTATACTGTTGCTCATGAGTAAAGAATGAATATTGAAATAGGAGATAAGGAATAGTAGTTCATATGCATAATCTCTACAGCATCAATTTCTATAATACGCGGCTGAAACGAGCCTGATCAGCAACAGCTCTTTCTTTCTCTTTTTTTTTTTTCCCTTCCCCCACTTTTTTGATCGAAAACCTGCCGAACTTTAATCAACCATGAAATTGCTCCCGTATCTTATAGCAGTAACCTCACTATTATATGCTATTTCAGCGGCACCTATTGACAAAAGAGAAACTTGCTCACCGGGTCTCCTCCCGTCTGCTTTGGGTGTTTGCAGACCGCCACAGCAACAGTCAGACGTTACTATTAATGAAGTTTCACCCAAGCATGCTGACCGTAAAGCTCAAGCTGCCCCTCCTGCAGAAAAGAGAGAGGAAGAAGATGAAGACGAAGAAGACGACGAGGAAGGGGGTGGGGGTCCATCCACAGCGTCTGGTAAAGCAACAAGTGGCGGTGCAGGCGGTCAAGGTCGAGCAAAAGGATCAGGCTCTGAATCAGGGAACCAAACTCCAGGAGCAGGATTGACTCCACCCGCTATACCTAATGTAGTACCTACGCTTCCTCCGGCTACACTACCTGCCCCTCCTCCTTTAGCAGTTCCAAATTTACCACCGCCCACTTTACCTACCTTACCAAGCTTAGATCAATATACCAGTGCAGTGACCCTCCCTACCTTACCTAATCTTCCACCTTTGCCTAAATTAGGTTGATGAAAGACTTGTTGTTCGTAGTGTCATACTTTTAAACCATGCTCATATATTTTATTGATCTTTCCTTTCGTTCAAATCAACAAACTTAATAAATGAAACCAAATTGAAAGAAACAATAAAATTCGACTGCAGACTTCCGTATAAAATTTTGTCTTGATTTGTCATAACTATATTGCTACACTTAGCACCGACAAGGATGAAATCGTGACTACTGCAAGAGCGATCGATACATCTTGAATACTTGTGCCTAGGATTGTCGTATTTTGAGTACAACTGCAGCACTAGAACTGCAGATACAAGTAAATTGGATACAGTAATTATTGTAAAACTACTTGCTGAAGCACGTTTGAACACGGAATTATTGTAATTTCCAGCCTCATTGATCTTTTTTTCTTATCTGCATATCTTGACCTGAAGATCACGATCTGTTCGCCATGTCTGAAGTATTACTTTTGGATGTGCGGAACACACAAATTAATCAAATCAAGCTTGAAGGTAAGTAATGTTAAGCTTTATGTAGAGAAACAAGTCCGTTTTCAAGTTATTATCACTAATCGCATAATTTACAATAATAACGAGATATAACACAACGAACGAAGAAAAACCAATGAGTTAATCTTGATGAAGGGTAAAAAAGTAGTGAGTGACCATATTTATGTGATTGTTATTTTGTGCTGTTTCTTATTTCAAGAGCCTCCTCCTTTTCTTTGCTGATTTGAACCTTCGACGGAGTCATTCGTAGACGGCTGCGCCAATGCCTCTGATCTGTCCAATGGCTGGGCATTAATGCCTTCTTCCTCAGACAGAACATTTCTTGCTAAATGGGTATCGTTATCATGTAATGTAGTTTCGCTATCGTTCGAATGTACTTCATTTACTCTACAGTCATTCGTGCCTCTTTCTTCTTCTTCCTCTTCTTTTGTAAGCGCTTTCTTGCAGTCATACTTGCAAATAGGGCATAAACTTGATTTTTTCGTAAGCCATACATCTATGTACCAACAAGAGCATCCAATTTTAGATTCTCTTTTACATAAAAAAGAAGGGACATTTTTCTATTCTTTTTTCCTTTACCTATGCAGGCTGTACAATATCCATGTCGACAAGGAAGAACGCGTACATAAGAATCGTCTTCAAACTCATCTATACAAATAGCACATGTTGTATTCAGCTGATTATAATTTTGTTTTGCCTCTGTGTACTTGATAATAGGACATATCTTTTTCAATTGATCGAATAAAATAACCTCATTTGTATCGTGCATATCCTGCAACAATAAGTTCTGCTGATATCCATAGAAGTGTCCCATTTCAATATCAGACACCGAGCTTCGAGCAAACGCCCGACACCAACGAGCAATCACAAAGATAAGCACGGCCGTCGCAATTCCTGTCACAGAATAAATGACATAACTTCGTTTTTCTCGCTCGTCATTCCATATACTATCTGTTGTGGTTGTGCTGCTGGGTGACGAAGAGGAAGATGAAGAAGGTGATGAGTATGCTGAACCCGCAGCATCTTCTGTATTATCGTTGCCGTTGCTGCTAAATTGCTTTTCGCTAAGGAAAAATGTGAGCTGTGTGTATAATTGTCGAGCACCCTGAAGATGATGCGTTTGCTGCAAAAATGTTTGATTGAGATAATTCATGTAGGCCTTGGGGACATAGTACACCGCAACAAATGTGGATCCTTTGTCGATACTGTTTTCTTGAGTCATGGAATGAATATTACGTTCTGCGGGTAGTGTACCGCTGCCGTCCGGCGACGATGCATAAGATGATGATGACCACACAGGATAAGAAGCATTGTTTGTATCCTCCTGTATCCATTGTGTGTCGTTATAGAAGATATTGTCGTAAATGACAATTCCAGAAACTTGGAGCTTGTAAGTGTCAGATAAACCCTGTACAGTAGCAATCTTTTCTTGCCAAGGTGAACAACGTCCTCCTCTTTGAACAAGAGCTATAGAAGGTTGTGACATCATGGAAGGACTCGTGACCCAGTTACTGTTTAATTGTTCGACCTCATCTATGGTAGTTCCTGAGCAGCCATCACCAAAATCAATCACAAGGCGCTAATGTAAATTTTTTTGTTTAAGAAAAAGAGCAACCTGGATATGCAACTGTAATAAAAGATTTACCTCATTATAACCGAACAGATCCTTATTTTCAAAAATTGTTTGAAATTCTTGGCTATACACTTTGGATGAAGTATTGGTCAGATACCTTTTTGTTGTATTGGATTGAGATAAATCATATTCAACTAGTATTTGCCTATAAATATATATGCATTGTCTGTCAAAAACCAGATATTAACTATTATTAAGCCGTCCGATTCGGTTTTTACCATATGAAAGGATTAGTTGTGGAAGCTTGTGCTGTAACAGTGGTGATAAAGAAGCAACAACAGACACTGAATAGGAAGAGAATTGGCCGTGCATTGCCAAAAAAGAACATCACTACATTCAGTGAAAGGAACTTGCGATTTGAATCCTCGATTAATAAAAAGAAGAGGATGAAAAAAAAAAAGAAGATATGCACTGCCTTTATCAGTTTTAACTTTTATTTTTTTTTTGCGGATTTCAGATTTTCGGGGGAAAAAAAACTCTATCCGTTTGTTGTCACCTTATCAAAAAGTCAAACAAAGTACATCTAGTTCAGCATGCTAGCTATGATTTTAATATATTTGATTTGGATAAGTTATATTTGTAATAGTAGCAAAAATTCTTCAATCATCATCCTCCTCCTCATCGTCATCATCATCATCGTCGTCATCGTCGTCATCTTTATCTTTATCGCCAGTGGAAGGAGCGGAACCAACGGCAGGCACCAGACTGTAATAAGGAACTGGATTCGGATAACCTTGAACTGGAGCTGGAGCCGGAGCCAAAGCGGGAGCCGCGGCCGGAGCAGCCGCAGGAGTCAGTGAGAGCGGTGGTAAGGAAGGCAGCTGTGGCACTGTGAGTAACTGGCTCGTGTCTGGAAGTGGGGGGACTTGTATATTATTGTTTTGCCGTTTTTTGAGGACTAGACGACGTTTAGCAAATAACTGAATTATCTTCTCGGGTCCAGCGTGGTTACTGTTAGCTGCATTAACAATTTCTTTACAATAGACTTCCTGACTAAGCGTGATAAACACGATAGCAGTGACGACGAGGAGTGCTCTGAGAGTCTTCATTGTTATATGGATACTGATGTGTTGTCGTATGTGTGAGGTACAATAATTGATAGCGCACTCAGATGTAGATTAACAGTAAATAAGATGAGAAAGGGCATCAAAAGAGGAATCTTGTTTTCATTGTTACTTCTTATAAACGACTCACTTTGAGATAATGCATATAGAAAATCAGGAACAGCAATAAATTAAATGATGTGGAAGGCTATCTCGTGTGACCCCTTCATTTCAGGCGTTTATCAGTTGGAAAAGCAACTTGGCAGTCAACTTGGACAGGAATCAAAAGATCGACTATTCGTATGGAGAAGCTTAATTGATTTTTGAGCGCTACTCCTGGCTTGAATCCTTGGTCTTGAAATCACGAAAAAAAAAAGTTTCTGTTTTCTTTGTTCCTCTCCGCGACTCCTGGATGTACAATATGAAAACACTTGTTTTAGGCTTTTTGCTCAACACTCCTCTTTGTTTTCTCAAATGCCATATTTGGCTAACGTGAAAGTCAATGTTCTTTCAGGATGAGACCTCTCATTTGAGCGACTATAATGTCTCTACTAGGGCTTTCTTTAAAATATACACCCTTTTAAAAGTAGAGCAACAAACCTGTCAGTCTCATAATATTTGAATTGCTCGATAGTTGATCAACCATAACACAATGATACCCACTGCATACTTATATCAACCTAAAGAACTGGTCGTACAGGTTTTCTTCGATTTATATATAATTCAGAAGTTGAGTTTATTTCTTTTGGTTTTCTGAAAGCCTGAAAGAAAGCTTTGATCTTCATACTATTCTTTTATAATCGTCTGCAGATCAAAAAACCTTTAAAACAAAGGCAAGAAAGCTTAAATTTGATTGCTCAAAAAGAAATATGCGTTAGAATAGTGAAACGCGTTACTACGCTAATTTCTGCAGCTACTCGTGGGTGAACATGTCGACATGCAAAACAGAAAAAAAAAAAAAGGCGATACGATACCACTGCAGGCAATATTGACTTTGTGCATAAACACTTTGAAACGTACGTATGGCAGACAGCAAGTTTAAGTTGAAATAAAGAGCTTTTTATTCTATTCAATTAGGCTATATTATATTGTTTTAACCTAGTATGTAAGTCGTTGTTTCGATGAAATACACGAGATAGAGATCACAGAAAGAAACCTGTGAGATTAGGATAGAAATTACAATGAAAAAGATGTCATATATTGCAGTACTATATTACGAGCAATGGGAAGCTTAATCTGCATCTTCATCGCCAGCGGGTGGAGCTACAGTACTAAGATCAGGCATTGGAGGTAAGATTGCTGGAGGAGGTAGGCCTGGTAAAGTAGGAAGACTAGGCACGGCCGGAACACCAGGCAAACCCGGGACAGCTGGAAGGCCCACTAATTGTTTGGGTGTAGCAGGTAAACTCAGGCCCGGTAGAGTAGTAGCAGGTGGAACAACCAAATTGGGGACTAATACTGGTAAAGAAAGCGATTGAGCTGGTTGTGGACAATTAGGGTTTTGGGGATCAGGACATGGTGGAGCTGCTGACTGCTGGCCTGGCTGACCTGGTTGTTGCTGACCTGATTGACCTGGTTGACCTGTTGAAGAAGGAAATGTGTTATAAGCAGGATTCTGTCGTTTGAAAAGTGTGGGTCTATTCAATCTGCGTTTATTAAGAAGTTTTCTTTGTTTGATATTGAGTTGATTGGTGCTATGGATATCGATATGACTAGCAGAAATGTCCTCTAAAAGGATCATAGTAAGGATAGCAAATAAGGTGAAAGTTAGTACAATACGCATTGATAGCTTGTGACAGACTTGTTGAAAAAAGCTTGTTAGAAAGAGAAAAGAGTGTTTCCAAATTGCCAGTTCATCAAAAACTTATATACCTAAGATGCTCATAATTTTGTACATTATGCATAAGACGGATAACTCTTAATTGTAAATCGTTTTAAGCTGCTTATTCTACCTTTGGTGTCTTTACGAATACTGGCTGGAAGATCTGCAAAAAGTCACCTCTTTCGCACACGGGGTTTCTCTAGTTTTCTTTGTTGACCAGCTTAACCCCTGTTTGTTTTCAAGCATCCTACTGTAAGTTAGTACGTGATATGCTATATCCATTTATCTAACAAAGAAATATATTTACTTATATGGTCTATTTCCAATTTGGTTTTTTGCGCGGAAATCCAAGGCTCCTCCTGAGAAGCTTTTCGAAGGACGGGAAAATCTTATACGATCTTCTCCTCAAAGACGATCAACTGATCTACATCAATATAAAAGTTGCTTAACAACTTGTTTAGCAGATATGATACAAGAAAAAAATATATAAAAAAAAGCTCCTATTTCTGAAAAAGAATAAAAGATACGTAGCAATATGCCACCTACCCTCCCTTTTACATCTGTCCATCCGCTTAGTATGTTCTAAATTGAATTGATTCAATCTGTCCAAAGCCATTTTCAAAACGGCTATTCTCCCTCTGGAGAAATCCTCAATCTCCGTATATAACTGTTCTAAAAGAAGCAAACGAGCAATACAGATTCTCCTTGATAGATTTCAATATAATCTGGCCTGGCGTTTTTTGTTATCACGATTGTTTAAAGACTGATAAGACTGATTGAGTCCCTGATTTGCATAGAGAGAATTTAATTTAAGCATGTCAATGCTACTCATATATCATATCTTCATAATTTTTTATGATCATTCATGGATAATAAAACAGATATAGAAAACAGACGTTTTCTATCAGCGAATAATATGTGCCTATATATGGCTATATTTATACCAAACCAAAGATACATGATATTTTGGATAAACAATTGTATGTCTTGGCATTGACCCTTTTCCCCTTCTTACAAAGTGCATGTACTAGTACTACCTGGATTCTTTACCCGATTCACAAACGCTCAAAACTCTACATGGTATGTAAACTGGCATGGGGTACTATATTTTGCAGCTCAAATTACTTGTTAAAAAGCGAACAATAGAATCACATTTAGCTATATCTCTGATTTTCATTCGTCAATTATCATACTCTTATTTAGGCAGGAAAGATCAGTTTACACCAACGCGAAAGAGGAGTGCCAGGTTGATTTGACAAGTATACATAATATTTTTTATTTCTTCAAAAGCAACCTTAAATTTATCTCATATTCAACAAAAAAGCCTTTGCTTAACTCCAAGCAGTAAAGGTCATATCTAACAAATCAGATCGGCCTCACATCATCTTCTAACATTGTACATCAATCTCTATCAATCTTCATCAGGAGCATTACCACCCAGTGGGTTTGTAGGAACGAGACCATAAACGCTGGGAAGAACAAAGCCTCTTGCTGCACCTCCCACCTGAGACTCTTGACGTCTGTCTGCCGAATCCTCCCGTTTTTGCATGGATAATGTAATAATAGCTGGACTTGGATTACCGATAGGACTGGCCCATATGTTGTGCACACAAGTAGAAACTAATAGAAGGAAGGTCAAAACGCATGTCTTCATGTTTGTTCGGTATAGGCTTCTATAAAGTATAAACGAACACAATTAGTTTTCAAAGGCGGGGAGGAAGAAAGAAATAGAAAGATAGTTTCCAAGCATTTAAATCTAGTTATGCTAGGTTTTTTATTCTTTTTGTTTAGCCAAGGATTGCATATTGCACAAGTTTGGGGATTAACGCTACTTTTTAAAAGTTAAGGAGAAATATCTCTACCGTAAAAGACGAATATTAATTTCTATTAAAGTATTGAGGACCAACTTTCGCACAATGATTTGCGAATCTAGAAAGTGCTCCTTTGCAAATCTTTTATGAAATTCTAAAAGTCAAAGACGTGTCAAGAACACAGATTCACTGATCAGGTTACATTCGAAGTATTTATTTTTGGGCAGGAAAAAAAAAAAGAAACGTTTAACAGACAAGTGTAAACTATCAATCCTTGTCTGTTAAAACATTCCTAATGCCAAGAAATACTTTATAAGCTATCATTTTTTTGAAATTATATGTAATAGTACAAATGCAATCGGGGAGTTGTTATGTAGTCACCTTTTGATCCTCACTTGAGAAGATCCTTAAAAAGGCCTGTGATTTCATTCAACTTGTCCAAAACAATTCTCATATCATGACGCGTGACCGTAGCAGTAGCAGGACTTTCAGTTCCATAACTTTCTTCCAAATCGCTATCTTCTTCATCATCATACTGTACCATCTTTCCATTACGTCCACCGCTATCGCGACGGCCACCGCCGCGACGAGCACTGCCACCAGTACTGCTGGCGCTACTTCTTCTTCTTCCTCGTTGCTGAGAAGGATGATGTTGAGGAGCTTGTACGGGGACAAGAGAAAGACCCACTACTTGTCCTTGGTCGTTCTTGGACTCATCAATATTCGTAGGTTGATGACTTTCCTCAACATGACGAGCTATATCGCGTAGACCACCTTCACGACCAAACTCACCTTGTTCGCAATGGAACCAGCAAGATGAGCAAGCATAATGTTGGCTATCATACGGGCCAGTGGGATCATTTTGAAAGTCGTAGTCGGGCTCAATAGGACGTTTGTGGCCAACTGCACGGACAGGAAGTTCATACCCGTGCAAACGCTTGATATGGTCGATGCAAACTTTAGCTTTACTCAGCACTTGACCGCAAATGTAACAAGGATAACTGAAACTAATGACTTCTTTAAATTCTTTCGTATAAGCCATCCTGAAGGTCTTTTCAAGGCGATAGAAAAGAGAAGAAAGAGATCGAAATGAAAAGAAAAGACAAATACTTCTTTCGGTTAGTATTTTTATCAACAAAAACTCACGTAATCGCTATGCATAACTGATAAAATGTACCAGGCTACGATAAACAGAATTCATGCGATATTTTCTTGTACCATGAAGGATACAATTGTAATGGGATCAATAAATGAGTTTATTTTATTCGCGCTATTCCAATAACCCGATCTCTGCTTCCTGTCGCTCCAAATCATGTCTTACGGCAATTTCCTCCTTTTCTTTTACCAGTCTTATCATGAGGCGGTACAACCATACTGCTACTGCTACAAAACCACACACACCCATTGCTGTCACGAGCAAGGAAACTCGCTTTGCTTCTGGTGGTAAATCATCATCCAGCAGTGTAGCCAATTGAGAACCAATCCATACTTCAATATTAAACCGAAAACTGCCTATAAACGCTGTAACAATGTATGTCTTTGAATCCATGACACTTCGGTCATCATATAATCTATGGCCGTTCACAGCAAAAACTGTGTCATCATCATTATCACCATTCCCTATGGATGATACATGCTCATCGTGTTGGGTTTGTTCAGGTTTTCGACATAATAGTGATAGCACCAAATTTTGTAATTGAGCTGGGAAAGGGCACAGTCGAATCAATAAGACCATACCAAAACCCCCTTCTTTAAATGCTCTTTGTATCAAATGACATTTTTCTTGCTGTTGTTTTGATAGTTTTAAGAAACGCCCGGGTGAAGACGATGACAGGCAGAAATAATGATCGTAATGACCACTGAATATGAAATAGCAATAAAGAGAACCAAAAAATGTTCCCAATGTAGCTGGAATGCCACCAAAGGGGAAACCGTATACAAACCCACTAAGGGTAGTTAGGAAGGCAACACCGACTAATGGAGGGACACAGAAGACGCTTATGACCAAAAGTAAAATTAAATAACTGTAGGGTATATCTCTCATAGAAAGCGCAAGGTTTTGAATGCCTTCAAAAAGGAACGAATGTGAGGTCCTTATGCGAAAAACACTTTCTGTTTGGCTATGATTTTGTTGTTGACAATCCTTAGTATAAATGTTATTACCTTCTGTTATGTCCGATTTGTATCTCATCAATACAGTAATGGTACTAAGGAGTATGATAACAATAAATATCCATGTTGCTATCCTATTGTTAATGGGCATATTTTAGTCCTCTTTTTTTTTTCCTGAGTTGCCTGTCTATATTATTGTAATGTATATTGTTTCAGTATGCTACAACACAAGCGTAGCATAGGTTCGTACAAGAGAAAGATGAACAAAAAATGGAGAAAAGAGTGCAAAAGAAAATTATCTTTTTGAGATCCTGCGTTAAGTTTAATTCACACTCCACTGAGACACGCATTTATGACGTTTTAAACAAAAGTAAATGTCAATCACCAGAATGAGGAAAAGCGCGCTCCAGCAGTATGAAAGATGGATATGCCATCACAATATCAGAAAATTTTATTAAATAGCCCTGAAATGCTAATTTGACGACTTATAATCGTAGTTTGAGTTAGAGGCGAGTTGAAAATGGTAAAGCGGCGATTTCCGTATGTAAAACGAAAAGGTAGGTATGTTGATTTGGTTTGCCAAAATAAAAGAAATCTTTCGGAAACCCAGCAGTTTATAATAGCAGTGCTGAATCACCAGTCAATGAATGAAACGTGCGGCTTGAGTTCCTCCTCATCTTTAGCGCGTTTAAGTCACCTAATTCCTTGATCCTGTTGATGCACCAGTTATTTGGGATAGGACATGCAACGTCAATTCTCTCGTTTGTTTTCTCAAATATTTCTATATATTTTGTTATGTTTTCATTAGACAATAATAAAACATTGTCTTGAAGCTCAAACGTCAATTTCAGAATAGCTTTTAATACTGTTCCAAATCGTTATGTAGCATGTAAAATTTAAACCTTAACTAGCTGCCATCAGTTGGTTAGCTACAAAATGTGTGCCATTGAATGGCTTGCCTTATGGGGTTATTGTCCCTCTTTCCAAAAGCGTTGATGATAGTAGTGTTCGCAACGAAAAAAAACAAAAAAACAAAAAAGAAAACAAAAGTAGCTTGTCAAGACTCATTGCATTGACCATGCTTCAATGAAACTGATCAATTCCGTACCTAAGCACTTCCTTTGTCTTAAGAAATTCTGCTTTTTTTTTTCATCCTAGTTCGGGAAAATGCTCTGTCTGAAAAACTGTCACATTAAGTTCCAACCAAACAATAGCCCGCCTTGGGTATTTTTCATTTACCTTTTCAAGTGCTCTACTCTTTTTGAATAAGAATTGTTTCTTTATTTCCTTGTTCGCGAAAGAGCATAAACATATATATACTTTACAAGTAATAAAGTTGACATCGCAACAATAATTCATATATTGCTTCACTTCCTTCTTCAACGGTCATTGCCTTTTTTTTTTCTGGAAAGTATTCTGTTCTCACTTCGAATAGTTCAACGACGAAATTCCTTTGCTCTTGTCTTTAAATCAAACAAATGCAACCCGTTTTGACTAATGACGATGACACCTCGCAAAACTTAAAGCAACAAGTACAACAAAGCAACGGGAATTACACTTTAAAATCGGAAACGAATGGAATACAAACACTTAAACCTGAAGAAAAACTCCACAGCCAAAACATTAACGGCACATCAGTGAATGGACAATTAAAAGAAAAAGAAAAAGCGACAGTGGAAGAAGGAAAGAACAATGATGAAAAAGAAACAGAAAAGATAGCTTTACCTGTAGAGATGGCATGCATGGTACCTTTGAGAGTTATGCTTGGAAAACTTGTTCATAAAGCACATTCCGATCTGATGACTCTTGTGGATACGTAAAGTATTACTTTATAACTGCCTTTATAGAATGGATGAAAGAGAAGTTAACGTTATTATTTTTGCTCCTCGGACACAAAAAGTTTACCTTCCATGTCTGAAGTGGAAAAGAAACGGCAGATTTTGAATTATACAACGTTTATTCGAAAGCAGTTCGCTAAAGTGTTAGCGCTAGTAAAATGGGCAGAGAATGCGAACGATATACAAATGTGTCAAGTACGGGAGAATGAGGTTTTTTTTTTTATAATTTCAATAGAAAACGACACGTAATTAACTCATCTCGATTGAATAGAATATCATGGCATTCTTAGCAAATCAGAACAAAATTTTCCAAGATACCGTGGACTATTTACATAAGATTCAGTCAGATCTACCTGCAGCAAGATTAAGAAATTTTGATATACCAACTGCTGTAGACGTATTGACAACTGGTACTTACCAGCGCATGCCCACTAAGATTCAAGTAAGAAAATTCAAGGGAGAATATACGCATGGAAAGAAAAGAATAAATCATTGAAAATTGGCATTTTTCTTTCGTTATTAGGATATGCTGGCCCCTCCTCCTTTGACCGATGAAGAGGTTTTAGAGACATTCCAGAATATGAACGACGTAATTCGTATGCGTATGATTACAACCGAAGTTCTTCCGTCGCCTCTATTGAACACATACCGAATTGAAAATGGTCGAATCACCTTTAAAATTGAGAATGAGTTTGAGGTTGCACTAACACTCATGGGCCCTCCTCAGAACAGACGATGGTGGATCGTATCCTTGGACATGTTTGTTCAGGCAACATCTATGGGAGGAGGAGCAGCGGAAGACGTCGACTTTTCATTAAGTGACGTGCAAAAACAGCATTTGCGAATGAACGCTCAGAAGCAATTGGTCCCTCCAATACCTGCAACATCATCACAGCAACCACAGCAGACCCAAACGGATACAGTGTCAAATATTGTCCAATCTTCAACGGATGGCGAGGAAAAAAGCCAACAGCAGCAACAAGATCAGCTAGATGAGCAGCAGCCGCGTCTTTTCTTTCCTCTTGTTCACTTGTACGACTATTTACATCTCTGCTGTTTGAACCTGCAATTAGAAATCCTATACATTCAGTCTGCATTACTAGCAAAAACGCGATGGGTCAATCAATTGCAGGTACAAATGAGCCCCGATCGAACAAAGCTGTCATTGATTTATTGGCGTGGAGGCTCGCCTGCGTCTCAATGGGCACGACCTCAACCCTTTTTTACAAATAAAAGTACAGTCATTGAGATACTTTTGCAAGAACAGCAAGAATTTACAAACTCGATAACCAATGCTGCTAGTAGCGTTAAGACCGCTATTCCAAATTTGAATAATCAACAACAACGACAAGCATCAGCCGGAGCTTCAGCAGCTACGATAATGAAAGCCGTACGCGATGAATACAAAGGCATGATACAGAAAGCTGGTATTGGTGCCTCAATTGCACTAGATAAAATCATTGATCAAAACGAACGTGTGAAAGTATTAAATATGCTAAAATACCCCAAAGACACATTACAAGCATTATGGAATGATTGCCCTGATCTCTTTACAGATGAACAACTTTTGGTGAGTTGACACTTTTTTGTTATCGTTTGTCCTCTTAGCGGTTCATACTTACTAAACTTTCTTTCTTCTTGCGTGAAAAAAGGATCCGGCTAATCTTAACATGGAACAAGTCGTTTTGCATGTCACCAATTATCATGGAAAATGTATGATTGAAAAGTTTAGACAAACGTTGATCACACAAAAGGATTTTCTTGCTGAAAATGGTCTTTGGTTGATGGGAGACAATGATTTCACCAACGATAGTAATGAGACTACAGCGATAGTAAACCAGTCACCAACTAGTTCCTCTGTTCAAGCGAATATGTCTTCTGCATTAGTGATACGTTATCAACATCAGAAATACATCAGCATCGAAATTGACACACGTAGTGGCAAAGTCAAGGCATTTGATACGAATAACGGCTGTGGGGAAACTAAATTAAGAGGCTTGGAAGAGCGTTTAAACCATGATCCTGTCAATATTGCACGCCATCTTGTATGGTTGAGATCAGAAGTAGTCATTCATGAAGTTATTTCACTTGCGAAACAGTTGAATTTACAACCTTTCCACCCTTCACAAATGAATTTACGCATGGAAGATTTCTCCAGATTATTTGAGGAAACTTTATTAGACATTCAATCGACCTCACCAACAACTGATAGTAGTAGCCAGAAGTATCCCTCGCATTGCATCTTTTTGCAGTTCTCACAGTTTGAGGATTGGTATTTGGTTCTAACCATTTTGAAGAATAAATTCAAAACCTGGCTGTGTTGTATAAGGTACGTTTCCAAACCTTTTAACAACTTTTTTTTTTACTTCTTTTTTTTTACCATAGAAACTAACGTTATGAATTTTTTTTTTCTTTTGAAAAAAAATAGAAAGGCGAGAGATCAACAGCATGGCGTTTATCAAACGATTGCAGACTTTACTAATTTTGACACTAATCAATTATGGAAAAGTCAATTCGTCGAAAATGCAGAAGGAAGTAAAGGCCCAGAATTTCACGAGATCAGTCATGGTAATCACTCAGCTTCAACAGCCAACTCGAACAAGAGAGGACTCCAAGAGGAAAATGAATGCAACGATAATAAAGTGTTGAACAACTGTGAGCATCAACGAAATAATGAAGGTCTCATCCTGAAGAAGCGAAGAACATCCATGTTGAAAGGTTATCGAATGAGTGAATTTAGTCAACAGAATAACATTTCGCTATACTTGCCAAAAATTGATTGCCTTTCTATCAACCTGCGCTTTTTGGCCAAACTTGATTCATTATCACGAGCATGGATCATTAATCGCAAGATCGAGCTTCAGATCCTTTCTTTCAAAGGATTGCTTACTTATCATACTCGCTCGCTCTTATATTCTCTTTCCGTCTTATCCAACAGCAGCAGTGGCCATAGCGCTAATGGCAACAACAACAATTTTGTACATAGGAATAACTTTCAGAATCTCGGGTTAAATATTCAAGCAGCTTTAAGCCATCCCGCTGCCGATAAGGTGGAAGCGATATTTATACCGCAAAGTGATTTGTTAAAAGCCTGCACTTACCATCTCTCGAATGACGCTGCTTTTTCTTATCAACAACGTCTCTCAATAATGGCTTCTCAGCAACAGCTCCAAGTTCCTAATACTTCTCCTGCCTCTTCTATGCTGTTAAAAAGAGAAAAACCTGTTATGGAAGCTATCTCCTGGACAGATCGATTATTACCCAGGTTGAAACATTCGGATGTTCTGATTCGCTCTTCAGGCTGGTGGGATTGTGGTAGACGAAGTGGAGATTGTTATGTAATAGTACAACAAAAACTGAATGAAAGTAGAAGCGATGTACGGCAATTATTACAAAGTGATTTGATATCTTTGCAAGGAGTTATTGATAACGACCTTAATGGCGATAAGAATAAGTTTGATAAGAAACAGCAACAACAGCGAGAGGATGAAAATTTAGGTGATCATATTTCTTTTGACAAATCGGCATTGATTCTATCTTTTACATATTCAAAAATTGATACTTGCATTGAACAATTCTTACTGGATTGGGAACGAACTTTTATGATGATGAATTTGACTCGCCAAAGTAAGCACATCAAAAAAAAAGATAAAAATTTGACTACATATTCAATTAGTTTCATATATTAAAATATTGCTTTTTATCGCTTGCATTGTTTGTTTTAAGTTGCATCAGTTTGGTTCCAAAACTACTCGCAGGATCAACTCCAATTTAACCCTACCAACCTGCAGGAATTATCATTTACTTATGCCAGTAATCTAACATGCACTATCAAATGGTGTTCATTGGGAAAAGGGTATACCAGACAATACAATATAGAATTCGGTATCAAAAACGAAGAGGAAGAAAAAGAAGAGAAAGTCGCAGAGGAACAAAATGATATATCAGAATCGCGAGAAGCTAGAACACAAGAAGCTAAACGGAAAAGAAGGCATGTGACAATGAAAGCTTTTCCTGCACTAAGCTCGCGTAATCCCCATTGGCGTATTGCAAATTTCTTACGAGATGCCTTGAATGAAAAACGTGATCTAATTCACTTTGTCCAAATTCTATTCCAAACACTACCCTTAATGACGTGCTTAGAACGTTTGGAAGTTAAATGCGCACAATCTGGTGATATTGGTAAAGTGTCTATTATACCTCGCGCATACGACTCGGTACGCGTTATCTTTTCAGCTGTTCATGCTATCGACATACAATTTACAGACACATCCATGATTTGTGTTTCAGATGCAGCTTATCATCGCGATTTCTACTCGTGCTCATCTCCCAAACAGGAGCAACATCCACAAATGATGATGGATGATGTCAATATGAACACCGGTTCTTTTATACCTCCACCACCATATCTTGTGCCACATCAACCATCAACATTACCCTCACCTCAACTTCAACAGAATGAAAATACAATTGATGCATCCTCTGTTACTTCAAATTCGCAACATCAGCCATCCTCTTCCATTTTAAAACCGATCAATGTGGCTCAACAATTCAAATTTACACCATTCGACCATTTTTCAGAGGCCTTAAAAAGTATAGAGACATGGATTTTTGATGAAGAGCAGGATGGATGCTGTCACGATCTACGAACCCCATCAACTAGGCTTGATGCACTGTATCCATCTATTCAATTCACTGATAACCCTTGCGCTTATCCCATGCAGCACGGGCTTTTGTGCTCGGCGTCGCTTTGCCAGTGTATTTTGAACAAATTGCAAGCGATGGTGTAAATAGTTTGTATAAGCAAAGAAGAGGAGATTGTGCAAAGGAAAAAGTAGGAGGAAATCAAAATTATATATCATCCCATACACACAAAATCACAAGTTTTATAGTTTACTGAAAACATTATACAAACATTATACAAACATTATGTAAAACAAAAAAGTAAAACAGGCTCTTTCTAACTTATACATACGTATATAGCAATATACACATGCTATTACTGCTCATAATAAAAGTCAGAGTACCCCTTTGGCCCTTAGAAAACTTTCCAAACCAACCAAATGTTGATTTGCTGAAAATGAAATTGTTGAGAAGGAACAACAGTTTTCTAGAATCCGTTCCGTTTTCTAATGGTATGTGTTGTGGTAGAACGTGGTAGACCTGGTAGATCAGTGTAAGCCTTTTAAAAAGACCTGGTAGACTCCAAAAAAAAACAACGTAGTAGTCCTGTCTGAACTCCTCGTTTGAAGTGCAGTGGTTCTTTAGCATATTTTAGAACTTAGAAGTCTTCATTTTAAACCCCAGTATAATTTTCACAGACATCTTTAAAAAGTATGTTTTTTGTTCGGAGTCTACCAGGTCTTTTTAAAAGGCTTACACTGATCTCCAAATCTACCACGTTCCACCACGTTCTACTACCACTTTTTTTTTTTGAGTCTACTGTGTTATTTCCATACCTCCTATTATAATATAAAGACGAATTAGACCAACTTTCAAGCATTTGAATCGTTATTATGATCATAGAATCCTAATAACACTTGTACACGTTATCTTGTTTCTAAAGATGCGCATATATAATGCTGCATTAACCGCAAAATGCAGAAACATTGAGCCATTTTTGTGAGTCACTGTATTTTAGTTGTGAACGCGACTTATAATTTGATATAAACTGTCAGGTGAAATGAGTCTCCTTTAGTCCTTTTATTATACACTGAAAATCAGAGAGGGAAGCGTTCATTGCGAACTGGATGTTTGTACTGACAGCAAAAGAAAGAAGGAAAGGAAAGAGATAAAAAAAAAAGTCAAATACTTGTACCTGAATTCTCAACCAGTAATTACCACAAGTACTATTGGTATAAGTTTCGTTGACATCGCACCACTTCATCTGCAATTACGAACGTGAATTGTTGCAATGTCGACAATCGGGCATTTTGCATAATTTCACGAATCACCTAATGAACTTCCAAAAACACCAAAAAAAAAAAGTATTTTGAGGGCCAGACAGTTTCGCATGAACAAAAAAAATTTTTCAGTGGAATTGCGAACTTTTCAGGAGACATGACACAATTGCATGCTGCCCAAAAACTTTTCTCTCAGTTTTTTTCTCTCAGTTTTTTCTCTCTCTCTCAGTTTTTTCTCTCTCTCTCAGTTTTTTCTCTCAGTTTTTTTCTCTCTCTCTCAGTTTTTTCTCTCACCAAGAGCAAACAATGGCACACCTTTGCCACATTTGCGAAAAAGAGTTTCCTTCCCCAACACAACTATATAACCATGGTTATGATGTCCATGTGGATAACTTTACAAGTGACCATAGATAAAAGTAAGAACTGGAGTTCTTTCAACAAGAAGACATTGTGTTCACTTTTTTTCTTTTTTTAGAGACAAGCATTGTTGAAAGAATCGACAGTAAATTCAGCTGCCCTGATTGTCCCAGCAGACTTTCTACTTCCAGGTCATTCAACGATCACCTAAAAAAGAAACATAAAGGAACCTGTTCAGCGTTATCGAAAGCGGAAAAAAGGCGCGACATTGAAACAGACGATGATGATACCGGATCATCAGTTCTTATGAAGCATCACAAGCCAAGTATAGGGGAGAATAATTTTAGCATCGACAGACTAGTTACATGTCAAACAAGCAACCATTTTGACGATGATGCTGCTGTTCTACTGGCCTGTAATGCGCTATCATGCTCGCCTCGCGTTCAAGACAGTTGTATCTTGGCTGCAAAAATTGGAAAGTTGGAACCCATTTTGTTGGCGTCTATGAATGGTAAAATATACCCCTTTCTCGCAGCATCAGAAAATATTATTGATGTATTATCTGATAATCCGACTGGCTCTTGGAGTCTGCCAACCGTGAACAAAGCAGTTACAACAGACAGTTCTCTTTCAACTAATACAGACGACCTAATTCAAGTATATTGTTCGTATAAGTCCGATCTACAGACATATAGCTGATCAGCAGTACGTTGAACTCACTAAAGAAATCACTCAAGAATTAAGCAAAGACTGGGCCTTCTTTCCACAACTTAGATTCGCAACATCACATATTTTCGCAGGAAGTATTCTATTGAGTGGGCCAACGGCATTACTTGTAAACTGCGTTGAGTCCTATGGTAGATCAAAAATAGTTGACTCGCATCATGAACGTAGAACAGGTTCAACAAATCACCAATCTTCGTTTCCAAAAACACAATCAAAATATGGAGAGATAGTAGTTTGCCTGACTCAAGATGATAATACCACCAAATTGAAAATTGGGGCTTCCAGTTTCAATTTATTGGTGACTTCAAGCACACGTTTGGACAAGCGAACTATAACAAATGCGACAGTTGAAACGGGACCTAACACTAGCAACTTTGTGCCACTGCCAGAAACAAAAATATATCTCAATACAGAACACTTAAAAATGGGAAAAATAATGCTTGAAGATGATACAATTACATGTATTGGCCAGAGTTATATATTTTTTCAACTTCGTCAGTTAAGATCGAAATTTTACTGCCTATCAACTTATTCGCTATGCCGAGCCTTCAGCTCAATTATATCTGACATCTCCTATCGCCCATATACCATTTGGACGCTTTGCGAATATGATTCTTCTCAATCATTAGATTCGCAGTCTCAAAAGCTTTCAAGGATGTTTCAATCGATTGCTTCAGAGGTCTTTAAAACTGGTTCTGCAGCATATATTGAAGTGATGCTCTTTCATGAATTCCATAACACCTTGAAAGAAGGAAAAGTAAAAGATACAATTGGAGAAATCATTAGTTTACAAGAAAATGGTGTGGTTCCAGTGATCAACAACTTGAATTTGAGTCGTTTATTGCAGGATTTAGCAGATTCAATGACAACGTCTATAAGCAATGCAAATAAAACAGCTGCTAAATTGTTATCCCAGCATCTCTACAATTAGATGTCAAATACCTTCAACATTATACGTATCGATATAAACTTTTTCATCAAGTAAAGCAAGAAGTAAAAACTATATACAAGTAGCTGACGTTAAGTTACCATTTTATCATGTGCAACTTTTTGATATGTGCTTAAATTGTAAGGATTGTTCTTAGTTACGCCTCATTCACTTTGTTTTGTCAGGTGTCTTTTCATATAAAGTTATAAGTCAAAATAAATAGAGAGTAAAAGAATGATGATTTATAAACTATCATTTAATTTCGAATGTATTTGAAGTGGACAAAAGAAGATAAAATGCATAAATGTGCCGTATACAGCTTGATCAAAAGTAGTTTTACACCACCTATTTCTATCAATTTGGACTTGGTGGTTTCCACAGACCAGTTGGTTGCTCCGCAAGTAAATGCTCAAATGCCTCCGGAGAGGTAAGCATGTAAGACGTTTTTCCACATTCAGATGATAATGCTATTGGCTTCCAGTTTCCAATATTGCTGAAGACTATTTCTTTTTTTTTTGTTTCTCTTTGATCTTGTGCATTAGAAGCAGCTACAGCCTCTGCATTGTGGTCGCAGTGTAATGGCGGCAAAGTAAGCGAATTTGAATTCAATTCGTCAAAATTTAGTTGTGGGCCAAGCATTTTATGGCGCTTCATAAGAACTGATGATCCGGTATCATCATCGTCTGTTTCAATGTCGCGCCTTTTTTCCGCTTTCGATAACGCTGAACAGGTTCCTTTATGTTTCTTTTTTAGGTGATCGTTGAATGACCTGGAAGTAGAAAGTCTGCTGGGACAATCAGGGCAGCTGAATTTACTGTCGATTCTTTCAACAATGCTTGTCTCTAAAAAAAGAAAAAAAGTGAACACAATGTCTTCTTGTTGAAAGAACTCCAGTTCTTACTTTTATCTATGGTCACTTGTAAAGTTATCCACATGGACATCATAACCATGGTTATATAGTTGTGTTGGGGAAGGAAACTCTTTTTCGCAAATGTGGCAAAGGTGTGCCATTGTTTGCTCTTGGTGAGAGAAAAAACTGAGAGAGAGAGAAAAAAACTGAGAGAAAAAACTGAGAGAGAGAGAAAAAACTGAGAGAGAGAGAAAAAACTGAGAGAAAAAAACTGAGAGAAAAGTTTTTGGGCAGCATGCAATTGTGTCATGTCTCCTGAAAAGTTCGCAATTCCACTGAAAATGAAATTGGTCCAATAAAAGTTTTCTCATAATGTTGTGCACTCGTCTCAATTTTTTGCAACCGTCTCATTTTAGGTTAAAAATCTCTGTTCAGAAAAGCTGGGCAAAACCCAAGTTGACGAAACGAAGGCTGAAAATGCGATACATGTCTGAGCCACGCTTTATTTTCCTTTTTTGACATTTAAGAAGATGAAGTATAATAAACAGAACATGGCTGTCACGTTCTGACCTCTAATTCATATAACAATCTGAGAAACAATCCAGATTTACTGCCTTTACCAGTTATAGTGCACTGGAACAAATAAGATTCCAGGCACACTGGGACAAATAAGATTTCATCAGGCACACTTCAACCTTACTGGTAATCTAGATATATCTCAGTGGCGTTGTACAATTCATTAACAGGAACAATATTACTCGGTTGTCACTACTACTTTCTTAATTCCACTATAAGCTCAGTTTAACCTCGCATTCATATAAAAGACCATTCAATTTCTAAACCAAAATAAAAGGATCCAAGAACTATTGTTCGGTCTCGCTGACTCACTCAGTCTCTACATATAAAACTCATTAAACTATAACTCCTGATATTTAAGAATATCACATTTTTTTCAGCGAATTCCTCAAGCAACTCAAAAACTTATCAACTCTTACTATGTCTGCCTCTACCAACAACTCTGTCGCT